TATAAATAAAACTTTAATATATATTGAGAAATGATTACTATTCTGAATTATTAAAAAAAAAAAATTATGAATTTTCAAAAGAAATCTCTTTAGAATATCAATGGTGGTCATCACTAATATAGTTCATAATTTAATTATAAGAAATTCACAATTTTAGTCATCTTTCTATTTAGGATTCACTAATTAATATTTCGTCAAATATGATATTAAATAATATTATATTGTCTTCTTAGGTCAAATTTATTGACTTTTATAAATTCCTCAATAACAAGGTCAACATGGATTGAGTTCAAAGTTTAATTTAGAGATTAAATAAATTTAATAGTATGAGTGAATAATAAAAAAAATACATTGTATATGATTTCAGAGAGATAGTATAATTCATCTTTTAATGAACAAGCTGTCAAGATTGGATTAATTTATGTAAATTTTCCTATATAAATTTTAAATCAAAATCAAACGAACATTCCAAAAATAACCAATGGAATTGTAACACCTAAGATGTATCCATTATCATCAGTATTAGTGTCTGGGTCTGTTGTGTTTGGATTGGTTGAGTTATTGTTATTATTAGTTGGAGTTTTGCATGAAACACATTTATTTGTGGATTCATTCCAAGTGTATGTATAAACAGTTGTTGCTTTATAGCATTATTCTGCTGTAAGAGTTGATGGGTCACTAACTGAACATACATTATTGACCAAAACACAAATAGTGCTTGAAGCTCCATCGAAACTTTGGAATGGGTTGCATACTGTACCAGAAGCAACTCCAGCGCAATCCATTGGTGCACATTTAGTAGTTGTGGTAGTTCCAGTTGTAGTAGATTACCATTTGCATGCCTTTGGTTTACTATTACAAGCATCTTAATCATTGTTACCATTTTCACAAGATTTGAATGACACACATGTTCCATTATTTGGATCAGCAGCAGTTGGTGCTGGAGTAAATGCGCATTTTCCATCTGATCCTCCTGCTTTGCATGATAATTTATTCTTGTAATTAGCACAAGTATCTTATTTAACACAATTAACTCCATTAGAAACACAAGCTTTATTTGGAATAACTCCTATACAAGCATCATTAGTAGTTCCTTTGACATCTGTGCATTCCTTAGGTCTGCAAGACTTAGTTCCTGTGGTAGCACCAACTGGTAAATCATATACACATGGAATTCCATCTTATCCAATTGTGCAAGCTGCTTCGGTTAAATAAGAGGAACATGTAGCTCTAGGAACACATTTAGCTCCATCAGTTGTGCAGATTCCACTCTTAACAGTATAAGCCAAACATTCAGCATCAGTTGTAGCAACTTTATCTGTGCATTCTCTCAATCTACAAGCAGTTCCAGTCCATTAACATAGTCCATCGGTACCTGCATTATCACAAGCTTAAGTTGTTAAATATGAAGCACAAGTGCCTTTATCGACACATTTGGTTCCATCTGAAACACAAGTAGAACCCCAACTAGTACAAGCTGATAGAACAGTACCAGCTGCATCACTGCATGATGTGTATTCTTTGCATTTACCTTCAGGTAACCATCCACATACAGTACTATTAACACCAATAGAGCATGAGTTGATATCTTCATATTTATCACATAGAGTAATAGCTCTGCAAGTTGTATTTGTTGGTACACATTATTTAGAGAATGCTTAGCAGAATGTGAATGTAGAAGAGCCGACATCTGTGCAATTGTCATAATCATAGCAAACTCCATTAACATATAAACATGGGTTTCCAGCACTATTCTTCAAACAGAGTTTAGGATTTCCTGTAAACACATCACATCCAAAGGTTGGTCCAACACAAGCTGTTCCTGAAGTTTTGCATCCAGTAAGCCATGTGTTGCATGCATCATCAGTGGTAAACACTCCATCTGCACATTATCTTTATCTGCAAGCTGCGGTTGTAGAATTCCATGTGCATCTTACTGATGTTTCAGTTGTATTTGCAGCTTCACAAATAGATTTAGATTTATATGATGAGCATACTCCCAAAGTTACACAACCAGCACCACTTGTAGTACATGTTGTATCTTTATCATTGCAATCCTTATGAGTTGCAATAGATCCATCATAATCTGCACATGTGAAATCTCTACAAACATTTGAAGAAGAACCATTATACCAAGCGCATTTCTTTCCGTTTGACAATGGTGTATTTGTACAAATTGCTTAACCATAAGTAGTCAATGCACCGCATGTACTTGGTAAAGTTCTGCATTATCCTGCCCATTGACATGATGTATTTGCTGTGCATGAAGCTTGTGAAGTTAACTCTCCACATCCAACAGAGCTCTTACATCCTCTACCTGTTGTTTTACATGTTGGGTGATATTTGGAACATTAATCATCAGTTGTATATGTATTAGGAGCCTCATAGCAAACTCTAGGAGCGCAAGCAACAGGAGATGCTGAAACAGCACTTGCTTTGCATGGACCATCGTTAGCTGTGAATAATAAACATGTGTCATCATTTCCTTTAAAGAATGAGCAGGCCTTTCCAATATCAACACAAGTTTTACCATCAGTAATACATAATTATGCTTTGGATGGAGCAATAGGAGGCAAGAATGTCTAACATTCTGCATCAGTTGTGCCAACTTTATCTGAGCATTTTCTATCAGCACAATTTCCAACGACTGTTGTACTGGGTCCCCAACAATACTTGGTTCCAGTACTTCCCTTAAATCCTGAGCAAGTTGCTTAGGTTCCCTTATATGAACTACAAGCAGCACTTTTATGTACACAACCAACTCCGTTGAATAAGCATCCAGTTAAGAAATTTTCACACTCGCTGTCACTGGTAGCTGTAGCCATATCAGTGCATTATCTATCTCTGCAAGCTGTTTTAGTAGTAGCAGAATCTCCGAAGCATTTCTTTTCATTTCCTGTAAATTTCTAGCATTGTTCTTTTGTACCATAGTAAGAGGAACAAGACTCTGATTTGTGAATACAACCAAATCCTTTATTCAAACACTCAGAATTGAAGGATATACATTCTGAATCAGTGGTTGCAGTAACATTCAAATCACAAGTCAACTTTGTACAGGCATCATTAGTTGTAGCTGCGGGTGCTTTAGCGCAAGTTGATTTGCTGTTAGTGTCTAATGCCCATTCACAAAAGCTAAGATATCCACTTTATTAAGCACATGTTTTTGATGCAAGTATACAACCTTAGCCGTCTGATTTGCATGTTGAATGATAATTCTTACATTCATCATGAGTTTAGAAACTATTTGTTGCAGTATCATCACATGCTCTATCTCTGCAATTAGCACTAGAATCAGCATCAGCAGTACAGAAATTGCCACCACTATTTTTTATACCATTACAAAATGAAATTGCATTAGTTCCTCCAGTAGAGTAAGTACAATTTGCTGATTCAGTATAACATTTACCACTAGCGTATACACAATTGGTAGCGTATTTCTTACAATCTTCAATACTTGTTGCTCCTGTAACATTTTCACAAGTTGCTGCAGCACATGCTGTACCAGATCCAAAACATAATAACCCAGTAGTACCTTTTTATTTTGCACAATCACCTACTACATCTGATCCACCATATGAAGTATATGTATTGCATGCTGCAACAGCAACACAAGAATTTCCTGAAAAGTATGTACATGAACCAGAAGTAGGAATTGCACCTTAACAAGCAGCTAATTTATCAGCTGCAGCAGTTATATCTGAAACATCATATCCTGTGCAAGCAGCTAAAACTGAACATGTTGTAACACTAGCTTTTCCTTTGATGTAAGTACATCCAACAGCAGGAGAAGCAGAATTTACTAGATTATTACAATAATTAAGTTTATCAGCCTCAGTTGCACCTGTTGGAGTATAACTTGTGCATGCTGCCTATGGTATATAACAAATTTAAAGTTGAGGTTCATAAGTACATCCTGTTCCAGTCCAATCGCAATCAGCTTATGATTAAGGAGATGCTGTATCTTCACATGAATAAGCTCTGCAAGCTGTTCCTCCAGTGCTCCATGAACATTTAGTTCCATTTTATGAAACTCTGGCTTAACAATATGCTAATTATCCTGGTGACGGAAGAGAACCATATCCAGTACAAGCAGACTGAGAATCAGAACATGTAGTTGCACTTGTAGCAAATGAACATCTGTTTCCAGCTGTATTACTTCTAGCTTAACAAAATTCTAATTATCCTGATGATGGAAGAGAACTCCAGTCAGTGCATGCTGTTGGCATATCCTAACATGCAGTACCACTACTCCATGAACATCTTCCTGCATCTTTTTTTATTTTTGTAAGGCAAAATTCCAACTATCCAGTTGATGGAGTACTCCATCCACTACAAAGAGAAGGGGCATCTTAACATACAGTACCAGTACTCCATGAACATCTTCCTCCATCCTATTTAATTCTTAATTAACAATAAGCTAATTCTCCTGAGGCTGGAAGACTATTATATGATGCACAAGTAGACTGAGCATCTGTACATGTAGTACCGCTAACCCATGAACATCTTTAACCATCTGATCTAATTCTGGCTTAACAAAATTCTAATTATCCTGAGGTTGGAATAGTACTCCAACCAGCACATGTTTTAGGAGCAGCAATACATGCAGAAGTACCTGTATTCCATGAACATTTAACTCCAGTTTTATCAATTTTTGCTTAACATTGTGACAGCAAATCAGAGCCAGTAAGACCTGTATAACCAGCGCAAGTAGCTAAAGAATCTGAGCAAGCAGTAGCACTAGTAACCCATGTACATCTTTATCCTTTCTCATTAATTCTTAATTGACAATAAGCTAATTCAGTTCCAGATGGAAGAGATCCATAACCTGAACATGCACTTTGAGCAACTGCACAATTTGCGCCACTTGTATATGTACAATATTTAGAATCAGGACCAATAAAGACTTAGCAGCTTGTGACTTAAGCATCTCCAGAACCAGTAGGTGCAGCAGCAGTACATGCACCTCTTGCTATACAAGCAGCTCCAGTATCTTTCTTGCATCCTAATATTGTTCTTGCAGCACAATCAGCATCACCTGTGATGCTAGCATCAGCTACAACAGAGCATTTATTAGCTTCACTAGTTGGATCATTACAAGTTGTTTCAGTTAAAACATAAGTACAAGCAAATCCTGATTTAACTCTAAATTTAGAACATGTTAGTTTATTAGCAGCATCATTTGTATCATTGGCTACTGTTCCTGCAGTTAAACCAGTAAATTCAGTACAAGCAGTTTTACCAGCAACACAAGCTCCAGCACCTGCTGAATTATATGAGCAATATTCATCTGCTGTATTATCATACATATTCTAACAAAAGTTTTGCTTAGCAGCTGCATCTGCTCCAACAACGGTATAACTTGCGCATGCAACTCTAGCATAACATGCTCCTGAATAATATTTACAACTTCCAGTTCCTAAATTACAATCTGCTTATGATGTAGGTGATGCAATTGTGTTACAAGCTCCAATAGTTATAGCAGCAGGATCAGTATATGTAGGAATGGATGGAACATAAGTAGTAACAATAACTGCATCAACACAATTAGCTGTTGAAGTCGTTGAAATATATGCACATTGTTTAACAACTCCAGAACCATCATCTGATTTCAAAGCAGAACAATAAGCAGCTTAACCTGATGTAATTCCAGTTAATGAATAACCAGTACATGCTGCTTTAGTTGTAATACATTTACTATTTGTATATTAGCAGTCTCCATCATCTAATCTTTTATTACAATCAGCAGCACTGGTAGGAGAAATGATCTCTTCACAAGTATTTATATTAGAACATACTGTTGTGGTGGCTGAATCATATGAACACTTAGTTGGAGTAGCTGCATTTGTGAACATTGCATTACACCACGCTAGTTTAGCTGAACTTTCTGTTATGGTACCTGGGATTGTGTATGAAGCACAATCAGCAACAGGAGCATAACAATAAGAAGTACCATTTAATTTACATGAAGCTGTTCCATTGTAATTTTCACATGATATATTAGTTAATGTACTCACCCATAGATTGCATGCTCTGGCAGAACATGTACCTGTTACACCTGTACTATAACTACATGTACCAGCTGATAATGTTGTTATTGAATTACAATAAGCTTACTTAGCAGCATCATCAGTACCAGTCAATGCATAACTAGTACAAGCAGATTAACCTTGCATGCAAACAGTATCTCCAAATTTAAATCTACAATCTGCATGATATGATAAACAATCATCATTTGCAGCAATTCCTGTTTTTGAAGCACATGTCGTAGCTTTTGATACACAGGCTTCTAATCTTGTGCATTTATCTGCTCCTGATTTTGCAGTAAATGTTAAACACTTTTCGGTTGTTCCTTAAAATGCTGTACAAGCTGAGGTCTTATCAATACATCCAGTTCCCTTAGTAACACATTAATCTGGTAAAAATGTATTGCAATCTCCATCACTTGAGCTAGTTGTATCATCACTACATTATTTATTTCTGCACTTGCCTCCAACGCCTTGGAAACATGGATTAGCTGAATTACTTCCTTTAAAGTTTAAGCAAGTAGTTGCAGTACCTGTATAAGCTGTGCATGCAGCACTTTTAGCGACACAACTTCCATTTCCATCATATAAACATCCTGTTAAAAATGCTTCACAAGCTGAGTCATCTGCCATGCTAGTAGCTTATGTACATTATTTATCAACACAAGCACCAGAAACACCAGAAGCACCTGTATTCCAACATCTTGTAGTCTTGTTTCCTTTAAATTTATCACATTGTTCTGGAGTACCAGTATAACTTGAACATAGAGCTGTTTCAATAATACAACCAGTTCCCTTTGTCACACAACCTGTTAAATAATTACCACAATCTTGATCATTATCATAAGTGAGATATGAATCGTCACAGGTTCTTGCTTTACAAACAGCAGTATCAGTTGCATTAGTATCGTTTGTGCATTTGGCTTTAAAAGCTTAGCATGCTTATTATGTTCCTTTAAACTAAGCAGCACAATTAGTACCATCAACACATTTTGTACCATTAGTAACACAATTTTCAAGTAATGTATTGCAAGTGTTATCATCTGTGGCAGTAAAATCATCACATCTTGCATTTCTGCATGTACCTGTATCCCATTTACATGGCTTATTGCTAATCTTGACACTTTCACAAATAGACTTAGTCTATAATTAACCACAACTAGTCTTTGAAACACAGATTGAATTCCATCCACAACTAGTTGTTCCTTCACAAGTAATTTATTTAACAGTATCTTAACAAACAGATGTTGATACACATCCTGCTCCAGTAGTTACACATCCACTCTTGTAATCATCACATTATTTATTTGTAGTTAATGATGTTTAAGCTTCAGTACAAACTCTAGCTGCACATTTTCCACTTGTTCCATTTTTACATCTACCATCTGATCCATACCATGAATTACAAGATGTTCCATCATCAGTATAAGAATAGGATGAACATGCAGCTAATGTTGCTACACATCCTTTTCCTGTAGTTTTACAATTTGATTGAATTGCTTCACATTGAGCTTATGTTTTAAAGGTTTCATTACTATCAGCCACACAATCTTTTAAGGCACATTTAGCTGTTGTTGTTGAAGTTCCTTTGCAATTACCATCTGATCCTTTCAATCCAGCACATGTTGTGGTTGTTCCATCATATGAACTACAAGCACTTAATGAATCAACACATTATTTTCCATTTGATTTGCATCCAGTCTTCCAAGTACCACACTCAGCATCAGTTGTTGCAGTTTTTTCACTGCATAATCTAGCTCTGCATTTAGTACCTGTAGCATCTCCAGCACATTCTCCATCTGTACCAATATATCCAATACAAGTTGAAGCATTTCCATCATAAGTTGAACAAGCTCCTCTAGTTGCAATACATCCTTTTCCTGTTGTTACACATCCACCCTAATATGAAGCGCAAGCCTCATTAGTGTTAAGTCCAGTATCTGCACCTGTGCATACTCTTGCTTTGCAAACATTTCCATCGGCATTAAATTCACAATTTCCATCTGATCCCTTCATCTTTGGGCATGTTTCAGAAGTTCCTTAATAACTGGCACATGGTGGCACTAAATCAATACAACCAGCACCTGTTGTTCTACAACCACTTAACCAAGTTGAGCAGGCTGCATCAGTTGTAAGTGATGAATCAGCTTCAATACATTTATAGTCTCTACATGTTTCTCCATCAAGTTTACACTTGTATGGGCTCTTCAAGCTAGGGGTTGTTTCACATTATTCTTTAGTATATCCAACACACTCAAGTGCATTTGTGCATGTTGTTCCATTTGTAATACACATGTAAGATATGGCTTAGCAGTCTGAGTGTGTAGTTTTGACATAAGCTGAACATCCTGTGAAATGTGTGCATTTTCCTTCAACTAAAGCACATCCAAAAGTCTTAGCACAATTTGCTGTCTCTATTGTTGAACAATATGGTGTAAAGGTAACAGGAGGAGGAGCTGTAGATTTGGCACAAGATCCTGCTGTTGTGGCTGTTTTCTCTGTCCAGGTACATCCAAATGCTTTACAATCTTAGGATGATTTGAATTAAGTGCAATCATCACATGTATCGGTTTTAGTCACTGTCACTTGCTTAGTTATTGTAAGCAGAAGACTTATTAATAGCAAATATTTGATTTGCATTTCTTTATTTAGTAAAGTAAATATTTGAGGAACATTTATTAAACTTTTAATAATGTAATAAAAATTAATTTTTAATTTTTCATATATACATCTTAATTATTTAGTTATTGACATTCAGAATTTAATTTAATATTTAATTAACCTCATTAATATTTTTAACTTGTATTATTTATTCTGTTTGTTTTTATTGCCTTTCCCTCAATAGAGTGATCCTTTAGGATGCTCTCTATTTTGGTTATGGATAGGATATTTCCTCATTAAAATGTTGATACCATCAAGTTCAACCATATGTGTGAAATATCACTAATGTGGAGAGAAAAACAAATTTAAACTATTTTCTATATATCAATGTATCAACATTTATCAAGGAAGATGTAGAGATAAACAATAGAATATAAATTAGGGAAAAATTATGCTCTAACAAGAAGGGCTTTTTTAAAATGGAATGTTGAATGATTTATTCTGTATATATTATTAATACTATAAGCATCAAGATCAGGTCTCAATACTATAGGGAAGACTACTCATCTCAGTTTTATATTTTCAATTATTTCTATCTGATTTTTACACCTCTTCTTTAAAATTTAAGGCAAAGGATCTAGCCATAATACTAATACTAGCATTTTCTCTATGATTAGACTTTTACATCTTAAAGTCCTTAAAGAAAGAGCCAATAATCTAGCATTCTAAAATCAGATAGAATTTGGTGTATAAATTGAATTGACAAATGGATTGCTTCATCTTGGCAAGCCATAAGGAACAATTATTTATAATATATTCTTGCTTTATGTGTTAAGTAAGTTATCATTATAAGAACCAAGAATTAATAGTATATAGAAGTTTGAAATTTTCATGAAAAAAAAGATTTTAATTATTTTATTATATCATATTTATAAAGGAGATTATTGTCATTCATCCAGGGAGCAATTTTTTTGTGGAGGTTTCCTGATCGCACTTTAAAATAAGCTCTAAGTATTATTAATAATTGAAATTTATATTAAGTATTGGATTATTGATGAATTTTTCTTAGAATTTAATTGTGTTTGAAAATATTTAATAGAGTTACTTTTCCACTCACTTCTGGTATAATAAAAACCAGGTTAGTAAGGGACATTAAGATATATAAATACTATGTCTATGATTAATTTGAATTCACATTAAGGATTTTCTACAATTTTAAATATTCATTAGAATTTCCATATCTCTATCTTCCATCTTCTTTCGATGATATCAGGTGATGAATATATTATTATATATCAATATTATTAAAGAAATGAGAATCAATTTTTAAATTTATGTAAGGACTTCCAAACCAGATTTTTCTCTTTTTCTACTCTAATATCAAATATATGGATGATAGAAATACTCATAATTGCACCTTTCTTACAATCCATCCTGATGTATGATGTACTTTACATTATTTTATTTTTTTGAATTTGTAATATGGAGCATAATTATGTATAATCATAATATTATCATCACTTCCTAGTGTTCAAATTTTTCAGCTTTTTTGAATATCGAATTATTGTCAATCATTAGGTTGACATCAATTATATTATTTATATTATTTTTTACAAAATATCTTATTTCAAAATTTGTTATACTTTGTTCTAATCAATTTATTATAACCAATCGGTTCATTATTGTAGAAATAGATACAAAAATGAAAAAAGGGATAAATGGATCTGATATAAACAAAATCAAGTTTTAGAACCGATAATAATAAACCATAATTAAAAAGGCGAAAGATATCACCTAACAAGCTGTCTAAAATCCACACAAGAATTAACAAAAAAATGATTTGATTTCTAAATTTATATATCAATTTATATGAGTGAGTTATAGATCAAAGCATAAAATATAGTATTCCCATTTTAATTCTGATAATATACATATTTTTGTGACATAAAATATTTAAAATTTACACACTTAGACATTTTATAAGAGACATAAATATTGATAATAATAGTAGTTTTATATAAATTATTTATATATATTAGAACACAAGAGAAGTTTTAGATAAATTCAATTTTCTTTAGTCTTCATAAATTTCTTAATAAATAGTTTAATGGTAAAGATAGTTTACTTTACACCTAATATAATTGAACTTATAAGCAATATTCCGATATGAGCAAATCCTACAGTTGTCATAATATCTGGATTTATATACTCTCTGAAGGCTTTAAAGTAGATTATCGAAGTCAATATAAAAATGGATACCGATCCTTCGATAAGGATTGATAAAATTTTACCAAATTGATCAACTTGTTTGTACTTATAAATAAAAAAGCACTAGCTAAAACTACCAATATAGAGCAACAATGTTTATAAAACTTGGTTGCTTTAAAATAAAATTAAGACAACACTAAAGAGAATTGTTCTACAAAGTTCTAAAGTCACAAATATTTGATCAAATCTTTAGGCTTTGCTTATTAATTTATTAGGTCTGCAAGATTAAAAACAATCAATAAGAACAGCGAAATACGTTGTTATGATTACTAAACTCATTGTAGACTCAATGATATTTCTAAGAGTTTCATCCTTTTTACTATTCAAATACAATACAGATTTGAATAGCAAATCCCAAGAATTTAATAACAGAAGCAATTTTATCTATTTCAAACCAAAATAGTATTTTTAGATCTACAACAATTTGATTCCCTTCCTAATGGTTTTTAAGATTTTGCATATTATAATTGAATATAATTTGTTCTTGTTTGATAGGGTCGATGTCAACCATTGATTGGACATTATATATACAAATAATATATTCAACACTTTTCCAGAAAACATTACCAATACAATTCCAAATGCTTGGAATATTTAGGGACAAATGTTAATGATGATACTTGGTTCTAATTCATAATAAAGAAACTTTCCATTAAGTTGAATAAATTCATCCTTTTTTAAGATAGGTTCAATTAATTAATCAACGTTGAAAACCTACAAATAAGGACCAACTGATATCATTTCAGAAGCCTAAAAATATATTAATAAGTTCTCTGGATATTCCTAATTCACAAACTTAAGAAATGACTGATACTATATGATATTGAGTAATTCCATAACAAATGTAGATTCCCCAGAAATTAATGAAAGTGCACCCAGCGAGATTGATGCTATTACAACAGCTTTGCTTGTCAACTGCATTTAAGCAGTTGTTTGTTTCTGATTCTATTCTAAAATGATTGCTTTGTCTAATTTTAATTTGTAATTAATCGTTGTAATATTCTATTAATTTTGATTAAGGATTTCTTGTTAAAGTATAACAATTAAAGTCGGCGAGAATTTTATTGGATTGAATACTTCAATCTCAATTAAGTACTCAACCCATACTACTTAATCTTAATTTTTAAACCCCTAATTTTCGAAAGGAGAACATTAAACATTGTATTAATCTTCACTTATTTCTTGAAAATATATGTTGAATATATCTTGGCATTCAGTAAAAGCACAACGTACTTCCTAATCAAACTGAATTAGCAACTTATATTTTTCCTTCTGCAATCCTACGCTCTTCAAGGCTAACTTAGGACTCTCAGAGAACACACATTCAGAATCCTTACAAATCCAACTACTTTGTTAATTTCCTAACATAGATTCGAAGTTCTCCTCCATTTCTGATATATTGCATTATTGTATATATAAAAAATATCCAGATATGCATTTAGTGCAAATCCCTTATTTACAAAAATCGGAGTGGCAATTATTGATGCATTAAAATTTGCATTCAAAACATCCATCATACTCGATTTCATTGCCATCATCACATTCTTTATTATAACTCACTATTAGTTTACCACACTATTGAAGACAAATACCATCAACGACAATCTTATCATCTGGGCAAGCGAAGGTACAGATGCCTTAATAGCATTCTAAGCAATTCTGACTGCATTAATATTGGCAATTAAAACAACCGTCATACATAATCTTATTGCCATCATCGCATTATTCGTATTCCGGAATTACAATACTATCTCCACATTTAGCTACACAGATGTCATTCTCATTTGTATATCCCTTTTCACATTTGTAACAATGTACTTAATTGCATTTTAAACAATTATGTACACATTCAAATTTGCATTGATCACATCCATCACCTTGAGAATCATTGAAATCATCGCACTCCTCCTTGTATGGTATCGCTAAGCCATCTCCGCAAAAAGGTTTACAAATTGTAGAATCCAGAATAAATCCAATTTAACAAATCAAGCAAATGCCATATTCACATTTTGAACAGTTTTCATCACAACTAAATTGACATTAGAAACAACCGTCATATTAAAACTCATTGCCGTCATCGCAAACTTCTCCAATTTACACTATCTTATCTCCACATACTTATTCTTTTTAAGAATATTCAACAACTCCATTTTAAAGACATTCATAATTAAAAATGTAACTTCCTTTTAAGCATAAACTACATATCCCCAAATTGCAGAATAAGCAATTTTAATCACAAGGTTCATAATTGTCAGTTTTAGAGTCTTACTCTATTTATTCCTCACTCTATTATTAATTCACTCTAAGTCTCTAGCAACTCTCGTCATAAACATAGAATTTATCATCAACAAATATTTGATTATTGAGCAATTCGCAACGATGTTCATTTACATTGAAAACTGAATCCAATATTGTATTTTCATCATAGATTTTAACATATTAGATGAAATCACTTGCTTAACAGAGCTGAATAATAGAATTTAGTATAAAACCATTCTTACATTATTCACAAAATCCATTTAGACATTTATTGCAATTTAAATCACATAATTATTATTATTACTATTCATTTTATTCTAAACTTTCATGTTAATCTTAATCAAATTCTGCATTAAATATTTCCAATTCTGAAGGTGTTTAAATTTCCTTACACAATCCATTAATAAATAAGGAGTGTTGTTTGCATTCTAAACACATCCCCTGCTCACATTTAAGACAATTACCACTTAATTCCACTTAACAAATAAGATAATTGTATTCTTCTTCATTCATAACTATTTATTTATATTCCCTCCAGACTTGGCATGATTTCTTCATCAGATCATACTAATAACCAAGTTCACATTCAAGACAGAGATCCTTGAAGAAATAATTACATCTATAAGGCTATTGGTAAATACAATATAAACAATTTTCGTCTTAAGTTTCACATTCTTCCTCCTCAGTAAGAATACCATCTCCACATGAAGAAACACAGATCCCATTATCATCCAACTGATAACCTTGATTACATTATTATTAAATTAATTGGAATGAATATGAAGGTAGTTTACATCTATTTTCAAATATATCGAAATATGCATAATCATAGCATACATAACAGAAATTCCCAATGCTTATTTGGCAATATTTTAATTCATCTAATAATATCGAAGATTGTCTGCATTCTTACTTATTGGGTGTTAATTCATAACCTTATTGGCAAAGATAACATGTTTAGAATTTGCAAACTTAGCATTTATGATGACATTAAAATATGTTCTTAACATAAGATCTACTAAAATAGATTAGGTCACTAAATAGTAAACATGCTTATTAATCTATTTTCATATTTAACCCTATAACGGATAAGCATTTGGATATGGACAAATCGTAGTCCTCGTCATTTTCATATAAATAACAAACTCCATTGATGCAGCTGAGACATAATTTAACACAGCTAAACCTACAGAAATGACAACCGTCTCCATAAATTAAGTTTCCGTCATCGCATTCTTCAGCCTCAGTAACTATTAAGTCTCCACAGATAGAATGACACACGTTATTCAAATTAACATATCCAAGTTAACATTATAAACAACCCTTCCCGTTAGTATCGCAATTTTCACAAATACTTTAACACTTAGGTTTACAGCTCTGGCAGCCTTTATAAGGTAATATTAGTCCTGTTTCACATATTTCACCAACTACTTTACGACTGTCACCACAAATAGGTTAACATATTTTCACATTTGATCGGGTATATCCAACTGCACAAGCCTCACAAGAACTATTGCAATAGTTGCTATTATCAGTATTACCATCGTCACAATACTCCGGGTAAAATCCATAAAGACCATCGACAATCAATCCATCTCCACAAATATTTCTGCAATAATATTGATAGGGTTCATAACCTGGTTATTCACAACTTAAACATGTACCAGTCGTGTAATTGCAAGATGAACAACCCTTTCTACAAAAGAATCTGCAATTATGGCATCCATCTGTATCAGTTGTATTAAGGTCTTCACATTATTCAGTACCTATTATTAATCCATCACCACATTATTCTTTACATTTCCAATTAGATGTATCAGTGTACCATCCTAAGGTTGAACATTCATAACACTTCCCCAAAATACATTTAGTACAAGCAGTCTAACATTAATATTTACAATTATAACATCCATCATATTATATTGTATTGCCATCTTCGCATTCTTCGTCACCTGTAATTATTCCATCTCCGCAAATATCTGGACAAGGTAATGTAGTTGCTTCATTACAAGTCAAGCAATGTATTGGACATTAAAATTAGCAATTATAACACAAATCATCTAATGTATTATTACCATCTTCACATTCTTCATAAAGCTATAATTAATTGTCTCCACATTTGGGTTAGCAATTATTTTGGACTAATTCTTAGTCACTATCACAAGCACTACAAATAGTTGTATGCCATACTTTTTGATTGTTATTGCATTGATTATAACATTGACTTAATTAATTATCCTCTAAATTAGGACAATCTAAAATAAGATTAAAGATTACCTTCGCAAATATTATTCAATTCATAATACCCTGGTTGACATTCACATTTCAATCCTCTCAACACTCTCTTTTAAACAGAATTACAAGTCAAACATCCACTTATTGAAATTTTAAAACAAGTCAAACAGGTTTAATGACAGGCTGCACATGTTTTAAGTGAATCTTGATACGCTGTACCAGCTTTACATTTGCATGTAGAATCAACTTTCTCAATATTGTTGATATTCTAACACTCGATACATTGTGAATATCCTGAACAAGTTTTACAAAAGTAATGGCATCTCTAACATTAAGGATTTGTGGGTATTGAGTAATATCCATCTAGACATACACATTATCCATTCATTAGAGTTCGATATTTTTAGAATGAACAATTAACACAGAATGATGAATTTAGACATTATTCACATTGTTATGGGCAATTCATACACTAATTGGCCTCATCATATTAATTTGTCTAACACACACATCCTAATTTAGTCAAAATGAAAGTAGGTTTACATGTTAGACAATAATATGATGATTAACATGTTAAACAAGAAGAAGGACAACTTTTACATTTTAATTCAAATTTATCATAGTATTATTCACTCTAACACTCAGTCTAAGATAACTGAATTTAAACTTGATCATATTATTCCCATTCTAGACATGTATCTTAATCAGTACATTATAAACAATAGGGTTAACAATAATGTACTACAATGAAATAATTATAGAATCCACAATATGCATTGATTGGTTCATTGTTTACTCCATAGCATTCCCATTTTACTGTTAATTCATCTTATGTATGGACAAATGTATTTTTTATGAAAAATGGACTACTTCCTTACCTAGAATTTGAAATAGGTGCATTATCATCAACAGTATAAATAAATCTGCTATCTGAAGGAAAATTAGGACCGAAGACAATTCTAAAGGAAATAGTAATTCTATGGTGTGGTTTATTGCTAATTTAATGAATTCTCTAAAATACAGCCTAACTCCAAACATATTACCCACCAAATATTCTAATGCTATTATAAGTAGAATAATGGATATATTCACCTTTTAAAAAGTTAACTCCCTCTTAGGAGAGTAATTTGTATTCAGGATATTAATCTTGATCATTAGCTAAATCATAAAAGTCTTTTATCAAATATTTTGAATCTATAAATAAAATAAGATTAATTACAAGGAATTTCGTCTTCATATTCCTAACAATAGTCTCCTACGACTTTTTAAGTGAAAGAAGAACAAGAATAAATACAATTACCATCCTTATTCACAAAATAGCCAGAATAACATTTTTTACATTAATAAGGTACATCACACATCTGACAATTCCTTGGGCAAAGTCCCTTTGTAAATTAGAGAGACATTAAACCCCATCCTGATGAACCACTTAGATAAATTATAATTTTACGTGAGATTTCCAATTGCTGAAAAGTAGAATGGATATTAGAGCATATCAACAAACATATAGAGATCAAGAGTGGTCATCATGTATGAGTTGAAAGAATATTGGCTCTAGCTACCTATGCTAATTCTGTGTGTTTGGATCCCTTAAGAATCTTTGTAAATAGAACTATAGTAAGTGTTATTAATCATAAATCTTATTCCTGTCCCAAGCTATAAATTATCGAATAACTATAATTATATTCTAAGTCCATAACCATAGGTGGATGTTGATGAGGATGCGGTTATTTCATTAATGTATCTACCTATTCCAGAATTATATCTAAAGATGCCGTAGGCATAATTATTTGAACCTGTATAAGTATATTGTGGATATGTGCTTATATGCAGGGGATCGTAGAGTTATTGCCATTTTAACATACTAACTTCTCCTATATAATAATCGAATAAGATTAATGAATAATCTAAAATATATGATTCAAATTACAATCAAATGCCTAACAAAATCCATTTGAAAATTTAGAATTCTCAAATTTACAATTAATTTTGCACCCTGAGTTTTTTTCATAATATAAGTTATTTGGACATTGCGGACATTTATTATTTGCTGGTACTCCATAAAAACAAGATAAACACTAGTTTTGCTCTGGCCCTATACATGCTGAACATGAGGGGTAGCATATTATTGAACTTTTTCTTGATGTGATAATCATATTGATTGAAACAGATCCTGCATTTTTGGTAGACAAACTGAATTTCATTTACCCAGATTAATAGCTTGGTATAGTGAAATTAACTGTCTTTACGTCGGTTTAAAGGGAGTCACAAAACCCTTATGTAATTGGGTATATATCAGGGGAAGTATATGAAAATTTATTTTAAAAGGATCCAACTTCAAAAACTACTTCATCATTAACCCACTTACCTCCAAAGTATAAATCAAAAGATATGAAATATCCACTATTGAATGAATAAGTACTGTATTATCTGATTCCTTTGAAAGATTGATTCAAAGTGATAAAACTACGCTAAGGTTATTGACAAGTAATAAAATTTGCTGTAGTATATGAGGTTGCTTCACAAAAGTATTCTGTGTAATAATTATAGCAATAGGATGATTTTTGGTATATCTGTTGAGAGGTGAGAAAATAATTTGCAATGACCCATTAAGACTTGGCAAAGGATATGATTAAAATTATAATCATGAACATAAATAAAATATTAATTAAATCATTTGCAATTACAGGTGCCTATTTTGTGTAATTAGATTCTGTCTTCTGATAGTCTTAAATTTTCTACTGTTATAAATCTGAAATAATTTTCATTCTCAAAAGCATACAAAAATGTAGTTTTTTTGTCTATCTAACAAAAAGAAGTTATTTAAGCAGTTAGATATATTTCATGGACTTTAATAAAATGAATTTAGTTAAAAAGACTTATTAAATACACTATCGTGGGAATCTATGAATAAGAATTTTAATTTATCTTAAAAAATCATTAGTAAAACAAATTCACTATTAAATACAATTTTGCACTTTTTTTCATATTGTCTNTAAATCTTATTCCTGTCCCAAGCTATAAATTATCGAATAACTATAATTATATTCTAAGTCCATAACCATAGGTGGATGTTGATGAGGATGCGGTTATTTCATTAATGTATCTACCTATTCCAGAATTATATCTAAAGATGCCGTAGGCATAATTATTTGAACCTGTATAAGTATATTGTGGATATGTGCTTATATGCAGGGGATCGTAGAGTTATTGCCATTTTAACATACTAACTTCTCCTATATAATAATCGAATAAGATTAATGAATAATCTAAAATATATGATTCAAATTACAATCAAATGCCTAACAAAATCCATTTGAAAATTTAGAATTCTCAAATTTACAATTAATTTTGCACCCTGAGTTTTTTTCATAATATAAGTTATTTGGACATTGCGGACATTTATTATTTGCTGGTACTCCATAAAAACAAGATAAACACTAGTTTTGCTCTGGCCCTATACATGCTGAACATGAGGGGTAGCATATTATTGAACTTTTTCTTGATGTGATAATCATATTGATTGAAACAGATCCTGCATTTTTGGTAGACAAACTGAATTTCATTTACCCAGATTAATAGCTTGGTATAGTGAAATTAACTGTCTTTACGTCGGTTTAAAGGGAGTCACAAAACCCTTATGTAATTGGGTATATATCAGGGGAAGTATATGAAAATTTATTTTAAAAGGATCCAACTTCAAAAACTACTTCATCATTAACCCACTTACCTCCAAAGTATAAATCAAAAGATATGAAATATCCACTATTGAATGAATAAGTACTGTATTATCTGATTCCTTTGAAAGATTGATTCAAAGTGATAAAACTACGCTAAGGTTATTGACAAGTAATAAAATTTGCTGTAGTATATGAGGTTGCTTCACAAAAGTATTCTGTGTAATAATTATAGCAATAGGATGATTTTTGGTATATCTGTTGAGAGGTGAGAAAATAATTTGCAATGACCCATTAAGACTTGGCAAAGGATATGATTAAAATTATAATCATGAACATAAATAAAATATTAATTAAATCATTTGCAATTACAGGTGCCTATTTTGTGTAATTAGATTCTGTCTTCTGATAGTCTTAAATTTTCTACTGTTATAAATCTGAAATAATTTTCATTCTCAAAAGCATACAAAAATGTAGTTTTTTTGTCTATCTAACAAAAAGAAGTTATTTAAGCAGTTAGATATATTTCATGGACTTTAATAAAATGAATTTAGTTAAAAAGACTTATTAAATACACTATCGTGGGAATCTATGAATAAGAATTTTAATTTATCTTAAAAAATCATTAGTAAAACAAATTCACTATTAAATACAATTTTGCACTTTTTTTCATATTGTCTGTGATGTTAATTAAGAATATATTGTCATTTATTCATTATGAATATATAGGATAGAGATTATGTAAATTGATTAACAATAATTATTTATTACCATAGATATTCACTGTTTTTGCTTAAAATCACAAGAATATTAATATTTATTTTTTCCTTTTAAAAATATGATTATTAGATAACAAAATTTAACAACATAATTATTTTTATAAATTATACAAATATGAGTGATTAATATTAGAAGGCTGAAAGTCAGGAAAATTCTAGTTAGTTATCTTCTTAGGATGAATAACAGTAGAAAACCATAAAGCCAGCTGAATTGGTAGCTCTTCCAAAAGTTTATGCACAATCCCTCAATAATGAATAACCATCAACAAGAGAAGAAAGGAAAATGAAATAATATTTACAACGCATCTAAGAATAAGAGCGTTTAGAGGACGTATGTTTCTTTTAAATTTAGATTTACAAAGGCTGCCACTTTAAAAAAGAAGCGCACAAAAGTAATATATCTTATATATATTATATTTTAGCCAAACCCGCCATAAAAATAACAGGATAATTTAGAATTGCCAATAAGTGCAGAAAATGGTGAAAACGTAGAGGATGAAGGAATGTAAAATATATCCTTTTTTTTATTAGTTTATTGAACCCTCCAGCAATTTAATTAAATCCATAGGTATTATAAACAGAATAATAATCTGAAATCTAAACTCAACAATTAAAGATGAGATTGAACCCTAAGTTAAAAATAAAGGTATTCTTCACAATTTAGAATAGGAAAAACATCATGTGTACATTTATTTAGCAAATTGTCAAGATCAAAGCTTAGAGAATGTTTAAGAATTAACATCCAAAGCAACTCAATTTTATTCACCTTAAAAACAACTGAAAGAACAATCAAGTCTAAATCAAATAAATCAAGAAATATTTTAGGAAACCACTATCATAATTAAAAATATCAAAAACTAATATTAATAATACATTGATTAAACCTCAAATGGGAATTCCAATGATCAAAAGGACTTTGTGATCAAATATTTAGATAAGAAGTACATAGAATCTGTGCTGAGAGAAAGTAAAATGCAAATATAAAGGAAATAAACAAATGATAAGTAATTATAAAATGGAAAACAGATGCAAAAAAAATATTGATACTTATAAATACAATCAAGAATTAAAGAAATCAGGTTTCTCATTTCTATTTGTCGATTATAACTTTCTTTTTTCTTCTAAAACACAAGTGATGATCTTATTCAATTTTGAATTGGATATTAAACATTTCTCATCTATTTTTGAAAATATTAATAAAAGTTCCTTAATCTCTGATATCTAATAAATCTTCTTAATTAATTCAAGGGACTTTACCGATCTTATCAAAATCTCTTTCAGAATATGAATAGTCTCTTCAGTAGATAATAATTCTGGTTACATGAGTTCTAAAACATTAAAGCATTTTTTCTTTTCAAAATCATCATCAGATTATTGAATAATAGTTTTCATGTTAATTGATTCGCCCGTAGCAGCTGACCATCTTACACCAGTAGTAAATTCTTCACTAGTTCTTTTAGTAATAATTCTATCTTCTTTCAATTTATTATTTTCATTAATCAGTTTTTAGTTTAAATGGTTTAATGAGAAATTGTCATTTTATAATTTTTGAATTTTCTAATGATAATAAAGAATTAAATACATTTTATAAGATTTCATATTATTTTATTTTTTCAGCAAAGACCACTTTTAAATCTACGAATTCTTGTTGATAGTTTTTGTATTCATTAATCAATTAGCTTAATTGTTGATGATTCATATTTGGTTGTAAATATTAACTGATGACTCTACTTTATTCTAAACTTCTGCTTTTTGGCGATTATCTAAAATCTTTTTGATTTGATCCTTATGAAATTAATTTTTATTGCAATTGAATAATTCTAGTGCTCAACTCATTATTCTTGTCTTAAATAATTTTATTTTATTCAATATATTGTTTGATTTCAACATTTTTGAACTATACTTTTTTTTTTAATTTTTCTTATTCATCTTTTAATTCTAATATTGACCTTTCATTATCTTTTTAAGTTTATTACATCATTTTGATTTAAGAAAATAATTCAATATTTTTTTTATCTTTTTCTTTAATACTTTACACCTAGAATTTGTAATTACTCTATTAAATAAATAAAATAATATACTTTTGAAAAGGAGTCTTCTTTCAACTATTGTATTTACTTCTCGTATTCTTATTTTTTTTCAACCAATTCCGTAATTTGACTTTAAAATTGTTGTCTCATTAAATGGATATCACCATATACCTCATTTGTATCAGATTAAGTAGAATTACAACAACTTTTTAACTTTTAAAAATCCATAGATTATTTAGATAATTCTCTGTTTTTGGTTGAAGATATCTACAATTTATACTGTTAATTTTCCTAGATTAGATTGTAATTAATTTTTTTGATTTTCTCAAATTCTTCGATTAAATTTTTCTCCTATTCCTACGATTAATTAAATATTAAGGATATCTTTCTTTATAGTGATTTATTTTCTTCTGAAGCCTATGTTTTTTATTCTTTATACTATTCAATTTGATCTGTTAATTCTTTAATCATATCATCTTACTATTCTAATGCTATGTCAATTTATTCTCTTTATCTTGATAATAATAAGGTGACAATCTCACGAATTTATGTTGCCAAATCATTTTCCATTTCCAGAATACTTTACTCATTTTCTAATGAACATTCCTTTAGAATGTTTTTTAATTCCTGTTTCCCAGCTAAGCAAAGTTAACATTTTGTATTGACTTCGAAAACACTAGATCTTTTAATTTCTTTCATTTTGATTTCAGATAGCATATTTTAATCTTGTTATTCATTTTTTATTAGAGTTGTTAGATTTGATATTTACAATTCTTGATTTTCTATAGTTTTTTCTTTGCTATGAAGAATTTTATACATTTTTTCGATTTCTTGCTATAAAGTTTGATCTTATGATTATAGTTAGGCTATTTCATTTTTTAATTCACTTATTATTTAATCTTTTTATTTGATAGTATTCTATAAAGAATCAATTTTTTTGGATTCTGATGATTCATTTTTGGTAGTCAATACATCAATGTTTGAGAAATTTTTTGACTTTTATTCAATCTCAATGAACTTATGCGAGAAATTATCATCATTTACTTTGGCTTATTGCTTAAAATTCAATGAGTTTTCATTAGAAAATTCAATACTAATACCAGCTACTTAAGGGAAAATATTTTTGCCATTTCCAGGAGCAACATTGTATTTGGACCAATCAATTAATTTATTGATTTTCTTTGGAGTCATTGATTCCATAATTGAATTGGAAGCTTGCATTTAAGGTTGAACATCTTCTTGTTTTGCTTTTGTTGCAAATTTGAATGATTATTTATTGGGTGTTCCATCCGATATATCGCTATAAGAAGTGATTGTAATATCAGGGTTCTAGGATTATTGAGGTTAATTGGATTTTTGGAATAACAATTTATCCAAGTCTGTATTGGTATTCATATTGAATGTTGAGAGAGGGAAAATTCAAAATTATAATTAATGTTTATTTGAGTAATTCATTTTCTTCTTTATTTTAAGGAGGACACTCTTTTATGAAGCATTTAATCTGTAGAGACATTGGATAATAACTGATGGTAATCTAGATCTTTTTATCCATTAGGCAAGGTATTTTGTCTATCACCAAAGAAATTATTTTGAGAAATGATTCTCTTCAATCCTTAAACTTTGGATTGAGCTGGACTTTGAATAGTACTGACTTATTAAACATTGGATATAGAGGATTACCTAAAGTTAAATTGAATTTTACTAAGATTTAATTCGTTTTTGAAGAGATTAAAATTATTCTGGAGTGAGTTTCTATTATTTGTTATTGTGAGTTTAAGGAGATTCTGGTTTAGATGGAAGTTCTTTTGGTTCTGTACTTTTTCTTTGTGATTTAAATTTAGTATTGAGTGCCAATTATTATTAAGCGATCATCATGAAATGTTATTTGAATATTTTTGTTTGTTCCTATTTCATTTATTTCTGTTCCTAAGAGTCAAAGTAAAATGCTTTAAATATTCTAATTTCTTATTGTAAGCCAGTCTTGCCTAATAACTTTTCTCTAGTTTCTAACTCTCCTTTCATCAAATCATTCGAATCGTAATTAAATTTGAATTGATTTGGCTTAAATGGTGGAGGTACTTGTTTTTATAACATTGCAACAAGATCCACATCCTTAAACCAAGAATGAGTCAGTAATTCTGTTAATCCCTTATTTGCTCCCAATCTCTCTGAGGGTTATTTGCATAATAAACCTTGTAATAGATTCTATTTAAAAACTGAATTTACCTTAATGTCAGATGATAAATTTAATTTCTCAGGGAAGGTCAATTCTTCATTAAGTATTGATTCATAGATCTCATCAGTATCTCTAGAATAATATGGAGGCAATCCAGTGACTAATTCATATAACAATGCTCCTAGACAATAATGATCCACTTAAACATTATGTCCTACTTTCAACAACATTTCAGGAGCCATATATTCAGGTGAACCACAAAAACTGTATGCATAATCATCTTCAGTCATATTAGGTTTGGACAATCCAAAATCTGCTATTCTAATATGACCATCTAAATCTATCAAAATGTTCTCTGGTTTGATATCTCTATACACTACGGATAATGAATGCAGATAGAACATAGCTAAACAAATCTCAGTAAAGTAAAATCTTGCTTAATCTTCTGTCATTCTTTTTACTTGTCTTAATTACCAAAACAACTCTCCTCCACTACAAAATTCTAAGACAAATACTATAAAATTCTTAGATTCAAATGCGCATTCTAATTTAATAATAAAAGGATGATCAAGTACTGTCATAATATCTCTTTCATTTTAAACAATGCCTATACAATTTATGCTAATCATACCTTATTTCTTATGTTGCAAAATGAATTCCTTATCTATTAGTTTCATCGCATAGAATCTCCCATTAGATTTCTTCTTCACCATGTAGACTCTTGAAAATCCACCCACTCCAATACATTTCACAAAAATGAAGTCTTTTAATGTTATCTTACTCTATTATGGAGTCCCATAAAATGGTTATAAATTCAAAGTTTATCCACTAAAGATCTCTAAACTTTTATTAGGTTATTGTAAATAATAATCGACTGGAAGGTTCTTATCGACAGTCTGAAATGAAACTATCTCCAGATCTGAAAATTCATTCCCAGTACCACATGTTACTTTTCTCTCATCTGGTTAAGAGCCTGTAGAGGAATATTAATGTATTGAATGCTTTTTTACTTCCTGTTTCAAAAATTCTTCTAAATACCCTGTAGTTTTTGATGATTCAATGTTAAATTTAATTTATTGGTTCTCATGATTTACTATTATTGTAAGGCCTGTATTAACAAAGCTTAATTTGCTAGATGTTTATGATTTTTATGGTTGACTTGTACCAGAATTAATTCGTTTACTTTCCTTTTATTAACTCATCACATCTGACATGTTTGCTTTTTTATTACCTGATGACTATTTATGACTTGTCATCAATTTTAGTAACTCTTGCTAATACTATTTTATGTTATTCCCTTTTTTTTATCCCATGCTCTAATTTGTTTTTTAATTCGGACTTAAAGATTGTCCAATTAATCCATTAGGATTAAATGATTGGCTTAACTGTTTAGAAGATTTTGTAGTAGATCTAATTATTATTAAATACTTACGTTTTTAATATACTCTATGATACTATCTCATGTAATTTCTTCTATTTTGAGAGCATAATCAAATTTAAATATATATATTATAATATATATAATACTATTCACAATTTACCCATCACTGATTGTAAAATCTCCATTCCATGTAAATCCCTTAATTTTTGCAAATTACTTTAATCCTTCGTTAGTTTTGCCAAAAGAATAGCTGAATTTTTTCTAGAATTTCCAGTTTTATCTTTTACAAAACTCAACAATCTAGGAATGGTTTCGTTGAAAAATGAACAAGCATTAACCTCTCCATTAATTGGAGATAATAAATCAATTATCTATCCAATTACGTTGCAACAATTACAATAGTTTATCTCATTATCACAGTGCAATTGTAATTTTAATTCTTCCAGCAATTCAAATAGCTTTATTTACTTTGATTTTAATTGATTAATAACTGCAGGAGATTTTCCTGATAGCCATTGAAGTAAACATCGAATTGATGAATTGCTATATTTTTTTATAAATTTTGTGATTATAAAAATGTTGTCTTCATAATTGACTTTGGTCAATACAGTTAAGACTCTGTCTATAATTAATCCATCTGGTTATGACTCTAAATACTCGATTAAAGTTGGAATTAAATTTGGGATTTTACTTACATATTCAGTTTGCATTTAATTAATTTGAAATGTTAAATTAACCAAAATAGCAATTCCATTTTCTTTTAAAGAATTGTAATCATTATCCTTAAATTAGATAGCTTTGATAAATTTGAAATAAGACTGAAAAAAACTTAAATTTAACTCTTTTGATAAGAAATACAACCTAAATTTATCCTCAGTCAACAAATTGGACAATAGATTACATAGCTAATTCATCATTCTAAGGTTTGATTATTTAATTTCTACTTTTTCAAATAGCTCAATAACTATAGCAATGATTTCATTTCTATTTTAAAAAAGTATATTTTTAAAGGGTGTATTCTACCCATAACACAAATTACTGCAAAAACTTAAAAATGTAGCAACCATATCCCTTTCAGTCTTATACAAAGAAAGAATTCTATGAAATAATTCAGGGTATAGTTTGGTTTTTATTACATCATGCTATTGTATAATAGATCTGGGTTTTTCCTCGCCCATCAAATTTAAAACATCGAGATAATCTCCTATTGTATCATATATAGCAGATTAGGTTTTAGTGCCTACCTGAATCAACAAAAATCGAATTTTTTCATAAATAACTTCAATTCCATTATATTAAATTAGTAATTATTCTTAATATAACAGACTTTTTTCTTGATAGATTTATAATATCAATGCAGGTAAACTTGCCAAAATCTAATGATCATAAGAATTAATACATTTTATAAATCGTGTAATTTTTCATCATTTTTAGATATTATTGTTAAAAGTTGTTTCAACCCATTTTTCTCATAAAAGTAGGCAGTGGCTTCACTTGAATCAACTTTTAACACCTTAAATAATGATAAAAGTTCGATATCTTCTTCTCCAACAAACTTATCAATTAATTATTTGTATGTAAGATTTTCTTCAATAACTGTATTTTTATCTTTAAATTTATGTAAATCATTAGCATTTTGTTGTTAATCTTAATTATTTTATATTGGCTCTTCTAAATCCTTCTCATTACTTTCATTCTGTTTCAGTCTTTCATAATGATCAATTTTGGCTTCTATTTCCTTTTTAAGGTTTTAAACCCACTTATCATCTGGTATAAGCTCTAAAGCTTGATTAATATCGTTAAGTGCTTCGAATAAGCAATCTCTATTATAATATGCCAATGCTCTCCGTGCAAATGCTTTGCAGCAAGTCTCTCTGCTCTAAGTAAACCCATTCTCGAAGCACTCAGCATACTGTATGACCTTTGTACAATCATTGATAGCCTTCTTATTTTTATTTGATTTTATATATGTAATTGCTCTATTCAACCATAAAGTCTAATTATCTTTTACTAGTTCTAGTGCTTAAGAATAGTTCCAAGCTGCTTAATCAAAATCTCCTTTACTGTAATACTCGTTTCCTTTTTTTTTCAATACTTCTGCTTTCTTCATGTCCTCTTCCTTTCTTTTGTTTCTTTCCTCCATATCTAATTAAAGCGCCTTGAAATTTGGATCATCTTTTGGTACGATAGGCTCAGATTCTATTTCTTCCTCTGAGCTAGTATAATACTCCCATTTTCTATGTGTAAATGTACTCTTTTTCCATAAAATTTTCTCTGTTTTCTCCATAAGTTCAAATTTCTGTTTTTTTTATTGCTTTCTACTCTTGTCTTCTTTATATTTTTCAACCTTTTCTAATAATTAATTGAAGCGTTCTATATTAATCATTGATTTTACATTCCTAGGTCAAAGTATCTCTTTTACACCAATAACATTTATCTGTCTATTTAACGTACTCTAAATAACAATATTTGCAAAAACTAGCATAATCTTTATTTTATCCTTTTCCTTTCCTGCCTTTTTGCTCTTCTTCCTCTTTCTACAACTATAACTATCTGCGAGCTTCTTCTTTTTTTTTTTCTTAATCCATTCGTTTTTGTCTTATCCTCGTTATTTCTTCATCGTCATCCTTAACATTTGGCTTTGAATTACAATAACCAATACCTAGTCGCTCGACAATTTTTTTATCTTCTCATGAACCAATTCTACTTCTGCAAGCCATGCTTCCATTTCTTCAGGATCTAATTGATTCTCGAACATAGGTTGTTACATTTTGTATTATGTATTTAATTTTACTTATAAACTACATATATAAAAACCAAAAATTCATCAATTATAAATAAATTGTTGTTCTTAATCATTAGTTTATGAAAAGAAATAATTAGATAATCGTTTTCCAAATTATATGAAAATCAAAAATATAAATGTTGATGATTAATTCAGGATTTTAAACACTTATATGAATGCTTGGTTCACTTTTTAATATGATTATTTTAGAATATGAATTATTAGCAAGTTAAAGGAATCAACAACACCCTTCTACAAAAAATAATATTTAACCAAGTCATAAATAATTGAAATCTTTTAAATTATGTATTTTTCTAAAATATTCTATAAATAATATTATATTTTATTGAATAAATGATGTTTAGTAGACTCATGCTAGTTATGCAGCATTAACTTTATTGCAAGTATCTTCTAATAAAGCTAAGAGTGTTTCTTCAGTTGATTCTCTAGATAATGATAATAAAAAGAATTTTAATAATAATATTATATTTTATTGAATAAATGATGTTTAATAGACTCATGCTAGTTATGCAGCATTAACTTTATTGCAAGTATCTTCTAATAAAGCTAAGAGTGTTTCTTCAGTTGATTCTCTAGATAATGATAATAAAAAGAATTTTAATAATAATATTATATTTTATTGAATAAATGATGTTTAATAGACTCATGCTAGTTATGCAGCATTAACTTTATTGCAAGTATCTTCTAATAAAGCTAAGAGTGTTTCTTCAGTTGATTCTCTAGATAATGATAATAAAAAGAATTTTAATAATAATATTATATTTTATTGAATAAATGATGTTTAATAGACTCATGCTAGTTATGCAGCATTAACTTTATTGCAAGTATCTTCTAATAAAGCTAAGAGTGTTTCTTCAGTTGATTCTCTAGATAATGATAATAAAAAGAATTTTAATAATAATATTATATTTTATTGAATAAATGATGTTTAATAGACTCATGCTAGTTATGCAGCATTAACTTTATTGCAAGTATCTTCTAATAAAGCTAAGAGTGTTTCTTCAGTTGATTCTCTAGATAATGATAATAAAAAGAATTTTAATAATAATATTATATTTTATTGAATAAATGATGTTTAATAGACTCATGCTAGTTATGCAGCATTAACTTTATTGCAAGTATCTTCTAATAAAGCTAAGAGTGTTTCTTCAGTTGATTCTCTAGATAATGATAATAAAAAGAATTTTAATAATAATATTATATTTTATTGAATAAATGATGTTTAATAGACTCATGCTAGTTATGCAGCATTAACTTTATTGCAAGTATCTTCTAATAAAGCTAAGAGTGTTTCTTCAGTTGATTCTCTAGAGAATAATAATAAGAAATAAAAACCTTTATTTTTTTTCATTATCTACTTCAGTTTTAATTCTATTGACAACATCTTTTAACATATCAAATATTGCTTATTCTGATTCTTATCTATTTACTTTCTCTTAAACCAATAATTAGTTTAATTTGCTTAATTCTTCATTCATTTTTCTAGATATATTAGAATCCATTTCTTCTCTTTCTGCTACTTCTGTCTTTATAGCTTCATGTAATCTTGGTAAATCTGTTTCTAAACATTAATTCAATCTTTCTATATTCTCATTTCTTGTTCTACTTTCTGTACTCAATTCACTCCTTATTAATCCTGTCTTTTCTTCAATAAATCTTATTATCTTTTATTCTCCATCTTTTCTTGTTGATGTCAATCCTTCAACTGCCTAATTGAATGAATTCTCTAAATCTATATATTCCTTTTGTTTCTATTCAAAATGTTATTCTCTCTATAATTTTGTTTAATCCAACACTTTCTATAATTTCAATACACTATCTTTAATCAAAGCTACTCTTTAACTCAATTATTCATTCAATTCATTCAATCCAGATTCCAATTAATCTAATCTTGTCTCTGATTCCTCTATTCTTTTAGTCTATATTAATATTTATTATTTCATTACTCTCTCTCCTTCTATTGTTAAATCCATTTAACTTAATTAAGAACTTATTTTTGCTACTCTCTCTCTTGATGGTGAATAATCTAATCTATTCTACTATACATTACTTCTATTATTTGACATATCTAACTGATTATTTGAATTAAAAGATAATATTAATATAAATAAATTTATTGTTAATTTATTTGCTAAAATATCATTCTTAATGAGTATTTTTCAAAATTCATGATTAAATAGAAAACAGCTTAATTTACGTCACTCAAATGGAATGGATCCCTCATTTTTTCGTAAATCTAATGCTCGTTCTAATTAGCTAAAGTTTGTTAAGGTATTATTAAGATTTTTAATTGTTACGTTATGAGTAGTTATTTTAAGATTATATAAGTTCGAACTTTGTTAAAATATAATTTAATTAGTAATATATAAATCATTCATATTTAGAGTAACTTCTATATTTAAAGCTTTATTTTCCTTTTAATCCTGTTTTTGTAATGAAATTTATTTTAGTTGTATCAAATCTAAATTATTATTCCTTTGGCCTTCGATTTGGTTGCTTGTAGATTGTTTATTAGTTTTTTGGTGAAGATTTATTACTTTGTACATTATTAGAAGTTTTTTTTTACAAAATATGTTTATCTTATTGTTTAAGATTAATATCTCTTTCTTAAAATTCTCTTTTTGAATTTTGCCTATCAGATTATAATTACAGATTTCTCTGTGGTCTTTCTGAATAATTAAAATCAAGACGATTTCTTTAGACGATAACTGTTTTATTCAGAGGAGAGGCCTATTATTTTTTTGGGTTAGGTTTTGTGGACGATAAGTATGAAGGAGGTTTTAGACAAGCCTTCATCAATTCTTTATGAGTTTTAGGTGGAGTATTATTAGGCTAAGTATTGCTTGGAACGCTGGATTATCTTGGAACTGTCTTTTCATAGAAATCGTTAAAGAATTTTCCCTTTTTTCTGGTTCCATCTGAATAAATTAACTCACCTTCTCCATGTTTTTTGTCATTAACATAGTATCCTTTGTAAGAGTATGTTGAACATCTATATTCTCCATAACCAGTTTTAAGACCATTTTAAAATTTTCCATGAAAATAAGCACCACTAGAATAAAAGTATTCTCCAACTCCTTCAGGCTTTCCATTTTAATACATTCCTACATATCTATCTCCATTTGCAAATAGTTCTTCTCCATAACCATGCTTCAAACTATCTTTAAACTCTCCTTTATATTGATCTCCATTAATCCATTTGTGTTAACCTTTACCATTAGGTTTACCATCAACCCATTATCCAGCATACATATCACCCTTTAAACCCATCCAAGTTCCGCATCCATGTTTATTACCGTTGAACCATTCTCCTTCATAATATTCGCCATTAGCCCATGTAAACTTTCCTTGGCCTTCTGGTTTGCCATTAACATAAAGTCCTTTATAACTCGATTTAGATGGAAAAACTTCCCAACCTTGACCATGTTTACGATTATTATTGAATTCTCCTTCATAAACATGCTCCTCCTCCATTAATAATACTCCTTTTCCATGTTTAAGACCATTGAATACTTATCCAAAATAGATTTTATTCTTTGAAGATATTATACTAAAATTCGGCAGCTTCTTTAATTCTTCAAATGAATATCCCTTAGTATTATTCTAATAATTTTGTATTCTTAATATTATCAGATTATCGATCATTTAATTAATTTATATTAAAATTAACAAAAAATTTCATTAATAATTAATTTGATTTTCAAATGAGTGATGAAGAATCAGAAGATGAAAACAGATCTAAGTTCAAGCTATCCAAGACCCATCAATTAATTAATTAACTTGAACATAAGCTTTCTATTCTTGACTAAAATAATGCCCCTAATCTCTATCCTAATTCTAGAGATTCTCATCTCAAAAGCAAATAAGAATTGGAAAGAGAATTACAAGAATTTGAATAGAGAATGAAAAAACTTAATTAAACTGAAAATTCTTAGTTACACTCTTCATAAGCGAAATCTATTTAAAAGTAGTCACCATAAAAGTTGAACCTTTCTAATCCCATTTTACAATTATTAACTCAAAAGTTAGAGAATTTCGATGATGATAAGAATACGATGCTATCGTCAAAATTAGATCACCTTAATAGAGAATAATAAATACTTGAATAAGAATAAATGAACTTGCTAAGGGAATAATAATAAGCAAAATTTGAATTAGAGTCATTATTAAGAACTTTGGAGATTGAAGAATAACGTAGATTGAATGAATAAAAGATATAAATTCTTAAAGAATAAGAGGAAAAACTACTTGATATCTAAGAACAAAGTGAAAAGCTTATATAAGAAGAGGAAGAAAAAAAGACTAACTTTTTATTAGAATTGTAATAATTATCATTTGAAAAAAATTAACTATAAACACAATTATAAGTAGATATTCATTATATTCTATCTAGAACTTATCTAGGGAGTAAGAAATGCTCGCTAGCAATAGAGATGAAGTGTCAAACTAATTAAATACATTAATGTAGTTGCATAATTAAATACTTTAAAATGATTTAAAAAAAAAAATAGTACACCTTGAAGAAGAGCCAGATCCATCTCCTCTCTAAAATTTATATCAAATCAATTAATAAATATAGGAATCAATGAACTAATAATTATCTCTAATTAGATAAGAATTGAACGAATAAAAATAAATTAATTTAGATTTATTACAGCTTTTAAATGGAGAATAGCAATAATAATAAACATAAAGATAAATGAATTCAACAGAAATATAATTAGAATAGTAATAATATTAATAATAATAATCTAACTCTTAACTATAATTTCAAATGTGTGTGAATAAACCTAATTATAACTAAAATGAAGATTTGGAGAGCGAGGAAAGTATTGTAATGATGTAAAAATACAATAATAATCAAAATGCTAATATCTAAATTTAAAGAGATTTTAATTAACTTTTTGAGAAGCACAAAAAATAGTAATTTTTGTTATTAAATAGATAATTCAAACCTAAATAAAAGATTCATTTGAAATAAACTAGGGCAACTGCAGAAAAAAGAAGAAGATCAATTGATCTCACTCAATCTAAATCAAAATCTAAGTCGAAAGAAAGAGAGAGTAACCTTGTGAAGGATAAAGAAAAAAGAAAAACTCCCTTATCATTTGAATAGACATATAAAAGAAATATCCAAGAATAATTAAAAAAACTAAATTTCATTGTGGAAAAATCTTTGAATAATAAGTGATAAGTTAATAATCTTGTGTTTAGGTAGTATTGCACATATACTGATTATAATTTTCATCTAATAAAGTATTCCACTCTCTGTATCTTTCTAAATAAAATAGTAAATATTATAAAAAATATTTGGCATTATAAAAAGCAATGAATTGCTGATTCTTTACAAAGAAATTGTTAAAACAAGCGCATAAGCACGAGTTATTTGATAAAAATAATTATTTGCTCTCTCAGTAACTTTATTAGCTGATAACTCTTGGATTGATATATAATAACTTTTACATTCATAAACCNGAAAGGTTCAACTTTTATGGTGACTACTTTTAAATAGATTTCGCTTATGAAGAGTGTAACTAAGAATTTTCAGTTTAATTAAGTTTTTTCATTCTCTATTCAAATTCTTGTAATTCTCTTTCCAATTCTTATTTGCTTTTGAGATGAGAATCTCTAGAATTAGGATAGAGATTAGGGGCATTATTTTAGTCAAGAATAGAAAGCTTATGTTCAAGTTAATTAATTAATTGATGGGTCTTGGATAGCTTGAACTTAGATCTGTTTTCATCTTCTGATTCTTCATCACTCATTTGAAAATCAAATTAATTATTAATGAAATTTTTTGTTAATTTTAATATAAATTAATTAAATGATCGATAATCTGATAATATTAAGAATACAAAATTATTAGAATAATACTAAGGGATATTCATTTGAAGAATTAAAGAAGCTGCCGAATTTTAGTATAATATCTTCAAAGAATAAAATCTATTTTGGATAAGTATTCAATGGTCTTAAACATGGAAAAGGAGTATTATTAATGGAGGAGGAGCATGTTTATGAAGGAGAATTCAATAATAATCGTAAACATGGTCAAGGTTGGGAAGTTTTTCCATCTAAATCGAGTTATAAAGGACTTTATGTTAATGGCAAACCAGAAGGCCAAGGAAAGTTTACATGGGCTAATGGCGAATATTATGAAGGAGAATGGTTCAACGGTAATAAACATGGATGCGGAACTTGGATGGGTTTAAAGGGTGATATGTATGCTGGATAATGGGTTGATGGTAAACCTAATGGTAAAGGTTAACACAAATGGATTAATGGAGATCAATATAAAGGAGAGTTTAAAGATAGTTTGAAGCATGGTTATGGAGAAGAACTATTTGCAAATGGAGATAGATATGTAGGAATGTATTAAAATGGAAAGCCTGAAGGAGTTGGAGAATACTTTTATTCTAGTGGTGCTTATTTTCATGGAAAATTTTAAAATGGTCTTAAAACTGGTTATGGAGAATATAGATGTTCAACATACTCTTACAAAGGATACTATGTTAATGACAAAAAACATGGAGAAGGTGAGTTAATTTATTCAGATGGAACCAGAAAAAAGGGAAAATTCTTTAACGATTTCTATGAAAAGACAGTTCCAAGATAATCCAGCGTTCCAAGCAATACTTAGCCTAATAATACTCCACCTAAAACTCATAAAGAATTGATGAAGGCTTGTCTAAAACCTCCTTCATACTTATCGTCCACAAAACCTAACCCAAAAAAATAATAGGCCTCTCCTCTGAATAAAACAGTTATCGTCTAAAGAAATCGTCTTGATTTTAATTATTCAGAAAGACCACAGAGAAATCTGTAATTATAATCTGATAGGCAAAATTCAAAAAGAGAATTTTAAGAAAGAGATATTAATCTTAAACAATAAGATAAACATATTTTGTAAAAAAAAACTTCTAATAATGTACAAAGTAATAAATCTTCACCAAAAAACTAATAAACAATCTACAAGCAACCAAATCGAAGGCCAAAGGAATAATAATTTAGATTTGATACAACTAAAATAAATTTCATTACAAAAACAGGATTAAAAGGAAAATAAAGCTTTAAATATAGAAGTTACTCTAAATATGAATGATTTATATATTACTAATTAAATTATATTTTAACAAAGTTCGAACTTATATAATCTTAAAATAACTACTCATAACGTAACAATTAAAAATCTTAATAATACCTTAACAAACTTTAGCTAATTAGAACGAGCATTAGATTTACGAAAAAATGAGGGATCCATTCCATTTGAGTGACGTAAATTAAGCTGTTTTCTATTTAATCATGAATTTTGAAAAATACTCATTAAGAATGATATTTTAGCAAATAAATTAACAATAAATTTATTTATATTAATATTATCTTTTAATTCAAATAATCAGTTAGATATGTCAAATAATAGAAGTAATGTATAGTAGAATAGATTAGATTATTCACCATCAAGAGAGAGAGTAGCAAAAATAAGTTCTTAATTAAGTTAAATGGATTTAACAATAGAAGGAGAGAGAGTAATGAAATAATAAATATTAATATAGACTAAAAGAATAGAGGAATCAGAGACAAGATTAGATTAATTGGAATCTGGATTGAATGAATTGAATGAATAATTGAGTTAAAGAGTAGCTTTGATTAAAGATAGTGTATTGAAATTATAGAAAGTGTTGGATTAAACAAAATTATAGAGAGAATAACATTTTGAATAGAAACAAAAGGAATATATAGATTTAGAGAATTCATTCAATTAGGCAGTTGAAGGATTGACATCAACAAGAAAAGATGGAGAATAAAAGATAATAAGATTTATTGAAGAAAAGACAGGATTAATAAGGAGTGAATTGAGTACAGAAAGTAGAACAAGAAATGAGAATATAGAAAGATTGAATTAATGTTTAGAAACAGATTTACCAAGATTACATGAAGCTATAAAGACAGAAGTAGCAGAAAGAGAAGAAATGGATTCTAATATATCTAGAAAAATGAATGAAGAATTAAGCAAATTAAATTAATTATTGGTTTAAGAGAAAGTAAATAGATAAGAATCAGAATAAGCAATATTTGATATGTTAAAAGATGTTGTCAATAGAATTAAAACTGAAGTAGATAATGAAAAAAAATAAAGGTTTTTATTTCTTATTATTATTCTCTAGAGAATCAACTGAAGAAACACTCTTAGCTTTATTAGAAGATACTTGCAATAAAGTTAATGCTGCATAACTAGCATGAGTCTATTAAACATCATTTATTCAATAAAATATAATATTATTATTAAAATTCTTTTTATTATCATTATCTAGAGAATCAACTGAAGAAACACTCTTAGCTTTATTAGAAGATACTTGCAATAAAGTTAATGCTGCATAACTAGCATGAGTCTATTAAACATCATTTATTCAATAAAATATAATATTATTATTAAAATTCTTTTTATTATCATTATCTAGAGAATCAACTGAAGAAACACTCTTAGCTTTATTAGAAGATACTTGCAATAAAGTTAATGCTGCATAACTAGCATGAGTCTATTAAACATCATTTATTCAATAAAATATAATATTATTATTAAAATTCTTTTTATTATCATTATCTAGAGAATCAACTGAAGAAACACTCTTAGCTTTATTAGAAGATACTTGCAATAAAGTTAATGCTGCATAACTAGCATGAGTCTATTAAACATCATTTATTCAATAAAATATAATATTATTATTAAAATTCTTTTTATTATCATTATCTAGAGAATCAACTGAAGAAACACTCTTAGCTTTATTAGAAGATACTTGCAATAAAGTTAATGCTGCATAACTAGCATGAGTCTATTAAACATCATTTATTCAATAAAATATAATATTATTATTAAAATTCTTTTTATTATCATTATCTAGAGAATCAACTGAAGAAACACTCTTAGCTTTATTAGAAGATACTTGCAATAAAGTTAATGCTGCATAACTAGCATGAGTCTATTAAACATCATTTATTCAATAAAATATAATATTATTATTAAAATTCTTTTTATTATCATTATCTAGAGAATCAACTGAAGAAACACTCTTAGCTTTATTAGAAGATACTTGCAATAAAGTTAATGCTGCATAACTAGCATGAGTCTATTAAACATCATTTATTCAATAAAATATAATATTATTATTAAAATTCTTTTTATTATCATTATCTAGAGAATCAACTGAAGAAACACTCTTAGCTTTATTAGAAGATACTTGCAATAAAGTTAATGCTGCATAACTAGCATGAGTCTATTAAACATCATTTATTCAATAAAATATAATATTATTATTAAAATTCTTTTTATTATCATTATCTAGAGAATCAACTGAAGAAACACTCTTAGCTTTATTAGAAGATACTTGCAATAAAGTTAATGCTGCATAACTAGCATGAGTCTATTAAACATCATTTATTCAATAAAATATAATATTATTATTAAAATTCTTTTTATTATCATTATCTAGAGAATCAACTGAAGAAACACTCTTAGCTTTATTAGAAGATACTTGCAATAAAGTTAATGCTGCATAACTAGCATGAGTCTATTAAACATCATTTATTCAATAAAATATAATATTATTATTAAAATTCTTTTTATTATCATTATCTAGAGAATCAACTGAAGAAACACTCTTAGCTTTATTAGAAGATACTTGCAATAAAGTTAATGCTGCATAACTAGCATGAGTCTATTAAACATCATTTATTCAATAAAATATAATATTATTATTAAAATTCTTTTTATTATCATTATCTAGAGAATCAACTGAAGAAACACTCTTAGCTTTATTAGAAGATACTTGCAATAAAGTTAATGCTGCATAACTAGCATGAGTCTATTAAACATCATTTATTCAATAAAATATAATATTATTATTAAAATTCTTTTTATTATCATTATCTAGAGAATCAACTGAAGAAACACTCTTAGCTTTATTAGAAGATACTTGCAATAAAGTTAATGCTGCATAACTAGCATGAGTCTATTAAACATCATTTATTCAATAAAATATAATATTATTATTAAAATTCTTTTTATTATCATTATCTAGAGAATCAACTGAAGAAACACTCTTAGCTTTATTAGAAGATACTTGCAATAAAGTTAATGCTGCATAACTAGCATGAGTCTATTAAACATCATTTATTCAATAAAATATAATATTATTATTAAAATTCTTTTTATTATCATTATCTAGAGAATCAACTGAAGAAACACTCTTAGCTTTATTAGAAGATACTTGCAATAAAGTTAATGCTGCATAACTAGCATGAGTCTATTAAACATCATTTATTCAATAAAATATAATATTATTATTAAAATTCTTTTTATTATCATCATAATATACAATATAAAATCAATAATTTTATATTTAGAAACATCTATATTGTTGTTTGGAAAATGATTAAAATTTTTTTAATTACTTTCAGTTACAGCGTAAAAAGTGAATATGCTAGCCATTTAACTTGACTTAAAAGAATTAGAACTTCTATTATTTAGCACATTATTGAACTTAACAGATTAAAATTATTTAGTGATTTAAGCCTTCTATTTCACAATTTTATTATGTGAAATGTCTGAATGGAAATTGCATTTATAAAAGCCATAATTTAATATTTCATAATGATTATGGGCCTTTGTATATATGAATTAATAAATAATTTATAATTAGAAATTAATAAAACTATGTAATTGAGCAATGGTAGTTGTGCAATTTAAAGTAGTGTTCTTTATTGGCCGAACTGATTTGGTGATTTCTAAACCTGTGGGTTCAGTGAATTATATCCCATTGGATGCCAGAATTATAAAAATGTATGGATCGTTTCGATCATTCTTTTTATTAGGAGAGAAGTACAATAAACAAATGTTATGAAAATAGAGATGATATTTGGGTTTTTGGTGATAACTCACATGGATAATTGGGTTTGGGAGAAATTTCTGATATACAAAAGAAGCCTTTAAAATTAGAGTGCAATTATAGCCTAATATCTTGTTCGGAGACTTACTCATACGGTTATTAGTAAGATAAAATGTACTACTGGGGTGAAAGCAATTTCTCTTGTTCTTAATTTAAAGGGAAGTGCTTGCGTGCCAAATGGGTTCCAGTGAAATCAGTAACTCAACTAAATGCTTAAAACGAGCGTTTCTATTATATTTCAAATGGAGAGTTGTATGGGTAGGGGTTTACAAGTTTATTAGGAGCAAAACTGAATGTAGTCTCAACAGCAAAACCCATATTAATTATGAACAAGGTTAGGAAGGTGGCTTGTTCAAACACTCACGCGTTGGCTTTGGATGAGAACAATTGGGTTTATTCTTGGGGTAATGGTAAGAATGGAGAATTAGGATTGCAAATGGCTGGTTATTCTTTCCAAACTTTTGTATAATGTCCGACAAGAATCACTTAACTTGAAGATATTTAAGATGTTTAGTGTGGGATCAGTTATAGTTTAGTATTAAACTAAGAAGGAATAGTATATGAGTGGGGTAGTGGATTGAAGAGTATGACGTTTGAGGAAGCTTTAAATATAAAGGAATTGTCAATGCCAAATACTTATTCAAATATTCGTAAGATCGAGGTGGCTTTGAAATAAGCTGCATGTGTAGATCAACTCGGTCGTCTCTATTAATGGAATACTAACAATCCTATTCCATAATATGTAAAGACAGGGTTTCGATGTGAACAATTTATTTGTGGAGATGATATTGTATTGTTCATTGGAAATGAATAAGCTTATAGAGTGTCTGATCATTTTAAATAATAGATAAAGAAGAGAGTTTAAAAGTACAAACAGTATGTAGAATTGAAAAACAACAAGATTAGGAATATGTATTATGATGAGAATAAGAAGACTAAATGCCTTTAGGAAATAAATGCGAAAGTTTTGGATTAATAAGTTAAGTAAATGAAACCTGAAGATTTCTTATATACAAGAATATAAAGAAAGTAGTCCATGTATGTTTAGCAATTGAAGAGAAGAAGCACTTTGTAGGTTTCAGAAGAGTTTCGAGAAGGGCAAAGTTCAATTCATAAAAAGCGATCCAGTACGACTAAAATGGAAATAGGAAAAGAAAAAATGAATATTGTTAAATCAGGGAAAGTCCATGATAAGATGAGGGAATCTGCTAAAGAAGTGAAGACTCTCAAAGAATCATGGGAAGTTTTTCGGAAACTTTCACAAGATTCTGAAAATAGAACTTAATAAAGAACTAAAATACCTTTAAATATTTTGAATACGAAATTATATTAAGCAATTGAAATTGACAAGGTTTCTGATCTCATTTTAGAATCTGAAAGATTGAACCCATTATATATTCCTTATTCTGGGTAAATTGTTAAATCATAACCAATATGTCAAAAAGAATAAAATCTTAAATCATAACCTATCTGTCAAAGAGAATAAAATATTATATCATAACCTGCAAGTTAAAGGGAATCAAGACAAATTGTTAAATCTTAGGTAGTAGCAGAATCGAGAAAAATTGTTAAATCACAACCTACAACTTAGAGAGAATCTGTTGATGACCCTAATCATCATGAATTCATTGATCATCCTGATATCATGAAATATGAATATGTCAAAAGAATTCATAATGGTTACCATGAAAAATTATTAATGGATAATCTAATGACAAAAGAGTAATGCTTTTTGCCGATTAAATGGAAGCGTTTGAAGGATGATACTAAACTCTTTCAAGGAAAATATAAGAAAATGCAAGAAAGATTGCTCAAATAATAAAGAGAGGCCAAAAAATTGATTAAAATTAGTGACTCATGAATATATTAATACATTTAGCTGTTATTATTAAAATTTACTTATGTAAGAATATACAGTCAGAGATTGGCAACACAATTCAAGTACCTAAGAAACTCCTCATATAGAACTAAGTTACGATTTCTACCACTCTGAAATATCTAACTTGAAAGCGCAGGTCAATCAATTTCAATAATACATTTACAAACTGGAAGAGCAATTCAAAGAAAAGAATAAAAGATTATAAGTTTAATTAGATGAATAGATCTTGAATAACAGATAATTGAAATAATAAATATTGACCTATGAATAATAGTTGTAATAAAGCGCATTCAGATAAAAATTGCTATTCTCAGGTTAATTGGAAACCTTAATAAATGAATTAGATTAACTGACGTCATTGATGAATTAAAAAAGTGAAAGGATTGTATAATTAGAATTTGATAATTAAGCATTATTGAATCAGATTTATGAGTTAGAAACATCTATTGAATAATAGTAATTTTAGTATGATCACTTTGATCAACAAAATATTTTCATTTTAAACTAAGTTGATCAATTGAAATAAGAGAAGAATGAATTAATAATCAAGTTGAATGACTCATAAATAATGGTTCAAAAGTTAGCAGTTGAGTTATAATGTAAGTCATCCTAATTATTGGAAAACAATAAATAAAATCAATTGCAAGAATAGATACGAGATGAAATTACAAAGGCCTAGATGACTCATTAAGAGCAATTCATAAAATTGTTATAATAAGAAATTATAGAACTAAAAGAATAGTTAAAGAACAAATGATGAATAAAAACTATACTAGTTTAATAAATAAATAAATAATAAGAGGACAAATTATAATAGATGTATATAATCACATCTTCCAATTATTTATATTTCTTATACTAGTTTTATTTATATTATTTATCTTCTTCTATCTTAATAGAGATCCTTGGTATGAACTGTTTAAGCTTTAATTTTTTTTAATTTAAATTGAAATTAATTATATTATCTAATTTTTGATTATCCTTTTATCAAATGGGTTTTCATCTTTAAAGCAAATTAGGACAAATACATTTTTATACATATTTAAGTAAGTAATTCTTAACTTTTGTATTTAATAGATTAATCATTGTTTTATTAATCATTCATATAAGGTATTTATATATATAAATGAAATATTTTGTCTATAAGGAAGTTTATTTTATTAATCGATGGAAACCATTTGGATTGTTTTGAATCTCATCTTTATCATATTGGATTTGAGATAATAACAATATTATTTTATTAATATTATTAATGTTAAAAATAGCAAAATTATTATCAAAGTCACCATAATAATTGAAACAAACATACTTGCTGAATCATAAGCCATAATTTCATTATGGACAAGTGGATCGATTCTTAGACAGATTATAAATGCCTCTTTACTTTTACTTAATAGGAATAAATGTTGGCGTGTATGCATTATGGCATTTTCCTGCGGTTGACAAGGTAAGTGTTTATTAATTATCGATTAGAATTTTATGTATAAACATTTTACTCTTCATCCAGGATCAATGAGTTTAAGAGAATTGCATACATTCATAACATATTCATTTTCACATTAGAATACATTGCATTTATGTAAAAATTCTAGAAATTTTCAGTATTCAATATGGTGACTTTTTACTTCTTTGGAAGGACAATAGAGGCATATTTCGGATCAAAGAGATTGCTGGCAGTATATTTGGCAGGAGCTCTAGTGGGAGGATTGATGTAATAAAGATAGGCTGGGATATCATTGGGTGCGAGTGCTGCATGCAATGCTTTATTAACATATTATATTTGCAATTTTCCAAGAGAAATAATTTTATTGTTTTTTATTCCAGTGCCAGCATGGGTAGTGGGATTGTTGATTCTATACTAAGGTTGGGCAGGATAAGGTGATGGAAGTGGTATTGGTCATGATGCTCATTTGGGTGGTTGTTTGGCTGGGTTGGCATTTTACTTTGCTACAAGAGGGAAAATATGATAATTTATATAATTTATTAATATATTAAAACGGATCTATGATAGAGGGAAACTTGGGTGAACTAATTTGGGGAAGTGTAGAACTGACATTGAATGTTCTTTTATTGGATAGATTGAGGTTGCCTTAAAAAATGCCAGCTTAGGGAGTATGGAGATTGTCGCTCATTCATGAGTACAATAATTACTCAGACACCAAGGTATGATGGTGTTCCTTAGCTAGGTGAGATATGTAGTAGCCTCACTACTTACCCCAGATATTTATAAATACTTTCGTAATTTCCAAGATCCACTCCAATTTATATATGGGTGCTTCATGTTCTTCGATCTCCTTGTCATCTTAGAGGTTATCACTAATACTGAAACTATCTACGCTGCCACTCTTCTCCTAAGAGTATTGCGCATCATCAATATACTCTATCAAATCCTCAAAGCTGCCATGACTATCAAATTCAAGAAGACCATCAAATACATTCCTCCTCCTGTAACTAAGCCATCTGAAGTATCTCCACCTTAATCCTTAATCACAACCAAGGCCAACTCTCATGAGGAAGAATAAGAAGTAATTAAACAACCAAAAAAACTATCAAATCCATGTCAGTACTAATTCAACATCAGAACATCTAAATCTTCTGTGATAACCATTACTACTAATGAGATTACTTAGTTAGACTCCCTTTTGGATCATCAACTATACTTTGACAAAAGAACCTCGCTCATGATTAAGTTAAATCTTTGTCTAAAGGCATATCATCAAAATAATATAAAAAATTCACCCACATCTGAAATACTACTCAAACAGATAGCCGGCTATTAGGCTGAATTAATGCTCATGCATTAATGATTTAGTTAACCCGTTTTTATATATATATATATTTCATTTTAATATGACTACTTAATACAATTATCTGATTATCTACTGTGTTAAAAAAATAACAAAGATATACAGCCTTATTTGATTTAAAACATCTGAGTAAAGAGGTAGAATCTCATTGATGAATTCCCTGGATTCAGAGGGGATCAAGCTTTTGTAATATTTGATAAACAAATGACATAAATAATTTTATGAACTAGTTTTAATTTGATGATGACATTATGATTAATTAGGATTTTTTAATTATTAATTATAATTAAAATTATATACGTATATCATATACGCATTCTCAATTAATATATTTGTTTATAATTATAATCAAGTGCGCACTTATTTTTAATATATGCGCATTGATTAATTATTAGTAAAATCTATGCGCACTCAAATATTTACAAATAGATAATTGCATGTATTTGGTTAATAATTAATTCATTCAATGAAAGTCTAATCAACCACAACACAACAAGATGATCACTTCTTAATTTCAGATTATGATTACAAGTCAACCAATATTGAAAAGAATGGAGACAAGTACATAGCAAAACCATAGATAACAAATTTCAAATTCAAGACTGACACCAGAATACCAAAGTTAGGTGTTATGCTTGTAGGATGGGGTGGAAATAATGGAACAACACTTACTGGTGGCATATTGGCAAACAAATTCAATATTACATGGAATAGCAAAAGAGGAACTCATCAACCAAATTTTTATGGATCTCTAACATAAAGCAGTGTCATTAAGATTGGTACATGCAATACTGAAGAAGTATTCATTCCATTCAAAGATGTGTTGCCAATGGTTAATCCATGTGATATAGTATTTGGTGGATGGGATATCAGTTCATTGAATTTGGCTGATGCAATGAGCAGAGCCCAAGTTGTAGAATACGATTTGCAATAGAAATTGAGACCATATTTAGAGAAATTGGTCCCATTACCTTCAATCTATTATCCAGATTTCATAGCAGCTAATTAAGGAGATAGAGCAGACAACGTCATTCCAGGTGATAATAAATTAGAGCATCTTAATATAATTAGAAAGAATATCGCAGATTTCAAATAATCAAATAATTTGGATAAAGTAATTCTCTTATGGACAGCCAATACAGAGAGATTTTGTGTTGAAGATCCAAATGTTCATGGAACAGCCGAGAGATTAATGTAGTCTATTGAATCAAGTCATCCAGAAATAAGTGCATCTACTATCTTTGCATGTGCTGCCTGTTTAGAAGGATGTTCATTCATAAATGGATCACCATAAAATACTATTGTTCCAGGAGTTATTGAATTAGCAGAAAAAGCTGGAGTTTTTGTTGCTGGAGATGATTTCAAGACTGGATAAACTAAATTTAAGACTTGCTTAGTTGAATATTTGGTAGGTGCTGGTATCAAACCAAAAGCCATTATTTCTTATAATCATTTGGGAAATAATGATGGAAAAAATTTATCATAAGAGTCTTGTTTCAAAAGCAAGGAAAGAAGCAAGAAGACTTGTGTTGATGACATCTTGGAATCCAATAGAGTGCTATATCCAACAGAGGAAGAATTGAATATTGATCATACTATTGTCATTAAATACTGCCCTGAAACTGGCGATAGCAAGAAGGCTATGGATGAATATATTGCTGAAATCTTCTTGGGAGGAAGATAAACTTTTGCAGTTTACAATGTTTGTGAAGACTCATTGTTGGCTGCTCCGTTGATTATGGATCTATTGTTATTATGCGAATTTTTTGAGAGAATTCAATTCTCCAAAGATGCTTCTGAATACCAAAGATTCGACACAGTCTTGTCCTGGTTGAGTTATTTGATGAAAGCTCCCAAATCTGAGAGTGGAATCACCACTATCAATTCTTTATCAAGACAAAGAGCTATGCTTGAAAATCTAGTTAAAGTCTGTGCAGGGTTAACAATTGATGACAACTTAAGATTGGAGGTTAGATATGGTGCTAGCAGATTTTAATAATGATTTAACTCAGTTTGTTTATGTATTAATTAATATTACAAAATAAATAAATAAAATTCATCTTCATCCAAACTGAAATTCTTAAATGTCTTCAATAAAAAGACACTGTATAGTTGCTCATATACAATCATCTAAAATAATTTATTAAATATTTAGTTTTCATTTATAGGCTGATGATCCTTATATTCTGATTTAGAGGAGAAAACAATTTATTTGAGAACTTCTCCTTCTCAACTTACTTCTTAAGATAGTTTTTGGAAATCTTAAGCATCAAAAATACTTAATATCAATTTATTATATTTCTTCATCTATCAAAAATTGAAAGAATAAATGATGTATAATTAGTCAATAATCAAAGTCATATTTCGTGTTCAAAATTATTGAGATATGATTTGAAATATCTCAAAACAACGCAAAAATCATTGATTAAATATATTAGTTAAAGTATATATAAATTAATAATAAAAATGATAGCTGGTACAAGAGTGAACCCATATTTTTAAAGCAATCGTAGAGGTGGAAGTGCTTTAAAGGGAGGAAGACTAGAAAATAATAGTAGTTTTTAAACTCCAAAAATGGTAATGCAAAACTCTGCTGAAGAGAAATTATAGGTAACTTTAATTTCTTAAAATGTCAGAATAAACAATAAGATGTTAGTCAATTACGATAAAGTCCATCTTTTAAATTGAAAAATACAAGATTTCTGACTCCAGGAAAGCAAGAGGAATTGCGAAAATAATCAAATATCTAAGAAACCTATGCTCGTAAAACTAGAATCACAGTATTGGAGTCATTTTACCATTAACTAGGAACTGATGATGACATATCAGTTTTAAAAAATACTTAACAAGCAAAAAGAAAGTTAATCAATATAACCCCATCTTCTTAAACTGCATACATCTCGAAAAAAACACAAGAACTAGAGGAAGAAAACATAGAGGAGGCTCACTTCCAATTTGTATAAATGTAATAGAAATATAAACAGTGGTTGGAGAACTTTGAAAAGAAGTGTGCAAAGCAATTTTGATTAATATAATTACAACTCTCTATTTAATGAATGCAATAATGAAGTTTTCTCATAGATCCTCTTCATTCAGTCAAGGGGATATTTACAATAGACTTCTGGATATGCATGAGGAATTACAGAAATCTAGTAGGAGTCTAAACAATCTCATCAACTAGAGTTTAAGGCAATACTAGAACCCAAAGGAAGACAATCGTTTTAGTTTCTCTGCTGAATTTCAATAGCAAAACTAACAGTAATAGAAAGAGGAGGAGGAATTGATTATGTTAGAGGAAGTAGATGAGAAGAAATAGATAAATGAAAGAGAATAGATCTTAGAGAATAAAATATAGATCTATGAGTCAGCCTTAATAACCTTGGAGGAAGAGAAGCAAGAGAAAGATGAGGAAATAATGAGATTGAAGAACATGTAAGTACAGAAATTATGGGTAGGTTGAATCAACAAGACAATGTGTAAAACGTTAAGAATGTAGAAGTAAATAAGAAACAAAGTGTGATAAGAGAGCACTTGCAGAGGTTGGATGATCATTTAAACTACTTAGAAGAAAAGAAATAGATGATAGAAAAAATAAAAGAATACGAAGCCAAGTTCAAATAATAAAAAGAAACAATTGATTCTTAAAAATTAGAAATTTCTCGTTTAAAGCATATTAATTAATACTTACATAAATCAATTGATAAATTATAAAAATTATGAAATAGGGGATTGTTTCTGAACTTAATTTATTGATTATAAACTAATAGATATTTTAAAAAAATAAAGTTTCTTCATCATTACATCAAACAACTTAAGATACTTCGGACACAGTGAAAAGTTTGCTTGTTTACTCGACTATAATTTTTCTCTTAATCCTCAACTGATTAAATCAAAGTAGATTCCCATTGCTATTTATTGATATATATATATATATACCTGTAATTAAACATTAATTATGTTTGTTGAATACCATTACTTACCAAACATAAATGATAAGTCGAACGACATCAATCCTATACCTATTGCGGCAAAGATTGGAGAACATCTCAAAGTTTGAAGTGCAAATCTCTTTCCTAAGTAGGCTGCAATAGATAGTCCAGTAGATATAATTCCTACTGAAGACTATATTGGATTGATTCTCACTCCCATTGTTTTTTGTACATTATCAGCATATTATTAAAAGCTATGTTTCTAAATTTCATTCATATTATTATCATTCACCAATTCAAATAACTATATACACCCTTCAACAATAGACACATCTCTTTGCCCCACCATTTAAAAGCTTTGAAATAATGGATTTTTCTATTGCTATGGAAAGATGGATTACAATTTTAATATTAATCCATTCTTTATATCCTCATTTAATTAAATAATCTTTTATTCATATTCAATCATTGTTTACATCGTTTATTTACATGCTGAAATTATAAGAATTTATGGTTCTTCAGATGATAATAAGGATTTGTAATGATCCAAATCCTTTTTGATTTGACTTATAGTATCATTTTTGAATTTTGAAATACAATCGTTATAGCTCTATATTTGATTGTCTATGAATTAATGGACTAATTCTTTCAAAGTTTCATATTATTTTTCCTCTAATTTAATTTATTAAGGACTGACAGCCAATTCTAATAAAATCAACCAATGTATTATCTAAAGGAACTTATCTCCATAAAAAGCCTCACTGATTAATAATTTGATATTAGATTCCAGTTAATTCTAAAACTTCAAATAATCTTGATTTTATAAGAGGTTTGGGTTATTTTTAATTTTCTCATTGCAATACTTTCTACAATCATTCTAAGTCACAAATAACTCAACATCCCTATAATCTAAGAAATAAGATTCCATAAATTTATCAACAGCTTATTAAGATCCGTAATTTAATATTCTATACCTCATAGCTCTTAAGGCTGATATCTTAAATATATTCATTTCACTCCCAATCAATTAACTAATTTCTTTTATGATAAGATCTACATTTTTATCCTCAGATACTTTTCTTTCATCGTATTTATTAAGAATAAAAAATAGTGTTTAGGATTAGAACTTTCGAACGCTCTCCAAAGACTCATTGCTCTCTATTATTTCACGAGAACTAGCCATTATATCCGACTATTTCTAGAATCCTTAAAACTCTTCAATTATTACACTTTTCAAGTAACTACCTTTTTAATTTTTATTTTTAATAATTCCTGAAGATGCTTAAGGTCTATAAATGCTAAGCATCTGATTTTATAATTCTTTATCATTATCAAATGTGGTGTAATTGGTAACCCATACATTTAGACGATGTTAGAGACCAACCTTATCATCAATTTTTTAGAAATGGACACTAAGAGATTACAATTCGTCCTTTTTGAGCCCAGGTCTATCAAAATATATAATAAATAATTATACGTATCAATAAATACTATCCTACTCCTCAAATCAGAAGGGAACTGATTATGAAATAGAGATGGGACTTGGATATTCACAATTTCAGGTTTATTACTTTTTTACATTTCAAATAGAATCTATTGTGCTTGATCCAAGCTATTAATCTACCTTTCATTTATAATAATTTTTTCATTGTATTCGATAAATATCACATTTTAAGTGCATTCCTAATTTCTAGAAGGCAAGATTTGTTGGCCCAAAAGTGAATTGATGAAGGTACTTTTACCTGCAGATGTTGTACCTAAAAAAACAATCTAAAAATCATGAGGATGATATTACATAAACTTTAGTCTCTTTTAGTTATTTTTTTAGTTATTCAATATTTAACCTTATAAGTTAAATGATTTCTAATGGGTATTGTGTTAGTGTAATTCCATCTGATATGATACTTACTTATCTTTCAAATTAGTCGATCTTTTCGACAAATGGGTCAAAGAAGAGAGGTTCATTTTATTGCTGCTTTTGCCTTACAAATAAATTCTTGATGAAATTCATTTAAAATTATTAATCTTTCTGAATTCTATCGAAAAGATGTTAAATTAAAATTTTTTCTACACATTTATGATTTATTATAATAATATCATAGAGCCATTTTCTTTCCAGCAAATCCTGCAATAGTTCCCTTTTTAGCAGCAATATCGTTAGCATCTAAATTTCCGCCTCTTCCTCGGCCTCCTCTTGAGAATCCTCTGCCTCCTCTGTCACCTCCACGGCCTCTTCCTCCGAAGCTTCCTCTGTCGCCTCTTCCACCGAAGCCTCCTCTTCCTCCGAAGCCTCCTCTATCTCCTCTGTTACCACCACCACTTCTTTATGATGAATTGGCAAGATCGACTCTGATAGCTCTACCTTCAACATCAGTTCCTGTCTTTAAGAGTCCCTTTTGAGCTGACTCATTATCGAAGAATTCGACATATCCAAATCCTCTTGACTAAAACATTAATACTATATTCATACCTTTCCTTCAGCATCCTTAGCAATTCTGACTTCCTTAATCTTTCCACAGTCTTCAAAAACTGGATACAAAGAGTCCTCAGTAGCATAGAAACTCATGTTTCCAATGAAGCATGTTGTGCTTTCACCTGATCCTCCTTATTGTCCTCCTTATTAAGGTCTTTGATCTCTTGGCTTTGTCTTCTCAACTGTAATGGTTCTTCCCATGTGCTCTTAACCACTGTATTCAACAGCTGCACTTTATCCTTCCTCGGTGGAGAATCTAACAAAAGCAATTCCCTTGGAGTTTCCATTTGGTCCCTTCAACAAGTTAACACTGTTGATATTTCCACACTCATCGAAGAATTCCTTGATGTCTTATTCGGTGGCATCAAATGAGAGTCCTCTTACGAAAACTTCATGATCTTATTGTCCTTATTAAGCTTATTGAGCTTGCTTTTAAGGTTATTATTTTCCTCTTGGTGGTTAAGGGACATCATCATCTTCATCCTCATCTTCTTATTCAATTTATTGGTTCTTTTATGGAGCCTTAGATTATTAGACTGGTGCCTTCTTGGGGGGAGGAGGAACATCATCTGAATCCTCATCAGAATCCTCTTATTAGGCTTATTGTTTGACTGGAGCCTTGGTTTAAGCAGCTGGTTTAGCAACTGGCTTAGTGGCTACTGGTGCCTTCTTGGGGGGAGGAGGAGCATCATCTGAATCTTCATCTGAATCATCTTATTAGACTTATTGTTTGACTGGGGCCTTGGTTTAAACAGCTGGCTTGGCAACTGGCTTTGTTGCAGCAACTGGTTTCTTGGGAGGAGGAACATCATCTGAATCTTCATCAGAATCTTCTTATTAGACTTATTGTTTGACTGGGGCCTTGGCAGCTGGCTTGGCAACTGGTTTTGTGGCTACTGGTGCCTTCTTGGGGGGAGGGGGGGCATCATCTGAATCTTCATCAGATTCCTATTATTTGACAGGCTTTTTTTAAACCACTGCTCCCTTCTTTGGAGGAGGTGGTACATCATCAGAATCATCATCTTATTGAACAGGCTTCTTTTATGCCTACTTGGCTACATTTTAATTTGTGGTGTTTGGCTTTGTTGCATCAAAACTGCCCTTTTTCACTGATTATACCAACTTAACTGGTTCGTCTTGATCATCTGAATCAACTTATGGAGCCTTAGCAGCTACTTTGGTTGTTCCAACTGGCTTTTGTTATTATTTTTTGGGGGGAGGAGGAACATCGCTCAAATCTTCAGAATCTGAGTCTTGTTTCTTAATTGGAGCACCTTGGTTTGTTTTGACGAGCTTGTTAGCTGCTTATGTGGGTTTTGTGAATTTAGACATTTTTTTAATTTATTTTAATGTGTGGAATAATTAATTAAAAGTTCCTCGGTTATAAACTATAATTTAAATTAAAAATTTCGATCGTTAATTATGGATAATTATCAACCATTGAATGGATTTAATTTATTTAAATCATATTTTTGATTATTCAAAACATTTTCATAAATTCTTTAATATCCTTCATATGATATTAAAATTAATCACGAATAAAATTCATGAATTCAAATTTAATTACATCCACACATACATTAAGAATAATTGGTCTATACATTTGCGCTGTATATATATATTTCAATCAATATTAAATGATTAATTATTAAAAAAATATTTCTTGTCTTACCATTTTTATTATTCACTTGATTTTTTTTTGGTATATATTAATATATTACTATATAATTTAATTAGTTTAAGGGTTGAAAATATAAAATCATCAATTATTTCAGTAATCTAAATATACATGTAAGAAAAAAATTATATGCAATATATTTTATTTATAATTGTTTACTTAATCGAAATTTTCAGTTCCTTGAATGTTAGCATCTGATTAGAAATAGAATACAAATAAAGGATTTAATTTTATTATATCTTAAATTCTATTCTAATAATAATAAAAAATTATTGTTTCATTATTATTATTAATAATGAATAGTTCATTGTTAGAAGAAAGTTAATGCCAAAAAGGAAATTGTCTGATAATATATAAAACATTTGCAGAACTTTTTCATTTTGTAGCAGATAGGTTGCCTAAAACCTCCTTTGATTTTTAGAAAGAATTCAGGGAATANTGGGAGGAGGAACATCATCTGAATCTTCATCAGAATCTTCTTATTAGACTTATTGTTTGACTGGGGCCTTGGCAGCTGGCTTGGCAACTGGTTTTGTGGCTACTGGTGCCTTCTTGGGGGGAGGGGGGGCATCATCTGAATCTTCATCAGATTCCTATTATTTGACAGGCTTTTTTTAAACCACTGCTCCCTTCTTTGGAGGAGGTGGTACATCATCAGAATCATCATCTTATTGAACAGGCTTCTTTTATGCCTACTTGGCTACATTTTAATTTGTGGTGTTTGGCTTTGTTGCATCAAAACTGCCCTTTTTCACTGATTATACCAACTTAACTGGTTCGTCTTGATCATCTGAATCAACTTATGGAGCCTTAGCAGCTACTTTGGTTGTTCCAACTGGCTTTTGTTATTATTTTTTGGGGGGAGGAGGAACATCGCTCAAATCTTCAGAATCTGAGTCTTGTTTCTTAATTGGAGCACCTTGGTTTGTTTTGACGAGCTTGTTAGCTGCTTATGTGGGTTTTGTGAATTTAGACATTTTTTTAATTTATTTTAATGTGTGGAATAATTAATTAAAAGTTCCTCGGTTATAAACTATAATTTAAATTAAAAATTTCGATCGTTAATTATGGATAATTATCAACCATTGAATGGATTTAATTTATTTAAATCATATTTTTGATTATTCAAAACATTTTCATAAATTCTTTAATATCCTTCATATGATATTAAAATTAATCACGAATAAAATTCATGAATTCAAATTTAATTACATCCACACATACATTAAGAATAATTGGTCTATACATTTGCGCTGTATATATATATTTCAATCAATATTAAATGATTAATTATTAAAAAAATATTTCTTGTCTTACCATTTTTATTATTCACTTGATTTTTTTTTGGTATATATTAATATATTACTATATAATTTAATTAGTTTAAGGGTTGAAAATATAAAATCATCAATTATTTCAGTAATCTAAATATACATGTAAGAAAAAAATTATATGCAATATATTTTATTTATAATTGTTTACTTAATCGAAATTTTCAGTTCCTTGAATGTTAGCATCTGATTAGAAATAGAATACAAATAAAGGATTTAATTTTATTATATCTTAAATTCTATTCTAATAATAATAAAAAATTATTGTTTCATTATTATTATTAATAATGAATAGTTCATTGTTAGAAGAAAGTTAATGCCAAAAAGGAAATTGTCTGATAATATATAAAACATTTGCAGAACTTTTTCATTTTGTAGCAGATAGGTTGCCTAAAACCTCCTTTGATTTTTAGAAAGAATTCAGGGAATATGTTGTTAGTCACTAGGGCTAATTTTTTTTAAGGAAAGATATAGAGATTTTCTTAAAAGTATTTGACAAGGCTTAAAGCTTTGAAGTAAAAGAACATCAGATAAATAATTCAAGCCATTCATCATAATTAGAATAATAGAATTTAAAACATCAATAATAAATCAAATATCAAGAGGAACAAATAACTAATTTGAGATAAAATTTAGTTAAAACAATTGCCATAAATAAAGAATTAATGAGAAAAGCTGATTTAGTAAACAACGAATATGCTTAATCGCTCAGAGAGGCAAGTGAAGAAAACTCTCAAAAATCTGATAGGCCTATACAGTAAGATGACACATAATCTTAGGAGAATAGATAAAAACATAAAAGATAGCAAGAATAAACGATAGATAGATTGAATATCCTAAGTTTTGAAATTGAAGAATATAAATCTCATTGTTAATTGGATGTAAATAGGGCTAATCCTAATTTATATTATAGTTTCTAAAAAGCAACTAACTTATATTATAGTTTCTAAGAAGCAATCGTAACATTCGAAGACTATAAAAGAAGCGTGGTACTCTATTGTCAAGATATAGAATTATATTTGTCTTAAGAAAATATTTAAAAATAGTTCATAATTCATCATATAAGTCACTAAATGAAGGCTTCGATAAATATATATTCAATTGTAATATGTGTTTTACGATAGATGACAACTTTTTTCAGATAAATCCTGCGACTAGAAAACTTAGGAAAGCGGTTCATTGAATTAACTTGAATCCTATAAATAATTTGGTTAATATTAATTTAAGATATTTTTTTTTATTGAATAACACTTTAAATTTGATATTAAAAATTCAGAATTAATAAAGAACCAACAAGTTTATCATTATTTTATAAACATCACAAATAAATTTTGATAGTATGGAACAAGAGTTGAAAACTAGTTTAAAATTTATTGAGTAAGTGTAGTTTCACAAACAATTCATGTATTTAAGAGTCTAACTATCAAAATTTATAATGCCTTTAAAATTGTTGTAAACTCTGTCAAGTTATAAGGAAGAAATTGATAGACTTTCAATTTTTGCTACTTCTTTGATATAATTAGATTGAATTAATATTACAATTAATAATTTTTATCTTATTTCGAGATAATAAAAAGTTCTAGTACAAGAATAATATTAAAATAAATATTGTATATCAGCAATATTATATAATTAAATAAATAATTAAAACAATGATGCTCATAGATCCATAGAATAAGCTACTTTAAACCTAGATAATGGATTTGATCATGTAATTTAGTATAGTGACTTTAGGAAAAAGGATCCAAGAATCGTGGTTGCTAAGGATTACAATTACTCCTGCACAAAATTGTAATACAAGGAGGATGGTAAATTGTTTCTATCATTTACTTGTTTTAATTTCAATGAGATATTCAGCATAGCAGGTAACTACATGATTGAGAAATACTATAAGGGTAATTACATATAAATAAAGGATAGATTACACAAAGGAGGCTGTAGATGAAGGATTTCATTTGACGTTTTCATTCGATGCCTAATCAGCCAAAGAGGAACCTAAGATTCCAAAGAATGCAACGGAGGCAGAAAAGGCTGAACTTTAGGAGCTAAAATTGCAGATACGAGCAGAAAATTAGAAATTGTTTGAGAAGGTCACAAAGGATTTCTCATAAATAAGAAGAAACTTCTATGCAGCTGCATTTGAGTAGGCATTCGATCAAATCAATAAAGGGGAAGCATCGTCTCCATTCAAGTATCAAAGTAGAGAGAATGAAGTTGTTTATGCCATTCCTGACAAAGATGCTTTGAACATTTTCTATGAGATTTCATTTTCTGACAATGTTGATAGGACATTGGCAAATCTAATAATCACCGAGATAATCGATGCAAAGAAAAATGTGAAGATGGCCCCTCCTATTTCAAGATCGAATTACCAATCTTCTATATTGAAATCAGCATTCCCAGAAGTGTCGAATATCAAGGTGGATCCAAATTCATAATTAATAACGATGACACTATTCAAGGCATAACATTTTAGTAAGAATATAGAATAATTATCTACATTTTTATAAGGATTTAGGTAATATACATAGTAATGTTAGACAATATTTGCATTATCACATTCATGCTTCCAAGACTTACTTGCATTCCAGAATCATCAAAAGAATCAGCCAATTCCAAAGAAGTTTACAATTATGTTAATTCGAACCTGAAGTTGAAAAGAAGACTGAGGATCTGTTCACATCTTCTGGTGTAAAAGCATGAAATATAAGAATAAGGATAATTAATAATTATATTGTTTTAGAAAGTCATAATACTTGAGCAAAAGCTGACTCTGTTACATTTCAGCATAATTTACTTTTGGTAAATGAAACATTGATCTTTCTGCCCATTACTTCTTTCCCGTGAAGTAAAGCTGCTCCATTCAATGCTTCTTCTAAGGTCGATAATCTTACTAATGCCATATGTTTTTATCTATTATAGAGGTTTTCTTACTTGTCAATATGTATAAATTTGATTGCTTAAACATTGCCAATTCCTTTAAAGATCTCTTTAATGTAGGACTCGTCCTCGCACATCTTCCCTTTGATATTACTCAAATGCAGTATTTGGCTAGGCGGATTGAATGATATTGATTTGCCATCACTAAATCTGAATTGCGATGGAATGGGCATAAAGACTTAAGTTTAAGGGGATTGGAAGGGCAGGGGGAACTGAATTTCTTAATAGTTTGAGTAAAAGATCTTCAGTTTGTACCCAAAGAACACCTGATTATTCAGATGATCAAGTGCGTTTTAAGCATGTTGCAATTTCTCAAATTACACCAAGGCTGATGTTTTATGCTTGATATGAATGATTACTAACACATTTCCGAAATTTGATAGTAAATTAAATATGTTTAATGGCGTAATATTCTGATTCATCAACCCTCTCATATAGACAACTTTGGAAGGCTGATTTTCTCTTAAGAATTAAGGCGATACATAAGTGTATGGGTCAATATCTTGATTCTTTATCCTGTCTTCTACCTCTGGTATCGAAAACATATACGAATTTAGGTATGTATTCTTTTCGGATGAAAATGCATGCATTATGTCCTCATCTATGGGATCATGTTCGTTGTCGTCAAATTATATTGATTTAAAGGAGGCATACTTTCTGTTTCTAGGGGAATCGCTATCATCTATGAATTCCAGCGATGTTTATATTTTTGAAGGTTCCCATTCATTTTTATAATCCTGGAAATCCTATTTGTCGTTTAAGCTGGCTCTCGTTCTCTCGTTTCCAAAACTCGCCATGCTTAATTTCGCATCCTATTGAGTTATCAAGGGTTGACTGTATGTCTTTGGATAATAGTCCTATTCATAAACATTCACAGTCTTGGTTGAATTTCTTTGTTTCATTGCCTTGTAATCCACACCGCCTGAATTGTTGTTCAGGAAGGTGACACTCTGCAGTGTTGAATAGTAACTATAAATCATTTAGATTATTTACACATTCATTATTGTTTACTCGTACAACTAACAGCCATTCAATTACTACTATGAAATCTTGGCCTACTATAAAGTAGCCATCTCTATAAAGCATTTCCATAACTTCCCTTTCTCGAATATCAATATCTTATTAACTTCTCCATAATTCGAAAAGTATCGATAGAACAAAGAATGAGGCAGTATTATGGATTAAGGATTCTGCACAATCACCAACAAAACTCGTGTACTCTCATTCTCAGATATCATTATATATTTTTATTATTTATATCAAATAACATATCATTTGATATATTCTTTATTTAATATACATATACGTATACTTGACTTCTATCATAAAGTATTAAATATATCAATCCAATTTATATGGTATCTGCATCCATCTAATTATATGATAAGCTACTCTTAAGTTATTCCTCTCCCCCTTTAGTAATAATTCAGCTCTAAATATTTAAATTAAAATATTTTCAATTTAAATCATGATTCCACGATTGCTAATTGATTATCTGATTCATAATCATTTTCACTCAATGACTTCTATACCTCTTAACTGAAATTCTCAAATTACCAGTTTGACATATTTTACTTGTCATATCCAAATAGACTGAATTATTAATCTTATAATCGAATTGACATAAAGAATACTCTTATTGTTATAAACATCCAAAACAGAAAGTCATTGAACAAATTTCAAAGTGAATTCCTTCAAGCATGAAAGTATATTAAGTGTAAAAATTTATATAATACTTATATCAAAAATCATCCTAATAATTAGATTCCAGATACTTTTTAATTGAGTTTTTATTATTATCATTAATTTCGTGGGTGAGTAAAAGTAATGGATTATTTGAAACATCATTTACCTGAAGTGAAAATAATGCATTGTTACAACACTATTATTACAATGAGAATATTTATTATTATTAATTTATTAACAAATATATATGAATGCCAAATTTGATGCTCCATGCAGATTTTATATATAAGGAAATTGCAGGGAAGGAGACCAATGCAAATATTCCCATGACTCATCAAATATTGAGAAAGTTAACCTAGTTAGAGATGAGAAGGGCAAACTCAATTTGAAGAAGAATAATGATTATTAAACATAGGAAAGAAAATTTGTGAGAGGGAGAGGCAGGGGAAGAGCTTAGATTGACAGATATCAAGAGGAGGAACAAACCAAAGACAATAATAAAATAGATAAAAGTGACAGAATTGACTTAAAATAGAGGCAGCAATAACCAAAGAATTCTTATGAACAAAAAAGCGGCTAAAGATTTGGATAATAAAAGGAAGCTAATGAAAATAGATAAATCAAATACAAACGGGATCAAAATTAGGACTAATAGGAAAATTAGAATTAATAACCTGTACAAAGAGAGAAAAACATCCAAGAGAGGAATAATGTTAATTCGGAGAGATGGCAAAGAAATCAAGACAACGATAATGGAGATGATTAGTAGCAATTTAGATAAAATACACGTGGAAGAGGAAGAGGCAGAGGCAGAGGAGGTAGAGAAAATACATTTACGAAAAGAGATCACATATAAGATGAAGAGAAGGAGAGAACCAATTAGAGTGAATAATAAATAGAAACCGTTAGTATCACAAAGAAAGTGAAAAAGAATGAGATCTAAGTAAAGAAAAGGCATTAAGTGTTGAATTTGGTATAGAAGAAGAACATAGCTAATCTAATTCAAATTGCAGGATATCATTTTTAATTTTTAGGCATTTTAAGAGCAGATGCAATTGATTTTTATTAAATACCATTCAAAAGAAATGGAAATGAAATAATTGATGAAGAAAAGAAAGTGACAATTAGTCAAACAGATAAATAATTTATTTCTGCTTTTATCTAAGAGCATCCAAATAATGAATACACTCTAATAATCCAATTTTAGAAAGAGGAGGAATCCTTTAAAAATTTAATGGTGTTCCATAATGTGTTCCATCAGTAATGCCCTTAGATAATATCTGATATATCAATGAAGGAGATTGTCTATACAAACTTCGAGGATGGATAACTATACACTTTTTGTAAGGATGGATTGATCAGGATATTCACTTAAAATGATATTGGACAATTAAGGTACACTTAGCATTACAATGTGGAACAATCTATGGAGAGTGTAATTAAGGTTGGCAGCAATTTCTTAATTGGAATGCGAAGTGGATAACTCTATTTATTTAATGGCAAAATCCTTACTGAAATCCCATATAAATTTACTTAGAAATGCACACAAATGATCATAGATTTCAATAGAGTGATCTTGAAGATGGATGACGATATTTAAACATCAATATATATTTTGAGTTAGAATTTAGAGATAATTGGACCTATTTATAATGGAGAAAAGGTGATTTGCTTAGAGTTGATCAAAAGTTATGAAAGTGACAAATTGTTTATTCTTGGATTTAGTGAGTCTGTTGAGATCCATACAGAGATTGAAAATAAATTATATCCGATAAATGTGATGTTGCATTAGAGACTTATGCAAATGAAGAAGATTGAAATTACTAATGAAAACATGGTTACTTAGAAATTTATTGTAGGAGAGTGCAATGAAGAGATGAAAATATTCAGTGTAGTACCTGAATAATGAATTGTTTATTTTAATTATGCTTATTTAATCAAAAAAATGTCATCCATAAAATCTGCCAATCAGAGCATATAAAGAATAAATTTTATATGGAGTCGATACCAATAGCACGTTGATCATCTTAGCTGAAACAGGGTCAGGCAAAACAACTTGTACATAATGCTTAATGAATATTAGAGATACCATAATATTTAATAGAGGCAGGCTACGGCGGAGAAGAGAGAGTGTTGGTCTCACTGCCTAGAAAGATGGCTGCCATTAGTATTGCTTAAAGAGTATCTGATGAAAATGGGACTGAATTGGGATAGGATATTGGTTATAGAGTGAGATTCGAATCGAAAGTGAGTGAAAATACAAAAATTGAATATGTGACTGATGGAACATTGATTTAAATCATAATGGGCAACCCATTGATTGAAGGATATTCAGTTGTAATGCTCGATGATATTCATGAACGCACTTTAAATACAGATCTCTTATTGTGTTTAATCAAGAAGATCCAAAAAAAGAGACCTGAATTGAAAGTGATAGTTTCATCTGCTACTATGGAAGTTGATTTACTGTAAAACTTTTTTCCGAATAGTAAAATCATTGCAATAAGAGGTAGGAATTATGAAGTTGATGTAATTATAATCTAATTGACTTTTAGATCATGTATTTACTAGAACCATGTAAAAATTATGTGATTTCTGCTGTTGAATTGGCATATCACATTCACAAAAAGATGCCTGAAGGTGATATTCTTGTGTTTTTAACATCTGTTGAAGAAATCCATGCATTTATCAATTTATGGTCGCATCATAAGGCTAATTGTGTAGTATTACCACTTCATGCTAGTTTGGGCATTGATAAATAGTTATTGGTGTTTAAATAGCATGCAAGTAGAAAAATAATAGTATCAACCAATGTGGCAGAAAGCAGTGTCACAATTGATGGAATAGTATATGTTATAGATTCATGTTATCAAAAAGTAAAAGTTTATGATTATAAGAGAAGTATCAATAAATTAATTTATTAACATAGACTTGGAATAATTAAATGTATTACCTATTTCTTAGCAATCTGGTGCATAGAGAGCAGGCAGAGCAGGAAGAACGAGAGATGGAATTTGCTATAGACTGTGCACTAAGGAAGATTATCAAAATTTGCCCAAGACTTTCCCTCCAGAAATATTGAGATCTAATCTCACAGAACTCATTTTATAGATTAGAGTAAAAATCACTGACATTTATTTAGTCATTCTCATTAACCCCAAATCATTTACAATGTAGTAATACATTTTTGACTCCTGTTTCGAATGAATAATTAATCAATTGCATTAACATTTTGATGAGTTTAAAATTAATCGATGAAAACTTTTCATTAACAGAATTAGGAAATGCCATAGTTGATTATCCATTGGAAACATAAATGGCAGTTTGTGTTGAAAACAGTTTTCTAGATGAGTATCAATGTTCAGATGAGATGTTGAAAATAGCCAGCATTCTCAGTATACAAGGAGGTATCTTTAGTAGTGATGCCACACCATTACAGATGTTGAAGGCCAAGAAAGCTTTGGGATGTAAGGAAGGAGATGTTTTATCACTTCATAACATATTTGTTAGATATATTAACATTGGAAATAAGGGGAATTGGTGTGATACATACAGGGTATCAAAGCATAAATTAGAATCAGCTGGAAAGATCTACAAATAAATTCAAAAAAGAAGGAAAAACAGGCAAATTAAAAGTTCCATCCAAGATGTAGAGGCTATTTAAAGATGCTTTGTCTCTGGATTCTTCTCTTAAGTAGCATAACGAGAGAATACAGCAAGGGAAGGAGTTTACAGGAATATCTACACTAAATAATTGGTTCATCTACATCCCGCTTCTGTTTTAACTGTTTCATACCCTGAATGGGTAATTTATCATGAGTTGATTGAGCAAAGTAAAGTCTTTGAGATAGTTTATAGATCACAAATTAACCATGCATAATGTTACTGAGCTTGATCCGCATTGGCTTTTTGAGATAGCTCCCCATTTTTATAGAGATGCTAGATAAGAAATTGCAGAGATGAAACACTAATAGGAGAAGGATTAATTAGATAAAATAGAGGCTGAGAAATAGCAAAAGCAATAGGAGTTGCTGATGAATCAAGAAAGCAAAGTGGTTTTTGGGAGCATCAAATAGAGAAAGCCAGGATTTAAAGGATTTGGTTAAACGCAGTTTCCTATTAAGAGTAAGGAGTAAAGGCTTGGCTCATTGTCATTTAATGATGAGGAGGACTTCTGATTTTGATTTATGGTTTTTTATTTGATATTTTCTTAAATCAATGAATATAGCGGAACAAATTGTTTAGAAAAAGAATGAATTTAATAGGTAGATGGAATAAAGAGATATCATTTAAGAAATGGATGATCATCTCAAAAATTTACATGAATCAGATGATGACAGGTCGTTTTATTAAATGTAATATGATTAAAAAGATATTCAAAAACTAATAACTCTCATGTTAAAATACTACAGTAGACAAGAAGATTAAACATATTAAACAAAAAAGTGTTTTTACTTTTACATTTGGAGATACTTTCAAAATCAGGACATTTTTGAAAAGAATTGGGAAATTGAAAGAAAGGATCTAGAAAAACAAAAGCGCTATCCATATAGAAATATGAAGAAGTAACGAAAGATGATTGAAGAATAGATATTTGATTTGGAGAGGAAGGCGTTCTTCTAAAATCGACAAAAACAAATTTTGGTTCAATTATTCAAAAATGCAGCTCGAAAAGAAAGATTAATTAAGACCATCGCATTTCATAGATTTATCAGGAATACTGCCTTAATGAATAATGCAAGCAATTCGAAATACAATACAAATTAGAATACATTTAAATCGACTGTTACTTAAATTTAATAAAATAATGTTGTTTATCAGAAGGAAAATAAATAAAAATCAAGATCGAAATCACCAATTAGCACCAATAATTCCAAAGTGTCTTTGTCTACAAAATCTCAGAATTCCAGAAACAGAGCTGTCTTCAGAATCCTGATTTACCTCCAAAAAGTAGATGATCGATTAAAAAATAAAGTTTCTATATTTTTCTACAAATGGATTAAAATTATAATGTATGTAAGATAACTTGAATAGATTGAAGAGATCAACTCGATAAATGTAATATTAAATTAATAAGTTTTCAAAGAAAGTGTATTAAGAACACAAATTTAATTAATTAAATCAGAAATAGATTCAAAAACATATCTTGCACAAGAATTACTCAATCAATTATTAAAATGACTTACAATTAATTTCTTTTTATGAAATCCAATTATATATTTAAATATTATAAAAGTTCAATTTATAGAAAGTTGAGGAACCTTAAAATTGGTTAGACTTCCCAACTTCATTTCTTAATTTATAGTTCTCGGACTCAAGCTTTTGAGATCTGCAAACTCGTTATTGTTATTAGCCACCAGTTCATCTATCTGCTGATTAATGTTATAATTATTCTGCCGAGCACTTACAATATCAAATTTCTTTATCGACCCATATAAGTCTTCGACTTGCCGCGTAAACCGTAGAGGATTAATCAATATTTCTGTTATGTCCAAAAACTTTTCAATTAGAACAGATTGATTAAGATAGAACTATCTTGCTTTTCCAGATTTTATTAGCCTATAGAAGGTTAAAAAGTTATTAGTTTTATTTTTTGGGGTATCGGATGTGTTGGTATTGACATTGTTTTATTGATGAGTTATACAATTGATCAAATAGAGTCTGTAAAGTATCGATTGGATAGGGAATAGAACAATGTCAAAAATGACTCTAATGATTGTGAAAAAGCCACCAATCTTGGCAGCGACATCCATTAAGGTTTGGTAGGTGATGAAATGAATCCTCTTCTTTGCATCCAAATTGATTTCCAGTTATGCAAAGCTGCTGTCGTCTTCAAAATTTAAGGCCGAATCGATTCCTGTATTTTGATATTCAAATCCATCATGCTGCACATAAGAGGGGAAAAAATAAAAAGGGTTATATTCCAATTAACTCTAGGAGTATTAAAAATAAATTTTTATATATTTTCGAACTTTGTAGTACATTGGTGTAACATCTATATTTTATGCTTTTTCATAAGGGGAATCATCCAATTCTTTGTTAAACTGATGAAACGAGTAAGAGTAATATAGGTTTGCATTTTTGATATATTAATTAATATCCTCAATTGGTGCACAATCTAATTTAATTATAAATTACTATTAGAATCCGTGCTATTCTGACATTTTTGCACTAATGCTCCTAATAAGGTAAAATTATCTTGTCTAGTTGAGCCTTGAATTCTGATTTCTGGATTTTACTTAATGTATTCTTCATCCATACAGTAAGTAATATCTTCATAACCCTTTGGTATATTTAATTACTAACTTATAAAAGTATATTTACTTGTGATATTTCTTGAATTCTGCTACCACAAATTGTTCCTGGTATGTAGGTGCACTCAGTGTCAGTTAATGACTTATTGCAATAGTAAAAACTAATGGTAAATACTCGATTATTATCATTAGGAATGGGTTATCCCAGATTGTCTAATAATCCAACAGCGAAGATAAGCTCAGTTGAATTAAAAGTATAACCCTAAGTTAAATTTCTTCAAGTTACTTCTTCTCCAGATATTACAGCATCCTTAGAATTAAGCATAGCATTTTTTCCTTTATTCATTTCTAAAATAAAGGAATTACAAGAATATGCCAGAATAGAAAATAAAGCCAAAGTCATAAATGCTCCAATGTTTGTTCTGAAAGCGGACTAGCCAGAAGCCAATAGTCTGATTTCTTAACCGAAAATGTCGAATCTTTTAAATCTCTCTTAAACTTGATTCATCTAATTTTTATGATTTAAATCAAAATTTGAAAGATGCTTAAATAATTAGGATTTGAATAGACATTTTACAGAAAGGATTGCGAGAGTAGCTTTTAAAAGAATAGATAAAATTAAGATAGTAAAGAAAGGTAAACCTTCAGTAAAATTGGCTAATAATATGCATCTTGTTTTATAAAATTAAATCATTAATAAATTCTAAAAGTAGCATCGGAACCGCAACTAATAATCATTTTGCTATTGTAATCAAATGCAACATCTTGGACAGCATCTTCATGTCCCTTCAAAGTGTGTTCTTACTATTGAATAAGTGAACAACAAATCATACCTTCTAGGTGGTTTCATTATAGAGTCTGATCTATTAATCATCAGAGCCCACAAGAAGTATCGTGCCACTTTTGTCTAGAGCAACAGCATTGGCAGAATAAGGACCTGCATCAAATTGAGATCTTCCCTTGACCATTCTAACATCCCACATTTTGATAATCCCATCAGCATCGCAACTGGCAATACTGTCTCCCTTTAAAGAGAAGGTGGCGTGATTGACACTATTCAAGTGACCATAGAAGGTTTGAACACACAACCCACTTCTGATATCCCACAATGAAATTGTCTTATCAGCTGAAGCAGAAGTAAAGATGTTTGAAAATGGTTGGAAACTCACATGATTCACAGAATCGACCTTTGAATAATATATGAATTAGTACATGTCCTCTGAATGTATGTCTAGTTTTACCAGATGCTAAATCGAATACTTTGCAAGTGTGATCCATACTAGCACTCACAATGAATTCTCCAGTGTCATTGAATTTAACACCCCAAACTGGTTAAATGTGATCTTTGAATGTATGAGTACACGATGCATTAATGAAATCCCAGACTTTGATTGTACAATCACCAGATGAAGTAACTAGATGACTTCCTTTTGGATGGAAATGAATTCCACTGACCCAATCTTTATGTCCTTCTCCAGACATGATCAATTCACCTTATGGTAAGGTCCAAATTTTCCAAGTGAAATCATCAGAGGCAGTGGCAACAATGGATTTCTTTGGGTGCATATCCATAGATGAGATGGCCATCATATGTCCCTTAAAAGTTTTATTTAGGATGGCATTTCTGTAATTTTGTGGTTCTATTTGAGTACCTGCATAAGGATTGGGTCTATCATCAGGAGGGAATGCAGTATTGGTTTTGGTTGAAGCCTTCTTGGTGTTGGCCTTGGTATCGACTAAGGGAAGTTTATCAGTGGGACTTCCTGGCTCTTTTTCTTTATTGATCTTTTCTTCAACCTTTTATTAATTATTATATAAGATATACATTTTATAAACTTCTTTGGAGTGCATCATTTTTTGCCACCAATCTATCTCTTTCTAATTTCAATAACATCTTTTCTTTCATGGCGTGGGAATACTTTTAGGATAGTTCTTCGTATTTTTCCTCGTATTGTTAGTGCAATCCTTTCAGCTTATCAATATCATGATTCAATTTCCTTTTTTCTTATTGCACTCTATGATGATGCATTTTGTGGAAATCCCTTTCTTTTCTGAGTTTGTCATATGTGGATTTGGCATTTTCAGCCACAATTTTAGCTTTGTCCAACTCTCCTCTTACATATTTGAGTTCTTCTTTAAGTTTTTCATTTTAAACATAAACATCTGTTACTTAACCCATTCCATCTGTAGCCAATTTGCCTTTCTATGATAGTTCGTACCATTCTTACTAGAATAATTGATGATGAAAAATACCTGAAATACTTCCAGACTTCGATTCATTTGATTCTTGATGAGGAAGTTACGAATAAAGTCATCCACAACTTCTGGTCTCTTTATAACACCTGGTGGTTTTGGCTCGGGGGGTTCTGCTCTTATTTTGGGCATGAAGTCATCCTCTAAGTAATTATCTAATAGGAATCTTACTTTTCATAGTAGTGATTATCTTATCTAAATCATTGAGGTTTTCTTCTTCATGTTTGATGTCATTCAATTCATCCAAATCTTCCAAGTCTTCAGGTTCACTCTCACTGCTCATCTCGATTGCTACATAATTCACATTATAAGTGTACGTTCAATCACAAAAAACTAATTCTAACTCTCCTCAGCTTTGTTCATTTATTTATTTTATATATGTATATATATTTATATTATTATGATATATTAATAACTATAACCTATTAACGATCAATAACAACCAGTCTAAATTTCTCCGGATTACACATTCACCTCATTGCCTCAAACTAAATGTATCTATCATCCTAAATTTATAACACATTTCTGCAAAAAGACATCATGCTTAATGCCTCTATGTGACACTTGTTTGGGAACTCATTCTCCCCAACATTCCAAATTTAGTAAGTCATATTTCAAGCCTATTATTAAGTCGATTCTATCCAAAACACTCTGACTCAAGTTTATCGTGGCTATGCCAAAAGGGCCAATGAAATTGCCTTACATCAAAGACATGATTTTTTATAATTGCGCCAAGATCTCCATAAATTGATCGATGCAATTTTTGAAGATCTCCTCAGAAAGGCTGATTAAAATTATCAACCAGATTTAGTCTTTGAGTGGAGAAATTTAATATCCAAATTGGAAAAGCTTAAGGATTCTCAAACTTGCATGAAAGAAGCCATCCTATATTTTGTTGAACCAGATCAAGGGTATCATGAACCTTAATTAACTTATTAAAATAATCCAATCCAAATAAATCAATTCTCATTATAACAAGTGAAGTTACACTTGAATAGATTATTTACGGTAGCTTCTAATAATGGAGAATTTTTAAACCTTAGGGATAATGAATGGCAGGAAGATAATCCTATTAGAAGAGTCTCAAGCATAGTGGATGATTCAGTAGTATATTCATTATATAATTATACTGATAGTAATCTTCCTAATAATAATATTAATAATAAAAATAATAATAATAATAATCCTAATTATAATAAAAATCATAATAATCATCATTAAATTGATAATACTCCTGCTTAATTTGATTAGAGTCCTATAAGATTAGTGCTGCCTATAGAGGAACAATATACTATTCAAAGTCCTGCTGGTATTCAGTATGCACAACCCATAGTTCGGACTCCGTACACAGTTCCATCGGTTTATACAATCTCAACAGTGAGACCATTCAAATAGGTAATAAAAATTGGTAATATCTTATAGAGCAGGGAATTCAGTTATGCTTTTCCATATGTCTAATGAAAGAATGATTTTTGATTAATAAAACATAAATTTAAATAAGTATTATTATTATAAATGGTAAAGATTATATCAATTTAATTTGATACTAATTATTGTAATTCTTATAAATTAATATTATTTATTAATATTTAGAATAGTTGGGAGGCCATAAATTATAATAGGTATTGATGTTTTATGATTTTGATGTTTATTGAAATAATTAATCACTATTTATTATTTGATGAAAGGATTGTTTTTGCTCATAAATATATATTTCGCAATAGGATTATTGATTTGTAAAGACCAATCGGGTTTAACTTTGTAACTAGATAAATCCATCACAATACCAAACTACAATTGCACACTGAATGTTAGTAACGATAAACTAATCAATATGACATCCTTGGGTGGATAACTAAAAATTATAGGAACTGAATTGCTTTTGAATCAGAACATCCTTTTGCAAGGTTTCCAACTAGTCGAATTTCAGAATATAACAATTAACACACAAACCAAAATGCTATCAATATCAACATAAGTTCATCTGAACAATGTTACTCTTACAAGTAATTGCTAAATCAATGCAACCAAAATATTCATTCGACAGACTATCATGACTAAGATGATTTTCTAGTACAACCCAATCTTTGCTTCACCAGTAGACGTAGATGGACTGATTATATCTAACACTACTTTTTTTAGAAGTTCTCTTGTCCAATAACTGAGTAGATTACGCAATATTCTATTCGATTAAGTCAGCTTTATCAACTCAACATTGGCCACAGTTGCATTACTCAGAAGTATCACAATTAATAACTCCTTTGTAATTTAAAGTATTTTGATTGTTACAGACATTTCATAAGAAATTACTATTCAAAATTCATACTTTACTCTTTCTACAGCTTTACAAGTGAGTGGAGCCCTATACACAAATATTAATAATGTAACATTCTCTTAAAGCCATTTGATGATGATGCAAAGCAACAATTAAATATAAATAGTTGGAAATCGATTTCATACTATAATATCAGACTCAAAACTACTTTTTGCTGAAAGTAAATATATTTAAATGTTAAATACTTCTATGATTAATGTTCAATCAGAGGTACTCTTAGATTTCAATTCACAAAATATCCTCCTCAAAAAGTTTACTTTGCAGAGGGTTAAAGGAAGTTTAATGATAAATAATTATTCTTCCAGTAATGTCATGATAACTCAAATCACAATCTAATCTTGTGAGTCGGTTGATCCCTTTTTCTCTACCAATGGCACTTTATAAATTTATAAAGGAAATTTTGATTCTACCTTAGGGACAATATTCAACAAAAATTCATTAAAAGAGCTTTTAATTGATTAGGTAAATTTCACCAGGATATTTAATTCAACTTTAATTAATGTAAAATAATCTTCTTTAGTTTAAATCACCAACATGTTAGTTTTTAATTGTTCATCAGTCTCAGTAGCCAAATTATCTAATAATGTAAACGTAGTCGTAAATATGGTTACGCTGTAGAATTGCAATGAATGTAATTTTCTGTGCGTTAAAAATTCACAAATTAAACTTAACCTAATTAAATTATTCGAAATAAATAACTTCCAGATTCCCTTGATTGCTATTAAAAAATCCAACTTTGTAATTAAGCAGAGCCAGATATTCAATGTTACTTAGAATAATAAATAAGTCTTAAGAATTGAAGATGGCTCCAAGGTTATATTACATGATTTTTAATCTTACGATATTACTTGTCAATTTTGCGATGGGGTTATTGTTATTAAGAATTGTAGCTATACTGAAATTAAACAATGTAATTTCAGAAATTCAATATCTTTGTTAGGCTTCATCAATATTCAAAATAGCGACAATCTCATTGCTTAAAGTAATATATTTACAAATCTTACTGGTAATGAGGGATCAGCTTTTGTAATAACAAATTCTTCTGTAAAAATCTTCGAAAACCAATTTAATAATTTGTACTCTGCAGATGGTGGAGTAATATCCTTCAATTAAACAGGAGATGCTACACATTATATTGAGCTTAATTCATATGAAAATTGCAGTATTAAAAACGATAAGTAGATTCATCTAATCACAAATTAAATTGTTGAACCTGATATTAATACTTACATCAATGGACCTGTGTACATAATCTTGCACAATACAACTTATTTATTAGATCATTTGATCAAAAAGAACACAATAATAAAGTTTGAATAACTAAAGAGTGGATAGATGATTCAATTCATCATTACAATCTTAGATAGTGGAAAGAATAGATTATGTAATTTTAGAAATTATCTGACAATAAATTTCAAGATATTCCAATTCAACTCTCAAAAATGCTAATATGAAATATCTTATTCATAGTATCAGAGTTTACCTAAAAATCAATAAATAGAATTATAAATAGAATTCCCGCAATTTGAATTCTATAATGATACATTCAAACTATCGATTTATTTAAATATGATCGAATGTGAAATTGGTGAGGCTTGGATGAATTAGACATGTTTACGATGCCCAGCTGGAACATACAGTCTGACGAACTTCAAATAATGTTAATAATGCATTACATCCATTGAATTATGTCCTGGAGGGTCATAGTTGAAGATTAAGAAAGGGTATTGGAGACCCAACAACTTAACTGATTAGATAGAATACTGTGGAACCTTTTAATCTTCATGTTAAGGGGGAGAACAGAACTTCACTTGTTCTTAAGGCTACATTGGAGCTTTATGTAATGATTGCGATTATTATGCTGTATAGTGGAATGCTTCATATACGAGGAATCAGGGTGGAAATTGTTCTTTGTGTGAAAATGATGCTTTTAACATTTTAAAGATATTTCTATCATTTTTGTGGATCTTAGTTGCATTATTTATATCAGTCAGGGGGAGCCTGAAATTAGTGAGATCACAATTATCAGCCTATTATCTAAGGATGATGGGAATCTTTTTTGCAACCAGATCAACAATGTTTATTGATTAAACTGAAATTCTGATTAAATCAGTTTCAAGCTATTTCCAATTGATTTCTATGAGCTTGATAATTGAGTTTGAGTTTCCAATGCCAATAGTATTTTTGGCTTAGGTAATAGGCAACCCTTTATCCACAATAGGATACTCTATTGAGTGTTTTCTATTGCATTCCAATGTCGATATTGAGATAGTGTATTTAAGATAGTTTTGGAATATGTTTTTTTCATTGCTGTTTGTGATTTCATTTGTGTTTATATACAGTCTAATAAAATGTTGTAAGACATAACCATTGGAAGATTCAACAAGGAATATTTTCATAACTAGTGTCATTCAAGTAAACTTTTACTTTTAAGGGGACATCATTGAAGGATTATTGAAACTGATGTTCTGCATCAAAGCCTCAGGTTAATATTACATCCAAGCTGCCACATCATACCTTTGCTATACTGATGAGTACTACTTCTATTTATAGGTGTTTATAATCCCCACTCTGCTGATTGTAGGAGTGATCTCTCCGGTCTTTTACATAGTGAAGTTGTATATGAATAAGAACAAGTTGTGGACTTGCAAATTGAGAATGCAGTATGGTTATTTATATGTGGAATATAAGGATAGATACTATTATTGGGAGTTCATCTGCTTTTTTGTGAAATCGATATTCTATTTGTTGAAGACTCTTTTGATTTAGGATATCAATTTAATGTTCCTGTTTGCAATATTAATATTGCTGGTTTACCTTGAGTTGTTGACTCAGCATTAACCTTATATTGAGAAGCAATACAACTTCATTGATAAGGTATCCACTTAACTGGCCATGATCACCTTGATTTGCACTTACAGTCAATATAGGAATCCTTACAGTTGGATGGTGTATCTGTTGTCGATAACATGTTCAAGTCTTAATCTTCTTTATTGCTCGTATATAGCAATGAAGATCATAAAGGAATATTTGTCTGGGTTGAAACAGTAACATTTAGAGAAGATAGTTAATTTGGTTATCAGATATCCTTGTCTCAAGTATTGCATCAAGAAACCCAAGAATTACCATGCGAAACGAAAGGCGTGTTATTTGTGGAAGAAGGCCAGAGTTTACGTTATGGAATTCATTGGAAAACTGAAGTTACAAAAATCAAATCTGGATCTAAATTCTTAATTTTAGATTCACTCCAATAGACCCAATAGCTCATCCACTTATACTACTATAAGTTTATTGAATTCGATTGCACCTCAGTTAGTAAAATATATGTATAGCTAAATAAATATACAATAGAAAGTTCGATCGAAACAAGTTGAATTAGAGAGCAATAGAGTAGAATGAATTCGCAAGTGTGATATCGGCGTATATTGATCCTGAAAATCCTTAGAGGGCAGATGATTTTCAATTGCCAAAGAAGAGTACTATATCTACTATTTTTGGTTATGTAAATGATAATAATATAGAATGATGTTTAAATTACTATATATTAGTTAAATTCATTTGGATTTCTTGTTGGTTTGTGTTTACAATTATTATTTTTATTAGAAAAAGAGATCTGCTTGTTTGAGTTTTTAGACATATTTTTCTACTCGTTCAATTTGGTCATTCAATACTGTCCATTAAAAGGTCTGCTTGTCTAATTTGATAGATGGATTGTACCCTTTAAGTCCTTCTTCATCTCTTCGATTGACTTATTAATTTATTCTTGCATTGGTTATATTTTACGTTCTAGTTCTTTAAAAGTGGCTTTATTGGCACTTTGAGTATCAAGAATGATGTGATTCATGTATTCTAATTGCTAGACACGTAAACCAAGACTATCCAATTCTGCATTGATGGATTTCTTGAATTAATCTTCTTCTGCGGTATCAACAGTTTCACTCAAGGATTCAGCTCTGGAATGAGCCACTTGATGAGAAAAGTGTTTGACCAGAACATCCTACATGTTTTCGATATCTTGATGCATACGCGCGAGTTTGTCATTAACCTAAGATAAGTGAAGGAATACGTCTTGCATGATGGAATTGAGTTTGCATTCAAACAATTCTTCAATCAAGTTGATAATCACATTAATCAATTCTTCTTTGAATTGCATTATTAAAATTATTAATGAGCTTTTCTACAACATGCGATTTCGATCACTCTAAAAATATCCATCGTAAATTTAACACTCTACATGTGTCATCCAGAAAAAATGCAGATCCTTTGGTGACTACAAAACCATTCGAAACACGTAATCATGGATAGCAATTCGAACAGCATTTTGCCCATTACTTGAAAGGTGACTTGAATCTCCAGAGACTAATCCAAACACTCAACTACCCAAGACTCAATGCAGAACAGCAACTCTAACCAAAACATAGAATGACTCTCAAAATACGTCAATAGACTGAACAAAGAAAAAACTACCTAAAGAGTAAAATTGTCAAAGTTCGTAACCTTATCAAAGAGAAGGTAGCAATCAAGAAACCTCACAATGAAGAAATAAGGCAAGCCAATGCTCAGACTCTCACCATAGTATAAACTATTTTGGACATCGCCAATCACAAAGAGAATTCCGTCGGATTTCAAGAGAAATTGATACCCAAAACCAAAAACTTAAAATAATATCGACTCAATTATGACAATGTTGAACCCGTGTGCAAATTGCAATAATAAGTCATTCAAACCATCCCTCCCAGATCCTATCTAAAGTCAGTGCTTGAAAACAATGCCCAACTCTATCTCCAAGAATTACAAACACAAGCCGAATAACATGAGAACAATATCAACAAGATTGTACGTCTCAGCATCCAAACTAAACGGAATGACTTCACTCTGTATCACAAGGCAGCCAAAACTGATCGCAGAAATCAAGATGGCATCTTAACTCACGCTGATGTTCAATTGTACGATTATTTATACAACAAACCCAAGGGAGTCATGATTGAAAAACATCCCAAATACATCCAAAATGTCATTGATTCGGAAGTCGACTATAGAAAGAACTTCGGCAGGAAAGTACTCACTCATAGAGTCAAAAGAACTCATTACAATCAGGATCCGCCTGAAAATCCCGATGATTCTTGTGCTTCTTCGTTACAATCTGCTTGCGAAATCAAATTGGATAATTATTATGCTGAAACCAGAGAGTGGAAACGCAAACAATATCTACAATTACCCAGACGTATCAAATAATTGATAGCCCTAGAAGAATTGAATTAGTAATTCTCACCTATTCATCTAGGAAAGCCATCTATACGACAGTTAATAAATTAGAAACTTAATGACAATATACATGATGACAATTTAATTTTTAACGTTTAATAAAATTATGTTCTTAAAACGCGAAGCTCCACAAAGTGCCAACAAATTCAACTCAAATAGGTAAACCACCATCATCTATCCATTCAGAAAGGACACCAGAGCACAAGTGCCCTCCTTCGAGAACCTTCAAGCAAGAATCAGAGACTTCTCCTACTCCCGTCTATCCAATGTTGTTGCCACCTAACCTCAAAGGAGTGAACCCACTTACTCCCCTTACAAAGCTCAAGGCCTTCAATAAAAGTACCCAATACATTAACCCTCAGAATTACCGATACTCTCGGACCACGCACTAAATCCTTCAATAGTGGACACAAGTGGAGAGAATCCTTCCAATCTCCTTCCATTTCCTCACAATCCCCCTTCAAATTTGCTCAATCCCCACCCTAAATCAAATACAGTATAGAAACTGAATCATACACCAAACCTTCTGATTCCTTCAAATATGACTCCTTTCGTACTTCCTCTGAGCAATTCAAGAAAAGACAAGGACGCAGTCTAGCAGATGTTGTTTAATTGAATGAAATCGTGGCACTCAGAAACAAAATTGAATCATCCTACGTCAGCAGAAGTTAATTGACCTCCACTTATGTAAGTGAACTAGTTAAGTTAGCCTAAGCAATAACTACTTCATTAAAAAACGAATGATTATTTTAATATACTTTTATAAATCCATACTCACAGTATCTAAATATTATATTAAACAACCTCATTACTGACTCCATAAATATTTCATAATAAAGTTATATAATAATTTATTTTGGCGTTGTATCTTGAATACTTAGAAAATGTAGAGCAGAATAAAGGTTGATGGTTTGAGTTTAGCAAATTAATGATTAACAAATTCTAAAATATTAAAGTAATTGGGATTATACACTATTGTTGTTAAGGGATTGGAAAGAATTTACTGAATCTGTAAGGGTAGAATTCATCTTAAAATAGAGATAGTTTGTAATCTAAAAAAATGAATTTGCATATAAACGGAATAAGAAATAACAGCTCGTCTTAGAAAACCAAGAACTTTAGGATGTTAATATGATATGAGATTATTGTGTTGAATTAAAAAGGAGAATGTTAGATCAGAAAACATTATAATCATTATTAGCCATTGATGAATTTAAACAGAAATGTTTGAATGACTTTAGAATAAATAATAATGATTAGTTTTGGCTTCTTTATTTTTTTTCAATCAATAGATTTATTCTTAAATAACTAACCAGAATCAATTGATAACGAATATGCTATATTGAAATTATTCAAGACACCATAAATTATTAAAGGTTAACTATATATAATGAGTTTAATTTGCCATATGAAAATGATCTCCTTGTATAAATAATGATAACAAAAATATTAGCTACTCCTTGATACTTGTAACAGTAATTGACTAATTTTTATTAATTAGTTAAAAAAAATAATAAAAATTAATTCAATCAGCACAATCATCGATTCCTCCAGGTGATATGGTGTATTACTCTTCTGATTCTGGTAAACATGGAGAATCGTAAATCTTAACAATTCTATTCTCTCCTCTTCCTTTTCTCAAGTACAATCTTGTTGTGGATGCATGAGCCATGATATTACCTCCAATGGGTTTCTTTTAATCACCCATTGCCATCATTGTACCTTCAACTTAACTCATCACCTGATTAGTTATTACAACTGCTACATTGAACTAAAAGTTAGCTTTAATAATAGTACTTCATCTGCCAATCTCTATAAATTCCTCAAGAATTTCCCTAGATGATTCTATCTTGCTGATAACTCTCCTCTTCCCAAATAGTCAGTTCTATACAATGCTGTAGCACTATCGACTATCAACAAAGCATATTTATCTGTAGACATTAAATTACATGCTTGAACTAGTAACTTCATTTATTCATCTACATTATAAGCCCTCGCAAATGAGACATTCTCTAAGACTTCCTCTATTCCCAATTCAAATCTCTTTGCAATTTCACTCAGTCTCTCTGGTCTAAAAGTTCCTTCTGTATCAATATATAGACATTTGCCACCTGGTCTTCCTCTTGCATCATTCATTTGACAAGTGACTGCTAACGTGTGACAAATTTGAGACTTCCCTGTTCTAAATTCGCCGAATATCTCTGTAATTCCGCCAGTTTCAATGCCTCCTCGAAGTAATTTATCAAATTTCGTGCTCCCTGTTGAAATGTGTACTATTCTTTCTCTTTGTTTAAGAACATCTGTAGCTGGTTTAAATTAGTTTACTACTAGTTTGGCCACAGCTTCAACCAATTTCTCAATCTTGGCATCAGTCATGCCCTTAATATTCATCAAATTCTTTTTTGCAGTGTAGGCAATCGATTCACATGTTGTAAATCCTGCATCTTTTAATCTCTGTATATCTACAGCTCCAAATCCTGGGATTGCTAACTTTTCTAAAGATGTATAAGTAATCACATCTTCATATTCATCCTCCTCAATTTATTCATTTTGCTGCTTTTGCATTTTTATTTTAGTTCAAATTTAAATTATATTTCGTGCGAAAAATATATTTAAATTGCATTCTTATTTATAATAAGAAAAAAGATCTTAATAATTATCATAATCGATCTGGAATTAAATTATTGTTAGAATAATCAATTAGAGAATAATACCAAATACAAAATTGAATAGCAATCTTTCGTTTCTAAGATATAATCTTTTTAATACAAAGATGTTATAAAAACTAACATTTAAGATAAGCAGATTCTTATGAACAAAGTTTATTTCAATATATATGTTATCTATTAATTTTCTCAAAAAGATTATTACTTTATTATAAATATATATCTATAATCTATTTTAATATTTCTTCTAAAACTATATAGTACTAATAGAGTTGTTTTAATTTGATAAGAAGATAAGAATTATTAGTTAATAAGGATTGTATGAGTTGAATGTGAAAAAACAAAATTATTAATAAATTTAATAATTCAAATCTAAGTCAACGATTATCTTAGGTATTTTGCAGAAATATTTTTCTTCAAAGCATGGCTTGCTCTCAAGTCTAAGTATTTTGGATGAATTTGTTTGTTTTGGGAAATGGTTGATTGAGTTTGGTTTTATGATCTGTTTGCTTGTAATTTCTCTTAAAGATTTGATTTCCAATCAATTTATCTGAAATAGAAGGGGGAAGATCTATCAAAAATGTCAATATTTCTTCTTAAAATCTGAGGGGAAAAAGTGCATTCTTCTAGTTCTTTTTGTAACTTAATGGATTGGGAATCAATCAATTCAGAGGACTGTCTTCCTCTATCTACAGTAGTTTTGGACATAGAAGCAATGACTCGAGAATTGGAGGTGATTTAGGGTGAAAATGGACATGACTGTTAGAATTTGGCTTCCAATTAGTGAATCAATTGTTATTGTTTTTCCTTTTTGTGTTATAAAAATTATTAGCCCAATTTATACATGTCAGTATTTTATTTGAAGGTTTTGCGATTAGAGCTTGCACTTGTCAGCATTTGTAAACAAGATGAAGAGGCAAAGTCGGAAGTCGATTAAATCTGTTTGTTGAGTTTTTTGGCTTTGATTTTATTCAATGAGGACACAGTGTGTTTCTAGTTGAAGTCATTCGGGATGAGATCTATAAAGCTTGAAGAATTGTATATATTGATATTCATCAAAGAATAAATTATATATTAAAAATCAATTCAATTTTAATTATTTTCTTTACTTGTCATATATTTCCTGTTCCAATTCTCCACACACAACCTCCAATTAAGCATTGCTCGTCAAGACATCCTGAACCTTCGCTTTTAAGCTGTCCAACTTATATTTGACTTCATTCTTAATATGAGGTCAATGTTACCTATTCGTATTTACGTTAAGCATTGATGTGATTCAATTCTTGCTCTTGATTGGCAATCTCCTTACACAACCTGCTCTTCTCATTCTCTTATGATTTGAGCAACAACGCCCATGATTCTTTGCCATACTTATTGAGCAATTCAGAATTTATAATGCTTAAAGTATGATGATTTTGAATTACTTAATTTGTGCATATTGATTAAGTACATTTAATTACTGATTGGCCTCTTGGATTTCATGAGTAGATTAAAACTCTTCATTGAAATTTGGCTTCTATTCGAAATCCACTTTAGCCATTGGTTATTGGAGCTAGACTCTTTCCATCTCTGATTTCAATAGGTCCGTTATCTTGGTTTAAGGCATGGGCAATTCATGCAAGTAGTCTTGGGGGTCCATGTTTTGCATTTCTTATTGAATCATGCGATCAACCTAGAATAGGGGAACATTCAATACTATATTTTGAGTTTTGGTGTCCAAGTCCCCATCAATGTAGGGTAGGACATTCACAAATCCTTGGTATGGATGTCTGTATACCAGTGGTAATTTGGAGGAGGGTAGAGCAAAACTCATTTTAATATAAATATTGAAATGGATCTATACACAATTCCAACTCGGAAACTCAATAGGTTAGCCAAGAAAAGGAATCAGACTCTCTGTGATTTCTCGATTTGCGGGAAGGCATCTCCCATTAACAAGAAAGTGGATGTTTAGGGTATTGGCTCTAGTAGATTTCCAACTCAAGATGAGAGGAAGGGCAAGGAACAGGCAATCATGTGTGACCTATTTGAGAATGTTCAAATCAACAGGAGTTTCAATTTCAAGAGTTAGAATACTAGTTTATACAATCATCAAACCAGGTTGTTCACACCGGAGACAAGAGTATTAAAAAGGCGAAAGAACGGGAAGGTGTTGTTTCAACCGATCTCTCGCTAAAGTTCTCCTCAAAGAACATACGAATGTCCAGCTGTATTAAACATCACATCGTACATGAACAGATAACAACCTAAAGTGAGGAGAGTGATTAATTTAAATATGTTGATGGATGATTAGGAATAGAGACCATTTTTTTCAGATAAAAGATAAAATTTATATGAATTTCTATAAAATTATTACTAGTGATTATAAAAATTGATGGAGAACGAATTATCTGCTCCGACACAATATAAAAAAGAGCTCTTTATTTTCAAAGAGTTCCTTGATGGAATGAAAGAACTGTGCAATAAGTACCAGGAGATTTTGCCACATGTGAAACCAATCAGGAAGAGACCTAAGAAATATAAAAAAAGAAATAAAGATCCTTAAGCTCCTAAAATGCCATAATCAGCATTTATTTTTTATTTCAAAGCCATGAGGTAAAAGTATAAAGATGATTATAACGGTAGAATTAATACTCATTAATAGATACACCTTTCTAAGAAATTACATCCATGATTGCCAAAAGGTGGAAAGAATTAAGCCCAGATGAATAAGAAGTAAATATCTTTATATGGTAGCCGTATTAAAAACAATCAGAAGAAGACAGAAGGAGATACAATGAAGAATAAAAATAATACTCAGTTATCTCTTAATAATAATTCAGCAAATATCTGTAGAAGAAATTCTTAGAGAATTAACAAGATAGCGACTAGGAAGACATTAAACCAAAATAGGAAGTAAGCGATGAAGATTCATTTGGAGGAAACATAATCTAAAATAATTCTTGAATTTTTATTTCATAGCTTATTGAAATGAGCAAATATATTAGAGTTCAACTCTACATAAATATATCTTAAACCCTAGCTATTTATAGAACTTATATCATAACCTAATAATATTCATTATGTTTTCCACCCGAGTAATTTATAATAGTGTTGTCACATTAATTATATTAATTTATAATATCTGTTAAAATCCTTCTATTATTTGGAGTTAAAAATAATATCGAAATTGCGATTTTCAACCTCTCATTTTTTATTTATGTATGGTACTAAAATGAAATTTGCTAGACTTGATAATATCCTATATTAAAGAAAGGATTATCGAGTTAGTAAAATACTATATAATTTTAAACATAATTATTCATCCTTCATTTTGTGAAGTTCATTTCGTCCTAACCGATAGTAATGTCTGCATATATGTTAATTAATTTGATATGACTAAATATTACTAGAATTCTAAATTTTATCAAAATAGACTTAGAGTAATTATAAATTCGATATATATTTTAATTAATGAAGGTATTTCATGGATTTTACACTACCAAATAATTTGGATTTGAAATAGAATATTTCACTCTAGAACTTTGTCTGACTTTAGAAATATTGATGATTAATTTATGTTTTATTATCATTTTAGAATAAACTACTTTAATTGATTTATAGCTTCGTAATCTTCTGGAACATTTGTAGCAGTTGTGAATTTGAACCTGGAATTACTATCTCCATCCACTAAATAAGATTAGAAAGATACTCTTTTGAATGATATCTTCCAATCTCTTCTCCATATCCAATGTTTTTTAAGGGGAAATAGTTTCAACCGATTTTTCAGAGAACTACTGTGGATGTTGCATCAACATAGTCTCCTCATTGGTGTGTTGTTGTTGAGGCTAGTCCAAATGACGATCGACTATTTTATAGGCTATCATTCGGTCTAGTATATTTTGGGTGTTCAGAAAGATGGATTTTTAAAGAGCAGCTTTGTAATTAATTTTGGTGTAGAATTTTTTGAAATTGATTTAAGCTAATCTTTGAGAGTAAGAGAATAACCATTTGGAATTGTTCATTTCTTCCTAAGGTGAGATAAAGGAGTATTAGTACTTTTTTAATAACTTATGTTGATTCCTTGTCTTTTGGATGTTAGTGCAAATAAACACAATCTTTGATTTTACACTGTTGTCCTTTCAAGAAATTGGTACAGTATTTGGTGGTTCCAAAAGAGGCTTTGACCAATCTTTCATGCAAAGGAAATCCTTCACAAGCCGATAAGTTATTGTAAAATGCTTACTAGTATGGCCATTGATGCTTCCTGTTCATTACGATATGTAATGTAGGCTGCATGAGAAGGTGGATTGAAGGTGTTACTCTAGATTACAATCAATTTTTAAATCTATCCATATTATCCAAAATATTCTGGTTTTCTAAGCAACTTGCCTAAAATGATATAGCATACTTCCTCTTTGGCCAAAGTAGGAGCCAAACCAATCACATAAATGAGATTTCTGCAAATGATTCGTATTTCTCCAAGTAAACTTTTGTTCTGCAGATTTAATTCCCTGAAGTTATACAGAAACCGAGGAGACTCTTATTGATCATCACTATACTATTCATCTGAATTGTCCGAATTTTGCATTTAATTATTATATTATTTTAGATATCAATGTTCCTGCGCTGCTAAGATTTTATTGAGAGTTTCCTCCAACACACCCAGAACATCGTTTTCAGTACCTTCCCTTGCTCTCTTCTCCTCGTCGATTTCCCTCTTTATCCGATTCACAACATCCTTCAACATCTCAAACAAATTCTGCTCACTCTACTGCCTACTGATCCTTTCCGCATGGATTAACTGTGACAACCTCTGCAATTCATCATGCAACTTCCCACTAATGTTTCTGTCCATCTCCTCTCTCTCCTTTATGTTTGTTTGCAACATCTCCTATAACTATGGCAAATCGCTCTACCCTCTACCATATTCACAACCATACCTCCAAACAACCATTGATCTCCTTGATCTACTCATTTCTCTCATGCTTCTCAAAGTTTACCTGCTCTCGCAACTCTTAAATGTCCTATTCTACTTGCTCATTGAATTTCTATTAACTCTCCTCCCTTAACTTACTAAGTTCTTCTAACTACTGATTGACACTCTCCTCTGCCTTCTTCATATCCTCAATCATCTGTTTTTCATCCTCCTATTTTTGTTCTTACTCCTTCAACACTGAATGAACATATTCCAATCCTTCCTTAATCTTTGCCACCTTCCCCTCCAAAGTTTCTCTCAAGTCCTTTATTGCTGTTTCCATTATTTCTACTCTCTCCTCTGCCTCCTTTATTCTTTAAGTCTATCAAAATCAATCACTACTCCATACTTAATCCTTCCTTCCCAAATGAAGTTCATTCAACTAACCAACTATTTTCTCAGCCCTACTTCTAGTAGGAGAGTACGTTCTGCTCATCAATAAAAGTTATTTAATCAAATTAAAATCCCTTTACTAACTTACTATTACTAAACAACTCTGTTTGTTTTATTATCTTAACTCCACTTCCTTTCTGTTTCATAAGAATTATACTTCTCTTCTCTATCTATTTAATAACAATCTCATTACATAAATTTACATTTTTAAACCAAATTTAGATGGATTAAATTAATCCAATAAATTATAGTTTTGTATTCTTAATATTAAATTAAATAAAACTCACTTAAATTTATGTGAACCTATGCTTAGAATATAGTATTAGGAAAAATAATTATCTAAGTAGCTTATATAAGTGCAATCATATTTCACATAGAATATAAATAATCATTTCATGTTTTTCAAATATTATTTAGGTAATTTAATGCAACTTGAATGAAAACACTAAATCCTTTCTGAATTCAGGAATTGATTCAATAATTGTCCCTCCAATCTATATTCCTTTTCTCTTTAACGTTATTCTAATATTATTCATTAGTTGTGAGTGGAGTGTAAAACATAAAATACAATAAATTAATTAGATTTTGATACAATTTTACTTAAGTGGATATGTTTCTTAAGTATAATCCATGAGTCAGTAGAAAATAAAATCACTATTATTTATTCTAAATTATTTAATTAATGACCGAAACTATTGAAAACTTAAGGGATTTCAACTATTTCAAATTAAACACCAATACACATGTGTTGGTAGAATATATTTGGATAGATGGTACTGGAGAGAGGCTGAGATCCAAAACCAAAGTGTACGATACACCAATTAAAAGTCTGGATGATGTTGAATGGTGGACCTTTGATGGTTCATCTACAGATCAAGCAATCACAAAATTTAGTGAGATTTTCCTGAAGCCTGTTTGTATGGTGAGAGATCCTTTTCGTGGAGATCCACATAAATTTGTATTATGTGAGACATACAAGCCAGACCGTAAAACACCAGCACGTTTCAATTTTAGATGGATTGCTGAAAAAATTATGTAAGAAGCTAGCGAGAGCGACCCTTGGTTTGGCATAGAATAAGAATACTTTATGTTAAAGAGGACTGGCACAACTCATTTGTGGCCCTTGGGATGGCCAGTCGGAGGCTTTCCATATCCTTAAGGAAGATATTATTGTTCTATAGGAGAACGTAATAATTTCGGAAGGGCTTTGTCTGAAGCACATCAAAGAGCCTGTCTTTGTGCTGGTCTGAAATTATCAGGAATAAATTCAGAGGTAGCTCCTTCACAGTGGGAATTTCAGATTGGTATTGCACGTGGTATAGAGGCAGGGGATCATTTATGGTTAGCAAGATACATATTGGAGAGATTGGGTGAAGAGTTTGGGATTGATATCAATTATGATCCAAAGCCCATTCAAGGAGATTGGAATGGCACAGGGGCTCATTGCAATTTTTCAACAACGACCACAAGAGAGCAGGGAGGGTATGAATACATAAAGGAATTTATGTTGCCACTTTTGGAAAAGAATCACCAAAAAATGATGTTGTTGTATGGGTTAAACAATGAAGCGAGATTGACTGGCAAACATGAGACTGGAGAATACAATTAATTCTCTTGGGGAGATGGCTCTAGGGGATGTTCCATCAGAGTGCCAATAATCACAAAAGAATTAGGCAAGGGGTATTATATGCTTGTGTAATTGTAAGGTATTTGGAAGATCGAAGACCTGCAGCCAATATGGATCCATATCTTGTATGTAGTGCATTGGTTGATGCGACTTGCATGAATGGGAAGTATCTTATGACTTTAATTGAATAATTTGCTGAATCATTAAAGCAATTATGATAATGTTAATTAATTCATATAATCATGAAAAAATTTTAGTTTTTCGACAAAAATATCAGACAACAAAGACCAGAGTTGAATTTCTGCACCTTCAATTATGTCTTTGCTGAGTATTTTCATTCGATATACACTTAGATACATTTGCTATTTGAAGAGGAAGCATGGGAATGATTACAATGAAATGAATTCAAAGATGGAACAATTGGGAGTGTCAGTTGGAATCAGACTCTATGAGGTAGTCAGTTTGAGAGAAAGAAATAAGAGGGAAACTAAATTAGTTGAACAATTGAGATTCATATAAGGGATTGTACATTACATCTGCATTCGTAGTTTTGGAAGCATCTCTTTGGGAGACAAGCAGAGTCCATTGAAAAATTAAAGGACAGACCCAATGATTATCTAATCCGAGATGAAAATCCCCTACTTCTTAAGTACATCTCGGAAGAAGGGCACATTTCACCTGCATAATTTATGTGTGGAATTTTGAAAGTATGAAATAATTAAAATTTGGTAAGGGAGTCTTGAATGCTTCTGGCTTTACATGCCAAGTCTCTTATTAATTTAAGACTGATGAAAGAGGTGTCAGCTATTATCCTCACACTGTATTTATCTTGAGTTTCGAAGATGCCAGGGATTTATGAATTTAATATATTGAATGATACCAATTAAACTAATCATCTGATAACCATAATTACTTAATATTTACTTTTATTCCATATTCATGCAAACTATTTAAGAATTCAAATCTTTAAAAATAAATTATAATCTACAATTGAAAATAACTCTATCTCTTAACTATATATTCTTCTAATTTCTATATGATTCTATAGAGGTTTAAGTAGATTCCTATGAATAATTTGAAGACATTCCAGATTTAAATTTTTGTATTATTTTCATTATTTTATATGTTTGATTTAATCTTTAATATGATAGTTACCTAATTGAATTTACAAACTCATACTATTCTTATACTAATGAGTATGTAAATACAATTTTAGAATTGATTGTAAGATTTGATTTAATAACAAAATATATGCATTTATAGATAAATATATATATATGAAGTTGCAAAGCTTCATAAAAACTTTATTTCTTAATTTACTTTCTCTATTTCGTTAGCACTCTCTAAATATACTAATGACTCCTCGTAATATTATTTGGCTTCCTCTTTTCTTCTTAATTCTGCATGCACTTACCCCAGATTCTTTAAAAGTAAACCCATATTAGGTATCTTAACTTTTGAATTATAGACTCTCATTAATATTTATCGACAACTCTCATAATCTTGGCATTTGTACATTTCCTCTGCCAATTCAATCAATAAATCTAAATCATTTACTTCTGTTTGTTCCATTCTTAATAAGCATTGTTTAGCCTATTACCCTCTCTTCTATTATAAACAGTTTAGAGCCTAATATCCCCAAACTTCGCCATTAAATGGTTCATGAATGCTTGCTTAACAAAGGCATTCTTCAGCTATCGGGTCCTTTAATCTCAAGTTTGAAATTCCAAGTCCTAACCAAGTTAAGGAGCTATTTGAAGGATTTTATTAGTCTAAGGCCCTTTCAAAAATAGCCTTAGCGTCATGCCAAGACTTACGTTTAAGATACAGATAACCCAGTCTTAATAGGATATCAAAGGATTTCCTTTGTTATATAGACAAAGCCTTTAAGAAGGTCTCTTCTGCTTCATAAAACTGCTCAGTTTAATAACACAAAGCTCCTTTTATTAGGTAGACCTCATAATTTTTTGGATTTTGATTTAAGATTTTTTGAATTAAACTCAAAGCCTCCGTATAGTTTTCATTGAAAATATGAATCTAGGCCTTTATTATATTGATCTTTTGAGTGGTTCTATCTTTAATATTAATAAGAGCTTTCTCTGCTAGATCAAATAAACTGCGAGATGCGAAATACTCAATTAATTCTAATTGTATTTGATCTGTCTATTCTGGAGTCAAGACTGGAGCTTTTTTGGCTTTTTCTTGTTATTCAATCATTTATTATTTGAAATTGGGCAAAACATGAGGATCTGGTTATTGTTTTGGAAATCTTAAAGAAAATATTGAAAGTCGTACCCTTTTGTTAGTAAGCCCATGGTTCTCATAAATATTCTTTGAGTGCATCTCAAATATTTGTCAGCCATGTTTTGATTCCCTTGCTGTTTGTATATGAAGGCCATGAGTAAATTGAAAAGTGTATTAATAGGTTCCTTTTGAAGTAAAGCTTGAACAATGTTAGTGGCTTCTTTGTATCGTTCTCTTCTGATATAAAGACAGGCCATCAATAATTCATTTTCTTTATTCCATTCTATATCTCTAACCATTTAGATTAATTGTTCAGCTGCTTTGAATCTCTAGATTTTGAAACAATATTTTGCAAATATAGTTGCTGATTTAGGATCCACCAAGACCATATTAGTATAATATTTTAAGGCCTAATCGACTTGATTTATGGTTTCATATTACTCTGCAAATCTCTTGAATTTCTTAAAGGCTGATTCTTTCAAAGATTGGAATACTATGTCTCTATCTCTTTAATTTTAATCGTAGGTTGAGTATAAGTCTTCGTGAATATCTTCCTTATTATTAAGCACATATTCTCCAAGTGTAGTCTACATCTCTTCCATCATAAACACATAAAGTTCTGCAAACAACCTGTCTTATTCATCCTTGTTAACTCCTACGAACAAGCCTTCCTTAGCAAATTTATCAATACAGACTCTAATAATAGATGATCTCAATCTATCCTAGAGGATTTTGTATTTCCCTGATTAATTAATTTCATTAAGGAAGGATTCTTTCTTCTTTTGTAACTCCTGCCTTTTTTAGATTGTCAAATTCACACTGACTTTAGCCTTTTGATCACTTGGATAGAGTTTAGAATATTCTTCATCCAATGCCTTCATGGCTTCTTTGATGTCGCCTAGAAATAATGAAAACATAATGATTACTTTGAAATTAGCCAACACACTCAAATTTGCTTGGTATTCTTTATACAACTATTGGTTCAATATTCAGTACTGGAATGTCTTCAACCAATGGAGTTAGTGCAGGTTCAGTCTCAATTTCTACTTTGACGTACATCTTATCACAATTAAATTTAGGACAATCTGCATTTTCTTCTTATTTTAAGAATGCTCTCACAGTTGTGCGAGTGCATCCAGGCTCTAATAATTCTGACAAATCAAAAACACCCTTAAATATTATTTGAGTCAATTCAGCATTATTTAAATTCTTCGTCTTACCCTTCCTTAATTTAACTAATTCTTCCTCTGTGATGGCAGGCTGTCTAATAAAATAAATGTAATTTCTGCTTTCAAGAATCTCTTCTTCCAACTAACGTACATTACTCACCTCGACTGTATGAGTTTCTTCATACTAAATGCTAATAGTTTTGAATTTGTCTTCTGAAATAAAAAATAGTTTATCTTGTTCTGATAGAGTCCCCAAATGCTATTATTTTTTCTACTCTTCCTCTTCCTCCAATGCCAATGCCTTCTTCATTTATTCTTCCTCCTCTGGACTCTTCGTGTCCTTTTTATTCTTTTTACTATTTTTCTAATACTCCTCAAACTTCTCTCTCTCTGTCAATTCCCGACCCTTGATCTTGCCAAACAAATCTTCCCCTTAGTAACGAACTACATTTGCAAATATTCCTGGATTCGTTTCATCTGTTAATTTCCAATCCTCACTAAATCCATAAACTCCCTTTTATAATTATTTTATTGCCACTTTACTTTCACAGTTATATGTATTTTAAACAACTCTATTGGATTATTAACCTTTTCTAAAAGAGACAATAATTTGGGATCTGGTTCCATTAAATTTAATAATTATTTATTCAAAATGTTAACCAAATTTCTTAGAAAGAACAGAAAAGTCATTTAAGTAAACACTATTTTATGATAAACTAATTTTTTAGATATAAAATTATGTTCTATTTATAATAAGAACTATCATGACTAAGTCTAATTGATATAATAACAATTTAATAAAATAACACTCTTTTTATTTCTCATTAAACTTATAAATTTGTTTCGGCAATAAATGCTTTAATGGCTTCAATTAATTAATGCATATTCTCCATAGTTAAGGCCCCGATAGATCCAACTCTAAAGGTTTCTGCTTTAGTCATTTTGCCTGGATAAATAATTAGATTTTTAGCTGCCAAGTAATCATAAAATTCTATTCATTATGAATAATCTAATACAGTTAAAATTAAAATTAGGATCCTTTGGAAAGAGGAATGTAGTAATAATGCAGCCTTAGTCTTTGGGGTCGACAAATAATTTAAAACCTAAGCTTTGCATCTGTTAAGATAAATATTATTATAATTCTGTGTATCTCTTTTATCTTCCTTTGATACTGCCTTCTTCCTCAAACTCTTTAAGTGCGCATTCGAAACATCTCAATACATGAGTGGGAGGGGTGAATCTGAATTATTAAGTTTTAAGCATGTATTCTTCTTAATCATAGAGGTCGAGCACTAAAGAAGCAGCATTGCCTTTGCATTAAGTCAGGATTGATTTATTTGCAATGACAAAGGCGAACCCAGGTAATCCTTGAATATTTTTGTTGCTTGTGGAAATCAAGAAATCTATGTTTAATTTGGAAACTGGAATTTCATAAGCTCCAAATGAACTGACAGCATCCAAAATGAATACGACTCTTCTACTCAATCTGTGAACAAAGTCGATGTCATTGATGATTCCTGAGGTTGTTTCAGAGTGTACCATACTCAAATGAGTGATGGTTGGATCCTCTTCGATGGCTTTAATGATATCTTCTACTAAGCATTTTTGGTTTTCGTCATAGGTGAGCTTAACAAATTTCTTATTTATTGCAGTCAAGATCTTGGCTTATCTCTCCCCGTATGCTCCATTAGAGACTACAAGTACTCTAAGTTCTATAATGATATGAATTACTTATCGGTTTCTCTTTTTAAGACAGTGTGAAATGTAGCTTCAATTGCATAGGTACCACTTCCTTAGAGAAGTACTGCTGTGTAATCCTTTTCCTCTACATTCGATAGTTTCAACAAGGTGGATCGTATGTTTTGAATAATCTAAACAAATTTGGGATCTCTTGAACCCATATCTACTAGAGCAGCTTCTTTGACAGTTTTGGTTGTCAAGAGAGGTCCTGGCGTAAAAAGAATTTACATAATTTAATTAAATCAATAATATTCCATATTATCAATATATAATTGATCTAGTTATTTAAGCTAAATAATTTATAAGTATTTTGATAATTTATTAATTTGAATTTATGAAAGATGCACTTTTACTCGAGATATTCAATAATATCGCAATCTTAGTCAATAAAATATCAAAGTAGAAAAAAATAAACTGTAAGACATATTAAAAAAGACTAACTACATTTACTAATAAAGCTCGTTCTTTAATGAAGGCTGCTTAACCCTAACAGAATTAAACACGATGATATCCATATATATATATATTAATATTGAGACATTGATTATTTATACATCCTTCTCTATGAACAAAACAAACATGACAACAATTTTTGAATTTTTCTTTCTCTTACATAATTATTCATTTTGAACAACTTGTCTTTGAAACAGAAAATTTGATAGGAAACACTCTCAATTACAATAAACTGCCTTGGTGATGGTTATATTGGGTAAATATGATTTGAATTTTAAGGTAGTCAAACAACAATACAATTAATGTTTTATTATGCACTTTCGAATTTTAATGAGATTGTTATAAAATTAAAATAATATAATATTTCTATATGATATTTTTGATTAAATAAATTATTTAGACTTAAATAACATAATTGAATTTAAATTGAGATTACATAAGATAAAAATACACGTTTATCATTTGTTCAAAATCTTGTTAGCCAGATAGTTGAGGCCAGCAAAACCAAGTATAATTGCCAAGCTGATGCCAAAATTGGTTAGATAGTCGTCTTCGTATATTTCTTGGTGTCTCCTTGACGGTCTTTGGGGCTGTTGCGGAATTTCTTGGATGAAGGATGTGATGAAGGGCAAGAAATTCATCATGAAAAATCCAATAAAGAAAATAATCATAAAACTTCTTGCATTACCTTGTTGTCCTTATCCGAGATTGAAATTGGACATCATCATGAATGGCATACCAAAACCAAAACCAAATTGAAAGTTTCCGAATGGCTAATTTTGCTGTTGTTGTTATTGTTATGATGAATTGTTCTATTCTTGTCTTGGGTTTGTTGGTCTTTTGGGGATTTCTGATTGCTTCGATTCTTTTGAGTCTCCCGTGAAGATAGTTGTGACTTTGTCCAATTCGAAAACATTTGAACAATATGGACATTGCAATGGATTCTTCTTTTAAGCCCACTAATAATAAAAGTTAATAAAATACAGTATAGAGACACTGCCAACAATAGAGATGTCCACAGGGAGTGATAACTGGCTCAGTGGCTAGGTCCAAACATATTTTGCATTAAAACTTTTTGTACTTCTCATCATCTTATTTCTGACTATTCATTTTTATTTTAATTATAATAAAATATTGATAGCACTTGTTGTGTTTTTTTTACCTAAGTATTTAAAAAATGATATTATGTGTAAGCAAAAATTTATATTTATATTAATGGATCAATTAATTGGTACAACTGTGAATGGATACTAATTCATAAAGCAATTGGGAACTGGATCCATGGCTGAGTAACAATCTCAATTATTTCAAAGCATATATCTCGTGTAGGATAAGACCTCGCAAGTCAAATATGTGGCTAAAGTTTATACTTGCTTTAATAGCGATATTAGATGTCACAATGAGGCCATCATCCTCGAGAAGTTGAGCCATCCAAACATAATAACAATTAAAAGGAATCAGCAATTAAAGTTACAGGTTAATCGAAATACCTATTGTTAGGGGGAGCAAGGAGAGAAGAATTGTTTGATTTTGGAATATTTGGAAAAGGGCGACTTATTTGAATTCATAGCTAAGTCTGGCCATTTTGGGGAGAGTCTGTGTCGCTATTACGTTCGGCAATTGGTTTAGGTGGTTGATTTTGTGCATGGGAATGGATTTGTTCATCGGAATTTAAAATTAGAGTCATTATTATTAGATAGAAAATTTAATCTAAAATTATGCAATTTCTCGTGTGCGCAACATCAGAATAAATATAAGGATGGTAAACTGAAGACCAAAGTGGGGACTGAGAGTATAATTAATAATTGCATTTGAAGATTACTAGGCACCGGAAGTTTTGCATGGTGCAGTATACAATGGAGTGAAGGCAGATGTGTTTTCTTTGGGAGTGATATTGTTCATCATGTATAAGGGATAGCCCCCCTTTTTGAAGGCCAATTAATAGGATGCACTATTCAATTTGATAATTTAGGAGAACTACAAATAATTTTGGGAGATTCATTCCTAGAAGAAGATTGAATTTCACTTTGATTTCAAGTATTAAGTAATTTAAGGCAAGGGAGCTCTTCCTGAGAATGGTCAATCCGAACCCGGATACGAGATTCAGTATGGAGGAGGTGAAGAATTCGAAGTGGTTTGAAGGAGTGTCTATGAATATTTAGGATGTGTATGAGGAGATGGGAAAGAGAGAGAAATTTTTACTTAATGTGTGATTTGCTTGATATATATTAATATATTATTTAAATATTAAAATGGGTTGCACTTAGATGACAAATGTGACGACAATAAAGAATCCAAGGATGAAGAATTTTTTTGATCAGTGTCAGTATTATGGTTTTGAAAGATCGCAGGTACAAAAATAAAAGAATGTAAGGTGGTGAAAATAACTGAATACGAATTTCAATATTGCAGGGGAAGTAAGAGTTGGCAATCGAATTATTCGAAATCAATTTTCAATGAGTAGAATCCGGTGTTGTTATCTCCTTGTTTGCCTGATAATTTTGATAATTTGATATCGGGGTTGACCAATTTCAAATAATTATACCCAGAGGAGTTCAAGGATTTCCCCAAGAATTTAGGGTATGTATAAACGATTAAATCATTTAAGGATGCTATTGAGTTTGGGAAATCAATTCCCAAGCTTTAGAGCAGAGAAGTTGGGAAGTAATCAAATTACAAGTTTTTAAATCCAGTAAAATGTTGTAACAATATTTGTGTTCTGGAGATTGGAGGAGGAAATCAAGATAGGGAGAATGTCATAAGTCAGAACTCGGAATATTAGCAATCGCTTTCGAGCTGATGACGAATCCCAATCTTATTTGGAGACTGCATTCATAAGAGCGAAGAAATCGATCAAGCGACCACTTCACTTGGTTGGGATCTGTTTGGATAGTCAGGACAGGAAACCTCTGTATGAGTCAGTGATATCGCAGGAAGACACTCACATATGGATCAACGAGAATGATTAATCAGCCTAGGTGTTTAAGTATGCAGAGGATCCCAACTATTAGACACGGTAGTTGGAGTAATCCATTTTCATAGTAAATTCGAAGGGAGTCTTTGTAGGTTGTTTGAAGGAGAACTTTGGAGATCACTCATTCATCCATGAAATCAATGATATCATAGATGGTGAGATCAAACCAAAAGATGCCAACTAGCTCTTGAATTCTATTAAACAGAAGATAAGAAAGGATGATTATCAGAAGGTCAAGAAACTAATTGTAGAGGAATTACCCAATAAACAAAAATAGCCTATAGGAGATACGTTTAGTCTATCCATAAAAAAACATACGTACTTTAGAGACTATTCCAAAGTTGGAGCCACATATTTCAATCCAATTTTCAAAGCAGCTGGATCCAAGAAATATCAATAAAATTGCGATGATTTGATTTAGTTTGTAAAGGATTTCACTCCTATCGCTCATATGGAGACTGACTTCAAACAACATCATTCTGTGAACAAAAAGCTGTTTTTTGAAAAGCTGAGTCGAAAACTAATGTATTAGTGATATTTATATAGAAATATAGGATATGAGGATATCAGATTCATCTTAGAGAAGAACATCGAGATCTAGTATGAAGAGAGTTCTTAACGTTTCGAGATGAAGAGAGAAATAACCTCGATCCATAATGCTCCCCAATCTGTAAGTTGTGTCTATTCCAGGAAGGCAGCCTTACAGAAGTTGGGCAAGTCCATATTTGCATAATCTGAGAATTACACTCACAAGGAATTGGAATTAATGAAAGAATTCTTTGGGAATCCCTACTCTTTGAAGTATAAATTCATCTGTTATCATCAGAACCTCGTTCAACGTTGGCACTCTCTTCTCACCAATCCCCAACACCTATAAGATGTAACACAATGACTTTTCTGGGAGCAGTCAAATCATGCAATCCATCATTAGACCCACAAACAAGGGAATATTTGATAGCAAATTGGTCCAATCCATGAATCAATCGATTGATGATCAGAATCAACATTTTGGAATAACAGAATAAATAAAAAGCAATCAAAGTCAAATTGAACTAAGTGAAGGTTGGGATGGTGATAATAAAGTGGATTTGAATTACGATTAGATTCATTCAATCCATCAAATTAATAATGAAGTGCTCATCATATTCTTGATTGATTATACTCTTGATAAGCACATTGAACTCTTGCATCAGTTGCTTGAGTTCATCAAGAGTAAACAGTGGAATAGCTCAAATGTTAGAGTGATTGGATTGGAAAAGAGGAGATCCGAGGATCAATTTTAGAAGTAAATGAATAGATTAGAATAAGAAATGAAAAGAGGCATCTTTGAAGCATGGTTCCCTCTAGAACAACAGTTTCTTGGAGTTAACTTTTATAAAATATTATCTGATCTCTATGGATTGGATTCCATCTCTCCTATTTTGGTCATCGACCATCTAGGAAGATTGCTTTATCAGGGTCAACCAGATCAAAAGTTTGCTCCTCTGCTGACCAAAATCATCAACCAGGAATCCTTGAAAACAAGTACAACAACTATATTCATCCTATCATAGTTCATCCAGTTGACCGACCATTAAAACACAGGATTGATCTGGCCTAGTTTGGTAGAGAATGGAGAATTATTAAACAATACGGAAATGAGAGTGTCTACTTCAGTCCCACTGTACAGCAGACTCTAAAGTACTTGGAGAAGATGCCCATGAGGAAAGGCGAGCAATGGAAACTCACCGTCACTTAATTCCAATTGTGGAATGAGAATGGAGAGTTTGTTAGGAAGTGCTTTGAGAAGCCCAAGATTATCTATAAGTTTGAGAGACCTGAGTTGGCAGTCAAATTTTATAACATCATTGAAGAAATACAAAGATTGGTGGGGAAGGATAGGGTTGAGGTGGTCGACTTGAATGCTGAAATTCTAAAGGACAGAAATAATTTGTAGGGGGAATAATTAATTAAATGAATATCGATAAATATATATACATTTATAACCTTTTTACCTTTTTTTATTAATTATATTTACATACGCATGTTTTTCCCTGAGCAGGAATATAAAACCAGTACCAAAGTAGACATTCTATGTTTATCCCTAGAGTGAAGAAGAATTGAAGAAGTTGACCTTGGAAGAAGACTTAAGTGAATGTCAAAGATCCATTTACATTTTGACCAAGGGGCAATAACTGTAAAAGAAAGCCGTACAATTATTGTAAATTATCTCTAGATTTATTCTAATCTGCATAAGATTTTGAAGGAACCTAATGCCTTTGAATTCCTATTCTAAGTCATAATGTAATGACATTTATTCTACAATTACAAGTGAAGAAATCCAGTAACAAGAAGAAGACAATTAAATCATTGCAGCTAAATCACTTTAGAAGTTACTCAAAGACAATTCGCTTTCCATGCAAGAATTATTACAACTCTATGATTTGACAACCCAAATATTAAAGATTTGGTCACTCCCCGTACTGAATGAATGGGTCCAAACTATGGACCTCCTCCTTAGAACCATAGGTCTCAGCAATATTCTTCTTCCAATCCAACAATTGATACTACTATTAACCGATAGTTCCTAACCAGCAATATCGCGATAGAGTGCTGCCAAACTCATAGGCACTCTAGCGTAGGTAAGGATCTCCTCGTAATTCCTAGCTTCTCGGAAATGAGATTAAAGGACCAATTCTTGATAGAGCCAGGAGTTTGTGTTCGGATCATGACAAAGAGACTCGTTTGATTATGGCTGACAATGTGTTGATTAAAGTTTGCTAATCAATTTCCAGTGACTTAATCGAGTGTTATTTAATGGAGAAGATAATGGAACTCTACTACGACACTGATCCAATAGTGAGAAGTGCAGGAGTGAAGTTATTTTTTACAATTGCAAATAATTTGTCCCCTGATGAAATTAAAAACAGGTGTACGAAACAATTTATAGATACAATACAAAGCCAGAATGAGGAGAGCAAGTTAGTCATGTCCAAAATGTGCGGAAGAGTCTTTCACCTTGTACTTAAATGTCCTTATTTATGTTTAGATAAAAGATCATCTCAATTAAACTCAAGTCACTCTTTTCATCAACATATACATGTCCTATGTGAAAAGCAAGAACGTTGACATTAGAGTCAATTTTGTCTGCAATTTCCCCGCTCTCTTATCCTTGGCCTCAAAGAAATTTGAATACTTCCAAGAGTCTTATTTGCTGTGTTGTAATGACAGCAATGAAGTCGTTGTCAGAGCCATCATTAATTGTCTCCATGAAGTCGTACTACTTTCTGAGAACACTGAGATTTTGCTTTAGGTTTTCATGAACTTCATGAAATCAAAGAGTTTAACAATTTTGGAAATTCTGATTTTCAGATTTGCCTCCATTATCAACTCTTTTCAAAAACAAGTATTATGTTCATAATATGCTTAGTCAGTAACAACCACAATTTGGTCAACCAGCCATTGAATTATTGAATAGTCTAATTGCAAGAAACTTGTGGGACTTATAAATTGAATTACTTGATCAATTCAAAAAATGCCAGTAGATTTTTAGTGATGTGAGTATGTTCATGAATGCCATGATTGCTACAATTGGGAAAGGCATTCCCAACACTAAACAACAGTGTTGCGATAACATTGCTTAATACTTGAGTCAGTATGGAGACTTGAGAAAGAGAAAGGATTGGATAATACAATTGTTCGATCTTTACTTCAAGTCTGACATCTACCATAATCGAATCACCTTCATCAATATTGTACAGTCATTTTCTGAATTCATTTCTAAGAAACTATTCAAACAATATGAGTTCTTTGATATTCTGATATTTTCCAAGGATTCCGTTGTGAATGTCAGAATGAGATTAATAAAGGTATCAATTGACATCATTGTAGATCTTGCCATTGTTATATAAGAAAATAGACAATGATGATCTACCCATCTTAAATATGTTTAATGAATCTGTTTAGGATTGCATTCTGAGTGGATCTCGCTCCTTTCAATTTATGATTCATTAGACCAAAGAGGAGTTGTTGAAACCAAATGACGAGAATTTATTGAATAAGAGAGATCAAGAAATGATGGAAAAGGAGGAAATCATATTTAAGAATGACTAGAAGCAGAGACAATTCATATTGGATCAAGAGAGAGATGATTTGGAAATTAATAAAATAGATTTGAATGATTACTTGAATAAATACAAAAAAAAGTATCCGCTCTGTAAGATCAAGAGTTCCAATTAAAGTTAAACTAATTTGTTCAAAAAACAATAGATGTAAAATGGAGCCTCAACCTTAATCATAAAGAAATCTGTTGATCTTGATTCCAGCAAGAGTCCCTTATTAGAAAGTTCTTCGATGACAAAAAAGCCAGTCTTGAAATCTAAAACTCCTACTACAAAGAGTATTTGTGACATTAAAAAGTAATTCAAGCTTCCAAGTATCAAAAAATGAAATATTAATATAATATATGAACAGAAAGATGTTTATTAATCTTTCTTTTCGAAGAAATATCTAAATTTATGTCATCTATACAATTTTTATATCAATCAACTTAAATTTATATTCGCAAACAAAATATTAATAAAAATTAATTATGTAATTTTTTACACCTAAATTCTCCTTTGTGGTGCACAAAACATTCAAACAAAAGTTGTTGGCTAGAAAGGAAAAGAGGCGTTTCAGAGGATTAAATATTTATGTCCCTGAGTTTACTGGAGAAGGGTCTATTCATCCTTGGCTGGATGCTAAGAGAATCAAATTGTTGACCAAATTCTATGAAGATCATCGTAATAAACATCGATTCACATTCAAACTCTCTTCAGATGATAAAAAGAAGCTCAATGATGTTATGCAAAACTATGCTGAAATACATGTAAAGATGAGATTATTCATTCAAGTATTTGAGAATGCTCTAAGAAAAATATTGGCTCGATAAACACGCTGAAGTTATGACAATTGTGCAAAAGGAAGTGAACAACCTACCTTACATCTTGAAAAGTGAATTGGATAGAAAATTAAGTGAAAAGGAGATGGAATACTATGATCGTCCACAACTTGATGCTGACTCTGTTTATTTCGAGTAGCGTCTACGTACCCTGCCAGACGAAGAGGCATTAAACTTTGAGTTAGCCCAAAGACTGTTCAGGATAGCACAAGATAAACTTGCTTAGAATGAGTGATTAATATATACAGGCAGTTAATTATATTTTGAAAATCAAATGGGAGCCACTGATTCAAAGCCGATTTACAAACTCTATGAACATTTCAAATAGATCAATGTCCACAATAATGGTAAGTTCCATAACATCATATTCAGACTTCCCTGACTGCCAGATCTTATAACATAAACGTGATCCTAATCAATAATTGATCTTGCGTACTATCAGTATGACAGAAGAGGCGCATTTCAAAAGGACTGTTTAACAATATTAAATAAGACAAAAGATCAACCATCCAAATATCCTTGGTCTCAGCAATTACTTTTATGAATTTGAACAATAACTATGCGGATAGTTTTACAAGGTGAATTTATTATTCGAATACCCATAAAGCAATTTAGAAAGAGTACAGATTCTTAATGAAAATCAATTAATTGAATATCTCAAACAAACAATATCTGGATTAGCATGCATGTAAAGAAATGAAATTCCACATAATACATTATAACTTAAGTATTTATACTTAATGGATGGGACTGTAAAAGTATGCGATCCTCAGTACTTCCAACACAATACAAATTATGTACAAATATTACAGAATCCTAATTGTGTAGAATCAATTTATTTATCTCCTAATTTGGTTAATACAATTAGGAAAAATAATTGGTAACCTAAGCACAATTAGTATAAAAGTGATGTATTTACTTTGGGAATGCTTTTTCTCCATTTGGGATTGAACTAAGTAAATAGTGACTGTTACAATTACATCCAAGGTAAATTCTTGGAAGAACACCTAACTATTAAGTTGTAGAAACTAAGAACTCGATATGGATAGCTGTTTTGTGATTTGATCTAAATGATGCTTATTACTTAAGAAGATAAACGACCGGATTTTATATAAATGGAATAAATCATTAGTTATAAATAATTAACAGGGAAGCCAACATATTAATAATAATAATAATCATATTAATAATAATAACTAATCCCAAATGTTATACCTAAATAGATCATACCTGTTTAACCTATTGGATTGACTGATACGATTCATCAACCAAGCACAAACTCGTTACAACTAGAGTAATGTCAATACAATGCGTAGATTAATTAATCGAAGAGAGCTAGTCAAGTTCAAAATATATCACCTATGAAATATGCCCATCAATATACAATTAAAACAACTTCATCATAACGAAGCTCTACACCCATTAGTAAGGTTATGATTCCAGCTCAACAAGTCTAATCATAAGTGAGAGATTGTTCTGTGCCTAAGCAATAAAGTCAAATTTAGAATACAAGTTCGAGATAGATTAACCATGAGTACATCAATAAGAATAACTATTCACAGAATTCTATCTAAAACACAGCAACAGTTACAACGATAACCGATCAATCTATTTTAAGCAATAAGAGTATGCTCCAACAACTTAATCTTACTCCTAAATTGTCAATTCACTAAATGAATTAAACGAATTCTAAATTCCAATAGATTAATCAACCACCCGAGTCCAAGATATTGCCCAGCTTAGTATTTTAATTACAACAAGATCAATGTGACTCTTTGTCGAAGTTCCATCCCTCAGAAGTGAGTAGTGTGCATTCTCAATTTGATGAGAACCTGGATTCCTAGGTGAATGAGGACGTCAACACTTAGAGATAAGGAGATTGCGAATACTCCTAGATTTTATGTGATTCTACAAATCTTCCTTAGTAGTTTAAGAACACTTTGACTAAAGAGTTTAGTTTACCGTATGAGATGTCAAAAATCAAAGAGAAAAAAGTTAATGAACCTGAATTTGTAGTTGAGCATTATGGGAATGGATCTCGTTATGAAGGGATGAAATGGAATGGGATGAGACATGGATAGGGAAGATTCTTTTATTAGGATGGCGGTTTGTACGATGGAGAATGGAAGGAGAATAAAATGCATGGCGAAGGTAATTGCTGAGTCTAATGTTGTAGGAACCTTATATTATGGAACGGGGTAGCCTGCTTATGAGGGACAGTGGAGCGAGGATCAATTTCACGGTTTTGGGACTTTGTATAATGAGCATCCTTAGTTGTCGGAGGAGGGTTTTGATTATAGGGACTTTGACAATGTGGAGGAGTAAGAATTGCTGAGATTATTATAGTTATTGGATGAAGTACAGTGGGAATTTTAAGTTGGACAATAAGGAGGGTCAGGGCAGTTTGCATTTAACGAATGGGGAGAGATTTGTGGGCAGTTTTGAGAGGGATTTGATTAATGGGAAGGGAGTGTTTTACAGGATGGATGGGAAGATGATGGAGGGGAGATGGGTGGACAACAAATTAGTTTATTGAATTATAATTGATAATCTCATTGAATGTAGATATATTTTCATATTTGTTTGTTTAAATATTTAATTATTTTTAAATCATTTTAATTATGCCGAAGGGTCATCCATAGTAGAGAAATAAGGCATTTAAGGGGGAATCGAAGCGGAGAGCAAAATAGAAGAGTGAGGGCAAATTGAAGAAGAAAATAAAGAAGCAAGAGATCAAACAGACGAAAAGTAAAGATCCTCAATAGGAAATACAGATTGAGAGGAAAGTGAAGGATTAGGAGTAGAGAGAGAGAGTGATGAAAGCAGTAAACACAAAGATCATAGCCATGTTTCCAATGAATTAATAAGCCAACATAGCCGCATTAAAGTATGGGATGTGATTATCACTAGATTTCGATTAATGTAGCATCTCAATATATAATCAGTGGGAATAAGTTCCTACAGCACTCAAGATTGTTTTTTGAATGTGGAGGCAAATGGGAAATTAATAAAATAGCCATTAAGATTTATATTCTTGGATAGAAATCCCGAGTAAATACTAGATGCATGTAAAGTTGCAGACATCGTATGTCCAGTGTTGTCTTGCAGAGATTGCAATACAAACACAATAAGTTTGGATCCTCATAGCAATGCGAATGCATTTGATGAGCAGGGTTATAAGTTGCTTAGTAATTTGAGAGCCCAAGGTTTAGTTCAATAGGTGTGTTACATATAGGATTTGGAAGAAATAAGTCAGAGCAAGAGGAACGTAGTTAAGAAGTTGTTCACAAGATACTTTGAGAGCGAATTTCCAGGAGCTCATATAGTTGATGATTGTTCAACTTTGATGAGGAGTGTGGTTGTGTTGCATGAGTAAGCAGTGGAATGGAGAGACACTCGTGGTTATATGTTGCCTGATGATTTGGCATACGTGAATGGAGAGTTAAGTATTACAGGTACATGGAGAGGGTAGAATGGTTTAAGTGCAGATTAATTAGTGCATATCACAGGAGTTGATGATTTCTAGATTGCACGCATTGAGTTGCTGGGGATGATTGAGTAAGTATTCGAATCAACCTAACCAGAATCCCTGGATCCCATATGCAGAGACAAACAACATGATATTGGAGATTGTGATGATTTGCTGAAAGACATAGCAGGGATGCAATTGCAGGAGGAGGAGGAATAAATGATCGAATAAGAAAGCGATGTTAGTTACGAAGATCTTGATAAGGAGTTTGAGGATGAGGCTCAAAAGAAACGAGAATAGTTCGAGATTGTACATAGGGATACTGAGGATTTAGACTATGAAGATGAGGTGGAATATGGAGTGGAAGTTAAATTGAGAGAACGATATGATAAATATCAAGGGTTGAAGAACATCAGGACGAGTGAATTTGATCCTCTTACTTTTTTACCAGATGAGGCTGAGAAAATCTACAATTTCAGATTCCTGAAAAAGATTAAGTAGGATGTCATGGAAGAGATGAAGTAGAAGGAATAGATTAAGCCTGGAATGAGAATCAAAATTACTTTGAAAAATGTACCTGAATTGATAGTGCAAAGACTCACTCAACCAAACAAGATATATGTTATTTCTGGGTTGTTGAAACATGAAAGGAAGATGACACAAATGCATGTGAGATTTCATAGACATTAGATGCATAACTTTGTTCTCAAATCCAAACATTAAGTGTTTGCTTAAATTGGATTCAGAAGAGCTCACATCAATCCAATCTATTCTCGTATTCTTAATGTAAGTATACTCATCCTATATTTAGAATTGCAGCAAAACCAAATATGTCAAGGAGATTAAGGATGACACATTTTATCTGGCATCCTTCTATTTCTATAATTCATTCCCGCAACAACCTGTGATCTTTTGGCAAAATGACTTTGATTTCAGAAGCAGCGAGATCATGGGAGTTGGAGATATTCATCGATGTGACACCTTCCAAGTAATCCTCAAGAGAATTGTACTTACTGGATATCCAGTCAAAATCAACAAGAGAAAGGCAGTCATCAGAATGATGTTTTTCAATCCACTTGACATCAAATTCTTCAAACCTATTGAATTATCAACGAAATTGGGATTGCGAGTACTTCATTCATATCATTTCTTAGGGAAATATCCTAGAACCCTTGGGCACACATGGTCTAATGAAATGCATGTTCAATAACTTCGTCAAACCCAACGATGTCATCAGTCTCCAATTGTATAAGAGAGTACATCCTAAATTTGTGAATATTTAAATATGAAATATTTATTATGTGTGAAGAATTTCTGTACGATCGCAGCATCCATTTCGACATTGCCTCTGCTAAATTGAACATGCTGAAAGGAGAAAAAACTCTGTTCCTCTGGAAAGATGTTGAAGACATCAAAGGAAACCCAGATCAACTTGGTAGCTTAGTAATCAGCAACACAAGGATCCTATGGTGGAGTGAACGTAATAACAGTGTCAATCTCAGCATTGGCTTAGGCACCATATTTCACATTGAGCAGAAAGTCACTAACAATAACCGTACTTTTGGAACTCTCTTTCGAACCAAACTATCGACTGGATAAAAATACGAATTCCATTTCTCTAGTCAAGACAAAAAGCTCTATGACTCCTTGGTCAATATCCAAAGACTGTACACTCAAACCATGTTGCATCGCGAAATCAAGGTGCAATTCGCTATGATTTCCCAGAAGAAACTCAATATCTCAGAAAAAGAATAAATAATCAATCAATTTGCCAATACGACCAGTGTTGCTAATGATCAATAGGATGTGTAGGGAACTCTTATCTTTACCAATGTTAGATTTGTTTGGTTTTCTGCCACTAATGAACTGTTTAATATTAGTATTCCTTGGATTGCAGTTAAGAAAATAAGCAAGAAAACTACCAAAGGTTTATACACAATGATAATTGAAACCTATCAAGAATTTGGAGGATACTATGTTGGTTACAGGAACATAGAAATGGATAGCATGATCAAAGAATGTACTAAATTGCATGCCTTTTATATCGAAAATCCAATTTATGGAATTGAAATCCAAGAGAAACAACAACCCATTGTTTAGAAATTTGATGAAAAGGTATAAGTGGTTTAGAGTATCTACAATCAAGCAGCTAGATATCAAGCTAATGAAAACAATGACATTCAAAATGATATAGTATGCTCTCAAGAATTGGGATTGGCTATTTAGAAATTACCAGCAAATGCTAAACTAAGTGACTTCTGGAATATTATCAAATATTGATTCTATAAAGACATAATAATTAGAAATCACATCATCTAACTAAGATATTTGTACACTCTATTAGAAATAAGTATAATGTTACTTGGTTGATAAGGAAGGTACAAATGTAATTATAACAAAAATCATGATTCTCATTTGTTTTTTGAAATTGGCATCAAAAATGCCTATGAATTTATCGTGACATTTCTTAACATCTCTTTCCACATTGCTCTATATCTTTTCCAAACAACCTTTCATTTCAGATACCTTCTCTCGCATGATCACCATCTCCTCAGTTTCTATAATGTCCACCTTGCTCTTGACATTCCTTTGCAATGGAGTTTGCATTCTCTTTTTTGAATAGGTGTAAATCAACTCAATCACTTGTCTATATATTCTGTTGTCCACTATGTTCTTGTTCTTAAAGTAGTAATCGAACAAAGTGTACAAGTCTTCATATATTGCAGTGAGTTTGTGGATGTTCTAATGTAATTATGATTGTTTACTGCATCAATCTCACTGAAGGTCTGATTGAAATTGGAGCCTTGGTAGATCCTGCCCATACAAATTATAAATGACAACACGATGTCTGCATGAATGTTATACAATAGAACATCATCATCACAATAGTTTATAGCTTGCATAAATGGTAATTCGAAATTGCACAATGTAAATCCACCAAAACATATGGCCCCATAAAGAGCCAGAAATCCATAAACATAATTATACTCGATTTTCTTCTTCTTTTCAATGTAGATAACTACTGTTCTCATCAGATTCCAACTCTGAAGACTGAGTGAACAAGTGATGTCAATCAATTCATGAAGAGCATTTTCTTGGTCCATATCTATCGTAATTATCCTATTCAAAGCCTACAAGATATAGTTCCTAGTTTTCAGATCATCATTCAACACCAATTAGAATATAATGGATAAAAAATGCATATAGAACCCCATAAATATCACTGAATAGATGAGAGTGTAAGGATGAATGGGCCAAAATAAGAAGAATATCGGTATTAAGACTTTGAGTGTGATTAAGGTTATCACAACAAATATCTGTAAATTTCTATCTGGAATTAGGTACTTTCTGGTGTAGATATAGTGTGGCAATAGAAAATGCTAGAAAACACTACGATTCCCATTGAATCCCAAATCCTGGAGGTAATCCAAAACCGACTTTGCTTTTTCGACTTCCTTGATCAATTTCGATTTTCTTCTCTTAACCATAGGTGATGCCTGTATTTCGCTGTTAATGAAATCTGAACACATGCTAAAGTAAATCATGGTTGGATCTAGATTTTCTTTGTCAATGATGTGATCAACCTATTTTGAGAATTGTTATATAGTGTTGAGATTATCTTTGTCTTGAGAATCTTGAGCCTTGATGAAATCCATGTGGGCTCTGCCTAGGCCGATGTTGTAGAAGTTCTGTTGGCTGAATAGGAAGGAGAAGTTGAAATTAAATACGTATCTTTGCTCCTTATCTTTCTGAGTTCTAATTTATTGCTAGACAATAATATGAAGACTTGCTTACAGCTTTCTCTATTTCCACTTCCTCTATTTTAACCAACTCCTTTTGAGTAATGAATATCGCATACAACATAATAAACATCACACAATTGACTGCCCAATGGAAATATTCACGATTCACTTCCGACAATTCTTTAATATTGAGGATTTGAATTTACCTGAATGGTTAAACAGACCATACAAAAAGATCGTATAAATACAGGCTATGCATATACAAAGCATGTAATCATAGACGTATTACCTTGATTGCAATATAGATTGATATGGATTACTTCATGTATTATTATCGAAATGCCTTGTCCGTATCCACCTTACGCAGTAGTTTAAATATATAGAGACTCACAATCATGTAACTAAAATAAACAGGGCCAGAATTGTAGACCATTAGAACCATTCTTCTCAACAGACATTTGAATTGATATTTCCTTTTATTGGTCCAAAACTTGTGCTCTGATTCATCGTCAACCAGAATGTCAAAATTGTTGTGATGTTGGTTCTAGTTCTATGATAACTGATTACAACGATGGCCAAGGAAGTGTTGAGGATAGAATCTTAATGCCCATGGTGTATATTCATTTATAAGTTTTATTTATTCGGAGTAAAACCGCTTGTAATTATAATCTTATGAAAAATTGTTCTCAGTCTTACATATTTTCTACAAAGTTATCGTAAATCATTAGAAACGGATGTACTGTTACAATAACTGTTTATCAAGAAAGAATCACTTTGACAGGTATGAGGAAAACCAGCAAAAGTGAAAAAATCGACAAAGAATTCAATTTTTAAACTACACAATATGTCATACATTGGGATTACTCTCAGTAAAATTTATCTTCATTCTCCATAGCCATTCTAGAGACATTGAAAGTTTTAGCCTATGCAAACAGAATGCCAAGAAGTACACTTTCAGTGCCAGCAATGACCAGCTCAGCCAGTTAAAAAGTATATTAAAGGGGTTAATTGGTTTCGCAAACTGGGAATCGGATTACAAGTACGTTAAACACATCAGAGACAACACGAAAAGCTAGGTATCAATTTTGAAAAATCCATTTTTAGGTAATCCTTGGTAAACAAGAAAATTAGTTTTAAGTTCTAAAGCGCATTGATTATCCAATTGTAAATAACCATTACTATTTAGTCTTCTGATGAACTGCTAGCCCTTAAACTTCTTCGGGAGCATCCTCATCCGAACGTACTTGGCTTCAACTCATATTACATCGACAATATGCATTGCTACATTGCAATGGATTATCTATCCTATGGCACGCTATTAGACCTTCAGAAGAGGTACAATTTTAAATTACCTATGGGCATCATCTAAGATGTGATGCTACAGACTTTAGAAGGTATGTCATCTTGAATATTTCAAAATATAGGTTTAAATCACTTGCACCAATTAAAAATTACACATCGAGATATTAAATATGACAACATAATGATTGCTTCTTTTAACCCTCTACAAATCAAAATCATCGACCTAGGACTCTCTACAATCAACACCACTTCCAACACAAGAGCTGGCACCGTAGGATACATGGCTCCAGAAGTATTTACCTCACCTAGAATCACTGAAAAAATAGACATTTTTAGTGCCGGAGCTGTATTCCACAAATTACTTGTTGGTAGACCGATCTATGAGGATTATTGGCAAAATTAAGCAGCTGACATTAGAATCAGTTCGCACATTCAAAATAAAAATGCCTAAGATTTATTGCATCAAATGCTAAGCCTAGACCCTAAATTAAGATACAATGCTTAAGACTGCCTTGGTCACCCTTTCTTCACAGATGAATCCGACTAATTGTCATAGAAGTATGTAAATCAAATTAATTTAGGGCGTAATTGTATTTTTATCTATCCCCAAAATAAGCCAAGCTATAAGTTCACACTCCAGCGACAGATTTCATTTCTAATTAAAATGTGAACCCCTTTAGACTAAATTGACAATATTGTGAATAGTTTTATATATATTTATGACTCATTATAAACTAATTATTTTCAAAATTAAAATTATTTTATATTAATTACTATTTATGGATTTAAAATAAAAATCTTAATTATTATTTTCGATTTTAATTATAATGAAATTATTCGTAATTAAACTTAATTTTTATATTTAATATATTTATAAAATAAGACTTTTTTAGAGAAACACTAATTATTTAAGTTAACTCATTAAAACAATCCAAATATAAAATATAAAAATTAATATAGAAGTTTTTCTAAATCCATAATGTTAAGTATGTTTAATTTGAATAAATTATCAACTCATATCAATTCTCAAATTATCAGACATGCTTAGTTTCTCTATTAAAGAAAATTTAAAAGAATCCTNGGTTTCGCAAACTGGGAATCGGATTACAAGTACGTTAAACACATCAGAGACAACACGAAAAGCTAGGTATCAATTTTGAAAAATCCATTTTTAGGTAATCCTTGGTAAACAAGAAAATTAGTTTTAAGTTCTAAAGCGCATTGATTATCCAATTGTAAATAACCATTACTATTTAGTCTTCTGATGAACTGCTAGCCCTTAAACTTCTTCGGGAGCATCCTCATCCGAACGTACTTGGCTTCAACTCATATTACATCGACAATATGCATTGCTACATTGCAATGGATTATCTATCCTATGGCACGCTATTAGACCTTCAGAAGAGGTACAATTTTAAATTACCTATGGGCATCATCTAAGATGTGATGCTACAGACTTTAGAAGGTATGTCATCTTGAATATTTCAAAATATAGGTTTAAATCACTTGCACCAATTAAAAATTACACATCGAGATATTAAATATGACAACATAATGATTGCTTCTTTTAACCCTCTACAAATCAAAATCATCGACCTAGGACTCTCTACAATCAACACCACTTCCAACACAAGAGCTGGCACCGTAGGATACATGGCTCCAGAAGTATTTACCTCACCTAGAATCACTGAAAAAATAGACATTTTTAGTGCCGGAGCTGTATTCCACAAATTACTTGTTGGTAGACCGATCTATGAGGATTATTGGCAAAATTAAGCAGCTGACATTAGAATCAGTTCGCACATTCAAAATAAAAATGCCTAAGATTTATTGCATCAAATGCTAAGCCTAGACCCTAAATTAAGATACAATGCTTAAGACTGCCTTGGTCACCCTTTCTTCACAGATGAATCCGACTAATTGTCATAGAAGTATGTAAATCAAATTAATTTAGGGCGTAATTGTATTTTTATCTATCCCCAAAATAAGCCAAGCTATAAGTTCACACTCCAGCGACAGATTTCATTTCTAATTAAAATGTGAACCCCTTTAGACTAAATTGACAATATTGTGAATAGTTTTATATATATTTATGACTCATTATAAACTAATTATTTTCAAAATTAAAATTATTTTATATTAATTACTATTTATGGATTTAAAATAAAAATCTTAATTATTATTTTCGATTTTAATTATAATGAAATTATTCGTAATTAAACTTAATTTTTATATTTAATATATTTATAAAATAAGACTTTTTTAGAGAAACACTAATTATTTAAGTTAACTCATTAAAACAATCCAAATATAAAATATAAAAATTAATATAGAAGTTTTTCTAAATCCATAATGTTAAGTATGTTTAATTTGAATAAATTATCAACTCATATCAATTCTCAAATTATCAGACATGCTTAGTTTCTCTATTAAAGAAAATTTAAAAGAATCCTAAATACACTAGATTATCAAATAATTTATTAACAATAGAAACTCCAATATCTTACAATTAATAAAAGTTTTTGGTTATATTTGAAAAATAATGAAATATAACCAAAACATTTCAAAGTGACAAACAGTTAAACTTATATTTAGATTGTGAGAGAAGTCTTATACAAAAGTGACTAAATTGCCTAGATGTTTAATTCTTTAGTCACTTCACATTTCACATCAGATAATCCACTATTTATTCCCTCAAAATAGTTTTAAATATATAACTATATTTAACTTATATAAGGCTTAATTATGATTATTAATCTAACAATAAAAATTTAACATTCCAGGAGTACAAAATTAGTATTATCTTTTTATTGGACTGTTTTTAACAAATTTTATAATTAGTTTAACTAAAATAATTGTGTTTATATTTTTAGTTAATTCTTATCAAAATTTGAACAAATAGATGCTGTTTCCTAGAATAATGAAATAATCTGATGTAATAAACTTATAAGTATTGGGATAATAATATTTAAAATAACAGTATATGATTACTTGGATTGTAAATGAGAAAATATTTATAATAAGTGGATTAGACAAATTTGTTAAGTGTAATTATGGATGTTTCTGATACTCTAAAATATTGGTGATAATTCTATTGAATTATCAGGTACATGCTGATGAAACTTTGAAAAATATTGGTGTTCATATTTGATTAATACTAGGATTTTAGATTATATTTTAAGATTTTCTAAATAATTATTTAATTGTAATAATACTAGAATGAAAATGGAGGGTGACTCTTGCAATTATGATTTTGATATTCAGAAATGTTATAGTTTACGTTTGTGACTACATTTAAATTTCCTCTTTTGGATTAACTAAAAGTATATTTTCTTTTACCTTCTATAGTTTGTTCAGTTATAATTAAACTTATCAATTATGATGTTATAATTATTTAGTTGAGTAGTATCGAAATTACAATTTTAGTAAGGGAGTCAATAATGGTAGTTCCATTTGATCAGTTGTACTATGTGCATTGGGTGAACTTTGCCCACACCAGGAAGGCCTAGAAAAATAAAATAAAAATTATTATTGAATATTCTCAATGGAATTAATGTCATAATATGAAATTCTGATCTTACAAATAGATTATTAACTATGTTTCTAAATATTAGGATAAATATAAATTATTATTATTATGAGTAATGTCACCTCTTCTTCTAGATGTCCATTCAAATTTCCAACTGAGCATCTCAAGAATGATAATAAAAGCATGACTTTTAGAGATTTCATGCAATAGCAATAGATGAAGGATGATCAAAAATTCTAATGCACAGGATAATTATCTTCTGTTTAGACTTCTCCAATAGTGTCAAAGAAATAAAGATCTGAAAAATAGTTAAGTTCTCTGCTACGCTAGGAACCTCGGAATCAGTTCATAATAAAGCATGGCTCACAAAGTCAGGTCACAATTAATGAGTTTGTAAATAAAGTGAAGAGTTTTAGAAGTCAAGAGTAGTCACCAACCAAAACACTCTATCACCTACCCATGATTAGTGATTCCTAGATTTGCGATATTGTTCTACCCAATACTCCAGTTCATTTCAAATTTACTCCCTTTTAGCATAAGATCAGGAATCCCCATAGCAACAGTCTACGAAATGTCCATGAGCAACTTGAGTAGCTTAGACGACCCAAAGTGTAGCAGCAACATCGTGAATTAAAGTAACTTCCAAAGACGTAAACGGAAATCATTAGCAAATTTTTTGAGACTAAATTCTAAAAGATAATTAAGACCCAAATCAAGTAATATGGTAGCAACGAACTACTTGATTAGCATTCTGAGTCTCTTTATAATAGAGTCATTTTAGATCGTCAGCTAAAAAATAAATACTATGGAAAACACCTCAAATACCTTAAGGATATTTATAAAAGTATTTTGGGAATAGGATACACATAGGAGATACTACTTGATCAATTTAGGATGAGGAGTATTCATGCTCCACTCTTCATAAAGAAAGAGTAATTCATTAGGTTCAAATATCTGTTCATCAATCAATATATGGAGATGGAGACTCCTGTAGAGCTGCTTTTTAAGGGTTGTTACAAATTGGAAAATTTTAAACCTTTGATTTTGAATCAGAGGAGTGATTTCGAAATATTCGGAGGAGAATCTGGAATTAATGAAGTGGCTAAGAACATGTACGAAAAGATTTTCAAAGATTACACATTAAGTCCGTATTTCAAGGCAATTGAATTGGAGGAGTAGGCCAGTAAATTTGCTAAGCTTTTTGCCTAATTGATAGATCATACTGAATCTCCGAACTATACTCTTGAAGTGCTCAGAGAAAGGCATGTCAAGTACAAATTGACACATGTTCAATTGGCTAATTTCAAATTCTACCTATCCACAGCTCTGCAAAAGTTAGGGATAGGTTACAAAAATTTGAGAATATTGCTAAGGAAGATGGACACCTATAAGTTTGCTATTTTGAATAAGCCATCGCTTTAGGAATGCATCAACAATGCTCCTGGAGGATACAGAGAATTTGTTGAGAGTTTTGTGCGTCTATGTTCGAGTGAACCCATTCTCTATGATTTAGTTTAGAAGAGAGGGAAGTAAAGATTCACTGCGCATTGCGAAAATGTCTTTCACTATTTTTTCAGGGACAATGTGAAGTCAATCACTGATGACGACATAGAATCTATTCATAAAAACAAAACCATAATTTCAGAAAAGGTCTATAGGAAATTCAAGGAAAAAGCTATGCAAGCTGTCAGCAAAGTAACAAATGATCCAATTTTATTAAGTGATTTCGAAGAGGATTGGGAGGAAATTACACCCATCCTAATGAATAAACCTAAAAAGACTACTATTAAATTGCTGGGAGGCTAGGCGGTTATCAATCGAATTGCATCTAAATTAGAAAATGAAATCATGCAACGACCATTGTTGTACAAAGTATTTGAAGTAAATTTGATTTATCATTTTATCAAAGGACAATGAATCCCAAGTTGGTCCCAATTTGAAATGCAAATTAAACTTGATTCTGTACGGATTGCATTTCTACAAACGTACAGACATTGAAGTACTTCACAAGAGGTTACGAATTCGTGAATAAGCATATTTTGAATTTTAATAAGTTAACATAGCATATATATTTTAGGCCATGAAGGCTGTCATGTAGGATGAACCATCTAAATTGTAATGGGTCCTTGATGTTATTGATGACTACAAGAAACATATTGTTTTTGATTGATTTAAATTTTTATTTTGTTTTTATGATATAAGACACTCAGAAATCGTTTAAGGATTTTTTGGAAACGTATACCATCAGACAAAAGGAGCCTGAAAAAAGAAGACTGCCCAAACAGAATCCAGTGTTCCTACTTACTAAATATCAACCTCAGAAGAATTCCATTCAAATTGAATAAAATTTTAGTTATGCCATCACCACATCTAAGACCACACATATTGATCCTCCATTGAGTTTGCGATTTAAAACATTAGAAAGTGAAAAGAGCAACATGTCAGGTCTATCGCAATTCCGTAAAAATGAGTGGAAGTAAAAGGATAAAAATTATTGCTTAATTCGAAACTCCGAATTATTCAATGATGTTATTCGAAAATCAACTAGGTTTCATAGTTAATAGTAATTGGTACCAATCAAATCATAGGATTAAATAATTAAGGGATACTTGATGGAACTGTCTCGAAAGCGGAAAGTAGCACCGAAGCCTCAAGGGACAGATGAGTTACTGAATTTTGAAGTGGACCAAATATATTTGGATATCACAAGGAAAGATAACATGTTGAGTGTTAAGTTTCCTAATAAAAATCAACCTGGTGTGAAATAAGTATTTAGAAATCTTCTAGCTACTGCTTATGATCAATAAATGTTTTTAGACTTGCCTCGTCTAAGGGTCATACATTTAGGCATGCAATTAACACATGCTCACTTCTTCAAGTTTAAGTACCACTTTCTGAATAAGTACATGCAATTGAACATCTCAACAGAAAAAATGTTCAATTGTTGTGAAAGGATTGAAAATGTCCGTCCTTATATACTTAATGAAACACTGGAATTTGAAATCTATGGAGGAGAAGAAGGCATCAAAGCCATCACTAAACTCATGTATAAAAAAATCCTATCAGATGTCACATTATCACCTTATTTTGAGAAAATTGACGTCGCCACTTAGGAATTGAAATTTGCTAGACTCTTCTTTTAATTAATCTATCATTTGGATTCACCCAATTACTCATGTGAAGTGCTGAGAGAACGACATGTCAAGTATGCTTTGACAAATGTGCAACTTACGAACTTTAAATATTACTTGTCTTTAACTTTGTAATAGACAGGTATACCTTGGAAGAATATCAGACAACTCTTAAGAAGAATGGACATCTACAAATATGCCATAATAAATAAAAATGATCTCCAACATTATGTGAATTAGTTAGGCTTCAATTAATTCATTGAGAATTTTGTGAATAGTTGTTCATAAGATGCCATGTTATCTGAATTGATCCAACGTAGAGGACGATAACGATTTATTTCACACTGCTGCAATATTTTCCATTACTTTTTTCGTTACAACATAAAGGCTGTAACCAGAGAGGACTTATATTTAATTCATTCAAAAAAAGCTATAATAAATGAGAAGATTTTCGACAGGTTCAAACAAAAGGCTGTTGAGTCTGTCAAAGATCTGACTGATGATAATCTAGTGGTCTAAGACTTTATTGAAGATTGGGATGAGATCAAGCCAATAATTTTAGGAGAAACCAGAGAACAATAGATTCTTAGCTTGGGTTAAGAATATCTAATACCCAAATTAGTTTAAATTTTAGAATACGAATTTTTTTAAAGGCATTTGAATAAGATATATGAAACTGAAGAGGCGGAGATGGGCAAAAGCATACTTTGCAAATTAAACTTACTGCTCTACGGAGTTAGGTTTTTCAAGAAGTAAGACTTGCAAATAATTCACAAACGATTCAAAATTACTTCTTCACAATACTACGACTTCTCACAATGCTTTAAAATTGCTTTATAAGAATACAAAGTCTTGAATTATGTTCACTAATTAATAGAAGAGTATGAAGAATATATAGTCTCTGATTGAAAATTTATAAAATATTAGTATTATATTTAGTGGGAATTCTGTAAGGGATTTAGAAAGATTTTCAATTTTCACTTTTGTATAAATTAGATTGATAAACAAATAATGACTCTGTTAATAATAAATATATCATTATGTGAATACCTTTCTAAACCAAGCTGTCACTTCATCTAAAGCTTATTGTGCTGTTTCCACATTATAAGCCTCTGGTCTATCTTGATTCATGAAGGCATGTCCTACACCTGGCCAAACTCTATTATGAAATAGCAATTCATCGTTACTTGACTGTGACATCTTTTCCTGCCTTCTGTCCAGCTTCAACTAATCTTTGAGCATCGTCTGGTGATGAAAATCCTTTCATTTCGTCCTTCTCTCCAAAATGACCATAGATAGGTCCTTGGATGTTATCCAATTTGAAGGTGTTCAAATCACACACCCCATAGAAAGGAGCTGATGCATCAATTGAATTAGAGAATGAGATGGATGCAATTGCTAAAGCTCCACCCATACAGAACCCTGTAACACCGACCTTAGTGCATCCAAGCTCTTTTAAATGTTTTGCTGCTCCTTCAATGTCTCTTACTGCTCCTTCCCAATCTAATCCACTAAGAAGATGGCCAGCTTCCTGGGATTATTCTAGAACAAAGAAATGATACTTCTCTATTTTGTGCAACCTTTCCTCTGTATATGTCTGGAGAGATGCATTGGAAGCCTTTCTGGGCAAGTTTGTCAGTGGTTTTGACCATTGATTCATTCAAACCCCACCATTCCTAGATGACGATGATGCCGAATTTGGAATCATTCTTGTTCAAATAACTTATATAGGAGCGATGTAATATACCCTTCTCCATCTGGTCTGCCATCGACTTTGAAGGTGCAGTTTTTTTTGGCTGGAGTGTGAAGAGGTTGATCGACTTACATATTGGTATTATTATTATTTTATGAAATTGAATTGAGAATTCTGAGAATAAATACAAAATGATTTCAGTTTATATCTTTGAGTCCTTTTTTCTTAATTTAATTGATGTAGTCTATCAGTTTTTGGTTTTTTTATGAAATCGCTATGTCCAAAGCTGTTCTCCCCTTGTTATCCGTCTTCTTGTAATCAATCCCTTTAATCAACAGGAACTTGGCAATCCCATTTCTTTCCTTCAAGGCTGCCTAATGCAAGAGTGTGCAGCCATTGGTATCCACTAATCTTAGCAAAGCAGGATCACTGACAATTCTAAAGGTGAATTCAATCTTTTCATTTAATGTAATTAATCTCTAGAGATCTAAAATCTATTGTGTCTGATAAGTAGATGGCTTTTTGATTTGCTCTCCTGGTTTTAAGTCGTATTCCTGGATCTATGGTACTGGCAATTAATATAGAGCATTCGAGTTCATTCTTTGTAGCACATTTTTAAAAGATGGGAGTTATTGGAAACTTGAGAATGCACTAGAGAACGGCATGTTGGCTTAACCTAGAGTTGGTTAAGATTACATTTGCGATCCAGCATTGCTAATGACTGAAGAATTCATGTAATCTGGAACTTGTATAGCCTTGCTTATGATGAGATCCTTCTTCTCTACGAATTCCCTTTACGGATTCTTTATGTAATCATGAGTATATTTATTTCTTAATTGTACTTTTTCTTGAAACATTTATTGTCCTTGCTCTTCCAAATTGCTCAGTTTGTCAAAGTACTTCTATTCCTCTTTCAAGAACTTATCCATTATGAGTTTAATATACTCCTTTTCTTCCTTCTCCTCCAATTTTAATTCTCTTCTCCTCTTCTCTTGTTGTTTATTATAATTGGCTCGTTGAGTCTATTGCTGATTCATTTACAAAATCTAATTGTATGTTCTCATGTCAGTAACTTCTGGATTTTCAATGTGTTTTTAGGAGGATTGCTGATGCTTAAAATAAATCTGATCTTTCCTGTGATATATTTTGAAGAATCTTCTTTCATATTTCGTATTGTTTTCAAAATAATTATCTAATTTCTCCTTGTACTCTTTAACAAAATTATTCTTCATTGTTTTAAACTTAATATAATCACTATGATCGACAGGATCTGCTTATGACTTCTTAAATTCCTTAATCTTCATGATTGGATTCTTAGTGTTCTTTTGTTTATACTACGTGTAGATTGGACATTCCTATTCAACTATTTCATTGAGTCTAATAAATATCAATGGGATTCTACAAATGCTCAGTCTTCTATGCCTGTGTCATAAAAGTGTGTTTGTGCTATGTGCTAATTTGGGTCTTGGCTGCTGCTGCACTGTTTACTCTCTCAGTCTAAGTTACAGATCTCTTATTCATTAAATAATATAATATTTTAAAAATATCTAAATTAGGGTAAGTCCATTTCATGAAAAGACCGAAATTGAGTAAAAGCATATGATAAAATTGAAAATAGATTTAATAAATAAATAATTATCAATTTTACGCATGAACTCATCTAATTCTACTAGCTCATCTCGTCGCTCGAATAATTCCTTAGCCATATATGTCTTTATTGGAGTTTTTGCTGTAGTTGTGTTACTGGTAATTGCTATAATCATACTCATCCAAAGAGAACATAGAAGATTGCATCAGCGTATTCGCTATTCTGAAATGGCTTATACGAAGAAGGAGAGCAACACCACTTTGGAGGGGCAATCAATTGAAATTTCCCAATCAGAACAGCAGCAACCCCAGCGTCCTGAAAAATTAGTGACCTTCGCATAGTGATATAATAATATTACTTTATTTATTATTATGGATTAATTTGCCATTGGACTATTTCCTCTCGTGTATGCTGGCTATGCACAAATGAAAATCAAAGGATACAAGTAAGTTAGAAATAAACCAGAAACCATTGCCTTAAAGGTCAAGATTGGCTTTCAACTCCAAATCGCCATCGTTCAAATAATTGAATTATTTGTAGCACTCCTAAGCAAAGACTTACTATCAGCTTTGTGTTGTCTCTTCATAATCATTGGATTATTTTACTCATTTGGAATCACAGTAATCTTTCATCAAGAATCACTCCTAAACTTCTTGCCCTTCATTTTTCTATTCAATTTAATTTGCAACGAAACCATTCTCAAACTATTTGACCTCATCTGCTTAGTCCTCTCATCCCTCTTGGTGATCTACCAACGATACAGAGGAGATGACCCTTTGGAATACAGTAACTATTTCATATCATTGCGTATTTATAGACCCTTTTTGTGAATTCTTTGAGCAATAAGACAGTTTTGTAGCTTAGTACTTGATCCTATTGAAGTTTCAACCAAACACTTATTCCGAGGAGATCGAATTACATGAATTGAATGAATCCACAGTCCAGGATCCCCTGTTGGTGACTCAATAAGTTTAAAATCATCAATAGCTATAAGGGTAAGGTCATCAATAACACCACCCTACTTCTTAGGTGGCCTAATTCCTCATTAATTAAACGAGATAATCAACTAAATTGGATGTTAAACATCCTGAACCAGCCATCATGGACATTGTATTTTCAAAAGATGAAGATGACATGTGGGATAAATAAATAGAAGTTGTTGATTCACCGAAACAGAAAAACAAATTAAAAGTTAGATCGTCCTAAATAATTATTGAGGAGAACTCCCAATCAGAAGAAATCTCCTACCCATCATTTAAGGAGGATGTCCCAAAAACTCACTTTGTTCGAAGAAGTCAAGCTTCTGAAAAGAGATCCCTCTCTTAAAGAGAAATTAAATAAGGTTATGAGTAGGAGCAGCAATCGGGTATTCGTTCTGATGATGAGATTGATAAAATAAATAAAGGAAGTACGAGGAACATTTAAGAAGATCAATTGGAAGAATTGAAATGCTATGAACACCAATCATCAAATGAGATCTAACCTGAAGTTCAAAATGAATAATAATAATAATAATAATAATAATAATAATAATAATAATAATAGTAATAATAATAATAATAAGTCATGGAAATTGTTGACATCGATAAATTAGGTGGGGTTGAGAGTCCATTAAAGTAAGAACCTATTCCATAAATTCAATAAAAATTTCCATTTGTTGAAGACAATGAATATCCTGATAAATTGATTGTGATTCCCTAGCAGATTCAATAAGAATTAAATAAGAAGAAGTAACAGAAGAAAAAGAAATAAAAAGATGAAGGACTCATTGCTAAGAGGAATAGAATGATTAAGAGAATTAAAAGTTTCGAAGAATTTTAAGACAAAAATGATGACAACAAATCCTAAAATAGTGACTTTTATGATGACAAGAAAAGTGATTATGAAAGGTACAAGGATGAATTAAGTTCAGCCAATTTATCCGAAGATGAGAGTGAGAGTGGAGTTTATGTTTAATAGAAGATGGAAAAGGTGCAATTCATTGTTGGAAGGTAAATGGTTAAAAAATTGATAAACTATTAACATAAAACTCTGATTCCTATAACCATTAAAGTTAAGAATGATTAGTGGGTCTAGAATTGCCAATATGTAGAGTTGTATTAATTGGCTAATGGACATTTACCTAAACCATCTTACGGCGATGCTGAACTTGAGAAGAAATTGTTTTATATTCAACAATGGTTGGATGGGATGAGTTAGAATCCAATTCTGATGAGGAAAGAAATACTAGAGTTTTTCAATGTTCCAGAAGCCATAATGAATAAATATGGTTTAATTAAGAAGATAGAGGAGGAGACCAGAATACAAAGAAATAGCAACAAGTTCATGAATTCTACTCAGAAGGAGTACTTTTTGTAGATCAAATAGATCAAAGTGGATTGCTTTAGTTCTGAAGTGTCAGAGGCATTTGCACAAATTGTTTACTATAGTTTAAGGTTCACGATTTAGACAGAGAAAAGAACGTTTGTTACAGAGTGCAAGAAGACAATTGAGGAGATAAAGGAGGCCACCAAGATCATATAGTAGGAAAGAAACCTAAGGGTTTCATTGTAGGATCACGAGACAGTAAAAAAATAGATGAAGGCAATCGATTAGTTTCTATAGGAATTATTTAGCCACCAATTTTATTATTGTGATAAATTATTTGAACAATTTGGACTATTATCACAAATTAAATGACATTGCTATTATATATATATATTTAAAATGATGTTATTTTTAGATCCTTATGATGTATATTATTAGATCATTATTCAACTTCAACCCAGCCACCTTCAACGTGTCCGCTCATTTGGATAAGGGCAAACTAAATTATTAATTAAAATAATTACATCAAAGCTTTGGATACAAGCTTGATCTGAGGTATAGGTGACCTTCTTTCCGTTATAATCGGTGCTCTCATATAAGGTGACTCTTCCTTAAGGTGGGACCTTGATGGATCTGATTTATGGAGGAATGTTGTCATTCTAGAAGTTTGGTGATTTGGAACAGAATTCGAATGAGGCTCCCTTGAAGTCACATTCACTGTAGAAGACGGCGCAGGCTTCCTTTGGTTCATACCATAATTTGAAGTCTCTGAAACCCCATGATTCTAAAAAAGCGATTAAGGATAACAATACCATCGGCAGCATCTTGATCCAAAGTAGATGTGAAGATGATTTCAGCCTTTGGAGATTGATGATTGAAGATTTCATCAACACCGGTGAAACCGTCCCACCAAACACCTTGTCCACAAATATTGGCACCTCCGGTTTAGAGATTCCAAGATGTCTTCCAAACATCAGTTCCGTCGACCTTGATCATCATGAATTCTCCATCCCAAGAGTCAATCTTATAGATGGTTGTTTATAATCTGAGTCTCTTGTGTGGTGGGATGTCAAATGTTTTGGTAGCTTTAGCACCAACACCCATGATATCAAAACCTCCGACCATTGATTTACCATTGCATTCAGCGACTGTTCTTCCTGCCTTGTTTCCTGTGAGGACCCAACCGTTGATTCCTGTGAATTTGTCTTCCAAGAAGGATTATTCCAAAAGGACAAAGTTTGGTAAAGCTTGGCATTTACCTCCGACTAAAGCCCAATTGTTGGAGCATTCTATTTAGAATATATTTTAATAGTACTCTTGCAATCAGTATCCTTTGGTCCTGTACATTCAGCACAGTTATCAGAGCAAGCTGCCAAGTAAACGTACAAATCTCTCAAACCGAAAGATTCATTGTTTGGTGCTTCATCAAGAGTAGATGTGAATTCAATCTTGGCTTATTCACCAGTGTGATCAATATCGACTTCTGTTCTTGCAAACATTGATTTCCATTCGAAGACTGGGCAACCACAGATCTTACCGAAGTAACCCTCGTGCCATTAGAATCTTCTTTCCCAAACTAATTTTCCGTCGACCTTGATTTAAGCAGCTTCATTGTCCCAAGAGTCGATCTTAGCCCAAAGAACCTTAAGCTTAAGTTTGTAATGGGGCTTGACCTTAAGAACCTTACTGATGACTGTTCTAGCACCTGTCTTATCGAAACCTCCGAACAAAGCAGCAGCACCGCATTATGTAGCAGATGAGGCTCCACCAGCAACATCCCAACCATCAGCTCCGAGTTGGTTTGCATCCAAAGCTCCCCAACTGGAAGCAAAGGCTTACCAGAAGTTACAGTTCTCTGCCTTGTCGTCAACTTAACAAGCAGCACATCCATTTGGACATTTTTCGACTGCAATAACGAAGTCTCTGAAGGCCCATGATTCCTATAAAAAATATCACATCCATTATCTTACATTATCGGCTGCTTCATTCAAGTTGGATGTGATAACAACTACGGCTGTTGGACCAGTGTGCTTAATGTTCAAATTGAGATTCACAAGCATTTCTTTCCAATCACCACCTTGACCACATTTTTGTCCATCACCTTCATTGTATTAGAATTTTCTTGACCAAACTAATTAATCATCAACAAAGACATATCCTTCTTCATTGTCCCATGAGTCAATCCTAAACGTTTATTAATGTATCATACTTCCAGAATTGAAGCTTCAAATTAATCAATGAGTGTGGGGGAAGTTCAAAAACTTTACTTGCAACAGCCTTAGCTCCGAATTTATTGAAACCTCCGAACATCTTTGTACCACTACATTCTGTAACATGGGCTGGTCCTCCAGCAGTCACCCAACCTGATTCATTAATTAATAATTTTACCATCTGCATCTGCAAAATCATTTCCTGTGAAGGATTAGGAGACAACAACTGGTTCTCCAAATACTTGCACTGCAGCGCAAACTAACAGCACCAAAACTAGAGTTCTGTTTTACATAAAAAATAATAATGAAATATTTGTTTTCACAATTGCCTTAAAAAACGACTATTTTCATTATTTCTCTAATTTAGATATTATTGCTACATATTTCAATTTTATATTGCCAACTTTAAAATCGCGAAATTCGTACTCATTTCATCCCAAATGACAAAGCTAGATCATCTAAAACTCAAAAATAAAATACTTTTCTTAACTGTAACAAACAAATACATGGTTTAAAGTAAAAGAACGAATTATCAAAAATACTATCAAATAAAGCCTCATCCATAACACAAATAATCAGAGTACTCATTGTCGTACAAATAACTCTTAATTGCACTATAAAGGTCGAAAAACTAACAAATATCGGGTAGAAAAATATATTAATATATTACGACATACTACAATACTTATTAAAAATGCGTCACGTAAGAAGTTAGAAAATTTTGGATTTAGCTGCACTCTTCACTATTCTTCTCTTCTCCATTCTCATTTTTATATTCATATATCATTTATAAATGAGATAAGTATTTAATGGTTTCTGCTGGAACTAAAATTGATTAATTTATATATAAAATTTAGCGAAATATTCTATTCACCATCAATAAATCACTGTGCCCAATTCATATCTAATGGCTCTCCTACACTTTTCGACTATCTCATCTTCCTTTTAAGCCAAGCTAGATTTAATATCATTAATTTAATCTTTAACTATAGAAATTTATTCATTCACTTGATCTAATACCTGTAGAGCTGCCGCATCTAAATTAGATCGTTTGAATTATTACTTAGATTCATGTTTTCTGCTTCTATGTTTTTGGTTTATTTAATTTGTTGACCTTGAAATATCACAGTCTTGTCATTCTTCTATTTTACTACACATATAGTATAAATACTCACCCACTCTATTGGCACCATTTTGGGATGAAGTTTGCTGTTTCAACTTTTCAAGGAGAAAGTTCAAAGCCTTGTTGTTTTCCACTTCCTTGTTGTTGACCTGTTTTGGATCGAAATTAGCATCGAATGGTATTCCACTCAAATCTGCGGGTAATTAATGAGCTAATACAAAGACCTTGTCCCTGGGAGTGAGAGTCGTTTCTGCTGGAGGGTTCGTGTAAACATACGGATGCTTATTATCGACTGCCTTAGCCAACCTGTACAGGCCCAATGGAATCAAGTGTCTCTCGATTGACAAATAATTAAACAACTCTCCAAAGGTTTTATTCTAAATAACATTTTGGATTACTAGATAATCTTCAGGAACAGGGACCTGATAAAGATTTGAATCCTTGATTTCTAAGTCGACAACAATAGCTTAGGTTATCTGATTCGACTGTCTCATGCCGGTGAGAATTTACTGCAGGATGGTGACGATATGCGGATTGTAATAAGCTTGGCAGGTGAGTGTGTCGATCATGGCAGAAATGTAGACTTCTCCTGAGGCTTATAGAGGTGTCTAATTAACACAATGCTTACCAATTCATATTTGAAATCATTTTGATATTTATAATCTTTGTCGAGCAGAAATTAAATATTGGAACTTGAAACCAATTCAATCATAATCTGAATTGAAGGATTGATCTTCTTAATGGCTTTGTAAATGAAAATGCTCTCTGCATCATGCATTTAGTCTAAGAAATCTTCGGTCTCAGTCTTATTAGCATCAGAACTCTGAGCGAATATTACTGCCTTATCTGCACAATGAATGCTGGCTCTTTGCAAATCCTCAGAAATCAGGGGAGATCCCTGCACGAATTTCACCTTTGGGAATCTATTGATGTACTCCCAAATATCAGTAGGTTTTTCAGGTGCTAAGATGACCACATACTGAATTTCCTTCAAGTACTTGGCTCTTAAGGGAAGCAAAAAGTAATAGATTGAAGGATGGATGCCGCAAACCACAATATGATTGTTGATCTCAGGTTATTCCAATAAGAATATTGAGGTGGCATCCATTAAGGAAACAGGTTCATTAAGAAGGAGATAATCTTTCTCAATGATGTATTGGTCATCCAATTGATCTTTGCCAGACAACAAGTGATCTTCAACTTAATTCTCTTCTTCTTCTTCATTCAGTTTGTCCTTGTCGGAATTGGGTTACGACAACTGGAAATGATAGTTGGCAATTTCTTCAGTTGTCATATCATAAGTAGCCACAAGATCTGCCACTTTCTTGTCTTAGCAAATGATATACGCATGAACTTTGCATTGGATTGGTATGATGAAGACGCCAGGATTGAGTGTTATGATGGCTTATTTTCCGAAATCTAATTCCAATCCAAAAAGTATCCCAGAGAATTCATTGTACACAATGGCAGCTACTTCACTAAACGTTTTGCCTTGGAATTTGGAACTCAAATCAGTCCTATAGATTTCGTGTCCCATCCCATCTGTGTATTGAGTGAGCCATTCGGAATCCAAACTCTCCTTCTGTTCTCCTGCAGATGTTACTAAATTGCCTAATAAGGTAATGATGCCAGGACAAAAACAAGATTTGGCCATCAAATTCATTTTGAATTCCTCCACTACTATAATTTAATCAGTTATCTATTTAACTCCCAATGATTATTTGTAGTGCATCTTACTTTCTGGCTTGATCAATTGCATACACAATCTAATATTGCATCCAGTTAGATGATTCACAAATTTTTTAATCAACAGCCCAATCAGAATGTTCTTGTGATCAGCAGAGTGACTGTCAACTATTTGTTTATTGGTCAGAATAACACAAGCCTTAGCCTAAGTCACAGCAGCTCTTCTCAAGTCTCTCTCAATCATAGGATTCCCTTGCAAATAGATCAGGAACATCTCGTAACGTTCATTATGCAAGAAGTCCTCCATCTCTGTATTGGGAATTGAGGGTTTCAAGATGATTGCATTTTTGTCTTAGCCTCCGTGATCCTGATGGAACAATTCATTGCAAAAGTTCTTCAAAGATGCAACACTCACGTAACCGCAAATGATGATGTGGGGAATCTCATGGTTTGGTTTGTAGAATGATCTGGCATACACACTTTGCAACCCCATTAATCTAATCAATTCGTTCATCTGTTTAGGTATGACCACAAGTACAATAATAATTAAGACTATGACACATACACGACCTTCTTCACTTTAGGGAATTACGTCTCCATAACCTACTGTCGACAACGTCACTATAGTGAAGTATATCATTTCGTGAAAGTTGCATTTGTCGACTTGATTGGAACAACCTTTATTTGGATCCTTGGATATCAGTTCTTGTCTTTTCGGGAATTCGAATGCGTACAACACTCCAGCTGTTACTATGATTATTGTTGTAACAGTTGAAAATATCACGTATATTTATCTCATCACTCCTCCATTTTCAGTGTCTGACAGTGATTATATTTTGTTGATCATCCTTACAATCCTAAAAACTCTTAAAATTCGAGATATATTGATCAGTCTTTACAAATAATTCCAACTCTCTACCGACTGAATTGTGAAAAGAGGAAACACAGTTAGCAACTCAATTATGGCAAAGTCAGAAAATATGTATTGGAATCTGTGTTGAGCAGCAAACAATTTCAATAAATACTCCGTCAAATATAAAGAACAAACTACTATATCCAAAGTAGCCAGCCATTCCACCGAATCAAAGTAAGTTGACACTATATATATTCCTACACTAGCCAAACTTGCAATACCTGAAATTATCTCCAGATATCTATTTTACATCAATCATACCTCCCCACTTTTTAATTTAGCAGCTTCTCTATGTACAATCTGAAAGTGATTCTATTCTCGTATTCATCGTTGTTTTCAGGTTTCAGTTACGGCAAAGGTAATACCATAGACATCTTTGGGTTCATTTTTTATTATTAATAGTTTACTATATTAATAATTTAAATGGTTTCTTGTTGCATTAAGGTTATTATTTGGAGATCTCATTTTATATCCAGATTCTTTGTTCTGCCTACTTATTGAGTGTTACTTATTATTTATATATAAAATATAATATGAAATCTGCCAAATCAGCATATTCATTGAGTACAAATTTAGCCAGTTAATACACAGAGAGAGTTTATAAAACCAAAAGGCCCGTACTTCGTATAAACACAGAAACCAGTTCGAGGATCAAGAGTGCCTAAATCGGATCCTCATCTAGAAAATGCTATACAAATACTAGTAGAATCATTGAATCCTAGACTGCATCTAAGATCCCTTTGCAAATATATTAAAGATACATAGAAGAATCCTTCATGTCCAACAACCATGATAAAATCGTAAAGGAAGTTAAATTAGTAGAGCCTACTGTAATTAATCATCTCAACATCAACTTTTATGAAACTCAACAATTGAGTCATGGAATGAGTCTTTATGACAAGCATCCCAATTTGCTCTTTAAAATGTATGAAACACTGATAAATCTCGATAAAAATGTGATGCAAGAATTGTTCTTATATGAATCTTTGGCCGATAAAGATTAAATTGGAATGAAGGAAAAGAAGGAGAGAAACATTACAGATAATTTTAGATTTGATTTTTTCATCAAGGCAATAAATATTATGGATGACTTTATAACAACATTAATTAAAATTATAGACGATAAAACTTTGGCGGTCTTCATTGAATAATTATGGAAGTTTTGGGTTATACTACTCGATGTCAATACTCAATGGTCATAAACTAGATATAAAGCCTTACTGGATATTCAGGTGGGAGCTGTAGAGTCCTAATTAAAAGATTGTTAGTTTAGTTTGGATGCCTTAAGAGAGAAGTACATTCAAAAGGTAAAAGGACATCAATTGAGAGTTGCAGTAGAGTAGAAGAAGAACCTGCATCTCAAGGAAGAGAATTTGAAATGGTTGTAGATGTATTCTGAGTTGGAGACAAAACTAGAAGAGTTAAACAATCTAGAAAATGCGCAGGGAGAGATAAGAAAAATTAATTTGGATTTAAAAGAAATGGATTTCCAATTCAATGTTTTTTAAAAAAATATGATGGATTCACAAAAATCAGTTTGCAATACTGTAAAGAATTTGGCAACTCTTCTGAAACGAAAAGATTAAAAGTCCTTTAGCGAATTCACATATGAAGAACTAAGTCTATTTGATTATCCAGGATTTAATGACGACTATCTACTTATCAATCCGATTATATTTCTCTTGCAAATTAGGGCCAAAGACCAGAAGACGACTCCTAATGATTTTTTATCATTCTTAGTGCAAAACATCTATCAATACCCCAATATGTCAGGACCAGAACTGTTTATGCAATACATAGAGATAGATTTTAATAAGGCCCATTTTCTAAGGGATCTAATCAAATCTACTGATGATGATATAATCAATATCACAAAATTAATATTGGGAATAGGCAACAAAAACCCAGTTAGTCATCTCGTTATTCTGGAGACCATTAAATTGTGCAGAGCGATTGAGAATTAATACAAAAGCTTGGAATAATCTCAAACAGCTAGCCTTAACAAAAGGACAAGTCTTATTTTAAGTTAAGAAAAGTCAATCACTCAAAATATTGATTTGAATTACGAATTCCCAGTTGCAGGGTATGTGTATAATTTTTAGATTTAGATCTGAAATTACATTAGGTTAGTAATTGTATGAGTTGGTTCTTTAAACCAGTACAACAACAATCAAACTCAGCAAAATGATGCATATTGCTATTAAATATTATGCTGAAAAAGAATATGGTAAATGGTAGAGCTGTTGTTATTTATGGTAATAAGGAACTTTGAAAATTGAATCTCGTTGGGATCAACAGGAATAATTTTAAAATATGGATAGTTTTCTTGTAATTAATTCATTTTATGCTTAGGTATGGTAATTTGTGAATCTCAAATATAAGAATTCCAAAACTCAGGATTAGACTTCTTTAGATTAATGTTTCAACTGGGTCTATAAGATTTGGCTTATGCGACCAAAAATCTTTATCAAACCCACTGTTGATCATATTGAAACTTAGAGAAGCTCTCATACAAATCAGAAATAGTAAGACAAGTTGGCAATACCATATAAAAAGTCCATCACTCTTATAGACTCTTAAAGAAAAAAATGATTATATTATAATTAATTTATGAAAAGAGCTTTATAGCAATTCGAAAAGAAAGCACGATTAACCTACGAATCGGCTAAGTCAGGATTGAATTACAGAGTTTAAGTGATGCAAAACAAAATGGTTTTGGGGAACATTTCAATTCATCTCAATAAACAAAATTAGATTCCTAATATGTTATTAGCAGATTTATTTCAACAAAAACATTTCACTTTGACCAAAGAAGAGCAATGCATGTATTTTGAAGGAGATTTCACTCCATTAAATTCTGTAGATCAAGATCTGTCGTATCATTCTGAATCAGGTATGAGATTGGACTTAATTAGGTTTATTGGCTTATGACACTCAAAAAAACAGACTCAAGTTGCATTTAACGAGGGATAGTTCATAATGTCAGGGTCTGATTCTTGGATATGTGATGAATTAATAAAGCTTATACATTATCCAGAAATTAAGGGATTCTGATCCTTAATGTGAGGTGACAGTTGAAGGTTCGTATAATTTTTATTTAAAAAGAACTTTGAATGTGCTTATTGGAATTTCACTTCTATTTTTATTGGATGGAATCAGTTTTAATCCAAAGAATGACCCTACACCTGTATTTGTTAAAAATGAGATATAATATAAGAAAATCTAATAATGATCAAACTTCATTCTATCCTTGTCATTTAACACATTGTTTTATAATTTCATTAATCTTATTGACTTTATCTTATATTCCATTAGATTTATATATTGCTTCTATATCCATTGATCTAAACGTATTTAGGCTCGCAATCAGCAATAGGCAAATTCTTGCTTCTTCAAGAGTGAACTCTTTTATACTTTGTTGTGTCACAAATTTTTGCATTTTGTCTTCAAATAACTTTTTATATGTTTAATAAGTGATTGCTTTGCATTACATTTTTATTTCTTTTTAGCGTATAGGATCCTTATCAATTTAACTAGGAAAAATAATACTACGATCTGTGTCAGAAATATCATCATAACTTTTTTCTATACTACTTCTTTCTTCGTTTATTTTTTTTATTTTTTCCTCATACTTTTAAACTTAATTTTGATAAACTTTAAAGTTAGTTTGTTCATATAATATATACAAAAATACATACATATATCCTAATTGAGTGTGCTCATTAGGATACTACTTTTTAAAAAGTTTAATCGCAAGTTCCTATAATTCTAGATAAGTTCTCTATTCTCCATCTGTTTATTCAGAGTCATTGATTTATATGGGAATTGGATCAGGAAAGTCAAACAATTAGATTTTTTTTCTCATATCTGATACCCATTCCTTTGTGTATACCTTTTATAGTTCTTCTTACGAAGGACTACCTTTAATAAGTTGATATAATTTAAAATAACTCTCAATTATGTTCATTTGATTTAGCAACATCTCTAAATTATAGATTTTATTTTTGAACTCAAGGAATTCTGTACCTATATCCTTCCCTTTGTTATAGAGATCCTTCATAATCTCAATTATCAATGTAATATCATAATTTGGTTAGTATAATTAATTACAGCGACAATTTGGGCTGAATCCAAATTCGAACAAATATATTTTATCTTCCAATCGTTCATAGTAAATGTTATTGGATGATATACATCTTGCTAAAATGCCTCTTTTATGGAGTTCGAAAACGGAGAGAACCAAATTCTGAAATATGGTTTGAAATGTCTGGAAACTTATTTTGTTTTAAGCAATTTCGTTTAAAAAAATACCCTCTTCAATATATTCAACAACAATAAAGTCTTGAGAATTCTAATTCATTATGTAAGTCTATTTTTCATCAGTATATCTCTTAATTTAAAAGGGAAGTAATTCGTTATCTCTTTTCTCGATGTAATTCTTGAAGAAGTCTTACGATCTCTGATTGTTTTTGTATAATTCAAATCCATTAAATTTTATTATTTTATCGTTCAAATGAAGGTGTCTTTCTAGGAATGCAGATAAAGTCAACTCTCTCTTTTTGCCATTGCTGTTTCTTTGCATTTTCGTATTATAATAAATATATATTACTTATATAAATAAATATATCATGTATTTACTGAGTAAATCTAGAAAATTCCTTAAATAAACTCCAACATGATTAATCAAATTGGGTTTGATATTTTTAATGGAAATTAGGGTTGGTTTTTTTTCAAAAATTTCTTTGTTGTATAGTATAGTTCATTCAAAAAAAGATGTATCTGGTAGAACTTAAAGATTTAAGCATCAATATCTTTTGAATTCTATTTGATCTTAAATTTTTCCCTATCAATATCAAAGTTGTATCTTAATAAAAAATATATAAAATTAATAATTGCATTATTATCCAATAAGAATTTGATAATGATATCATGAGTTAAGACCTTTGTATTGTTTCAGCCAGATGAAGAGGAAAGTCATTTCATTTGATAATGACGATGTTTATTCCTAAAGAGCACTCATTGCAATACTTATTTTATAATATTGATGAATTATGTGAAGTTCTTATTATTGAATTTAAATTCTTAGATTAATGATTAAATTTGCAACAAGAACCATTAATTAATTTATGCAACAATAAAAAGATTTATTTGCTCACTACAAGCAGCCATTAATTAAGGAAGACTCCTATGTGACCGGCTTGAAATTAGCTAATTCTTTAAAGGGAAGTGAATTGGTCCCCTTCATCCCTATAAATGGAAGACAAGTGAAGTATTATATCTACTTAAATGCAAGCTTTTACTATTGCGGTCCAACAGTATACAGTAACTCTCATTTGGGCCATGCTAGGTAATGATATTGTTGTCATGTTTGTAGAACATATTTGGGCATTGATGTAATAAGAAGAACATTAAGAGATTATTTTAATTATGATCTTTTAAGTGTCATGAATATCACCGACATAGATGATAAGATCATTAATGGAGCAAAATTAGCCAATTAAGACTTTCTTGAATTTACGAAGGTTTGGGAAAAAGATTTCTTTTCCGCCATGGAAGCACTAAATATCGAATTGCCTGATGTTATAACCAGAGTCAGCGATTATGTCCCTGAGATTGTTACTTTCATTGAAAAGATCATCTCCAATGGATATGCTTATGATAGCAATGGAAGTGTGTATTTTGATGTGCAAAAGTATTTGGCTGATGGAGTATCTTTAATATTTAAGTAAACTAGCACACATATCCTAAAATGAGACCAGAAATGAATGCTGATTTATTATAGGAAGGAGAAGGAGAATCATAGGCAAATAAATAATCAGAAAAAAAAAGTCCTAACGATTTCGCCCTTTGGAAGGCAAGTAAGCCAGAAGAACCTAAATGGCCTAGTCCTTGGGGAGAAGGTAGACCAGGATGGCATATTGAATGCTCTGTGATGGCTAGTGCTATTTTGGGAAACCCCATCGATTTACATGCAGGAGGCATTGATTTAATATTCCCTCATCATGATAACTCTTTAGCATAAGCAGAAGCATGTTTCAACTGTGATCAATGGATCAATTATTTTATCCATCTTGGTCATCTCAATATAGCTGATCGCAAGATGTCCAAATCTCTCAAGAACTTCCTCACAATTGATGAAGTTCTCAAGAGATACACTCCAAGATAGATCAGATTAAATTTTGCAATCCATTAATACGATGCAGTTATGAACTATTCTGAAGAACAAGTTGAATAAGCAATCTCAAAAGATAAGGCATATCAAGAATTCTTCTAAAATACTAAGATTTATTTGAGGGAATCATAAGTCACTGGTCCTTAANGTATTGTTTCAGCCAGATGAAGAGGAAAGTCATTTCATTTGATAATGACGATGTTTATTCCTAAAGAGCACTCATTGCAATACTTATTTTATAATATTGATGAATTATGTGAAGTTCTTATTATTGAATTTAAATTCTTAGATTAATGATTAAATTTGCAACAAGAACCATTAATTAATTTATGCAACAATAAAAAGATTTATTTGCTCACTACAAGCAGCCATTAATTAAGGAAGACTCCTATGTGACCGGCTTGAAATTAGCTAATTCTTTAAAGGGAAGTGAATTGGTCCCCTTCATCCCTATAAATGGAAGACAAGTGAAGTATTATATCTACTTAAATGCAAGCTTTTACTATTGCGGTCCAACAGTATACAGTAACTCTCATTTGGGCCATGCTAGGTAATGATATTGTTGTCATGTTTGTAGAACATATTTGGGCATTGATGTAATAAGAAGAACATTAAGAGATTATTTTAATTATGATCTTTTAAGTGTCATGAATATCACCGACATAGATGATAAGATCATTAATGGAGCAAAATTAGCCAATTAAGACTTTCTTGAATTTACGAAGGTTTGGGAAAAAGATTTCTTTTCCGCCATGGAAGCACTAAATATCGAATTGCCTGATGTTATAACCAGAGTCAGCGATTATGTCCCTGAGATTGTTACTTTCATTGAAAAGATCATCTCCAATGGATATGCTTATGATAGCAATGGAAGTGTGTATTTTGATGTGCAAAAGTATTTGGCTGATGGAGTATCTTTAATATTTAAGTAAACTAGCACACATATCCTAAAATGAGACCAGAAATGAATGCTGATTTATTATAGGAAGGAGAAGGAGAATCATAGGCAAATAAATAATCAGAAAAAAAAAGTCCTAACGATTTCGCCCTTTGGAAGGCAAGTAAGCCAGAAGAACCTAAATGGCCTAGTCCTTGGGGAGAAGGTAGACCAGGATGGCATATTGAATGCTCTGTGATGGCTAGTGCTATTTTGGGAAACCCCATCGATTTACATGCAGGAGGCATTGATTTAATATTCCCTCATCATGATAACTCTTTAGCATAAGCAGAAGCATGTTTCAACTGTGATCAATGGATCAATTATTTTATCCATCTTGGTCATCTCAATATAGCTGATCGCAAGATGTCCAAATCTCTCAAGAACTTCCTCACAATTGATGAAGTTCTCAAGAGATACACTCCAAGATAGATCAGATTAAATTTTGCAATCCATTAATACGATGCAGTTATGAACTATTCTGAAGAACAAGTTGAATAAGCAATCTCAAAAGATAAGGCATATCAAGAATTCTTCTAAAATACTAAGATTTATTTGAGGGAATCATAAGTCACTGGTCCTTAAAAGTGGACATAAAACGACTTTTAAATCAGCAATTTGCTTAGAAATACAAAATAAGTGATCCATGCAGCATTGCTTAAGAATTTTGATTTTCCAACTGTTATTGATGCAATTGATAAGTTAATTAACCAAGTTAATGTATAAATTGCTGGCAAAACAGTTAGAGCTCCTTTAGTTTCTAGTGTTGTTCAATATGTGAATTTTATTTTGGGAGTAAATATTTAAGTTATAAGTTTAGTTAGTTGGACTCAACTATCAAACCTAAAATAGTAATTCGTCAGACATCAAGTCAATAATGGCTGAGGTATGCTCCATAAGAGATTAAGTTAAATTGGCTGCAAGAAAAGGGGAGTTTGAAGCAATTTCAAATATTGTCTCTTAGAAGCAATTCTAATATGAAAAGAACTTATCAAATGGAATTGTAGATTGCATCAACCAATTTTAATAATAGGTGTTGGCTGCTTCTTAAGAAAAAAATAAATAGCAATTGTTTTAATTATGTGACAGATTGAGAGATGAATAATTATTTGAGTTAGGAATTAAGATTGAAGATAAAGATAAAGAATAAGTATAAGATTGCATAATAATTAGGCATCCATTTGGAAATAATATGATCCAAAGGAATTGAAATTGGAGAGAGAACAATAATAAAAACTGATTTAATAAAAGGAATTATTAAAGAAGAAGGAAGAAGAGAAAAAGAAATAAGAAGAATTGGAGAAATTAGAAAAGGCAAAGGTTCCTCCCAAAGACCTATTCTTATCTTAATTAGATAAATACTCAGAGTTTGATGAAAAAGGCATACCTGTAAAGGATAAGGAAGGAAATGAATTATCCAAAAAATAGAAAAAGGTTGTCTAAGACTTATGGGAAAAACAAAACAAGCTTCATAATCAATATTTAGAAACATTAAAGAAATAGTAATAATGATGTAGAATAAATAAATATATATATATCATAATGATAAAATATGATATCATTTTTATTATTAATTTTCTTCATTTTTAACTTCAGTTACAGATTTAGAAAATCTTAACAAATCAACTTCACTTGTCACAAATGATTTTAGTAATTATTACATTTCTTCTTACTTTTTCTTTGCTACCTTCTATTGAGTATTCAATTTTTCATTTGGTTTAAACTACATTTGTAAATCAGGATCATTAATTAATTAAATTGCCCTCGATATCTTCAAAGCTGTTTACTCTTCAATCCTATTTGCTTACATTAAGGCAAAACTTAAATAGATTTTAGAAATACTTACTTAACAGTAGATTTCATCTATTCATGAGAATTCCTCATATTTTTCAATCTCGCACTCTATCTGGTATAAAATTCATTGTATCTCTCAATCTATTGAGATTGTAATCTCTATAATTGTTAACGATTTTAAAGAAAATTCAAAACTCTTTGTTAGTATGTTTCTCTTCTCAAAATAGTTTCCTCCTGCAGTTTTCTCTCCTTCCTTTCCAAAACGTCATCAGCTTTCCTAGGTTCTATTCTTGGAGTACTCAAATGCAATTTTTAATTAGATTTCACTTTTTAAAATTTTTCAATCTCAATTTACTTTTTTTATTGAACTTACTCAATTGATTTAGCGAGTAAATTATTTATTATTGGTTATGATTTCTGATATTTAACGATTATATTTTCAAGATTCTTTTCATAATTATCATAAACTTATCTTTTACCAAAATCTTTGTGACTTTCAGAGTGAAATTCAACAACCCCTATATCAATATATAAATACAACTTACTTTTCTAATCTAGCTTCTATTTCATCCTCTCCAAATATTCCTCATATTTCTAATTCTGCTTCTCTTGAAAAGAATGCTACCTTTACTTTTTAATTGATCTTGCCTATTTCATATGTTCAATCTATTCCTTCCTCATCTCCTCTAATTTATTTATTTTTTCATCTCTAAAGAATTAAATTAAAGATATTACATCAAGGAAGCATTTTTTAATAATTCCCCTCTTTTGTTTATTAATTCATCCTCCATCTTCTTCTTCATTCTGTGATTATTCTTTAATTTCTCATTGACTTTCTCTAGATGATCTTTTACAGCAACAATTTTGTTATCATAATCTGTTTTTAAAGCTTTTCTTACTTTCTCTATCTTATCCTCCTATTGAAGTTTGTAGTCAGTTCGTTTCTTCTCAATATCCAATTAGCAGAGCAATTACTTTTAGAATATTTGTTTCTTCTTCGATAATTTCTCGGATATTGATTGCAAACGAGACTCAGCCAATTACTTTGATTCCGCATCAACCCCAAATGTTCTTCCTATTTCATTCTAGATACCTAACTATTCTGATTTCTCAATTAAATCATGTCTTCGTTTCACTTTTCTTTTTTATTAAATTATCTAATATCCCCACTCTATTGTATCAAATTGTCACAATTACTTGCTACTTTGTATGCATAGTATTTAAATCGTAAAGCCTAAACCTAAGGATCAGGATCATAAAAATCCTGAAATTTAACAATCCTGAAAAAGTCACAATCAATTCCCAGTTGCTATCCCAACAATTAGGTCTACGGACTCAGAGGCTACAAGCATTCAATAAATTTATTCAACTAATCAACCGCCTCATTGGCCCTCCCCTCTTTAATTAAAGCAAGAGCATCAGGTAAGCTGAAATTCATTATTTAATTTATAATTTTATAAAACTAATACTAAAATTGTCTTCAAGCAACCAAGTTTGAACTCACCAGAAGTTTATTTAAGTTTGGTTATCCAATTCAGTCAATTTTTATTTGTCCTCTAATTAGAAAATGAACACTAAAGTAATATACCCTGAAATTAATAATAAATGACTTAATAATTTACTTATTATTCTAATGAACTCTGTCAAATACATCAAGAATCATATACTAATATGTATATCAACACTAAATGCCTCCAACCTCTATGACCTGAGAGTATTGAAATACATTGTAGAGAACACAAAGAATGTGAGCATGAAAGTTTGAAATCCTGAAGAACCTATTATTCAAAAAATAAGGTCTTCAATATCAGAAATGAATTAAGCTCTTGTCATTATAAGAAATGAAACTAATGAAAGCTCCAAGAATTGTGCAGAGATTCTCTTTAGTAATAGAAAAAACAAATAATTGATAAAATTGAGTTGTACAATAAAAGGCTACTCCAACACTTCAGCAATCATCTCGTCCAAGCCTTCAAAGCTAAAATATTCACACTATATAAAGGAGTCCTAGATTAAGGAAGTCTACAATAGAGTCAAGAATTTAATTTAATAGTTAGATGAGCAGGGAACAAAATTAGAAACCAAAAGCAATTGCTAAATAAAAACTATAAGAAGCATTTACTTACTAAATACTAATTAATTAATCTAGTCGGCAAAATAAGAAGCATACAAACAAATTTTGAAATTAAGTAGTTATTCAGTATATAGTTATTAGAATTTCTATTGCTTGTTGTAACTCAAAATTTAAATTAAAACTTGATGAATTATTTGCTCAATCAATTTAGATTTAGTTTAAAATTGAAGAGTAACTACAGTCAAATAATCAGTCAACAAATGTTTAGGATATAGCACCTATCAATTACAGTCCATTACTTTCCTAAATCAGTTAAATTTAATAGACTAAGAAACAATCTGAATTCACAGTCACTATGGAGGATTATCTATTACCAAGTGTTTAACATAAAGTGCTCCATTAATTTAAATACAGTAATGAATAAAATTTAATCAATCATGATAACCAGAAAATTAACTTAGAAATTTCTCCAATTCCAGTATTTCATTAATCAGTAATTACTAAAACTGGCTAGTTATATCTTTTTGGAGGAACCACAATTGATAATAACTATCCTAACAATAAATCTAATGGAATATACTTTTTTGATAAAAACTCCTTAGTGAATGTTGGCAATTTATTGATAAGTCGATCATCTCATGGTTGTTGTAGCATAGGAGATTATATCTATTCAATATCTGGACTGGAACAAGGTCAAACTCTGGAAAAGAATTGTGAGAGATATAATTATATTTTAAGGAGAAGCTAGAAAATTCAGGATTGCCTATTTCCTTCTATTCTTGTTGTTGTGTAAATTTCAATAATCAATTTATATATAAATTTGGAGATTTTTATGAAAAATAGCAGATGAATTTTATTGAGAGATTTAATATCAAAGATTAGGTATGGCTGGCAATTGATCCTAAAATAGCAACCAAAGAGTAAGTAGAGTTTGTATAATTGTAGAATACCTTAATTTACAGGCCTCAAATAGTTTGCAGCTGGAATTTAAATATCTCCCAATACCGTGATGATATTTGAAGGGTATGATGAAAATACTGTAAGTTCAAATCAATCATTTCTCTTCTCAATCAAAGGTGGGAACCATGTTTTGAATAAGGTAAATGCGAAACCTCTTTAAATTCCAGGAGGCTTTTGGCATACATAATGCTTAGTTTATAAACAAGAATTATTTGTTGTATGTAATTAAGAAAACAAGGAGGGTGAAACAATAGAAACAAATACAATATAACGATTTAAGGATAGATGGACAATATGCTGAATAGAATAGTGATTTATTATAATAAAATAATAGAATAGTTTATTTTCTTAATTTAGTAAAGATGTAAATATTAGATATAAATATATTAAAGAAATCATAAATTAATAAGTTTTTGTTAATACGAAAAACGATTTACCAATATTTTCATTTAAATTAATGCAATAGCCAAATAATCATTCTACATCGCCAAGCTCTTAGATGATTTTCATTCTAGTTTTTACAGAAATAGTCTCAATTGATCTTTTTGTCAAAATAGTTATATGTAATTCTTAATGTTTAAAGATTTCAATTGAAAAAGAAAGAAAGAATACATCAAAATAATCATTTAGGCCAACTTCGTTTTATATTTAAAAATAGAAAAATAATTTGAAATTAAAATAGAATTTTATTAATCCTCTAATAAGGAGTTGTAGGAAATCTAAGTCAATTATTAGGTTGATAAATAAACGTTATTATATAAAGATTTAATAAGAAATATATAATAAATTCTCCTAACTTTTTCAAATCTCACATTAGTTAAGAATGGTTTGATGCATGTTCTTCCTTGTTTAGTATGATACTAACATCTTTGTTAGATGCTATATTTTAAGTCTTTACTCCAACAAACCTAGATTAAAATAAGGGATTATGATTAGCTGCATTCAATAGCGAACCCATAGACTCATTAATTTTTGTTTTAGAACTCACAAATCGAGTTTAGAAAGGAATACCATTTTGCTATTATTAGGACTAAGGATTAAAGTTAGTACTTAATTAATTGTTATGACTAATATATCTTTGATTCTGTTCTAGAGATAAATTCAATTCTTTTTATTGCTATGGATAATTCAATTATGTTTAACTCTCATTAGAGTGCACACGATCAGTTTTAGGCCCATTTAATAAGACTGTTTTCGATACTGTTTTATTTACAAAGTATTCCCCTGTATTTAAATGGGTTTCTTCTTAATAAATCTTTGTTTTTGGTTTGAACTGCTTTCTTAATAAATTGGAAACCTCAGGATCAATAACTGAAGTGAAAGGCATTACTTTTTAAAGTAAACTAATTTGCTCTTTAATTTTTTGTGTTTCCATTTTCTACTTCTACATATATTCCACTTCATTAAAATCATCAATATGAGGAGGCCAATAGTCATATACATTTGGAGCCCTGCCCCCATGGCGAAACTCTAATTATTTTTGTTTGATGTAATTGAATAAGAGAGAATAATCGTTATGTATGAATTCCACCTTGTGCCGAGAATTATAAGGAATAAACTATTCAACAATTTGCCAAGTAATTTAAATCGATGTCTAAGGTTATAAAATGAACACTCGTTCTAAATAACATGGGAAATTTTGTTTCAATACTTCAAAAATTTAATTCAAATGCTATCAATCAATAGAAATACAATTACATTAAAGGGGATCTTATATGCTGTGGTGTTTTTGGCTTCAACAATTACAAACCAACTTTCTACTTTCCCTGATACTAGCATATAATCCTTTACAACCATAAATACAATAGAAATGGCTCTCATCATATCTTCAATAGGATAGATTGATATATCCAATTTATCAGCGTTTACAACAATAATTGGTTTGTAACCTTATCCTCTACCACTTATGTAAATAGCTCCTTATTTCTTAAAATTATTTAATTAATTCTTTACTATTATTTCTTCTGTGTTCAATGTCCACTTAAAATTGTTTGCATTTTTAACCCATTACTGATGTGAGTGTAGATGCTTAGTTTATTATAGGTTTACATACTTTGATGGTCTAATCAAAATCGAATTGATTAGCATATAAGAATCTTAGAGAAAGCTCATCTGACAATATTTCGTTTTCATCCTCGAGGTATTTTTTGAATGCATCTAGTTATTGTTTCTCGTAAATGTCATACTCATGTTTGCCTGATTCATCAATTCCAAAAACTTTTCTTATTGCATTTTTCCCAACTCCTCTTTTTAAATCAGTTCCTTAGATATATCATATACACTTACTCTCTAGTTTGATGGAATCAGATTAAGATAATGAGAGTCGTAAGCGTTCTAAATTGTACTAACTATAAATTTTATTCATTCCAAATTTTACACTTTTTCAAAATTAATATATTAAATTGAAGAAAGATTAATATTATTTTATAAATGTTGACCTATAAAAGTTTATCCAATTTATGAAATTTGATTTACTTTAGTTATCACTTTATTTTAATATTCATTCAATTAACAATTAACTTAAAATTAGTAACAGCATTTTTTTTTGAATATCAATTTAGAGTTTTGTATTACATATCACTCTATTTTGCTTAATTTGAGAAAATCAGATCATTCAATTATAAGTTTTGGCTTTAGTTATACAAGATGGAGATTTTTGTATTATATATTCATAAATATCAAGATTTACTTCTTAAATGAATCAGAAATTAATGAGTGAACTATAAGTAAAAGATGTCATGCATGATTTACAATTAATTTCAGATTATCATTGGTTATCAAAGATGAGGACTCAATCAATAATAATAAAGAGTTTATAAATTAATCTATTGATTATATTACCTATTTTATTTTATAATTTTAATGAATTCAACCTCATAACAGTCAAACACATTGCCTAATTAAATGAGATAGCACTCTAAGTCATTTTCTGCTGCTACTACTCAAAAACTCAGCTAGTAATAAAAAAAAATTGAAAGATCACATGAAGAAATCACAGCAGAAAAATAACTATCAAATGTAGAATAGCAGAGACTAAATTCTGTTTTCAATTACTTGTTGACTTTTAACAATGAAAAGGTCAAACCACTTGAGCCAGGAATAACTGCAGAGACCTTAATGAATGCACTTGAAAAAGTAGATTACTTAATACCAATAAAAGAAGCAGAATTATTCATATGGGAACTGGATGAAGATGGAGACAAGAGAATTAATTATTACGAATTTCAAATGATGTATAAAAGATGCATCTTTGATCCCACTTTGTTGGAACCAAGGTAAGCATTTATAAAACTAATTAGAAATTTATTCAATATCGTTTAGTTCTTTATGTACGATAAGGCTAAGCATGGCAAGATAACAGTAGAGGATACATTGGAATTATTGTTTGTGCGCCATGGAAGAGGAGGATTGGATGAGGAGATCTAGGCCATATTTGGAAGGGAAGAAAAAAACAGTGATGGAACTGAAAAAACTTTGAGTTTTACAGATTATTACGAGAAAACTAGAATTAGAGATTTCTAAAGAAGGAAAGAAGCTGAACAAACAAGAAAAGAAGTTAAACTTCCACCACTTGAAGATAAAAAATGAATTCATTATAATCATGCTTATCATTTTTACTTGTTAACTACATCTGAATATATTAATAAAATCACTTCAGTTATATTTCAATATCACATCATTCTCCTATTATTCGTATCCCTGAGATGTATTTAAAAGTCTGGACTAGCAACAAAATTTTGATATTATTGTACTATTATTAAAAAATAAGTGAGAGTTACAATCTGAATTAGAGAGATAAAATATAAAAAGAATAGAATGGATATTGATTTTGTTAATATTACATCTGATGGAGGAGTCTAAAAGAGAATTCTCACAGCAGGACAAGGAGACTCGCCTTAGACCAACTCAACTTGTAAAATATATTACTTGGGCACTTTGGAAGATGAAAAGCCATTTGATTCTAATCAAGGATAAGGCAAGCCGTACAAACACATTCTAAAGAGAGGAGACAGATGCCAAGGATTCGAAATTGCCTTGCAATCAATGAAACCTGGAGAAAAGTCTTAATTCAAAATAAGTCCAAAATATGGATATGGAGAAGAAGGATGCATCTTTAAGAATGTTCCAAAAAATGCTAATTTGAAATATGAGATCGAACTATTGAGTTTCAAATTGGAGAAAAAGAGAAGATGGTAAAATATCAGTTCTATCAAGGCAAATGAATCCAGAAGAGAAACATCAAGAAGCCCTTGAAATCAGAAGAAAAGGAACAAAATAATTCAAGAATTAGAATTACTTTGAAGCCAAAGAGAAATATAAAGATGCCTTGACTTATTGTGCTTTGGACACAAAAGAAGGCAAAGAATTAAAAGCTAGTTTACAATTGAACTTATCAATCTGTTGTTTTTTGAGACAAGAATATGAGGAATCCATCGATTATGCCAAAGCAGCATTGGAAACTAATTCAAATAGTTAATAAAATGTTAAGGCTTATTATAGAAGAGCGATTGCATTCCAATAAATAGGAGAATAGGAGAAAGCACTTTCAGATTTGAAATCGGCCTATATTTTGGATCCTTAAAATACAGCAATTATTGAGGAACTGTAAAAAGTGAAAGAACATCTAAAGGAAGCCTACATGAAAGAAAAACAATCTTGGTCTAAGTTATTTAAAGATAAAGATGAAAGTTAATAGAATCATTAAGTGGAAGAATCATACTAAACATAGGAAAATGAAAAAGAGCTTTCTGAGAACATAGATAGTAAGGATAACGCTAATTAAGATTCCTAAGACATTATGAAATAGGAGGTCTAATAAACGAGTTCAGCATTTTCATAGGAGAAAGAGAGTAGTAATTCTAGGGAATTGGAAGGATAAAATACTTAGGAATGAGATGAAGTATATAACAACAAAAATTATCATTTAAATGTTACCAGATTTCATAAGTTATTATAATTTTGGCAAATATTTAAGCCGTAATTAAATTTAATTCAACAAAGATAATTAAAAATAAATGGATAACTAAACAAAACTAACACTCTTAGGTGCAGCCTTCTCTGGATTGTTCAGTGGTGCTGCTATCTACGTAAATGTTGTTGAGCATCCAGCAAGATTGAGTTGTGGAGCAGATATTGCACATGCTCAATGGGTACCATCATACAAAAGAGCAGCCATATGGCAAGCATCTTTGGCCTCTCTTGGTGGTTTAGTAGGAGTTATCAACTATGCAAAAAATAAAAACAAGCTAGCGTTAAAAGCTGGTGTATTACTACTTTTAGTGATACCATTCACATTCATAGCAATAATGCCTACAAATAAAATTTTGTTAGAAAAATAGGATATCAAGAAGGAGGAAAAAGAACAATTACTTACTAAATGGGGTTAATTGCATGCAGTTAGAACAGTGGCGAGTTTAATTTCTTTTGGAATATTTTTATATGCTTTAGCCAAAAAGTGATTCTTATTTTATATATATTGTCAAATACATCAATAGTTTGTCTGTCTGTTTAAAATCATAAAAGCATGTAGGGAATTTAAGAAGGTCTGAGAAGAAATAATTATTAGTTAACAGCATTTTAAATTTTTTATTTAATATGTGTTACTGAAATTTCATTCTTATAAAACTAAGCGGTTTTTCTTGTTTTTAGAGTGTGTAATACTGATTTTGAATAAGCTTGATTTGTTGTGAGTATGAATCATAGTAAATATAAATTATAACCAAACAAAAGAATATTATTTAAATTGCAATGATTAATATTGAGTTCAATAAACCAGAATAGAAGAGGCAATAGATTTTGAGAACAAAAGGGATGGACATGAGAATATCATCGAAGAAAAAGTAGAAGAAAGAAGAAAAATAATAGCCATAATCAGGGATAGAAAAGCATGATGAAAAATTGCCAACAATTCCTTAATAGGAAATGTCTTAGATCCATGAATAGGAATAATAATTGACAGATCATTTATAGAAACCATAGAATGAACAAAAAGGATTAACTAAATTGAGCACTGAGCAATAAAGGACTTTAGAATTTGCTAAACTAGTTTTGAACTTGGCTGACCCTGCCGAATACACAGAAGCTAAACCAGTAATTTAAAAGAAGCAGGACTTTACTTTGGATCCCGAATAGGAGGAATAGGAAGAAAGGATCGACAGAACTGATTTCCTTTCGACAGCTGAATATTAAGAACTTAAGGATGTGTATTCGGATTACAACATTGGAGAACTTGTATTGAAATTTCCAAATCCAGATTGGGAAAAGATGGTCGATCGTCCTGTGGATATCAAGGAAGCGGAAAAGTATATAATTACCCTTACAATCTTAGAGTATTCAGTAGTTAATTAGCAGTATCGGCAGAAGGCGGAGTCCCTCAATCTCAGTTAACACTCTAACGATAGGTGTTCTTATCATCCTTTTTATAATTGACTGATTATGTGGAGACTGACAAAAAGAAACTTAAGGATTCATTACGGAAAACGCAGATGGGAGCATCTTTGAAGGAGAATCCAGATTATATAAATTATGTTGCCTTTTACGAATAATACAGATAGGTCAATGATTAAAGTATAGAGGAGTTGTTGAGGAAGGAGGAACCCTTACAAAGAACTCCTAGTGAGGAAATCAATCAGGAGGTTATTTAACTGCTGAATTTGATTCATTTAAAGCCCAACGAGAATTTGGACATCTTCTCAACTTTAACAAAGAAATATTGCAAGGGGGGATTCCTCTATAAGAAGTGGACAGAAGATAAAAGCGATTATGACTGGATTCAAGTCGGATAAACTCCCTAAGATTTTCTCTCTCTGATAAGAATGACAGTTATTACCAAATTATGTAGAGATGCTCATTTTCATTGTAGACAATTTATCAGCAGCGATGATCAATTCATATTTGTTATTCTGAAGAGCAAATTAGAGTATGTCAAATACTAGGCAGAGTTGTAAAGAATGCAAAAGTAATACGAATTAGGGTATGCTGACATTCTATCGCTTGAGCCTTGTGATAAATTGCTTAGGCCGTTGAGATTAAAGAATTACCTCAGAGATCCTGATTTCATTAAGGAGGCTCCCAATTATATTGAGGAGAAGAAGGAGGACTCCAATCAGAAGAAGAAACTAGCGAGAATCGACAGTGAAGCTTAGAAGATCTATTAGGGAGTCTTGAAATGGGGCGATCAAGAGTTAAGGGCAAAATGTGTTTAAAAGCAATAAGAATTAGACCCTTTGATTTAATGGATGGCCAAGGAATTAAAGATTAATTTGAGTTCAGAGAAGACCTAGATTGCAGATGATTAGCCTTTGGCGAGGGATGTTTGGGAAGCCTATTACATTTACCAGTTATATCTAGTTGATTACTTGAAAAGAGTGAAGGATGGTTACAAAGAGAAGGAGGTTGCTGCTAATAAGGGGTTTCTGTTTAAACTGATCTTTCGAAAGGCAATTGGCGATCCAAATGAATTATATTAAGCCTTTAATAATTCTTGGTTCAAGGAAAAATTGATTCTGGCCAACTTATGGGATAGACAAGGACTTGATCCGATTGCACCGTATTAGGAATATTTTGTAACTAAACCAAGTGAAGGATTGTGGAGATAGTACGAAGTAAGTGAGAAGGGACACAGATCTGAATTTATGAATATGGAGAAGATCAAGATAGCCTATGCGACAATTAGCAGATTTTTAAATGTAAAAAAAATGATCGAGAATTAATACATTGCCTGTTACTTTGCATTGCACGACCCCTATCAATTGATGGGGTTATCAAAGGCTCCAATGATTAAGCCTTTGATTGATTTGCAATTGGTTGGAGAAGTCCAAAAATCACCTGGGGAATTGAAATTAAATAACTTGTTTGTTTCGTTGAAAGATGAAGCTGAGAGAGCAGATTTCGATAATGATTGTCTGGTTGAGGAATGCAAGTTCCATTGGTGTCCTCCTTGGACATTGCCAATAGACAGTATGAGAGATTATTTTGGAGAGAAAATAGGCTTGTATTTTAGATTCCTGCAATTCTACTCTCAGCAACTGTGGTAAGTGGTGATATTGGCTATAATTTGCGAGGGAGTGATTGATAATACGACAGGAGATGCGAAAAAGGCGTTTATTGTTATATTTTCAGTGATATTGATATCTTGGTCGAGTTATTTTATTTGTCATTGGAAGAGACAGCAAACAATGTTCTAGATTCAATTCGGTTAGAACAACAAAAGTGATGGAGGGGAAATTGAGAGGCCAGCATTTGAAGGTGATTTTGTTAGGTCCTTGATAACAGATCAACTTAATGAGGAGTTCTATCCTATTTGGAAGAAATAGTTTAAATTGTGTTATTCTAGTGTGATTACTCTGATAATCATAACAATGGTTATAGCAAGTGTCATTGGAGTGTTCATTTTGAAGAAGTAAGTTATACTATTAAATTAGTTATTTAATTGAAGAGTACCCAGAAAATCAGTTTTTGGTATCATTTGTACCATCTATGATAAATGCAATTGTAATTTAATTATTCAATCTTATTTACTTTAATGTTTCAAATAATCTAAATGATTTTGAGAATCATAAATATGAATAGGCCTACGAGGACAGTTTAATTTTGAAAACCTACATATTTACTTTTATCAACACCTTCAATTGTTTGGCAATCATTGCATTTTTGAATGAACAATTTCCCTCCCTATCTCTCTGTAAGACATCAGAAGGAATCAACTGTTACAGAGCATTAAAAGATTAGATGGTAACCATTTTCATGGTGAACTTTGCCAAAACATTACCACAATTGATTACCCCCTGTATCAAGGCATTTATTAGAGGGAAAACCAAGCAAGTAGATGAGAATCTAGTGACTCATGAGTTCAATTAGATTGATGAATTCATTGAAACCCAAGCAAATCTAGAACCCTATGTATCTAATGCCGAAGTGGATGGTCTTATGAATGACTACATGGAATTGGTAGTCCAATTTGCCTTCCTCCAACTATTTGGATTGGCATTCCCTCTCAGTTACTTTATAGCTTTCCTTACTAACATCACTTAGATTCAAGTCGACAAACTCAAACTAATTCACTTCATCCAAAGACCTATCCCATCCTCAGCCTCCGATATCGCAAACTGGAGTTTCATCATGGATATTATAGCATTCCTATCTGTCTTTTGCAATGCAGGATTAATAGTGTTTACATCAGGAGTTGTACCTCCGGATTCTTAGTCATCCTCTTATGCTATTTTCGTTATTGTGTTTTTGGGGCTTAAATACTTCTCATCATTCATTATTTCGCCTATTCCCGAGAAGGCTTCCTTGATTCTGACTCGTCACAAGTTTGCTGTTGACAGAGTCCAGAGGGGAATGAGGGATAATACCAAATCGTATTACAAGGGGAGATTGAGGGAGACTATTGATGGGGTGGATTACGAGAAAATGCAGGAGCAGGAGAAGGAGCACATTCTGAAGGGGCCAAATGTTAATGTTGAATTGAGAAAGACATGATTAAATGATTGTTGAAGCATATTAGAAATAGGTAGTTTCTTCTATAACAATTTAATTATTAAAATACTCTAAATCAAATGATATTTTATAGATCATTCATTGACAGTTCTCTGGCTCCATGATCTATCAACTGCTGTATTTATTCGGTCATTTAAAATATCATTATGTCATCGTGGTTATTGCATAAATGTTATTTAAATTTATTAAAATTATCAAATTTATCATAACACTTTACACACAAATAGAATTTGTACTCACAATGTTTCTACAACAAATGTAGCAAATAGCCTTTCCTAGTTTTGCAAATCATCTAGCATTTGTTGCAAACGTTCTTAGAACCCCTAATGGTCCAATTCAATTTCTCATTCAACTCTCGGAGTATACATTTTTTATAATCATTCGCATATTTTTCTCTTTCTTTGATATGATCATCCTTCCTCTGAGGAATCTCAATGTAATCACATTCATTTGAAAGAGCATGAGTAATGAGTTGATCCAATAACTGAGACATCCTTTCTACATTCCTGTTTACAGTTGTCGTCACCTTACTCAATTGTTTCCAGATCTCGTCGACAGGCATTAAATTACTATTCTCCTACATCATAACTTTTTTCCCCTTTAAGAAAGCTTGCTTATAATTTTATTAATTAAAAAGCCAATTATTTATTTTTGCATGATAAAAAATTAAATATTTACAAAAATAAATATTAATTTTCCATATAAATGTATCTAAACGCATCAAATGCAGAGTAAAAATTTATATGTATAGCAGTATAAATACACACAAAATAAGAACTCATTTTCTAGAAAACTATTTTATTTTTTTTAAATTCTAGTAGTAGAGATCCTGTTGGACAAACAATTTATAGTCCAACAATTCCAAGAATTACTCTTCCATATCATTCAACTCCCACATTGTGATCCCTCCAACCTTAGCATAGTACTCATTCTTAAAAATGTCATCGTCCTGGTATTTGATCGCCAAAACAATAGCAATAAGTAACAATCTAAATTTCAATATTTTAAATTACCTATGTGCACTTTACCTGTTTAATTATAATTCTTAATTTAACTCTTAAATTCTACCTAAGTATATAAAGGCAATTATGAGGCATTCCTCACTGCACTTTGTATATCTCAGGATTCGGCTCATATAATTCTCCAAAGTAATGCTGGGTACTTTTTGAGAATGAAACAAAGAGTCCTTCACATCCAAACCCTCAGATTATTCTATTAACTATTCCAAAAACCCAGAAATGCCCTTTACCAATCTACTTTCCAAAGTTCTATTACAGTCATGCTCACAAGGACGCAGTCTAAACTCACTCATGTATTTTTCTATTTGTATTTAATGATTAATTATAAAATCACAAATGGGGTATTGACATAAAATACTTCCACATATACAGTCATATTAATATACCGATATTGTATGAAGAGACGATTTAAATTTATTAAAGAAATTATATAACTCAAAAATATTGTAATTACAAATAATTAATTATAATTAGTGATAAGAATCTGAAATAACAAGTCCCCATGCCCCCAATTAAGTTAAATTTGTTAGGCCTCCCAATTAATATATTATTCAAAATACTCTCCTTTCTACCCATCAGAGATATTTATAAACGCATTGCTCGATTGAACAAGAAAGCAAACAACATTGTCGAATAACCAGGATTCATTTAATCGCTCCAAAGGTTATACTTTGGGAGTTCCATCTAAAACATTCCTCTCTCCCAAGCCAAATAGGTCGAATTGCCCTTTATTGGATACGAGACTGATGGGCGTAATTAATCCTTTTTTAAATTATAGATTGTCCGAATCCAGAACAATGGATTGATTTACTATTCATGAAAACATCCAACAGTTAAATTAAACTTTAAAATTGCAATTACATTAAAGGGTGTCTTTCAAAAAAAAATAAGGAGTTTAAAAAAAAGGTTTTGGAATTCTTGGGACTTGTTAAAAAGTACTTGCCTCCCAATACTTACGAGAAGTAGAAATTTTATGAAGTGCAAATTGCCAAGATCTATGAAATTAGCCATCAATTGAGTTAGAAGGTCATTAACATTGCCTCTCAGGAGGAGAAGACATATGCCACTGATATCATGAGTTTCTTTTGGAATAGGATACGCTAGAATTAACAATTAATACAACGACGTGATCTGTAAGTGCCATTGTAACCTGATTTCCAAGGCATCATCAAAGTCATCAAAATTGGTATTGAAAAGAATTATACCAAAATGGCCAAAGTGATTCTCATAAGTACCAATGAAGTTAAGGATATCTCTAACAAAACTGTCCTGAGAACCAATATGCCCGAGTACAAGCTAGTTGCCAAATAATATTCAACAAGAGAGCAATTCAAGTTTGGCTATTGCATCTTCGAATAAAATCAAGGAGTAGTTGCGTTGATAGATCTTAAAGACGAAACACAAATTGAGTTGAAGTTCTACAATCACGAAACCTAAATTGTTTCTACTCTCTCAGTTTTCATCTTAGAATTCAAACAATCTAATGAGGGATAACTTGGATAGGCATTTTAATACATTGTAGCCTCGGGATATTTATTAGTATAATGAAACTTAAATCTTAATTTACTAATTTATGAAAGAATAATCAATTATTATAATTTTCTTTAACGCATAATTATAACTCAAATATTAGTTTAATTCTTTCTTTAATCCAAATTACTTAAATAAATATCTTAATCAATCTTGAGTGTTAATCAGATGAAAATGGAATTCTCCATTTTTAATAAGATGTATCTAGCAATTAATCACTTTAAAACGATAGAATTTTAACATTTTCCTGTATTTTAAAATAGTAATTTCTAATTTAAATATAAACGTATAAAGAAGCAAAAAATATTCAGATATCTTGAGGAACTCAATTTAATTGGTAAATTTATTGAAAACAGAATGTATATATATAACTCACAAATATATGAAAAAAAAACACAGTAATTAGAGCATCAAAAAAGAGTATCCTCAATTTAGGGTAATTAAATATTGATTGATAATCCGTTTAACTAATCTCTATTACAGAATTTGTATTAACAGCTTCTAAGCCTGCAATATCAGTCCTTTTAACATTAGGTTTATCTTTAACAATAGCATCGGATAATCCATTTGACAACTCACTCTTTTAATCTTTGTCGTCCTATTTTCTAAAATGATGAACAATGTTACTTCTGTTGTTGTTGTTGATTGTTTGCTCCATTACCATTTGAGTCTTAAACTATTAAACTACATCGCCTTTTTTAGGTGTCTAATCTTTTAACAGTTTCTTCTTTCCGAGCATCGTATTGCTGTTATAAGGATTTCTTCTTTTATATGTGATATTCCCCTTTTTACATAGAATGTAGATTACATACTTTCAATCCACAATTTCTTTTCTTTAAACCTTAACAACATAATTTAATCCTCCCTTTTTATTCTTGGACTGTCGATCAAGTATTACATTTGAGATCTCCTGACTTGAACAGACCTATCACCTCATTTTACAGCTTGGAGTTATCTTAAGTCAATGTTTTACTTAAGATATCTGAATATTCATTTTATTAATTTTTATATAGAAATTACAATATTAATTGTCGACTTAATTGCATGCCCTTGATTGTTTACTCCTTTTTCTCTTTTTTGCTCTTTTCATTTCAATTTACCTAAGAGGACCTTAGAATTTACTTTGTCTCCATCTACCACTTATTACTGGAACGATAAGTGCCCGCGCTTTCTCTTAGATATTTTGAATACATTTCTTACAATTTTATTTGGCTCTTATTAAATTTACAATACCGAATAAATATAGCAAGAAGAAAACTTCTTCTAAACAATAGTTCCATCTAATCTGGAAATATTGTTGGTTTCCATTTATTATATCAACACTATCCTGTATCAGTTGTTTATTTCGTTATGATGAGCTGAAATTAAACGGAAATTAGAAATATGTCATTGTATTATCAAGTAAGTATCAAAGAATCAAACAACATATTGAATCAATCTGAAATAACAGAGGTCTATCTGTCAAATTAAAAATTGTATATATATTATTTTAAAAATTATAATGCGCTTTGTTGCCGCTGATTCAAATTGCCATTCCAAAAATAAAAACATCTAACCATATTATAAATTTCTTCCTTATAAATTATACTTAATTAATTTTATGAGTACTTAGTATAAGTTTATTCATATCTTTTAAATTTTTTAGATGTTTATTTCTTTAAATATTTTCAAACTCAGTTATTTTTCAAAACTCTCATTCAAATATATCTGTTTTTTTTTATGTTGTGATCAAAAAAAAGAATTAATAAAAAATGAAATAAAACATAAATCTCGTCCATTTTAACTTATAAATATAGATATAAATAGTAATCAAAAGAGATCCAACAACTTGCGTGAGTTCAAGAGTAGAAGTCATCTTGATCCAAAAATTAATCTTAGCTCTTATCCATGAATATATAATGATTTTGTTTGGGTGAACCATCAAACGTGACTTGCTTGTCCTGATTTCTATGATCTGAGTTCTGCGCAGTTTCAACTCTCTCATTAATGCCATATGCTTATTCGAAGTAAGAAACTCTATTGCTCATGCTAATGTTATAAATTTTAATTAATTATGAAAAATAGGATTTAGAATGAATTTATATTCATAACATAATTAAATAAAAAATGAAAAACTTATAACCTTTAAATAAGAGCTTCCGACATTCTCCTTCAATTTTTGATTAGCTGATGCGTTAATACCATTCATTAGGGTTTTAGAAACACTAAATTTTGAAGGCATGGCAACTGTGTGGATTCAACACCTTCACCTTCCATGAAGAGTTAATCAGAATAAGGTAAAGATCGAATTCACTATTCGAAGTCAAGAAGAGAACCAAAACCTAAGTGAAGAAGACCTAATGAATTCCTAGATGCAATTAAAGAAACAACTCAGAGATTTAGAAGAAAAAGATTTAAAACAAGCTATCCAACTTTCAATTGAAGATCAAAATTAGTACCATTTATAAACAGTTTTAGATAGCCCCAAATCGAACAACAAGATAGAGCAAATAAGAGCGTACCCGTCGGACTGAAGAATCTCGGAAACAGTAATCAGCATCAATAATATATTTATAGCCTGCTACATGAATGCTATGTTACAAAGTCTCTTCAACTCACTTCCATTTAGATAATTGATTTTTTCAATAGACGTGAAGCAAAACAAAACCAATGCAGGTCTTTTTCTATTACAATTATAATATTTATTTGTTCAATTGTAGGAAAGCAATAGCTCATTTACCAATCCCATCAAATTGTTCGAAGCTTTTTAATAGTACAAGCCTGATGGAATGTTGATAAAGGGTGTATAGAATGATTTTAATGAATTGCAAAATGCCTTTTTGGAAGCCATTGAATAAGCCCTCAAAGACATTGAAGAAGAGGAGTTGAAGAAATCCTTTTGTTAAATGTTCTATGGAGAGTCCAAAGAAATTCTCACATACAAGGAAAAAGAATAAGAAGTCATCAAATTCACTACAACTGCTTTTGGATCCATCAGCATCGATGCTCAAGACAAAGATTTAGAGAAGGGATTCCTCAACTCCAGAATACTAATCATTGACGAATATGAAACCAATTCAAAGGAGAAGGTCAAAGCCAAAGTTGATTAGATCATACTCCAACCTCCTAAGATAATGCAATTCTACATCAATAGGGTCTATTATGATCCCAAATAGAAATTACCCTGCAAAAATAATGCCTAATTTGAATTTCCCTCCTCTTTGAATATCAATCAATTCAAGGCTAGTGATCCTAAATCGATGAGCAAAGAATTGTAGAGACTTGATCTTGAAGAACAGAGGGTTTTAGATGAATTGAGAAGGTATGGTACCTCCAAAGAGGACATTGATGAAAGCTTCAGTAAAATAATCAAATTGTTCAAAAGAGGAGAAGGCTAATTAGACTAGCCACTGATCATTGATGACTTCTAAATCTGCGATGAGAATACCTCCAATCAATAATTAATCTCTAGCCAAAATATGCTATTTTAACTTGAAAATTATAGAAACAAGTTCTTGAAATCGATTCAATTGCTCACGGATAGATTGGAATAGATTTAATCAGAAAAGAAATTATTATTGAAATCAGACTAAAATATGTATCACTTAACAGCAGTGCTTATGCATGATGGTGGGGCTACATCTGGCCATTATTATTGCTATGTTCTGGACAAGAATGATTATAAAACTTGGTGGAAGTGCAATGACTCCATAGTCACAAAGATTGAGTTTGCCCAAGTGATTAAAGACGCTACAGGAGTAAGTAGACCACAATCCAATGTCTCTGGACTTATTTATGAATAAGAATCCTGGATGAAAGTGTAAAAGTTATAAATTACTCCAAAACTCTTAGAATAACTAGAAGAAGAGAGGATCAAATCTCAAAAAACCTAGGACCTTCAGAAAGTTATCAATAGAAAAACAAACATTATTCAACAGATCTCAAATTGCCCATTAAAGGCTTGCAAATCCATAGACCCCTTAAGCAAAGAGTTTGAAATCTTTAGCAATTTTGAGCTGTTTCTATCAGTAAATCATCCGAATGTGTATAAACACTCCTAAACTTTGACATTCATTAAATAGGATTTATACTAAATTAAAGATCAACTGTGTTAACCTTAAAATATAGAAGAATACATTCAATACTTTGTTACTTAATCAAAATTGATCAATCAAAGCATTGAAAAGGAATAGGCGAGTTTGTAAGACGAATTTCTTAAGATTAATTCCTTATTGCAATAATTACCATTAAAGGATCTTACTTAAACCAACTTTCAAGAGAATGTCCAACTGTTCTTTTTGATATTACAGTAAATTCCATAAAAAAATTATTGTCTACAATTATTTAAGGGTCTCAAGGATATTTTCCAAATCATGTTGTTGAAGGGTTGCTTTTTAATAGATTTATCAATTTAAAGGTAAGATATAAACTAAGGAATCTAAATAGCATAATAAATTCTCAATTTAATCACCGATAACAAAATTATAGATGATATCATTGTTAAATAAATACAAGAAAATCTTAAAAGTTCTGCAGATTAAGCAAAATTAATATCAAAGAGATAAGATAATATTGATTAATTCACCAAATTAAAAATGAAGAGCAAAATTTCAATTATTTTAAAACTTCTGAACTTTAAATCCTTAGAACCTAATATCTAATCACTGTAAAATTTTTAGAATAATGGACTTCAAGTAATTTGGTATATATTATTTATAGTTATGGATGGATTAAGCCTTTAAAATAATTTCTACTCAAAAGTTACTTGTTTAATAGGATAGATTAAATGACGAAGCAGATATCTATTTTTAAGGCTGAATTCAATATAATATTACGTATAAATAGAGAACATTAATTTATTTATTTTTGCTTGTCATATTTTTATATCTATATCACTAATCAAGCCAGGTGACACTTCATAGTTATCTAAAGAGCTAATAATATTATCTATTTTATTATAATTATTCCAGAGATTAAGATAAATTTAAAATTTATTTAGTTCTTTTTTTTTTAATGTCAAGTACCTTTTATGAACGTTTACTTATTTTTACGGATAAGAACAGTGAGATTAGAATATATTTAGGTTAAATTCTCAAAATATCCATAAGATATGTTTCCGAATTGAATAAATCATAATTGTATTATTTTGAAATGTAAAGTGTATAATTTTTAAATTTCACTTCCTTTAATTATTGAATAAAATTTAAAACATGAATAATTCATAAAATCAATCAAATCCAACAGAACAAACTCAAACAATTGATTTTTTTCAATAATTAAATGAAAATCGAAGTCAGATCACCAATAATGTATTCTTATTAGAGAGAACTATATTTCAATTACTAAAGAAATATCCAGAGGTATTCGTTTACAATGAATAACTAATCCATAATTACAAAAAAAAAAGTGTAGATCTTTATTTAGAAAATGGGTTGTTATTAGGTTAAGGGGCTTATGGTGCTGTGTACTCGACCATCAATCCAAATAATAATTTACCAGCAGCCTTGAAGGTATAAGAAAATTGTGATTTTGATTAAGTGATTATCTAAGCTGAAGAATTCAAAATTTAAAAAAAAATTGCTCTCCATTTTCCTGAATGCATCATCTAAATACAAAATAAAATTGTTATAAGCCTAAAATATATGAACACCTATCGAATGTATGCATATCTAGACTTGGGTTTGGGGAACCTAAAAGAGTATTAGATGAAATTAAAGTAATTTACAGAACTTCAATTCAATAATCTGTTCGATTGTATTTTAGACAGTATTCTAAAAATTCACTCGCTTAAGATTGCTCACAACGACATTAAGTTAGAAAATATTATTAATACGTAAAAAAATGGTTGGGTTTTAGCTGATTTTGGGTGCGCAACTTAATACACTACCCCTTATGGTGAATATCCTATTGCTGGAACTAGAGCTTACATGCAAAAATCAGTGAGAGGGGCTTTGAATAATAACTTAAAAATGTTTAAAATGAATTTGTTTAAAAAAGATATCTATGCATTTCAATTGACAATGCTCTAGATTCTCTACCCTTAAGATAATATTCATGATTTATAATAGATTTTGGATCAATAATAAAAGGTGCATCCAAGGATTGATTCACTTTATAATAACGATTATTTCACAATAAAGTCATAATTTTTATAAAAAAAATTTATTAGAGCTACAGTAATTTAGGATCCAATTGTAAGCACTGAAGAAATCAAAAGGAAGTTGGAAAATAATTTCAAACTTAGTTTTTTCCACAAAGTATATCAAGATTCATAAAATTTACCTTATAACGGAGATATGAAATTTTGGATTTAATGCCTGTTGAATCTAGCTTTATAAGAATTTTCTGGCGATGAAGAAAGAATAAGATTGATTATGATTTTGGATTCCTTTGTAGATAAATATTCTTGTCACGTATCAGCATAGGAGATATTTGATGAAATATCATTTGAGGATTTGACTTAGTTTGAATATGACCTATACTTTGATGTTTTAGAGAAAAAGGGTTAGAAGATGCTATAATTGATGCTTTGTCAGGGATATCAAGCTACTTTATAGGAACCTAATTGCAATCTAAAATTCTAGGAGGCAGAATTACTTTACATAACTGGTGAGTGGGAATAAGCTAAGGAGGCCATAAATAGTATTCGAGATGAGTTGGAGTTAGAAAATGACGAAATGCTACTTAAGTTTATTTGTTTGAAGGCTAGATTGAATGGCCAATGGATAAAGACAAGAGAAGAAATCATACCATACTTAGTCAATTATAAGGACATGATTTAGATCATCATTGAATGGAGGTTTATATTGATGGACTCAATTTGGTAGAGCAAATCTTAGAATATTTTAAATAAAACTTATGAACGAAGAAATCATAATTACAATTCATAAGAGAGTGAAAAGTATCAAAATTATTAAGAGACTGTAACATTAGATTTTTCGAAATACATTAAAATATTTTACTCATGTATAAGAGAGGACCTGACAATCATCGGCGGAAGTGTAATTAAAATGATGTAGAATCTTAATTACGATAAATATGCAATATTTTATTAGGGGTGGATATATTGCGAAATATTGTATTATAATATTGTATATTAATCATTCATTGAAGAATTTCTACAATTTATCGAGTAGAATCTCGAAGGATATTATTTCAATTGGGCTATTTATGATTGTTATTCAAAATTCCTTGTGTACAAAAAAGAATTCATTAAGGCGAAGCATTATTTAAATAAAGCAATGAAGATCATAGAAAATGATTGTATCTATAATCAATTCACTCTTTCCCATCACTTATTTTAATTGCAAATCTAGGAAGGCAGTTTAGAATGTGCTGAAACTTTTAGTAAAACTATCGATTTTATAAACTATATGCCTAGCTCCAAACTCACTATATATTTATTTGCGATATTGTTGTAAGATACAATTGAAGCTAGTTAATTGAACTCTTAATTAAAACTAAGAGATTTTATTAATTAAGCAGTTGAAATTCTAAGAAACTAAATAGTTGGGAATAGATTCGCTTCAATTCTCAGCTATGAAAATTAATTTGGGGAAGCCTTAAAGAACGACGACTTCTTTGCTCTTAAGTAAGCAATGTGGCAGGAATTACCAGAAGCACTTATAGCGACAGAAGATGAAAAGAAGCACGAAGAAGAAGTCCTGATTGGTTTTTCAAGGCTATTTTAGTTAGCAGAATATCAGGATTTGAGATTGAAAGATGAAACAAGGTATACATCAAGATGGTTATAATGTGTGATTACCTTTCATGACATAGGTTTTTATATTTAAAAGCTTCCTAAACATATTGCAGGTTTCGTTCCATTTTTTTATGAACATTCATGCTTTAGATCGGGTGATTAGAGAAAATATTAGGAAGCCAAAGAATTACATATGTTTATTCGTATGAATGCAAGCTGGTTATTTTGAGCTACATTTAAGATAATTTAAAATATTTTAATATCCAAATTCATTTTTGAATAAACAACTAATTAAATATTATACTAAGATATCCAAGAATGAGAATTCTTAGTTTGCATGTCTAAAAATATATTATGATTTTTATATATATAAATGCATATATGATTATCAAACAAGTTTTTAATCTATTGAAATTATTAGTTTGCATTTGAGCGATAAAATTGCTGTTGATAAAAACTGTGTCAATAGGAAATCCCTATGTAACAAGTAGAGTGCATAGAAGGTGAACTCGGGATAGAAAAGATTATGTATCTCTTACAAGATATTTATATGATGTTAAGTTCATTTACAGAGTTGCAGATTTAATATTCAATAATTTTTAAAATCTAATAGTAAGTATAATTTGATTATTTTTCCGTTTGAACTCATTAAAGGCCAAAAAGCCAAGAAGCCAAAAACGAAGTTATTCATAATATTTAATTTGGTTATCATTATTTTTAAATATATATAGATGAATGTCATTTAAAATTATCAGCATACCACTTTTTAGTGAACTCATCACAATCAAGTAATTAGAATTTCCAACCATTGATCTAAACTTCGTTGCCTACAATTAAATCTTTGGGCGAGAAAAACTCATTATTATTATTAGCGTTTTTGTATTTTCTTTTCTCCAAGAATTTGCCATCTGGAATGCCTATCAAATTAATGATTTAGAAACATACCAGAATTTCTAACAGTTGGTTCATAAACTAAAAGGCTATCATCATTTAGAAAATAAGTTATGACGAAAACTCTAAAGCTAAATTCAATATAATACCTGTCTTTATCTTCGGGTTTTGTAGTGTTGAACATGGCCAAAAATCTCAGATTGACTTGATTGTCAACCCATTTAAAGAAATCTTTTTTGGGTGGTTTAGGCTACAGTCTGTAAATGTATCCTAAAGAATCTTGTTCATCCCCAATGCCATTATGAGGAGGAATGATAATGTCTAAATAAATTAGTAATAACCAATACTTGATCTTTATTCCATTTATTATTCTTCTTGGCCTCCCAAAGGAAAATCAACATTGAATTTTTCTTAATAATAATATCTTGTGAAGGGATCGCAACCTTGAATTGCAAATTTTCTATTGTAAATTATCAATGGCTATCCAAATTGAATATCCTGAGGCCTAATGAAATCTTCAGCATATGTTTATCCAGGTTGATTGAGAGAGAACTTCCTGGGTAATTTCTACCTTCTCAACATCATGGGGAATGGAACTCTTCCTGAGTTGGCTGAATTAATCTCCTTTATTTCAATGGTATCATCAGCCAGATAGTAATGTAAGACATATTCAATATCAGAGAACACGTAGAATTTAAGAACCTTGAGTAGGGATGAATCCTAATACCTTCCTATCGTTTTCTAGGAATTGCTTTTGAGATGTAACTCTTCCTCCTCCTAATTTATGTTCCAGGTAGTCTTTCATGACAGTATCCTTTTGGGGAATATACTTAGTCATGGTCTTTGTTTCAAATGAGTCTGATTAAGGACTGAAGGATTGTTCTTGAGGTTGTCCAATTCCCTATAAGAAATTTAGGACAATAAGGAAACCTCATAAAATTCTCTTGTGTATTGATCGCAATCATAAAGTCGAATTGTTTTGCCAAATATCTCAATGTCCTAATTGATTCTGAAATCTTCTGGGATGATGAATGTTTTTGAACCATCAGCCCTCAAAACCTTAAATATGCTTAGGGAGCTGTTTTTACTTTCTATCTTTTAAGGAATGCTCCTTAAGGAACACCGCTATTTTCTTGTTTGGGTTCGGTAATGCTGATTGAATGGTCTTCCAAGTAGTAAAATATGGTTAGTTTGCGAATTCTGTAGTTTTCTAGGGCTGACTCAACGACAGCTTCTTTGAAGAAGCCACTGAATCTGAGGACGTGTCTGTCCATTTTGACCCAACTTGGTTGGTAGAGCTCTTCTGAATCATTGTTGGAATTCTTAGGGGATGTAACTGATTAGAAGACATACCTTTGGTAAATGCATGGCATGAGTTGTGCTTAAGTAATCGGGGTTGAACATTCCTGTTTGAGAGGGTACTTGTGTTGGTAATTTGCGAGGTACTGGGTATTCTTTATTTGGCAGTTGTTTCTATAAAAAAAGATTAGAATTTCAATTTAGTTACGATTTCTCTGTTTTGATCTTGTTTGACAGCCGAGACCTTTCTGAAGTTGGGTTTCTTATGATGATAAATGGGGGTGTTACATCTAATTCTTGGGTGGGCACAAAACCTGGCAATTTAGGAAAAGCTGAAGCCATTTTAATTAATTAAATTAAGATATGCAACATCCCCCGTATTAAAGAAAGCCATAGAAGAAAATAACACAGCCACTCCATGCCTTCTTCACATTGTTTACAGAGAAAACTCAACTGGAGATTTGGCTGGTGGAAAATGACAATCTTCGTATTCAAGGCAAATTGGCCGTAATTTAGTTGAGCTTCTACCTTTTTTTAGGGTTTTGACGAGTACTTGAATTTGGTGTTGGACAGGGCTGTGGAATACGACCGCAAGACGAAGGCAACCAAGGAATTGGGGAAAATCCTTTTGAAGGGAGAAAACATTGTTCTAGTGAGGACTTTGGAGTATTATTTTAAGCTAATATATTAGGGATGTTAAATTATGAGTTAATGCTTTCATATTTTATATATATTAAATTTAAAAATGAATGAAACACAAGACAGCGACACGAACTTCGAAGTGGCCTGCTCTTAATGTCAAACAACTCCTGACAATTATGTCAAATTGGATTGTGATCACAAGTTCTGTCTCGTTTGTTTAGCCTACAATTATTTGCAATCTCAACAGCAGAACCCAGAGTCTCAAGATATTGTGAAAGTGGCCATCTGTTCCAAATGTCAATACGAAACCCACCTTGATCCAGACACAATTGAGGCCATTCAATACGTGATCAAAGAGATCATCATTCCACTCATCGAATAGAATTAGGAAGAGCACAATTTGGAGATCGATTTCGATCTAAAATAATCTGAAACTATTCGAGAATCTAAAGCCAACTTTGCTGCTGATATTGCTAATGATTCTTAGATCTAAAAATTTGAATCCAAAGATAAATATGTCAACAACTTATAATTTCAAAAAGTAGACCAGCCCAAGGAAGTCACTGAAGTCAAGGATATCAAGAAAATCAAAGAATCAATGGCAAATAAAAATGAAATGACTCCTGCCTTGAATGAAAGAGTACAATTATATTTGGAGAGATTGGACAAAAGTTTTAAGAACAAGTTCGAATCCATCAGAGACATCCAAGATCAGAAATTCCAATTCCAATAGAAGTGCTAATCTACAAGAGATGAGATCAGCCAAGAATTTCAAAAAGTAATGCTATCTATCTTAATTAGTAAATACTTGCTTTGGAATCAAAAAAGAATAGTCTCATTAATGAAGTCAATGCGCTGGAAACCTAACAATTGTTGGAAATCCAAAAGCAAGAGAATGAATATGTATTTGTATTCGGAATATCTCAAGGAAACATAAATTCAATTGATGGCTAAGTATCAGGAGGAACTAAAGAACTTAAAGGGCTTTCCTGAAGATTTGAGCAAATTCTTAATTGAAATTGAAAAAATTATGACTGCCCCATCTCAATCTCTGTAAATAGTAAAATATGTGTGCATGAATAGAAATCCTTACTCTTGTCATCCCAAAGATAGCTAATTCGAATTTAATCTCTATCCTAATAGACAGAAGAGAGATTAACTTCAGATTCCAAAATGATGACATTCTAACAGAAGTTCAGTCCTGTTAAGAATGACAGAACCAACGAAATTTGGAATAAGTTGAACGAAAGTGATAAAAAGAGTAGACTTAAAGAAAGCTCAATCTCGCAATAAAGATCAAATCAAAAGAGCAGATGGAAAGAAACCATCCTAGAAATCTTTGATAAGAAAGAACAAAGTTTTGAAAGATATTCTAATAATAAATACAACCCATTGAATAGAACCTACAATATTCATTAAGTTTTGAATATGCAACAACAGAGCTTTTAAATTTAAAAAGAAAATTTATTAAAAAGATGATATCTATTTTGATATATCAATCTATTTCTAAATACAATAGCAATTATATAAATTATTAACATTACAGCCAAAATAGATCACATCTTACTCATGGATTGATAAATCACTTTTTAATACTAGAATTTATTAGAATTAAATTCACTTTTTTATATTAACTCATATTCAAATAGACTTGATCAATTCGTACTAAGTAATAGGATACAAATTTCTTATTGTTAAGAGTTAATCTAAAGAGTCGTCTATTGAGAGTTTTCCAATTAATCGTAACCTTCCTATTTGCTACTAAATTAATGTATTAGCTTTTTGAAATTTTGTTGAGTTCTAACATTTAGTATTGAATTTAATTTCAAACAATTTCACAGTTTACCGAACATTAATGTAGTAATTCTGAGATTGCTTATTTACATTCCTTTGATTTTCATTTCATCCATAAAATGGCTCCATTGTTGCAAATTAGAATATTGTCTCATAATGATTGATTCCCCCGTATTTCCTTAGAGAATATCGAAATTCATCAGGCATATATTTGTGTTCTAATTGTAGAAATCGATAAGGAGCTTTATTTTCCACATTTTATAAGTTTGTTCCTATGTGTTGTTAGTTCTATTATTTTTTCGATAAATTAAGTTAAAATGAGAGAGAATTTGAATAACTAATAAAACTTTGGAATTTTTAGGCTCTGGATTTAATAATCAAATATATTTAGAGCAAATTCTACAATTATCATATTTATTATATGAGTGTTATGAAATTAAGGAGACGTGGCGATTATAAGCCGTATCTTTTGTTATTAGTATGATTTAGAAGTTAAATGGATAGTCTTGTGATATATTCAAAAATAATTTAATTAATTAGAAGTCTCCTTACTTTCATAATGGGAGTTTGCCATTCTAAAAAAACGCAATCAAATACTTACTAACAATAAGATCTTACTATCAGCAATTAACAATCTCTACCTCCAATCAGTATCAGAACAGATGACAACAAGATATTAGAAAAATCACCAGACAATGATTCATAATAAAGTGAAGTCGATTTATTAGCAACTGATGAGCTTCTTAATAATCCACAATAAGCAGCAATTGATTAATAGCACAGAGACCAAGTATTGAGACATGTGCATGCTTAGCAACATAAATAAGACAACTTAAAACGATATTTAGTTGTCTTTGATAAATTGTATAATCAATAACGAAAAGTTCCAATTTTGTTTTCTCTCGAAGAAAGTACTCTCTTTAAGAGAAGAAAACCAAGTCCTTATAATTGACTTTGAATAATTTGTTTATGTTTTTTGTTAAATGTAAATGACCCGAGGTTTTTCTTTCTTTTAAAAAGTTGAATAATTTTTCTTGGGTGAAATCAAATATCCGTAATTAAGAGACAACCCCGGTGTAGGAATAATGATTAAAATAGTATGAGAGAGTAGAGTGGGAGTAAATCCCAAGCACGACAACGAAGAAAATGCAATAATTAATTAGAATTTATGTATCTTTGAAGATAAAAGATTTAAATTTTATTCTTCCTCATATTAATTATTCGAAAATTAATTAATTAACACTAATTTATATGCATATTTATAACATAGAAGGATCAATCCATTTCCTGCCTTAATTTAATATATTGTAGTCTGGAGTTGCCAAGAATTTGACTTTTTGCTGTGTGATATTTGAAAACAGGTTTAGTTTTAGTTAGCTTAAATTCTGGTTGGAAGTAGAACTGCCCATATGCAGATGAGTGCTGAGAGTACTATTTTTCCATTGGAATTTTGAGTGAAAATATGTCTGAATCCTAAGTGTATCGTTTGGCATATTTCCCAAACTTTTACTCCGATTCTAAAATATACATGATCGATGAACCTGCAGTTAATTGGGGAGATACAACAAAGCATTCATTGTATAGTTGATTTTTACGCTTATAAATTTATGGCAACTGATAACTATTACGAACATGGACATCCATATCCTTTTGATCAACATAATTGACTTTTTAGAAATTGAAATCATTCGTTTTGTGAATAGGAGATTGCTCCCAACAAAATTTTATTTTATCAGTCGAATGCTCTTAATAATACAGAACTTAAAACCTCTGAAAATTCTTTTTTGAAATCTTGATTCTTCTCCATCAAACATAACGATCTGAGGAGGACCCGTAAGCTTATGCATTGAACTATGACGACTCTTGCTCATCTTTACAAAATATATAATTATTAATTATAAATCCTTCAAAATTAAAAATTGTTTTTCTTAGACATAATTTGCTATTTGAATATCTTTCGTGTAGCAGCTGGCAATTGACTTATTTTCTAATTCAACTGCTCCAATTTCTTTTGCTATTGTGAATCCAACCTACCACTAGGCAGTATGCTTTGATTCATAATTTCCTATCGTTTTTCCCTCTGTTACTTTCTGCTATTTGACTAATGGAATTTGACCTCCTTAATTTCTCTCTAATTTATTTAAATGCTCATATTTACAAGTTCAGACTTGGTTAAATCCTCCATTGGTAACCCAAAGTTTTTAACCCTATTCCTTTCTTCCTCTATTATAGCATCTTTTTTCTTATCTTCTTTTAATTTCCTTCTCAACATCTAATTCATCCCAAAATCATCCTTCCAGTTTTCCTTCCATATATCAACTACATACCAAACGATATTTTTGCAAGTCCTCTAGAACGGGAGCCAAATTATTTTTTTTGACCTTCTCAACCTCGGCCTCCAATTTATACATCGCATTCGATTGCTCCTTGATCTTCTACTCAGGATCAGGTATGAATTCCATGTCTGTGGCCTTCTCGGTGCTTAACTAAACTCATAATCAACAATCTTCTACCCATTTCACAGCTCCTTCCGTATAATTGTAATCGCAGTTCTCAGGGTCAGTCTTGCAAACTATTGTGTTTTTGCAAGAGGGACACAGCATCGAGAATTACAATATTGTCGTACTATGAAATTTACCCACTAGCAAATCATTACAATTTATACCTTCTCTCTTTGCAGCATTAAATCTTACACCTTTCGCTATCATATGCCCGCATTTCAAGCATTTAACATGGAATGGAGTTTCAAACCTGATTTTGGGACCGCTTTTTATTTTATATTAATCCAGTCTCGAAGGCTTTCGCTTTCCTTTGAGTTTCATTCTTCTCTAATATTTCAAACTACCCTTCTTTAGAATTAATCTATTACTCCATTTGGATCATAATTAGGTCCAAAGTAAAAATTATCTGCCCTCGCAGCTGCTAATGTACTCATTATTAAATATTTATATTTATTAATAACTACAAACCATTAAATTTGTTTTGATATCTCTTAATCATAGCTAAAAACTCTTCTGCTTAATCTCAATCAATTAAGTGTCTCCATATCTCCAAAAAATATGTGTTGATAATAATAGAATTATATTCTCATCAATAGGTAATTAGAATTCCTTAAAGGGGGTGACTACCTGGTAGAATATCAATAATGGTATGATTACTGACTGATAGCTTATTAATTCAATAAGTTGATTTATAATGTGCTGGAGAGAGTTAAAGGAATATTGGGATTGATGATAAAAATTGAGTAAGTATTCTATTTTTTAAGCGTTGAAATGTCCATTTTAATAATAGAGTTGAAATTTAATAATTCATTCGATTACAAGAATTCTTGTGCAAACTTTTATATTAATAATTAATTATAAATGCAGCCTTAACCTATTTAGAGAAAGGACTCTCTAGTTCCTTAAGGTACTTCGATGTCTATCTGTTCGTCTTTGTTATTCATGATAGGACAATCATGGTACGAATTGAAAAGGAGACCTTGTGGATATTGCGTATCATTTTTTAGTGTTCTGATTGTGGTTGCAGCTAGTGCAGTTAGTTAATCAATAATTGATAGAGCACCTCTCATATTTTTAAAATCAGCTGAAGGTCCAGCAGGATAATCAGACATAGTGTAATTAGCAATTTGAGATTAGGTTGTCTGCAAATCCAAATTATTTAAGCGAGGAACATGAGAAATCTCCTTAGTATTTGATGTCCATCTATAGTAACTCGGCCAGACAACAAGGATACCTAATAGTTGACTTCCTAAACTTTACCAGAGTGAAGGAAGTATTGGGACCAGAGAGGGCAAGTTAAGCAAGTCCTCGAATTACATAGCAAGTCAACTTCACTTATTTGTAAAAGACAGGAGATTGTGAGAATGTATAATATGATCATTAATAGTTAGTCTGTGAATAAAGCATAATAATTGTTATCCAAAAGGTAGGAATTCGGAAGCGAAGCCCACTTTAATGACTTGAGGGATGGGTAGCAATTGGGTCAGAGATGTGGAGGAGTATAGCCTCATCCAACTGCAAAGTTTGTGGCGATTGACACTTTGAAAGAGGAGGATATTGGATTAGGTTGGGAATATCCATTTGATGAATTAAAAGAGACCGAAGTGATTATTAGTAGGAAGTTAGCAGAAACGTATCATTTGAGTGTAGGAGATTACATGCTGATATATGGGGAGTTCTATGATTTTTATGGGTCTTATTACATAGAGAATTATTATGAGTAGATTGGTAGGTAATTCAATTTAACTAACTATAATGACACATTTTTAAATCAAGAATTTGGAGATTTGAAGAAAGCCACTTAAAGATTCTATTTGTATTAAGTCAAAGCGTTGTTGGATTCAACCTATGGTAAATTTCCAGATGGAGATGCTGACAAATTGATAATTGTAGAACACAAACACTTCTTTAACAATCTTGCTTATTGGTCATGGGATAAACCATTTTTAAAGGCCTTGTATACAGCCAATCCTGAGGAATTCGTTGATGAAATCAGAATCAATATTCCTGACAGATTCGATATTTACATGGATAGCAATTACGAGAATATACAAGGGAAGATCACCAATTATGCAAGTAACATTAGACGAGATTTGGGAGTCTATCCATGCAATATGGATTTGCCGGTCTTATAACAATTGTATGATTCTCGATTTGGTTAACTGTTTTTGGGTATCATATTAAACATGATCATCGTGATATTGTTTTTATTGAGTGTGTTGCTCCTATATACTTTGTTGCTGATATCAGTGGAGACTAAGACCTACGACTTGGGAGTGTTGAGAGTATTAGGGTTCAATAAGTTGGGAGTAGTGTTCATAGTATTGACTCAAGCATTGAGTTATGTGTTGCCGGCTATAGTAGCTGGTATCATCCTTTCCATTCCATTTCTATTATATGCCAGTAGTGCACTCAAAGCCTCCATTGGAGTTGAGATAGAACCAACTCCAACAACAAATGCAGTATTTATGGCTCTCGGATTGGGATTGCTGATTCCCTTGCTGAGTTCTTATGTTCCCATAAAGGAAGCATTAAGTAAGCAATTGAGTTTTGCATTGGATATCAACAGATCAAAATCAACTGCAGTGAAAATAGAAGTCGATCTTGAAGGTAAGTCGTTGCCTTGGGGTAGAATCCAGTTTGCAGTAATAGCTTCGTTGTTTGGAATTTGTGTTTATTACTTCTTGCCTTTGGCTTTATTGTCATTCAACATTGGATTGTTGTTATCTATATTCTTCTTCATTTTATGTGGTATGTTATTAGGATTGGTCATATTCGCATTCAATATTTAATACCTTGCTGAACGATTCACTGTGTATCTATTCTTGTTCTGGGCAAGTTCAGCCAAGAAAACTATGGTCTTGAAGAATCTAGCTGCACATAGGGTACAAATAAGTTTTATTTCTTTATTTAGATCAAAAATAGAAGAACTGCACTGATGTATGCCTTATCCATAGCTTTTGTGATTTTCATCTTTGTTGGTATGAGTGTGCAGATTGAAAACCAAGCCACTTAGACACTTTAATAACATGGTTGCAAACTTGAGATCACTGCTTCCAATGGATATCTCCCGCCATTTGAATTCGAACAAGTAATATTAGAATTGGGAGGCAACATCACTAGTTTCGCATGGGTTACTGATCCCCTGGATAGTTACATGCAGAAACTTGGATTTTCAACAGCATACATGACCCATTTAGGTTAAGTTTACCAACTCAAACCCAAGATCGTGGGGGTCTCACACACTCTATTTGATATGGGATACAATCAATTTCTGAAGGTCGAGGATCAAATTAATAGCAAATTGAATCCAGTTGAATAACTATATACAAGTCGAGGAAGTCAAAGTGCTATGATTGGTACCAGCTATGCTGACTAACTCAATATCAAAATCGACATCGACAGCACTTTCCTTCTAGTCGTGTACAATAATACATACAGTCAATATCATCAAATGAGAGCATCTTCAATAGTCACTTCAGCACCTGCCCTTAAATTTAGTAGTTTGCCAAGTGTTTAAGAATAAAATGTGGTCGTCTCCTTGCCAACATTCAGAAGGCTGTGCGGTAATTTGATTGACGCTGTTGAAAATTACCCTATGAAAAGATTACTCATTTCCGTATCGAGTTCTGGGAACATCGACACTGTTTATGGTCAATTCAAAAAGTACATAGATGCTTAAGGAGTCTCTGCTAAGATATGGGATTACAGAGATTACGAAACATCCATTGAGCAAAGTCAGAATCTAATTCAAATCATATTCAGTTTCCTAACAGGTGTTGTTATGGTGTTGTCATTCTTCAGTCTTATGACGTCGATGTCTGCCAATATGTTGGAATAGGTTAAGGAGATCTCAGTGCTTAGAGCAATTGGAAATACTAAATTATCCATTACTACAGTATATATTATGGAGGCATTCACATTGGTGTTCAGTTCCAGCTTTATTGGATTGATGGTCGGATTTATTATTGGACAATCCATGGCATTGTAATAGACTTTGTTCACATAATTACCATTGATTTTTGTATTCCCATGGTAAATGCTGATTATCATCATTATCATTGCCATGATTGCAGCTATAGTCAGTGTGGTCACGCCTTCCTTATAAATCTTATCAAAAGAAATTGCTTAAATTATGAGAATGATCTGAAAATAATCAAATTTCATTATAAAGTTATTTAATTTAATTTTTTTACATTTAAATCCTGATCCCTTTTACAAACTTTGTTTTCATTAAACAATGTGTTCAAATATTAATTTTAATATAAAATCACATTTACGCAGGATATCAGAATAGCATACCTATATTATTGGAAAATATGATGAGTTAATTTGAATAATATTCAATACTTAATAAGTTAATTTTCTAATATGGCTTGTTAAAGTTTGGTTTGGAGAATTATAAATTTCCTGTGTTTTTTAAGGTAACTTAATTTCAATCACTTTTCTAATAAATTTCGTAGGGAAAAGCCTGTAATATTGATTTTAAAGTGAACTTTATAATTTTAAATTAATGTGATTATTTGGTTAATTATTTTTAAAAGAAATAAATTAAATTTAATACTAAAATCTAGAGTTATATATCATTTGAGAAGATAATACTTGGAGTCTAATAAGATATCTTGGCATATATTTACAGGTGAATTTCTGAAGTTAAGTTTAATACTTTTAGAGATTATTTCTATATATCCTAAAAATTGATATTATGAGTACTTTTTTTTAATTGGACCTTCATGTAGATTTGAACTTCCTTGGAATTGATAATCTCATCAAGTTCAAGTTGTAAATTAACAAAGTATAGTTCTGTATTTTGAGTTAATTAACATTTGGTAAATCTAACTGGTGAATTCAAGGCCTTCGCCTATCCAAATAATAAAATGTCATGTTCGTGATTCTTTTTACTTTTACCTTTCTATTTTTTGTCAAGTAAGAAGAACATCAAACTTCTTTTTCCCCAAACATCATCCAATTAAATTTTACTCTAGCTCATTTCCAACAACTTCAAGTTTTCAGAGGATCTATTGGGCCCTTCCTCCCACACTACTTCCCCCTGCATTAAGTTGTCGTATGGTCCAATCACATACTTGTATTCAAAAGAAGAACCAGAGATTTCAATTACTTTAGACCAATGATCATTCTATTAATAAATGAAATATAATAATACCTTTGAACATTCCATTCGGAAAGCTTTTGTTAAATCCCAATTGGTGAAATCGAAGACTAAATAGAGGGCCTCTCCATAATTTACTTGTTTAGTTAGGGTAAAAAAGATTTAAGACTCTTTCATTATATTAATAATGCTGATTTTTAATTTATATCGTAACACAATTATAACTAGAATTTGTAAGAATAATATCTTATGATTTTTATCCAAATTTACTATTTTAATATTAAAGTAATTCGAACGACCAATTGCCACCAATCGTCTATGTCTTCCAATCCACGTCACATTAATAGTTTATCCAAATTGAGATGATATGTATGGCATTTTTGAAGCCCAATATAAAAATATATATATTTTCAAAATTAAAATATTTCAATTAAATCTATAAAATAAATACTAAATATAATCAACATAGAGCAATTCTATAAAAGGAGACTGCCTGGCATATTTCCTAATTTCTTTCCGAAATGCCAAGAGTTATTGGGTTACTAATAAATTCCATGGGGGCTAAAAATTACAAAATTCTTTACTAGGATCTTTTATTAGCAAATAGTATTGAAATTGAATCACTTATTCCGAATTAGTGATGTCAATGTAAAATTTAGTCGAAAAGTACTTCATCGATTTCTTGTCTAACAATTTCATTTGAATCGGAGTTGAGAGGGCTGGGAAGTTCCCTATTACGATGGCCAAAGAGTTATTGTTTAAAGCCATTAATTTCAGGGAAATCATTCGTTTCTCCCACATATCTTCTATAATATTGATGAATATGATTATATACTTATGGTTTCCGAACTGTTTGATTTAGATTTAATTAATTTTCTGTTGTTGCCTCTTTCCCAAATCTGGACGTCTCCAGAGGGATTATCATAATCTGCAATCACATATTTGTACTCCAATTGGGCATCCGTTACTTGCAAAACAAGTTCCCATCGGTTAGACTACATATTTGAACACATCTTTACCTTTATGCAAGTCATCCTACAACTCTCCTCAATTTTCCAATCATTCTAGGAACTCACCAAGTATACGCCTTGTCCAAAATACACTTGGTGAGATAAGCAAAACTTTATTTAAGACATTAAATAATTTATAATCAATTTATTCACTCTTATTTAAATCTTTTATCACCATTTAATCTTAGTTTTTTTATTAATATTTAAAATTATCATTAACTTTATCTCATCCCCCTCTCTCGCTTCAATTAATATTAAAATCATTCCTATTTTCTCATTTATATCAAATACTGTCTATTGTTAGGCCAATTTAAAAGTTCCAAACCAATCACCAAATCAAATAATTCAAGTGTCAATTTCGATACTTTCAAAGAAGTGTTTAAGATGCATCATCGTAATCAGAAAATTCAGTGTCTGAATCCCGAAATTGATGATGCTTCTTTTATGATCATAATTTTAAAATAAATACAAAAATTGATTTATTGATTTATTGATTAATTTGGGAACAAATAAAAAACTCGACCTTGATATTCTTAAAAAATCTTTTAGCCTCAATAACTCATAATTTAATATAACTCAAAATTATTTACTCCAATTTTGGATCAAAATCCTTTTATTTCATAGCCTCATCAGTATTAAATCATTTGAATATTCCTAATTAAAAAACATTATTGCTTTGAATTCTGAAATTCTTATCTATCGATTAAATTATGTGTTTTACAATCCATTTTTTAATCAACTATTTATTAGTCCTCTTCTGCATCGTTCCATTAGAGCATTCAGAATTAATTAATATTATAGAGAATTGATTGATTTTTGAAATTAGAAAAATTTTGAGTTCACAATAATAATGTAAATTAGGCTCAAGAAATGTATTCTTTATTTTTAATATAAATTTCACTAATTCTTGGCCGTCAAGGTTAATTTAATTGAGACAGAACGAGGACAGGGGAACAACATGTGTTACAAGTATTTTTAAATCAGGGTATGCAAAGTGAAACTGATTTTTTTCTGACTTCTCAATTTGGTATCAATTTGTGTTTTTTCAATGGAATAATTTAAAATATGGGATTGCTCATTAGTAATACAAAATAATTAATACAAAATAATACTTTTAAATTAATACCTGATATTATTATAATTATTTTTATTTTTAATTAATTTAATGCTTAATCATCAATTTATGTATTAATTTAATATAATGATTATAAAGAAAAAAACATTTTAGACAATTTAACTTATATTACGTTTTTTAGAACCATATTTAAAAAATAGTGATATGATGTATATAACAATAAAATAATGGAAGATTTCGTTTCTCCAACTCATTCTATCTAAATGCATGACAAATTTGTCACCAGATTAGAAAAGCTCCAGAAGCTTTTTGATACCAGTGTGCAAAGAAATGATAAATAACATATCATTATATAATAATTGAACATTACAGTGCAGGATTGGGCTGATATTTAGTCATCCTACAAAGAATTAGAGAAGGCACACAACGAGTTCAATATTACCAACATTGGAAAATAAAAAAAGATGGATTAAACCGAATTAGATTTGCTAAGGACTATTGTTGGATTGTATTGTAATGTTCATAATCTTCAGCCTCTTTCAATGGTATTCAGTAAATGTAATATTTAGAATGTTTATGATTGGGACTAAGTAGGGCAGATACTATTCAATAGACATTGGAAGGTTTGCAGAAGTAAATGGATCGAGAGTCAGGCTACTTCAATAGTAGATCATCCTTGGACTCGAGAAGAGGATTCAGTTTTGAGTCAACTCCACAATAAGTACACAGAACAGAATAGATGCAATAAATGGAGTTTGATAGCCATGGAAATGAGCAAGATATGCAAGTCATCCCATGTGAGATTGGGTAAATAGTGTCGAGAAAGATGGATAAATAAATTAAATCCATAAGTGGAGAGGTATAATTATTTTTAATGTTTTTCTAGGGGTCCATGGTACAAAGAGGATGAAATTAAATTGTTGGTTGCTGTTCTACATTATGGAAAGAGATGGTCTTAAATTTCAAGAATAGATTTTGATAATCTGAGAACTGAGAATTGCTTGAAAAATAGATTTCATACAATTATTAAAAGAGAATCTACTAGATTTGAATAGAAGTCAACGCAATCAAAGAATTAAATTTATCCAAAGTTAAACCTTGAAGAGGAACAACGATTAATAGAACAAATAATTCAAGAGTTGAGAGAAGAATCCTTACTATAACAGCAGTCTGTTTAAAGTGATAAACTTGAATAAAAGTTTAAACTTACATAGACAGACTAGCTTCTCGATTTACTCAACAGTAACTGCTATATTGCTATAATTAAGAAGCAGAAACTCAATGTATTATGTTGAACTGACTAAATTTGTTTTCTTCAGATTATTTATCTCAATAAAATTATTACTTTTTTTATTCTTCCAAAGAAAAAGACTTAACAATTATGGATTAGTAATAAATGAGTGCTTTACTAATATTTAGTAGGTAATTTAAATTGTCATATGGAAAAAGTGATCGATTTAAATTTGAGGGATTGCAGTATACAATTTATTGTTATTAAAATATTATTAATTGTATATTAATATTAGTATTGATTATAAAATTTTATAGATATGCAAAATTAAGTGATTTATTACCCTAAATTAAATTTTTTATTTAATGATATCCTTTGTTAATTTGTTCGTCCCATTTAGATAAGCACACAGACTTTCAAGACTTAACATTTACAACCAAAGACGAGTTTTGTACAAATTCTGTAGTGAGAACAAGAAAACAGAAGAAATAGAGAAATAACCATCCTTAGTTATAGATATATTGCACACAGTCAAAGACTCAGCTTTTGGTTCTGCTACGAAATTAACGGAGAAGGTGAAAGGATCAGCCATTAAATTTAAAACAGATGCTAATCAGAATTAGGAGACAGGCATAGGAAAAACATGTTTGAACATGGCCAAATTGGCATGGAGAAAAACATTTCCCAGTCATGATGATGAAGTAAAGGCTAGGATGGAAACTGTTAAGGCAAAGTTGGCAGAGAGAAAGAAGGAAGAAGAGAAATTGGCTTAAATGACTGAAGAGGAATTGGCTGCAGTATGAATTAAAATTTATTTAGATTTAAGAGAAAATTCCAGAATGGAAAAGAAATGCCATCTAAGCCACCGATTAAGGCACCACTGAAGAAGCATCTCTCAAATCCAAAATTGCTCAGAAGATTTAAAGTAGACTCAAGCAAAGTGAGCAAGGGCAACATTTAGTCAACAGTGAAGCCTATAAGGAGTACGTAACATTCAAGGCAGAAATGAAACAATTCAAGGCTGACTTATCTGATAGAATCTAAAATCATCCCAGCAATTTTGTTTAGGTCTCTTTGTATGCAGCAGTAATTCAATGATTTAATCAATTAGAAAACAGTCACTAACGAAAGCGATGTTGCCAGAGCCATCAAATAAATGAGAATGATCGATCCAGACTTCGATTTATACGAATTGGAAAAGGAAGCAAAAGTGATCTTCGAATAAATCTATAACCTATACTTGTTAGGAGATTTGGAGTCCCTTTAAAAGGTTTGTGGTGAAGCAGCTCTCGGATACTTCAAAGTGTTATTGAAGAAATAAGAAGCTGAAGTATTATTACAATTTTAATTAGAAATCTGAACCTAAACACAAGTAATTGTGGAATGTTGATGAAATTAGATTCACAAGAGCTAGCATACCTGATTCTGTCAAATTGCCTGTTTTTGTATTTACAATCAAAACCTAAGAAATCTTTTGTTATGTTAGCAAGGTAAGATATAATAGAAATATCAAAATAGACTGATAGATCGAAAATCGTAGATGGAGATGATGAGAGAATCATGTCTATGGACTACTAATTTGCTTTGACTCCACATTCAAATCCTTCCTCTGATGAGTTTGGTCACATTTGGGAAATGATCGAATTGTAACCATAATAGGTTGTTAAAATGCTTGTTTGAATGCTATGTTATATATATATATATTTTAATAAACATACCAATTAAGTTACTAAGTTTTTAATAATTTATATATCTATCTAATATGGATTAAAGCAATTCCAATCTCATCTTAATAGCTCCAGAACACTCTTATTCAATGAAATTAATTTAGTGTACATCCCCTATTTTAATATGTTAGATTTAATCAAACATTTTAACAATGATGAATTAATATTTGATAAGATTGATGAATAGCACCAACAGATTGGAACTCAACTGTAATAATTGACATCAATTTAATAGTTTAATCAATACCAAATACTACACATGTGATGTTGGTTTGCATACAATAAATTACAATTATTTTAATTAAGAAAATGCATTCGAAAAATTACAAAAAATTAAGGTAGATGGTGTGTTATTTATTGTTGATGCCAACAATATGAATGGGCTGGATTAGTTCATTAATCTGTGTGATTAAATTCTCAATGAAATCCAACCTGGTCTTTAGGCTATAATTTATAACAGGAAGGAAGGAACCAAAATAAACTTTGAGTTGTTGGAGAATGAGGAGAAGAAATTGGAGAGCTTTGTTGAACAAATTTATTTGGACTTGGACAACCCGCCAATTCAATAATAAATCAAACAGTTATCTGAGTAAGAGGATGAGACTCTTGGATTTCCTAGAATTATTGAAATCATGGAATGTAATACTTGGACATATATGAGACCCAAATCTTAGGAGAAGAAGGAAATCACCAGCAAGACTAAAGTGAGTGAAAAGCAGACGTAAGGACTTGATCAATTAGAATATGAGGACGATCAATTTGCTTAATTAATCCATGACATGACCAAGATTAGGTGTTTAATCCTATCTATTATGTAGGACGTCCAAAATGACAGATGAGGAGAGGAGGGAAAAGGCTGCCAATCTCATGAGTTAGTTAATGAATATGTGTCAGGATGATGATGGGGATGATTTGTGAATTGTTTTTAAAATGTTAAGAAAATAAGAAAAATATAGATTAAATAAATTATTAAATAATTTTAATGGCTTTGAAATCCGCAGCTTTGTTTGAAAAGATGGATCCATTCATCAAATCCCAAGGTGCTGAATTGGTTAAGAAAATCAATGCCATCTATTTCTTTGAAGTTTCAAAGGCCAAAGGAGAAACCCCTGAAGTTTGGACCGTTGATCTCAAGAATGGCTCAGGAGTACGCATTATCCAAAATATCTTTAGTCAATTGCCAAGGGACGTGTTGGAACAGCTGATGCCACATTCACCATGGTGGATGATGACATGATGGCTATGGCTCAAGGAAAATTGAATCCTCAATAAGCCTTCATGTAAGGAAAGATGAAGATCAAGGGAAATATGGCTGCTGCCACCAAATTCACCCCAGATCTTTTGCCAAAAGATGCCAAACTTTGAGGTTATATTGAAAAGTGTATAGCAAATCATAAAATCACATTAGATTATTAAGTTTTAATAAATTGCACAATCTTTCCGTCCAATATTCCCTCACACAATTCGTTATTACCAAAGTATTTAAGAGATCTGTATTGTTCAATTTCAACAGGTTTGGGAGCCTTCTTCAACAATTGTTGGAATTTGGAAAGACGAGTCTCTTGTTGAAAAGTTATCTCGGATATGTTGTTATTGAGAATGAAACTTTGGTGCATGCTGAGACTTTGAATTTGACTCATGCCAGAAACTCGTTGGTACTTACAATTATTTGGTATAATTTGAATTTGAGGTCTTCGAATCTATTAATATTGTCTTTGTGTTTTTTTCTTGCTGGGCTTCATTTTAATGAATTTGGTGTCCACTTAGAAGTTCAGAATCGATTTAATTTCCTTGCTCTATTATTCATTCTGTTGGCGGCAGAATTGTATTTTGCCTTGATGTTGGATTGCCCTCACTTGTTGAGGCGATGGTTGTAGAGGCAGTTCTATTTGTTAATTGGATGCTTCCATGTAGGCTTCATACTTTGGTAATTTAGTATTAAAAGTTTCTTCTTTCTTTTAATCAATTTATGGTTTATTATGAAGTGGATAATTGAACCTATATTTTTACTCTAATTCCTTAACAAAGGTAACATTATCATACCTCATAATTGAAATCACAATATATTGTTTTATGTGTTATCTTATTAAATTACTATTCAACTTAGAACTCATCTGGACATTAAGAAAAATTCATATATATATAATTAAAAATAATTAATTTTTGTTTACTTTCGTATTAAGTTTGGGTTAGAAGTTAACCAGAAAATAATCTATTAGAAATATTAATTTATTTTAGAGTATTTATCCTTTTCTGAATTTGCTTAAAGAATACTACTAAGGAAATCAAATAATAACCTAAACAATCTAAATTATTGATTGAATCAATTAGAAAAGGTGACTATTTGTTCTTGTGGAAGTGGAAGTCATAGAACAAGAAAATTTTGAAAATTCTTTAGAATACACTTCTATCTTCATAAAATGGATAAAGAATTATTGATTCTAATTCAAAGATATTGATCTCTTTCCTTATATATGATATTTACTTAAAGATTAGATGCTATATAAAAATATCAAAAGATAAATTTAATCTCGGCCATTTTATCTTTAATCTGCATCAGTATTATCTAATAACAGTTTACTTTGGTTGGTCCATCATAACAGGAGCGGCATAATCTTTGAATGATGATGATATTTATTGATACATTTTATACTAAATATCGTTAATTAAATTTATGGGTTAAGTTTAACAGTCCAAATAACACTTTTTGAAAAATTGGTAAAAGGTTGATTCCAGAGAAAGCAGAATGTAATTATATGCACTATAACTTATAGCTTCGGTTGTGATATTGAAGTTTACACCAATTAAATGGAAGAGGTTGCGGTAGTGCATAAAGTGTATTAGAGTGAAATGCATTATTAAAAGGAGTTGAATAGATTGGAATAATATTAGTAGATCAGTTAGATGCCAGGTTTGATTCGCTTATTAGACATTCAAAAAGAGGAGGAGTCAACTTTGTGTAGTAATTTATTCAAAATCGATGCTATCTTTGAATTTGGAAGTTAACTACCATCCAATTTGCCTTGGTATTAGTTTTTACAATAAATCATTCACACTTTGATTGAATTGCAGAATCGTGATAGATATCATGGAGATTTGAGACCTCAATCCTTTATGTATACAAATCAAGTGAAATTACTATTACCAAATGTCGATTAATATAATCGATTTTTGAGTGGTTTTGAGGAATTCTGTTACCTTTCACCAGAACTCTTCTTTCAGTTGGGAAGGAAGGTGTTTAAACCTGAATATAACAAAGAGAAGAGCGAGGTATTCACAATTGGATTGGTCTGTTTGGAACTCATTTTATAAGAATAAATACAATAGATATATGATTTCTAAGAATATCAAATCAATTAGGGTATTTTAATAGTGTAAATCTAATTAGGTGTTCTCAATGAAATGTTATCGAGGGCTAACAATAAATTAGTCAGTCGAATGTTGTCAATCAGACCAGAGGATAGACCCAATTACTTGTAGATATACGAGGAAAGCATAGTAGAACTGATGCAATAATCAATTAATAACAATAATAAAGTCACTATCCCTCATGTCTAAACTGATATATTGAATGAACATGCAATAGAGATCCAATCACGAGTATTAGTAAGAGAACAACAATCGTAGGCTTAGTCATTTATTATGCAATCAAACTAATAACATCCCTTATTATGTTAATAGTCTTAACAATTTACACTGTAATCGTGTAATTTCAAGGATCTGAACCCAACCTTAACATCCATGCAATAACATCCAATGTTCTTTTAATAAGAGAACTAATTGCAAAAATAATAGTTGAAATCCAATTAAGAAAATGAGGAACCTCAATCAATGAAGAAAGTTCATCCATTTCTATCCTAAAAGAATTCATAGGCTGCTGTCAAATTGCATTCGAATAATAGATCCATGAATCAAACTCCCTCACAACAATTACAAACACAATAAAAACCACAAATTCCAGCCAATTTATAGACCTTTCAATCTAGTTAAAGTAGCCAATAATAGGCCTTCTATTCAACACAAGTTCCTTAATAGGCTAATTCTCTTCAATATTTGACTATTTCACAATCTCCGAATCACAGATACTCGTAGAAATCTTAACAATCTTCAGTGTCTAAACACCAATCTATTTAACCGACTGAGTATGCCTTTCTCCACGAGCAAGTTCATGTTCCTTACAACCCTGGATCTGATTTCCTGGATTCCTCCAGATAAAAGGAGCAAGTGGAATTCGTTTCACCAACTCGAAGCAGCCAAAGACCATCATCCAAATTAAAGGACATTTCTAATAAGAAAGCTAAAACTATGCAAAATACCACTACTACCACTTTGGGTAGCACTAATAACAATGCGAATAAATAAGTAGTTAATAAGAAGCCCTAATTGTTGAAGAGTCAAAGACCTTAGACCTAAATGAGATCTAAATCACCTAATGTTAAGAAAGTGCCTTCAAAGAAATGAATAGCGTGATTTAATTAACAATAATTTAAATATAATATTAAGATATTATTATGAACGTAGGTACCAATGTCAGCGATGATTGTGTTACAGAATTCAACAACTTGAAGTTGGGCAAACAATATAGATATGTTATATATAGGTTGGATAAGGATAGAAACGAAGTAATTTTCATTGTATATTATTAAGATTGTAGTTGATCACAAGGGAGAAAGAGAAAGCACCTACGCTGAATTTGTTAGTCATCTTCAAAACGAAGTAAATTTAGGTGTTTAATTGAATAGTCACGATATGCTGTTTATGATTATCATGCTTAAACAGATGATGTTCCACCAAGAAAGGTCGAGAAGTTGGTGTTCATTTTCTGGTCGCCAGATACCAACCAACCAGTAAAATAAAAGATGGCTTATGCTGCAGGAAAGGAAGCTTTGAAAAAGAAGTTGAATGGACTTTCCAAAGAAATTTAAGCAAATGAACCTTCCGAAGTTGAGGAAGCTGAAATCAAAAAGACTGTATTGAACTGATAACCCTGAGTGATGAATTCTAATATCGAGAATATAGAATATCATATAAATTTAAATGTTCTGATCTCCGCATTCATCGAACAAATATTCTCCAATTTTTCTATATTAAAAATCTATATATAAAAATATTTTAACTCGGATTATAAATCGACTGAAGACTTTGTTTTTGATAAGTATTATGTAATGAAATAATTTTAAAATTAGTTAGTAAATTGATACAAAATCACAGAGTTTTGAATTGCTTTGTTCTTTTGAATGAGAATTCAAGAAAGTATTCTTTGATTTTTGGTAAATGATTGTGTATGTAGCTAAAATATTCTGTTTTGTTTAATTGCATAAATTAATCAAAAGTGTATCTCCTGTTGCTCCTTATAATGGGAGGTTGTCTTTCGACCTTCATCACATCCCTAAGTAGAATGTGCACTTGGGTCAGTTTTTTTTAAGACATGGTGGAAGTGGAAGTGAGGAAGAGTTGAGGAGACTTGCTCTTCTTCTCACTCATGATCCTGGGTCTCCTAGTTTAGGTGAGCAATTAGAATCCGTCTCTGCATTCTTTGTTTAACAACTTCCGTTTATCAGCAATCAATTATCGATATTTTCCAAGTTGGAATCTGAGATTGGTTCTCTGTTCCTCTAACTCCTTCATTTTCTCATGGAGTTGATGATTTTGCTGCTATAATTTTTGTAACTCAATCTCAGCCTGTGACACCTCCCCTGAAGTTACAAGCGAAGGTTACNAGATAAAAGGAGCAAGTGGAATTCGTTTCACCAACTCGAAGCAGCCAAAGACCATCATCCAAATTAAAGGACATTTCTAATAAGAAAGCTAAAACTATGCAAAATACCACTACTACCACTTTGGGTAGCACTAATAACAATGCGAATAAATAAGTAGTTAATAAGAAGCCCTAATTGTTGAAGAGTCAAAGACCTTAGACCTAAATGAGATCTAAATCACCTAATGTTAAGAAAGTGCCTTCAAAGAAATGAATAGCGTGATTTAATTAACAATAATTTAAATATAATATTAAGATATTATTATGAACGTAGGTACCAATGTCAGCGATGATTGTGTTACAGAATTCAACAACTTGAAGTTGGGCAAACAATATAGATATGTTATATATAGGTTGGATAAGGATAGAAACGAAGTAATTTTCATTGTATATTATTAAGATTGTAGTTGATCACAAGGGAGAAAGAGAAAGCACCTACGCTGAATTTGTTAGTCATCTTCAAAACGAAGTAAATTTAGGTGTTTAATTGAATAGTCACGATATGCTGTTTATGATTATCATGCTTAAACAGATGATGTTCCACCAAGAAAGGTCGAGAAGTTGGTGTTCATTTTCTGGTCGCCAGATACCAACCAACCAGTAAAATAAAAGATGGCTTATGCTGCAGGAAAGGAAGCTTTGAAAAAGAAGTTGAATGGACTTTCCAAAGAAATTTAAGCAAATGAACCTTCCGAAGTTGAGGAAGCTGAAATCAAAAAGACTGTATTGAACTGATAACCCTGAGTGATGAATTCTAATATCGAGAATATAGAATATCATATAAATTTAAATGTTCTGATCTCCGCATTCATCGAACAAATATTCTCCAATTTTTCTATATTAAAAATCTATATATAAAAATATTTTAACTCGGATTATAAATCGACTGAAGACTTTGTTTTTGATAAGTATTATGTAATGAAATAATTTTAAAATTAGTTAGTAAATTGATACAAAATCACAGAGTTTTGAATTGCTTTGTTCTTTTGAATGAGAATTCAAGAAAGTATTCTTTGATTTTTGGTAAATGATTGTGTATGTAGCTAAAATATTCTGTTTTGTTTAATTGCATAAATTAATCAAAAGTGTATCTCCTGTTGCTCCTTATAATGGGAGGTTGTCTTTCGACCTTCATCACATCCCTAAGTAGAATGTGCACTTGGGTCAGTTTTTTTTAAGACATGGTGGAAGTGGAAGTGAGGAAGAGTTGAGGAGACTTGCTCTTCTTCTCACTCATGATCCTGGGTCTCCTAGTTTAGGTGAGCAATTAGAATCCGTCTCTGCATTCTTTGTTTAACAACTTCCGTTTATCAGCAATCAATTATCGATATTTTCCAAGTTGGAATCTGAGATTGGTTCTCTGTTCCTCTAACTCCTTCATTTTCTCATGGAGTTGATGATTTTGCTGCTATAATTTTTGTAACTCAATCTCAGCCTGTGACACCTCCCCTGAAGTTACAAGCGAAGGTTACTTATTATTATTGCGATGTCGATATTTTTTTGTTTGCATTTTGTTCAAATCCTTGATGTCGTCTATCCTCACGATCTCAGCCACTTTGTCTTGTATCTTGTTTGCAGAATCATCGATGTAGGTCTTAATTCCCTTGATGTAATCCATATAGTCATTCATATTGTGTCCTTTATAATAAATAAATATAAAATGATTGAAGATGAGGACATATATAACTATTAGAATGATTCAGGCGAAATCAACGAAGTAAGTTCTTAATAAGAAAACTCAAAAGAAGAGTATAAACCTTGTCTAATAATTCTAGTATGGTGGAGATCTTGGAGATGAAGGATGTCATGAAAACGATAATGAATGAAGTGCAAGAACTCTCAGAGATTCTTTACTTCGATGAAGACAACACTTTCGAGGTAATTGATCCTTATTATGAAGTTGCTCATGTACTACAATTGGAATAAAGATGAAATCTTTCACAAATATGACTCTACTTAGTTGGCTGAATTCAAAACTAATGGAGTTATTAACGATCACTAACAAGTTATTTATAATGGCCTTAAGGGAAGTTGCTCAGTTTGTTTATGCGAAGATTAATTAATTCTATTGGGATGTAAGCATATGTTTTGTGAATCTTGCATAAAACAGACTATAGTGCAGAGAGTATAAAAAGATAAGTTCCTCTTTGTTAGGTGTTTATTTTATGGGTGTAATTACAGACTACCTTTCTCAATGATTAGAAAATTCTCAAATAAAATGGAATTAGAAGATCTACTCTGTCGAAATTTGTAGAATGCTCAAGATATATGGCATACTGTCCTGCTGTTAATTGCAACAAAATTATAAAACCTAAATTCACATCAGCAAGAGAAGTGACTTGCCTCTGTTAAACGAAGTTCTGTTTCTATTGTAAAGAGGAACTACATCCCCCATGTCCTTGTGATTTAGTCAAAAAATGGCTTTCAGAACTCTAAAAAGACTAAGCCAATTTTGAGTGGATTAGACTGAATACAAAATAATGTCCTTTTTGCAAAAAAGATGTTGAAAGATCTTTTGGGTGCAATTACATGTCTTGTAAACCTCCAGGAGGATGCGGAAATGCTTTTTGTTATGTTTGTTCTTAGCCTTGGAAACCATATCACAAAGATCATTATAAGTGCAACTAGTATGTACCACCCACAGACAATACAAAGTAAGAGAAAGATTCAATCGAAAGATGTAATTTCTATTAGAAAAGATATCTAATTTCAGAAGCTGCAGGATAAAAAGCCCAGGAGTCATTGAAAAAAATTAGAGATGAATACATTGACAAAATATTTATGTATTTAGGCTTCGATATGAATGACACTAAATTCTTGGAAGAAGTCATGGCAGAACTAATCTAATCTAGAGTCACATTAAAATGGTATACGTGATATTATTACTGTGCAGGTCTTATTGTTTGTGCTACTATATTTCTCATAATAACCAATACTCATCCTAGTTGTTAGATCATTATCAGAAGCTCTTTGAACATGCCTGTGAATAATTGGCNAGCTAAAATATTCTGTTTTGTTTAATTGCATAAATTAATCAAAAGTGTATCTCCTGTTGCTCCTTATAATGGGAGGTTGTCTTTCGACCTTCATCACATCCCTAAGTAGAATGTGCACTTGGGTCAGTTTTTTTTAAGACATGGTGGAAGTGGAAGTGAGGAAGAGTTGAGGAGACTTGCTCTTCTTCTCACTCATGATCCTGGGTCTCCTAGTTTAGGTGAGCAATTAGAATCCGTCTCTGCATTCTTTGTTTAACAACTTCCGTTTATCAGCAATCAATTATCGATATTTTCCAAGTTGGAATCTGAGATTGGTTCTCTGTTCCTCTAACTCCTTCATTTTCTCATGGAGTTGATGATTTTGCTGCTATAATTTTTGTAACTCAATCTCAGCCTGTGACACCTCCCCTGAAGTTACAAGCGAAGGTTACTTATTATTATTGCGATGTCGATATTTTTTTGTTTGCATTTTGTTCAAATCCTTGATGTCGTCTATCCTCACGATCTCAGCCACTTTGTCTTGTATCTTGTTTGCAGAATCATCGATGTAGGTCTTAATTCCCTTGATGTAATCCATATAGTCATTCATATTGTGTCCTTTATAATAAATAAATATAAAATGATTGAAGATGAGGACATATATAACTATTAGAATGATTCAGGCGAAATCAACGAAGTAAGTTCTTAATAAGAAAACTCAAAAGAAGAGTATAAACCTTGTCTAATAATTCTAGTATGGTGGAGATCTTGGAGATGAAGGATGTCATGAAAACGATAATGAATGAAGTGCAAGAACTCTCAGAGATTCTTTACTTCGATGAAGACAACACTTTCGAGGTAATTGATCCTTATTATGAAGTTGCTCATGTACTACAATTGGAATAAAGATGAAATCTTTCACAAATATGACTCTACTTAGTTGGCTGAATTCAAAACTAATGGAGTTATTAACGATCACTAACAAGTTATTTATAATGGCCTTAAGGGAAGTTGCTCAGTTTGTTTATGCGAAGATTAATTAATTCTATTGGGATGTAAGCATATGTTTTGTGAATCTTGCATAAAACAGACTATAGTGCAGAGAGTATAAAAAGATAAGTTCCTCTTTGTTAGGTGTTTATTTTATGGGTGTAATTACAGACTACCTTTCTCAATGATTAGAAAATTCTCAAATAAAATGGAATTAGAAGATCTACTCTGTCGAAATTTGTAGAATGCTCAAGATATATGGCATACTGTCCTGCTGTTAATTGCAACAAAATTATAAAACCTAAATTCACATCAGCAAGAGAAGTGACTTGCCTCTGTTAAACGAAGTTCTGTTTCTATTGTAAAGAGGAACTACATCCCCCATGTCCTTGTGATTTAGTCAAAAAATGGCTTTCAGAACTCTAAAAAGACTAAGCCAATTTTGAGTGGATTAGACTGAATACAAAATAATGTCCTTTTTGCAAAAAAGATGTTGAAAGATCTTTTGGGTGCAATTACATGTCTTGTAAACCTCCAGGAGGATGCGGAAATGCTTTTTGTTATGTTTGTTCTTAGCCTTGGAAACCATATCACAAAGATCATTATAAGTGCAACTAGTATGTACCACCCACAGACAATACAAAGTAAGAGAAAGATTCAATCGAAAGATGTAATTTCTATTAGAAAAGATATCTAATTTCAGAAGCTGCAGGATAAAAAGCCCAGGAGTCATTGAAAAAAATTAGAGATGAATACATTGACAAAATATTTATGTATTTAGGCTTCGATATGAATGACACTAAATTCTTGGAAGAAGTCATGGCAGAACTAATCTAATCTAGAGTCACATTAAAATGGTATACGTGATATTATTACTGTGCAGGTCTTATTGTTTGTGCTACTATATTTCTCATAATAACCAATACTCATCCTAGTTGTTAGATCATTATCAGAAGCTCTTTGAACATGCCTGTGAATAATTGGCTATCTCATTGATGAAACTGTTTAATCAAATTGAAAAACTAAATGTAGAAATACTTACTACACCCATACACGATTTAAAAAAATAGTTTATGAAAATTAAGGACACAATTCAAAATGCCTCATAAAAATGCTAAAAAATGAGAATAAATCTAGAATTAGTCGTCTATTAAGGAGATGTTTTTGTGTGATGTATCCTATATTCAAATTAAGATTTTTATTTATTAATATATATATATACTTCATAAATTAGGGTAGTGTTAGTAAGTAAATCCATCCTCAAATGCCAATTGAAAAACCTCCTCAATGTGATCGACTAATCTAATTCTCTATTTAATAGAAGGTTCTAAGTTGTAAATGTCCCCCACATTCTAAGATGGAATAATGATGCTACTCAATTAAATTATGCTATTACCTATCAACTCCAGATTCTGCTGTCTAAATGATGCTATCTCTCAGATTGCATTGTCTAAAAATAGATCCTTTGAGACTTAACTCTCCTGCAAATGCAACACTTGATTTCACTTTCTTATTCATAAATAATGACACCACAGCCACAGCAACACAAACACCCAAACAATTCTAGTTAGCAACAGTAATGTCCCAATTCTAGAATTAAATGTGTTTGAAACAATTCCTTAAATAAGATTATGCAGTAATTCCTTATTCAACAATATATTGATCCTTAGATTACTAAAATAGATTGCCTTATCCCTTCGTTTTAATGACTTCCAAAATGTTCATTCCATCATTCAACCCTTTGCACATTCCAACACTCTATAACCTGATGTTCTTGTAACCAATTGTGGATTCCCCCAAACATTAGTTGACAAATCCCTTATTAATATTGTAAGTTCCTTTCCTGTTCCCTCTTACTTGTTGAAGTGCAATCTTTCGTAAAATAGAATTTATTTATCTCTCTAATTATCTCACTCCACTCTCATTGGTATAATTTGTAATTAAATATCTTACAACATCCTTACTGAATTCAACTTTCCCATCAATCCCATTAAGCTCCAATTATTTAGGAATCAAATGTTAGATTGCAATCTTCTCCTTCTCATCAATTGTGTAGGATGGGATCTCAATCATCTCCAATCTGTCTCTCAATGCTGGCTATATGGAGCCTATGTAATTGGCTGTCGAAATGAACAGAACTTAACTCAAATTGAATTCCTCATTCACATAATTATCCATAAAACATTTATTCTATTCTGGATCCAAGACCTCTAACAAGGCTGAACCAACAGTGTATTAATTAATCTTGTCGATCTCATCAAGTAAGATGACTGGATTTACACACTTGGCTTTCTTTATTGCTTCCATAATCATTCCTGCCTATGCTCCCACATAAGTCTTTCGATGACCTCTTATTTAAGCTTCATCTGATACTCCACCTAATGAAATCTTTTGAAAAGGTCTCCCCAAGGACTCTGCTATGCTCTAAGCTAATGATGTCTTTCCCACTCCAGGATGACCATGTAAACAGAGAATAGATCCAGTAGATTTTGTTAAAAATTTAATTGCTAAATATTATAGAATACGCTGTTTAGCCATGTCCAATCCATAATGTCTCTGATCCAATATTTATTTGCATTGAGATATACTGACAGTTTCTGGATGTTGGATTCCCCATGGCAATGACTAAACATATTGTTATTAGTAATCCAGTTCTTATTCTTGTATTTATGGAATAATTTATTCAGTTTAATTAATCAAGTTATCTCCATTGTTTTGCATTTCAGAAATAAGTTCCTGCTTAAATATTTATTCCAATTCGTTGCTTGTCGAATATTATGTCATTTTGTGATTCAAATATTAAATCATTGTTGATATTCTTTCTATGTTATCATTCATTTATAGCAATCTGAGTTTTTGGTTGAATGGAATTTAAATTCTGTCAGCCACTTGATATTATAATTTGACGATGTTGTTTTCTTCGTCTATCTTTTGCTTCAACAGAGCATTAGGTAAAAGGGAGAAGTTTTCCATATAGATCTAAAAATATATGTGCAAATTTACTTTAACCGCCTCTTTAAATGTGTTCAAGATTTCAGTATCGTTGGCTTTGATCTCATCATTCAGTATTTCAACGTTTGCTATTAAGAATGGTGAAAGCTGGCAAAACGAATTTATTCGAAATCTGGCGAATGCAAAGGCATTGCAAAAATTGGATGACTCATCTTGCTTTGTTGTTACGTGCACAAGTGTGCCATATTAACTATATTATGAGATAGTTTGAACATCAGGCTGGCTGCCATTGATTTATGAAACCAATCCAATGTATTGAGAATGTAATAATTGAATATAGCAATCCACATCATAGAGTTACAAACTGGAGTATGGAAATACTACTGTGTTTGATATTGGTTGTATGAACAAATTTAAATATTGCATAATATAAATAATATGATATCACTTTAAAATTGTTTAATTTTTAAGACAACTATTTACAATTAACGCATCATTAATATATATTATGCATATTTGGCTTGAAACAAAATGACAAACTATTATTTTTAGCAGTTAATTTGGCTTAAATGTATAATACAACATTAATTCTATCGCATATACAAAGATGAAAGTAAGAAATGAATAATCTTATAATCTAAAAGTTTCATTGAAGATAGGAATAAAAGTAGTATTCAAATCCTATTCGGCATTTTTAGAATTAAGATAATGATTGTTTACAATTGCAAATCTTTTCATTTTATTTTTGATTCTCAATGTAATCATTTGAAGTTCATAATTATCTATGATTTTAATGGAAATTTGCAAATAGTCTATGTTCCTTCTAAGTAACATGAATTACAAAGAAGGCAGAGTTCAAATCGAAATTATCAGAAGATCTAAAACATATATTTTGGATCAAGCAAGATAGGAGAGAAAGAGAAGAGAAGAAATTATTTTTTTTGATAATCATATAGCTCTTATATTCATATTATATTTCTGAAAATAAGATGTCTAATAGATTTAATGAATATCAATGATATCAAATATTAATTTCTATTACTAGATTGTCCATATTCAATAACATAATTAATATTTATAGATATCGGAATGATATCAGAATGGCTGACCATCATTCGCTGTATTGCCTAACTTGAATTTCTTCGGTTTTACAATCCCAGGTGATTAAATACTCTCCATCATCTGAAATTGCTCCATGAATGTAATTATCATCAAAATCGATAATTTATTCTTAAATAAATTCTCCATTCTCTTTAATTTTAATCAAATTTAAACTACTTCCATTTTTGTTGAGTAACAGTGATTTCGATTTAATATATTTTTAAGGAAAATACCAAAAGCAATCATTTCCAGACTTTACAGCAATTTCCTTTTGCTTAACAAATTATTGGCTGAATTTACTTTGTTCATAAATTATCATCTGCTTTTTATTATAAGGTTGATATGTAAATTAAGTATTGCTAATAAAGCATAATCTTAAACCCCATTCTACTTTAATAGTTTAAAGAATATTCCAGAAAGAACTATTTACATCTTTTTGACTTACAACAATCAGATTGTCTGCAGCACAAGAAATGAATTAATTTTAAGTTTCATTCATGCTGATACAGAATACACTCCCATTATGATATGTTAATGTCTATGAACAATGCCACTACACATTTTTACTCCATAGTCTAATGGTTTTGTCATCACTACCTGATATTATCAAATCCTCATTATTATTAATTATCAAACAATTAATATCGTCAGTATGACCTTCAAGTTGTTACTTACAATAGAACTATCTATTTTCTGAGGCCTCCCATACAATAATCGAACGATCATAGCTACCAGAGATAAATGAAGGCGATTTTTACAAAAAGTATACACATCGAACTCTTTTACTATGATTGCTCAATTCCTATAATTATCGTAATTATCCTTGCTCAAACTCAAATACTCTTATTTTGCTTGATTCGTAGCCAGCCACTAAGAGAGTAGCTTCTTTATTAAACGCAAAAGCAAATATGTATTCATCTTTTATTTTATTGATTAATTCATATTTAAATGGCTTCAATTCTTTATTAAATACTTATTATTGAATTTATGGNCTTTGATCTCATCATTCAGTATTTCAACGTTTGCTATTAAGAATGGTGAAAGCTGGCAAAACGAATTTATTCGAAATCTGGCGAATGCAAAGGCATTGCAAAAATTGGATGACTCATCTTGCTTTGTTGTTACGTGCACAAGTGTGCCATATTAACTATATTATGAGATAGTTTGAACATCAGGCTGGCTGCCATTGATTTATGAAACCAATCCAATGTATTGAGAATGTAATAATTGAATATAGCAATCCACATCATAGAGTTACAAACTGGAGTATGGAAATACTACTGTGTTTGATATTGGTTGTATGAACAAATTTAAATATTGCATAATATAAATAATATGATATCACTTTAAAATTGTTTAATTTTTAAGACAACTATTTACAATTAACGCATCATTAATATATATTATGCATATTTGGCTTGAAACAAAATGACAAACTATTATTTTTAGCAGTTAATTTGGCTTAAATGTATAATACAACATTAATTCTATCGCATATACAAAGATGAAAGTAAGAAATGAATAATCTTATAATCTAAAAGTTTCATTGAAGATAGGAATAAAAGTAGTATTCAAATCCTATTCGGCATTTTTAGAATTAAGATAATGATTGTTTACAATTGCAAATCTTTTCATTTTATTTTTGATTCTCAATGTAATCATTTGAAGTTCATAATTATCTATGATTTTAATGGAAATTTGCAAATAGTCTATGTTCCTTCTAAGTAACATGAATTACAAAGAAGGCAGAGTTCAAATCGAAATTATCAGAAGATCTAAAACATATATTTTGGATCAAGCAAGATAGGAGAGAAAGAGAAGAGAAGAAATTATTTTTTTTGATAATCATATAGCTCTTATATTCATATTATATTTCTGAAAATAAGATGTCTAATAGATTTAATGAATATCAATGATATCAAATATTAATTTCTATTACTAGATTGTCCATATTCAATAACATAATTAATATTTATAGATATCGGAATGATATCAGAATGGCTGACCATCATTCGCTGTATTGCCTAACTTGAATTTCTTCGGTTTTACAATCCCAGGTGATTAAATACTCTCCATCATCTGAAATTGCTCCATGAATGTAATTATCATCAAAATCGATAATTTATTCTTAAATAAATTCTCCATTCTCTTTAATTTTAATCAAATTTAAACTACTTCCATTTTTGTTGAGTAACAGTGATTTCGATTTAATATATTTTTAAGGAAAATACCAAAAGCAATCATTTCCAGACTTTACAGCAATTTCCTTTTGCTTAACAAATTATTGGCTGAATTTACTTTGTTCATAAATTATCATCTGCTTTTTATTATAAGGTTGATATGTAAATTAAGTATTGCTAATAAAGCATAATCTTAAACCCCATTCTACTTTAATAGTTTAAAGAATATTCCAGAAAGAACTATTTACATCTTTTTGACTTACAACAATCAGATTGTCTGCAGCACAAGAAATGAATTAATTTTAAGTTTCATTCATGCTGATACAGAATACACTCCCATTATGATATGTTAATGTCTATGAACAATGCCACTACACATTTTTACTCCATAGTCTAATGGTTTTGTCATCACTACCTGATATTATCAAATCCTCATTATTATTAATTATCAAACAATTAATATCGTCAGTATGACCTTCAAGTTGTTACTTACAATAGAACTATCTATTTTCTGAGGCCTCCCATACAATAATCGAACGATCATAGCTACCAGAGATAAATGAAGGCGATTTTTACAAAAAGTATACACATCGAACTCTTTTACTATGATTGCTCAATTCCTATAATTATCGTAATTATCCTTGCTCAAACTCAAATACTCTTATTTTGCTTGATTCGTAGCCAGCCACTAAGAGAGTAGCTTCTTTATTAAACGCAAAAGCAAATATGTATTCATCTTTTATTTTATTGATTAATTCATATTTAAATGGCTTCAATTCTTTATTAAATACTTATTATTGAATTTATGGTTCTAAACATAAAATTTTTCGACCATTTGTAATAGTTTCAGAAAGACTTCCTACACTCTCTGCAATCATTGAATACAGTTTCTCTTTACTCCTTTGAAATGAGAAAAAACAAGAAGAAAGTTCATTAAAGTGATTTATACTAAAATTCTTAGCTAATTCTGTTATTTCTTTGTATCTCATTTCTAACCCTTTTTTCAGTTCCCCACATTAATTATTCATATGATTAATCCAATTCTCAAGCTTACTCATAAGATTATCGTAATCGGATGATTACTACTTTATTAAATTCAAAAACGAAGAAAATTTTTGAACATCTTCTATATGGCTCTTATGATTTCCAGCTTGCAAACATTCAAAGCAAGAAAAGCGATATTCTTGGCAAGAATCCCTCATACAAACAAATTCAATCTAATTGTTATGCCCTTAATTCGGACACAAAATATCCATTATTTATAAATAAAAATATTTTAATCGGATTATTGCTATTTAAGGATCAGATTCTATTTTTGGAATAAATTAATCTATATTTTGCATACTATATTTAGAATTATTATCAACGAATTCTAAATTAAAAACAACATAATCCTAATTAAGTTTCTGATTGTAATTCCTACTTTACTTTTAATGATATTGTGAACTGAAAACAAATGTAAGCAATAATTACCATTTCAATAATGTCTCCAATTATTTAAGATGGAATAAGAAGTATTAAGTATGATAACAATAAAATTATGAAATTACAGTTAATGAGGATTTTTCCAATTATGTGTTCAACTCTATAAAAATGATTTGTTTGAGGTCTTCATCTAGTAAATGAGAAAAAACAAATATATTTATTCTAAAGAATTATATATTTCAATTTGCAAAATTCCAAAAAAAAGAAATTAATTATTTTTAATGAATAAGTTTGTCTCAGTTTTTCAATAAAAATTCAATATTATCAATTAATCTATACCCTCTATTTCAATATGTAACACAATTTTTCACGATTAATTAATTTATATTTTATTATATATAAATAAAATAACAGCAAATTCTTGATATTTGGTTAATTTACAGGTATACACTTGTTCAAGTCAGAAAATTACATTAATGATAAGAATTTAGAATCTTNCTCCCATACAATAATCGAACGATCATAGCTACCAGAGATAAATGAAGGCGATTTTTACAAAAAGTATACACATCGAACTCTTTTACTATGATTGCTCAATTCCTATAATTATCGTAATTATCCTTGCTCAAACTCAAATACTCTTATTTTGCTTGATTCGTAGCCAGCCACTAAGAGAGTAGCTTCTTTATTAAACGCAAAAGCAAATATGTATTCATCTTTTATTTTATTGATTAATTCATATTTAAATGGCTTCAATTCTTTATTAAATACTTATTATTGAATTTATGGTTCTAAACATAAAATTTTTCGACCATTTGTAATAGTTTCAGAAAGACTTCCTACACTCTCTGCAATCATTGAATACAGTTTCTCTTTACTCCTTTGAAATGAGAAAAAACAAGAAGAAAGTTCATTAAAGTGATTTATACTAAAATTCTTAGCTAATTCTGTTATTTCTTTGTATCTCATTTCTAACCCTTTTTTCAGTTCCCCACATTAATTATTCATATGATTAATCCAATTCTCAAGCTTACTCATAAGATTATCGTAATCGGATGATTACTACTTTATTAAATTCAAAAACGAAGAAAATTTTTGAACATCTTCTATATGGCTCTTATGATTTCCAGCTTGCAAACATTCAAAGCAAGAAAAGCGATATTCTTGGCAAGAATCCCTCATACAAACAAATTCAATCTAATTGTTATGCCCTTAATTCGGACACAAAATATCCATTATTTATAAATAAAAATATTTTAATCGGATTATTGCTATTTAAGGATCAGATTCTATTTTTGGAATAAATTAATCTATATTTTGCATACTATATTTAGAATTATTATCAACGAATTCTAAATTAAAAACAACATAATCCTAATTAAGTTTCTGATTGTAATTCCTACTTTACTTTTAATGATATTGTGAACTGAAAACAAATGTAAGCAATAATTACCATTTCAATAATGTCTCCAATTATTTAAGATGGAATAAGAAGTATTAAGTATGATAACAATAAAATTATGAAATTACAGTTAATGAGGATTTTTCCAATTATGTGTTCAACTCTATAAAAATGATTTGTTTGAGGTCTTCATCTAGTAAATGAGAAAAAACAAATATATTTATTCTAAAGAATTATATATTTCAATTTGCAAAATTCCAAAAAAAAGAAATTAATTATTTTTAATGAATAAGTTTGTCTCAGTTTTTCAATAAAAATTCAATATTATCAATTAATCTATACCCTCTATTTCAATATGTAACACAATTTTTCACGATTAATTAATTTATATTTTATTATATATAAATAAAATAACAGCAAATTCTTGATATTTGGTTAATTTACAGGTATACACTTGTTCAAGTCAGAAAATTACATTAATGATAAGAATTTAGAATCTTGATGTATTTTTATATTATAAATTAAATTGGAGAATATAATATACTTTTTGAACATTAAAAAGCAATTCAATTTACATTTAAAGAAGACCGACAACATTCAGTATTTAAATTCAATAAAATTTTTACAATTTGAACAAATCAGTAAGAATTTCTTTAAGTGTCACTCCAAATACACAAAATAATATTGTAATTTGAAATTTAATTAATATATATTTTTCAAAATCTAACAGCATAATTGTTATACATTTTATTATTCTGAGGTAAAGACTTATTTAGAGAATTCCAAATTTATTTTCTTTACTTTTGTCGTGTAAAAGTCAAGTTCTATTATTTAGTTATTTCAAAAATATCTAATTTAAATATATTATGCAATTTCTCTTAAAATATCATAGTCTCATTCAAAGGTATCCGCTATCGACAAAATCTATTACCGCAGGTTGTAAATTATTCATATGTTATAGGATTCATTGTTTCTCTAGGAGATTTTACAGTTTAAACTATGAAGCCTTATTTTGACTAAACAACATAGCCTCACAAGTTGGAATTGAGAAGACTGGGAATTGCGTGGTTGATGGGGAATGTGTTTATGGGGCCTTTATTTCATTATAACTTTACTTACATGTTACCTTGGCTAGTAAAGAGGTCGCATATATTTTATATACTATAGATTACCATTCAATACTTCAACACCCATAAGAAGAGCATTTGGTTCTGTTTTAATTGATTAAACCGTGTGGAGTTGTTACCTACTCTGTCATTACTTAATGATAATAAACTTTCTCGAAAGTGGATCAATCCGAAAAGGCATAGAAGCAATTCAAAATAATTTTACAAAAGTTATAGTAACCAATTGGTAAGTGTGGCCAGCAGCTTAAATTATCAACTTTTGGTTAATTCCTCGACCTTATTAAGTCCTCTGGGTAAATCTCATAGGCTATTTTTGGAATATATATTTGAGTTATATATAACATAAATGAGTGATATCTTTATGCAATGAAAAAGAATAAGAAATGCCCCTAATGTATTAAGCATCTCGTCTATTATTATTCCATTTTGTATAAATTATCATTTCAATATATCAAATAAGGATGAATAACATTGGCAAGTCTGTTATTATTTTATAAATTATATAACAGCCTACATCTATGATATTAACAACATCTACTAGGTAAGAAAATATATACTAAGAAATCATATAATAAATTAATTCGTTATAATATATCTGTATATTGAAGGTCTTGCCATAGTTTTTATTTGTCAATAAAACCCTCAGAGACTGAAGATTAGGAGATATGGACTAGTTTTCTAAAAAAGTGATAGCTCTCTACTTCAATTCAAAGCAACTCGGACTATAGAAATTGTTCTTTATGAATTAATAAGTTTAATTGATTAAATTTTATAATACGAAATTCAATAACAGCCTTTCTTTTTATTATACTTTATAAATGTAAAATATCTTCATTTAAAGGGGACAGATATTACTTCATAAGAGAATTGAAAAATTAAATAGTTGTTATCGGGAATTTGTTTAATATTAATTATACTACTAAATAAGTCTAGATTTAATTTTAGAAGGGAGGCAATCCATTATAAGATCAGCCATTGCTTAAATTTAAGAAGATTTTAGTAATTGTTTGAAATTTCGATCAATGAAAGGCATTGGCATTAGCTCTAATAAACTCTGTAATTACAATAAAATAAAAAATAATTAAAAATTATTAAATTTTAATAATAGAATGGATTAAATAATACTATTTATTTTTCAGATCGAAAAGCGTGATTTATTATTAAGACAAGATTCTGATTTTGCTATTCCAATTTAATCAATCTGACCCTTACCATTGTACATCTGTTATTGATTATCAGATGTACACTGATATCCAGTTAGGAATAATTAATCATAATCTATGTTTCTGAAATAGATTGAGTTATCAATAGATGCATATATTTGGTATTACAACTAGAGCATTCAAACCTGCATGAATTTAAACAAATCTAGAATTATCTTCTCAACCAATTAATATATTAAATGATGTTCTGAAATTCGCCTTTTTATTTAACTCTCTTAAGTATTAAATCATAATGAGAATGATATAGATAATAAAATATTATTTATTACAAAAATTAATTTTTAAATGATTCAATTTATTTATCATGTTCTACATAAGATATTTATCTTTAGAGAAATTCTAGTCATTAAAGATCATGTTCTTTGAATAGTTAAAGCTTCTCAGTTTACTAGAGGAAAGAAATACTATTTTTTATTAGAATAGAAAATTAAGTGTGGATTTTGATATCACCTTACCTATTTCAATTATAATGCAAAAAAGATTATAATTTCAATAGAAAGAATGATAGAATTTAATTTTAAATAAATTAAAACAACTTCATGATATTAATAAAATATTAATTTAGAAATGCATTTGCCTATTAAATTTTAAAAGCCTTCGCTTTTATCTAGGTCTTTATAGTAATAGGAATTTCAATAGCAGCATTTGTTGGTGCATATTATATTCACAAATTCTTAAGTTAGGTAGATGATCATCTCCAAGAAATAGGAATAGTAATAATTTGTCCATTTTAGTAGTTTATCTCGACGACATTCATAGCTAAACCTTTTTTCGTTTTGGCTTTAGGAATATTTGCTGTAGCTATAAGCGGAATTCTTGGTACTCTAATGAAAGAAAGAAAATTCTTTTTAGTATTTTTTAATTTTGGCAATTTGTGCTTGGGTCTAAGTTTTTAATATTAGGACTTATTACAATGGCCCTTGATAACACTATAGAAAAAGACCATACTTGTAATCCTTCTGATCCTTAATATACAGCAGTCTAAAAATTGTATTTTGAAGTAGATACGGTTTTATGTAAGGATTCTTGTGAATGCTATTATTACAAGGATATCACTTATTAAGTAGCAAGAGAAGTAAAAGTGTACTCAAAGACTGATTAAACAAAAGTATTGATCTTAATAAATAATTTAGGCAATAAATGCTTAAGAATGTGATTATTTTTATGATAGTTTTCCTTTAGATGTTGAGGTGATTTAATGGATGGAAAATAAATTTGATTGCTCAGGTTGGTGTATTTCATATTCCAATTAAATTTTTGATGATGTTAATTCTGATGTTAAGAATTATAAGTAATCGATTATATCATTTTAGCCATGCTATGCAGCAGTAGGTAATTATTTTAAAACAATATTTCATATTTCTAAAATAGTATTTTTGTAATTTCATCAATTATGGGAGTTATGTTTGTCCTTACCTGTTGCTTAGGTTATCATCCAGAGTATCAACACTAATTCAAGAATTATAGAAAGATAGCAGACTAAAAATAATGAAGGATTGTGTAATTTATAAACATTTTTTATAAATAATTCTAATTGGTAAAATGATAATAAATCTTAAGAAATGGCTGTATACATTCCATTAATATCATAATAATACCAAAGTATTTTTTATATTATTAACAATTATATACAAATTAAGGACATTATTATTTTAGATTTTATATGCTCTTTATTGATTCAGATCATAAAAATAAACCTTTAAGATTATTGTAATTTCAAAATTAACCAAAATTAATCAAAATTTTTCAAATAATTAAATATCAATAAACTTTAAAGGTAAAATTCCTTAATAATTCTAACATATTAAGTTGAGCAAAATTTAAAAATTACTTTTTTAATTTTGAATATATTAATAACATTATGTAGAACATGAAAGAAAATAAAATCACTCAGAAGTATAGATATTGTAACAGATGAAATTAAATGTACAAAACTGTTTGATAAAATGATTATATTCCAGATAAGTATAGTACTATTACTAAGTTTTCAGAGGCCTTTTAAATTTAGGATTCAGGATTATTGATACTTTATAATTTGAATATTTATACAAGGTCCAACAGAATAAGATAAATTATGCATAATTGATCAAGACATACCAATCTTATTCGGGAACTTCCCTAATCTAATTAATTCTAAACAGAATGATACTCAAATCAATTTAAAAAGCATAAAACCAGAACAAATTAGGATACTAGGCGAAATTAATATAACTAATATTTCTTATTTTAATTGTCTTTTAATGTTACGGCATTACTATTTATTATGAAAAGAAGTGATTAAATAATATATTAAAGGTGTTCAAACAGCATCATCAATTTTTTCCTAAAAATTAAGACAAAACCATTGATAACATTACTAATATTCACAAAAGATTTCAACATCATTACCAACACAGAATAGCAATGATGTTATGGCGATTATTAGTAGAAGTGAGAAATAATTTAGATTAAGAATTTGAAGATTGTGGTGTAAATGATATACAATTAATACCAGCTGAATTGATAGAGCTTGATGTAAAATTAAAATAATAAACTATTGAATCATTAGATACTTGTGATCCAATATAAGTTTATTAAGCTTTCAAAGAGATTTTTAAATCTATTTAAAGGTATTTTTATATTTATTATCCAATAATGCTGTTTGAAAATCCAAAATATAAATATTTTCTTTATCACCACCAGATACTAATTTAGAACTATCAGAAAGAAAGCATGCTAAATAGACGCAATGAAAATCTAAATTTAATTTTGCTTTTTATTGACCTATCTTAACATACCATAAAAGAATAGTTGTATCATAGCTACATTTTGCTAATGTATTAGCATCAGGAAAATAAGCCATCAGGAAAAATATACTCTAGTGACACAAATCCTATTTTGTATTTCATATTATGAGAGAAATTGTATACAATCTCCAATTTTCTATTTGTTAACATTTCAAATATCACACTAAACATTAATTGATCTAAATCCTTTAATGATGCTTAAACCCCATTCAAATCTAATTCTTATCAGTGAAATTCATTTTACTAATTACATAATATCCAATTTCTTTTACTTTATTTGAAAATTTACTCCTTAAATAAAAACACTATTCAAACAAGATCATGCTTTATTAATATTGAAGATGAATGAAATAAGCGCAACATATCCCATTAGGAAACTAAAAAGATATTACTTAATAAGATTCTTTAAGAATATTTTATAAATCTTTATTTTAATTGAATTTAAACATTATTCATAATTAGATTGCCAACTTCTTGGATAAAGAATAAATTCTAAATGCAAATTATACAATTAATATATATTACTTAAATAACATATTCATTTTATAGCTCCCTTTTCAGTCAATAATAACTTTTCAAAATTTTCATTTTCAATAGTTCGAAATTTAGATTACTAAATGTTACAGCAAAATGCCTACAAGAGAGGACTTTTAGCAAATGCATAATAGCAAATTGGTTTTTCATAATTTTTTAAGGTTTTAGAATCAATCATATATAACAGAATTGACCCATCTTCCAAACCAAGTATGAATTTATCTCCAGATAATGTAAATTATAACTATTTAATTTGAGAACTAAATTAATTCAAAGTATATTTTATTTCATTAGTTTAAGCATCCATGATATATAGAGTTCTTTTATCAAACTTTCCAACAAATTCTGTTACTCCTAATTAATTGTTTGCTTTATCAAAATCAAATTAGCTGCACTCTTCGATAACTCCTGTTTATGCATATTCAGAAATGTTTTCATCAATTATTTCCCCAGATTTACTAAATATCCTGATTGTTGAAAAGTTTATAAACACAAATGCAAGGGTTTCAACTAATTTTGACTAATTAATTTTTTACACAATCCTATTTTAATCTGAAATATCCCATAACCTTAGAGTATGATTAATTCCTAATGCTAGTAAATGATTCCCGTCTTCTGAAAATTGGAGTATTGAAGAACGAGGCTATTTTTCAAGATAATTCCCTTCCAAAATTACAATGACTTTTGGTTTATTCTATGATATATCATATATCTTTAGATTAGCCTTATATTAGACTGCAACTAAATTCTTGGCTTAATTATACCCAGCTATGAAGTTTGATGATGATAAAGCAGAGTTGGTAGCTTCATCTAATTGTAAAACTTCTTTCGTTTAAACCACAATCTGATTTACCTGAACATCAACCCAAGCTTAAATTTCTTCATACCATACTACTATGAAATCATCCTCTTTTAGTGGAAATATGTACAAAAGTAATAATTTTCTATCAACTCTTACATTATCAAAATATTTAAGTTCCTATGATTTTATCAACTCAAATTTATCAGTAACATTCCAATATTTGATTACTTCGCTTGCGTGGCAAGAGAACAAAATCTAACCATTCCCAGAGAAAGCCATTGATAAAATTTTATTATTTTTCAAAGAGGAATGTTGCAAAATAGATTCTGTTTATTTTTTTTCTAGTGACCATATAATGATTGATTAATTTTGATCTTCAATGGCTAATCTCTAATTAACCTGACATATGGCAATTGTTGTTGTTTAACTTACTTATATTCCCACCATTTCTTCATTCTTTAATTCAGAGTTATTGTTTATTAAAATCAATTCAAATGGATTTGTTTTTACAAGAATATTTGAATTAATAGTAATTGACCTTAGTTCAGAACCAAAGTTAGGTTATGATGTTATAGATTTTGATCTAAATACCTGCTCCAAATCCAAGGTGAATATTTATGAATTACTATGCTTCCATATAAGTTGTGTTTGATCTAAACTAAAAGCAACTTTGTCTTAAATGATACAAAATTATTGATAATGATGTTCAATCATATATTTTGTATTTAATTTCCATATATGGATTAATTGCTTATCATCTTGAGCAGCAAAATATTAGCAGTTAGTAGAAAAACAAAAAGAAGATGGAAGTCTTTTACCTGTTAATAATACATCAATTTTTCTTAGTTCTATCAAATCCCACCTTATGATTTCAACATTAGATCCTGTAACCAATTAGAAACCATCTGAGGAGATGCATAATTAATTAACTGAATCAGTGTGACCATCCATTTCAAATTATTACTGTTTTAATGCTTTTAAGTTCCATAACTTTATGACTTAATTGCTTGTCTAAGCTAATATCCCTTTTGTAGATACTCTCAGAAATTCAATGCTAGCAGTATCACTTTTAAACATGGATAGCAATTTACAAGATTTAGCATCCCACAATTTTATTGTTAAGTCTAAATAGCATGATACATAATTTAAGCCATCTTCAGAAAAGATCGCTTTTAAGCATCTGAATTTTTCTTCATCAATCTCTTCAAAGCACGATATTGTTTTTTATGTTTCAAGGTCAATCATCGATAATTTTTATCGAAATTTTTAATTAGGCACATTTTGAATTGCAACTAATTGCGTTTCTTAGGAATTTAAAGTTGCAAATTCCAAATTTGCTAAATTCAGATTAATTTATTTGGTAATCTTGTTTGCATTTAATTCATACTAAGAATAAATTGAATCTTTTGAGATAGCCGAAAAAAACTCACTATTCTATGAAAAGTTTTTATACAAATAAATCGATTGGGTTTATGTAAAAATTGTATCCAAAATAAGTATATCTGATAAAGATTGAAAGTAAATACGATTATCTAAACCCACACCAAAAAATGACTAATCAGAATTGAAAATAGCTTCTCTTGATTTGGTACCTTTATTAATCTAAATCAATTAGATTAAGTCTAATTTTTATAAGTTGAGTAAAATGATATGTTAATAGCTATATACACAAATTTATTGTCTCTATTCTAAAAAAGTGATTTTATAAGGGAATCTAGGTAATTAGATGACTGACAACTTTATTATTTATTACCAATCTTTGATATCGTATAAAATTAGTTACCCTCCAAGTGTATCTGTTCCAACAATCACTCTTTCATTGCCAACAAAACCAACAGATAAGTAATTAATTTTGTCTTCAAAATTCTTTACTCTTTACTTGGTTTAGATATTTTAAATAACAAATCCTTTGTCAGAAACAACAGAAATAAGAGAAGAATCAAGAGAAAATTAAAAGCCTCTGTATTGAATAGAGGTTTCTGAACAAATATAGTTTGGACTATTCTGATTTTCCCTAACCACAATCTCAAGACCTTCTGTGCTTCCAATTACAACAAACTTAGAATTTGATGATACCGACATTCCATAGGCATTCCTAGAAAAACGCAATTTAGAAGTCTATTTGATTTCTTCATTTTGAATTTACAATTGAACCACACCAATATTATTTTGTATTATAAAGTTTTCATCATCTAAATAAAATCCTCTTTGCAAATATGAAAGATTTATTAGAGGAATTTTCTTCTCAATTTCGAAGGATTGTTCATTTATTTTCCAAATCCTTATTCCAATATTCTTACAAAATGTAGCCATAGCATTACCATCCTTCCGAAAACTTACATCTAAGAAATAATCTAAAATTGGTTCGAAAGGAATCTGTGTAAATTCAACTGTATTCCAAAATTGGATCCCTCTTGAAATTGGACCCGCTAATGACACCATAATTTATTTGAATGGACAAAAAGCAATGATTTTTGTGTCCGTTGATTATTATACTTTCGTTTAGATTTGAGGCTAATCTATTTTAGTGATATCCCAAAATATTATTGTTTTATCCTCACAGTTAGATACCATTTATTTGCCATCAAATGAAAAATCAAGATTAAAGACCTTTTTAGTTTAAGCATCTAATTTTATAATTAAGCTATATTTGGTTAAATCCCATAAACAAATAGTCTTATCTACACTACTTGAACCTAAAACTTTGTTATCATTTGTAATTTTCAAACATAAAATATTTTAAGTGTGTTCCTCTAATGTATGAATCATTTAAATTTAATGAAAGTTTTTAATATCCCATACATATATTTTAGCTTTGCTATTATGTTAATAAGATGATTTATATTCAGCAGAAGCTAATATCTAACAATCAGATGATATCTCGATTACCTAAAAATTACATTGAGGAAGTAATTTAAAAAAGTCTTATTATTCTAGCAGCTAGTCGACCTCGTACAATTTAATATATGATTAGGTTCTTGTAGCTAGCATTTTTCCATCATATGAATACGATACTTGCATAATGTTATCCTATTAATCAAATGAATAAAGCAATTAAACTTTAGTTAAATCTTTAATGTTCCAAAATTTAAGCTATTTATTTTCTCCCCCAGTTACTAAGATTTCATTATCTTTTGAAAAAGCCACTCCTATAATATTCTTTGACTATGCTGGAAGCTCTGCAATTTCTTGTAAGTCTGATATTTTATTGCAATTCCATAGAGTTATTTGCTTACCACATGTTGCTAAGAGTTAATAGTCAGAAGAAATTGCAATGCAAATAATTTATCCCTAATTATTTTCCTTAGAAATGTATCTTTATTTTTCAATGGGTTTTTCGAGGTTTTCAACTTTCCATAAGTGTACTTGTCCTTATGTCACCTAAGCTGCTAGCCATGCATCGTTTGGAGACAAAATAACATCTCCGTAATTGTCATTAACCAAAGCCTCAAATCTCAATTACGCCAAATTATGTGGATTATAGAAATATACATTATTCTCTGAGAGACAGGCAAGCAAATTTTTACCCTTGGACATTATAATTAATTATTCATTATTTGGTATGACTGCTCTCTTTGGCTCTTCGTCAGCATAAACCTACCAGATATTAAGAGTTCCATCTTAACTACCTGATGATAAAGTGGTTCCATCCTCACTAAACACAACCTAAGTTATCATTGAGTTGTGACCTGATAATGAGGGTTTCTCTTTGCAAATCAGTTTTTCCCAAACAGCATTCTATATTTTTGCACAATTAAAATTACACGAATCAATTGAAACATTATTAAATTAGGTATTGTTTAAATTACACTGATAGAAACTTATGCCATTCAATTTAGTATCCTCTATCTAGATGTTACTAAAATCGATGCCATCAAAATGCTCCCTCAATGAACTTATAATATACAGTGAATTTGAAGCTGACCTTAAAAATTTTTTCTCAGTTTCAATCTTTGACAATTAGATTATCTGAATTAATTTCTGTTTAATCCCTCCGATTTGTTTCAATTTAGGTTTTAATATTTCCAAAATTCCAGAGTAATGATCCAAAGATAGGTTGAATTAATCCTTGTTAAAACTACTGCTTTTTAACACAGTTTGATCCACACTTTGTGATTCATTGTTGAAGAGTCTCTCAATCAAGTTGAAAATGTATTTGGCAACAAAAAACTCTTAAATGGATTTATGATTGAATGAATATATGCTGCCCTTTGAATTAATCAACATACACTTGCGTAATAGAGACTTGTACTCAAAATCGTCTTAATTATCACTGAAATATGAGTCTTCCCAAGAGACCTCAACCTTCCTTTCTTCCTCAGCTTACTTAATGTTTAGTTTCCCTTTTGATTTATAATTCACTTAAGTCAATTATCTCTGAGACATATTTATAGCTAAAAATGTGGAAAAATCTTATAAGTCCAATAGAACACTCTCTAGTTATATATTTTTTCCCAAGTCCTTCAATTTTTGTAATTGTTAATTATGATAAAAGTTAACAAATATTTCATAAAAATCGAAAGCAGTAAATTGGTTTAACCTGAAAGCTGAAACAATAAAATTTGCATCATACCTCACTTTAAAAAGCTTGCTTGAAAAGATAGTATTATTATTGATATATTCTAGAGAGTTGGCTATAGAAAATTACTCAAAAAAGTTTTAACTGTCCAAGTCTTCCATAATTAAATTAAATTATTCCAGTATTTACGATTCTAAGTTTTTTTTCTCCTTCTTCCCATTCAATTGATTCAAATCTTCTGAATTCTAAATTTCCCTTCTTTAATATTATTCAATCACAACCTCTGATTTCNAATTTAATGAAAGTTTTTAATATCCCATACATATATTTTAGCTTTGCTATTATGTTAATAAGATGATTTATATTCAGCAGAAGCTAATATCTAACAATCAGATGATATCTCGATTACCTAAAAATTACATTGAGGAAGTAATTTAAAAAAGTCTTATTATTCTAGCAGCTAGTCGACCTCGTACAATTTAATATATGATTAGGTTCTTGTAGCTAGCATTTTTCCATCATATGAATACGATACTTGCATAATGTTATCCTATTAATCAAATGAATAAAGCAATTAAACTTTAGTTAAATCTTTAATGTTCCAAAATTTAAGCTATTTATTTTCTCCCCCAGTTACTAAGATTTCATTATCTTTTGAAAAAGCCACTCCTATAATATTCTTTGACTATGCTGGAAGCTCTGCAATTTCTTGTAAGTCTGATATTTTATTGCAATTCCATAGAGTTATTTGCTTACCACATGTTGCTAAGAGTTAATAGTCAGAAGAAATTGCAATGCAAATAATTTATCCCTAATTATTTTCCTTAGAAATGTATCTTTATTTTTCAATGGGTTTTTCGAGGTTTTCAACTTTCCATAAGTGTACTTGTCCTTATGTCACCTAAGCTGCTAGCCATGCATCGTTTGGAGACAAAATAACATCTCCGTAATTGTCATTAACCAAAGCCTCAAATCTCAATTACGCCAAATTATGTGGATTATAGAAATATACATTATTCTCTGAGAGACAGGCAAGCAAATTTTTACCCTTGGACATTATAATTAATTATTCATTATTTGGTATGACTGCTCTCTTTGGCTCTTCGTCAGCATAAACCTACCAGATATTAAGAGTTCCATCTTAACTACCTGATGATAAAGTGGTTCCATCCTCACTAAACACAACCTAAGTTATCATTGAGTTGTGACCTGATAATGAGGGTTTCTCTTTGCAAATCAGTTTTTCCCAAACAGCATTCTATATTTTTGCACAATTAAAATTACACGAATCAATTGAAACATTATTAAATTAGGTATTGTTTAAATTACACTGATAGAAACTTATGCCATTCAATTTAGTATCCTCTATCTAGATGTTACTAAAATCGATGCCATCAAAATGCTCCCTCAATGAACTTATAATATACAGTGAATTTGAAGCTGACCTTAAAAATTTTTTCTCAGTTTCAATCTTTGACAATTAGATTATCTGAATTAATTTCTGTTTAATCCCTCCGATTTGTTTCAATTTAGGTTTTAATATTTCCAAAATTCCAGAGTAATGATCCAAAGATAGGTTGAATTAATCCTTGTTAAAACTACTGCTTTTTAACACAGTTTGATCCACACTTTGTGATTCATTGTTGAAGAGTCTCTCAATCAAGTTGAAAATGTATTTGGCAACAAAAAACTCTTAAATGGATTTATGATTGAATGAATATATGCTGCCCTTTGAATTAATCAACATACACTTGCGTAATAGAGACTTGTACTCAAAATCGTCTTAATTATCACTGAAATATGAGTCTTCCCAAGAGACCTCAACCTTCCTTTCTTCCTCAGCTTACTTAATGTTTAGTTTCCCTTTTGATTTATAATTCACTTAAGTCAATTATCTCTGAGACATATTTATAGCTAAAAATGTGGAAAAATCTTATAAGTCCAATAGAACACTCTCTAGTTATATATTTTTTCCCAAGTCCTTCAATTTTTGTAATTGTTAATTATGATAAAAGTTAACAAATATTTCATAAAAATCGAAAGCAGTAAATTGGTTTAACCTGAAAGCTGAAACAATAAAATTTGCATCATACCTCACTTTAAAAAGCTTGCTTGAAAAGATAGTATTATTATTGATATATTCTAGAGAGTTGGCTATAGAAAATTACTCAAAAAAGTTTTAACTGTCCAAGTCTTCCATAATTAAATTAAATTATTCCAGTATTTACGATTCTAAGTTTTTTTTCTCCTTCTTCCCATTCAATTGATTCAAATCTTCTGAATTCTAAATTTCCCTTCTTTAATATTATTCAATCACAACCTCTGATTTCTTGGCCTCTCTTTTCAAAATCATAAAATTTTTCTTAAGCAAATCTCTTATTAAGTTAGATTGCGAGAAAAATTATGACATTTTAGGTAACACATAAACTATTATTTCCATCATAAATGGAGTTGTCAGTAGATGATTGATGTTGACGTTATTAATTACTTAAGAGAATTTTTACTCTCCCCAAAGTTACAATAGTTCCTTTTTTAATGATACCATCTAATTTGATTTGATAAAATTAAAAAATTCAACTGCTTAAATCTTTAATATCAATTTTTCCACATCCTATGTCTAAAACAACACTTCAGAATTTTATTTCTACATTATAATTGAATTAATTGTACTCTCTATTTAACTCCATATCTACTTAAACTCATCTAATGAAATTAATTACCCTTTTAATTATTTGAGAAATTCATAAAATCTTTTAATAGTTCTCTTAACACTTATTTCAGCATATATTTTTATATATTGTGAACTCTGTTCCTAACTAAAAGGCAATATCTCAATTTCTTTAAGTGTTTCTATGCTTTGACCATAAAACCAAGTTTAATATCCTATTGAATTCAAGATTTCTTCTCTTGTCGTTATAATCATTTTAACTGTTTATCCCGGTGCCTAAAGGCTAAGATCTTAAACCAGTCTATTTGTATGATAAAGATTAGTTCCTATGCAATCAAATTTCATCTCATCATAGCTTTCAAGAATCAATACAATCTTTAAGTTTCCATTAATGACAGCATCCTTGAACTCTCTTATTTGTATATTGTCAAAATTGTAAATTTCAGATTCAAGTGCCTAATTAATCAAATTATGATGAGGGTCCTTTAAGGAAGGAAGAGATACATAAATAGGGATCCAATTTGGTTTTATTGAATCGCAAATCCATATAAATTCTTCGATGTTACGTGCAGCTCTACTCTTACCTGAACCTGCTTTCCCTTTTATTAACATAACATCTTTTTGCTTTTCTTAGTCACTCCATAAAAATTCATTCACTTCCCCATCAAAATTATCATATTAGTTCTTTATTAAGAATGTGATGAACTCCCCTTTACTGTTCGTTTTTTTATTACCAGAAATAGGATCATAATCTTGAGTTGTAACCTAAATGTGAATTTAATCAAGCTCATTCTCTTGCTTTTATTTTAAAACCTTTTATTTTCGCATGCTCAGTAATTCCATAAAGTTCTTCCCTCTCAATCTTCTTATATCATCCTCCACGCTTTTTATGCTAGTTAATACCTAATCTATTGATGATTTTATGTTTTTCAAATCCTTACTAATTTCTCTTAAAAAGATTAAACTAATATCTAATCTTTGTGACATATCCGTAATATTATCTAAATATATTTCAAAATTCTCATATTCTTGTTGGAGCTACAACTTTATTTCTTCTTAGTTATCGCTAAGAAGAATTTGAGTTTCAAGTTGTTCAATTTATTTGAATCTATTTTGCATTTCTGTTTTTAACTTAATTGAGAAATTTTGTAAATCTTTTGAAAACAACTTCTTCTACATCACAATCATTTCCTCATTTTTCAGTAAGCTTCTAACACTAGGATGTTGTTCAATTATCCAAATTTATTTTAATAAATCTTCGCAAAACTCTTATATTGTTTCTTCTTGAACTATTGATTACATCCTTATCAAATTAAATACAAGGATTTCCCTAACTTTATATGAAGAATTTTAAAACATATCAAAAATACCTACTTCATAATTTGTCTTAGTACTCTTTTTTAACTCTGTAAAGATAGTTGAGATTATATCAACTTTTCTATCCTAATTTTATGTAGCTTAATCTTCAATGCAAAGAGTATTAAAATTTAATATTTAAATCCTTACATGAACTTGCTAAATTTAAGGTTATTTTTGGAGTTTTGCAAGAAAATCCTCGCTAAAAATCATTTATTCATTCCTATTTATCTACTGACAAAACTATAGAGTTTATTGTGATATATCACTTATTATTTGATATAAACTTTATGTATATATACTTTTTAATTTATTAAATAACTATGCATTTGTTGATTAATTGTAAGAAGCAGCTTCAATTAGATTTGATTTGAATATCTTCTTTAGCTTTTGAGATTTCATAATTAAGCCTTCTAATGTTTTGATGAACTTTTCACACTCAATCAAATCTCCTAAATTTAATTTCAGCAATTCTTATCTAGAAGAAGGTAATTAAGGATCCCTTGAACACGATTATAATTCCTCTGTTTTTTCTTCTTAATTTATTTCTTAAAGATGGTTATCCAACAATTTTAAAATTTCTTATTATATCATATTTCTCTCCTTCTAAACCAAACCAAATATTTCTAATTTAATTCTTACCTCCTAAAACAACAATATAAGAGGTTCTTATATTTGCTCCTTCCAATTCTATTTTTTTATATCATTTATTTCCCTATAAATTTGATATGATAGATTATTAAAATCATTTTGTTGCTCCTTTGTGAATTCTGCATTTTAATATTTATTGAATAAAATTTATAACTTCTCTTTCTTGTCAATAATTAATGTTCTAATTTATTCATTGATATCTGTTTAATGCTATTACTCTCCATCAGCTTCTTGAATTCCTTTATTTGAAAAAATCCCTTAAAATTATGAGAATAATGTAGTTAATTTTTTTTAGTGGACACAAAGCATCATTTTTATTCCCTTGTGAATATTTAAGTTGCTGTAAATCATTTTGAGAACTTTTCGAATATCTTATACTTCCTCAATTTTTGATTTCATCTTTTCTATCTTTTAGAAATATCCTTAAGTTTTATTAACCAATTTCACTATAAGTTTAGAATCCAATATCCTGATTATCTCTTCTGCTATATGCCTTTGAGAAATTTGGGTTTTCAAAAAATCTTTGTAGTTTTGCTATTTCATAATATTCAAGAGGTTTCTCTTAACAGTTGGTACTTATAACAGAAATTTATCTATGCATAGACAATAGGCAGCAAATACTTAAATGGTTTCATTGAGTTACATTTCAAGTGATTGATCCTATTCTAGGTTCCCTTCAAATAATTCTTCATGTTAAATTGTCGTATATTCAGACACATATATCCAAAATGCAGAAACCTAATCTAAATTTCCTATAAACTCTGCTATATGTTTATTTTCAATCTCTTAAATTAATATTAATGTTTATTTTTTTATTTTATTCAGTTATTCCGCATTAATTGAATTAAAACTTTCTAAAAAGGTCTAGAAGATTGAATTGATTTGGAGTTCCTTATTTATCAATAAATTTATCTCTTAGAGTAAGCATAGAATTAAAGTGCTGGTTTGTTTGAATGATTTCATTAAAAAACTGATGTCCTGTTTGATTATTTTGAGTTCTATAACTTTGTTATTTTTGAGTTAAGAATTATATTAAAGCACTTATTATTTTACAGATTCGAAATTATTTATTAATTGGTCTTTCTGAGATCCTAAATAATTGTTTAAAGCCTTTATTAATTCTAAATTCGATTGATTTGTTAATTATTAGATAAAGAGATCCTCTTCATTTAATTATTGATCTACCTAGCTATTGAAATTAAAGTTAATGTAATCTCGCAATAATCGGATCTCACTTGAATTCTAAATCAAGTACTCCTAAAATAGTTTTAAAGGTGCAAACTTTTTAACTTTAAAATTTTGGTTTCCAAATATTTTTAGTTTACCAGCAAATTTATTATAAGGTAGTAAAATTATTTAATTTTAATTTAATAATTAATTCCAATTTTCTTGATTAGGAATTCCAGTTTACATCAATTATGATAATTAAGACTTTTAAACGATAGGTCTATAGCACATGAGATCAGATATTAAGTTGACCCAACAATAATGTATCATCCAATCCTTAGAAATGTTTATATACTTTTGGTATCCATCTTGAATTTGCCTAATGATATTCTAAACTGAATAGCCCCATTTTAATTAATTTACAATTGACCATTTCAGAGTTTCAAAAAAGTAATATATTTCGTAAATTTGTAAAGGATTTTGGATTTGTTTATTATAGAAATTCAAAAGTAAAAACTTACCTCCTTCTATAAGAGAGTCAATCAACTCTTCACTGGGTTTTAATTAAGATAGCGATGAGATCAATCCAGACATAATAGATATGGCTAATTCCTTCCCTTTTTCAGAGTTTGTCCTACAATGAGCAATACAAGTCTTAATCATCTTGAGCTCAAAATCTACTCCATTAAGCCAAATATTAATCGCTTCTACTTAGATTTAAGACTCGATTTCTTAAATATATTCTAAAAATCTCTTATGTAACTCCTCTTACATGTACCTTTCTCCATTCTTTGATTAATATGAAAATATTATTCTAAATAAATCATTACAAATTTAGAGTAACAAATAGAATAGGAACCCAGAGAGTTTTAAATAAATTATAAGTTATTTCATTAATTATTCTACAATCCTTTCTATAAGTTCATAAAATTATGAGTTTAAAGCATCATCTTTACAAATAATATTAAATTACTCTTTGTGGTTGTGAAACCATTAAAATGCAGTCATGATTTCCTCTTGATTCATCTTATCTTGAAAGCTCAACGATTTTTCAATAATGATATTAGTATAAGTTTATAATTTGGATGCAAAATTTTCTTCAAAATTTTAATTGCCTTATATTATATCAGAATGAATTTGTTTCGTTCCACAACAACCACCACCTCTTAATTAAATACAAGGCTCCAAATCTAAATTACTCACCTCATTTTTCAAAATTTTACCATGACTTAGATTGTTTAGCAGTTACTTAAATTTTTTTAACATATAATTTCGCAAAGTATAAACTGATGTTGCATTACTCATAGAAAGGGAAGTATTAATCCTCCTTGCTTATTAATCCATGATTAATAAATAAATAAAATATTAATTTCTTTCCTATTACTTTTTGTCTATTAATATTCAACATTCAAATTTATCAATTACTAATTAAATAGTAAATAATAGTGATATCAAATTCTTAATTAATGAAACTTATCAATATTCAATAAAAGGATTATTAAGAGAAATGTAATCTATCAGATTAGAAAAGGAAAGAATTTATTCATGCATTTGTATAAGATTACTCAGATCATAATTTCTTCTTTTTTCTCCTAAATGGTGCGCGCAATTTTTAAGTACACATATTTAGGGATCAGAAAAATTTATTTTTCCTTTTGGAATATGAACATTTTCATTATCTTAAAGATTTTTACAAAATGATTAGCTTGATATATGTAATAAACTAGATTTTTATAGAGGCTTAGTTTTATTTGAGGAAAGAGAAAAAAGATGAATCACTATTTGCAGTTATTTCTAATGCTTATTATTTTTATTATTAATTAATAACCAAAAAGAATTTTTCTTTAACTCTCTAATTGTAACTAGATATTTCAATTATTAATTTACACTTTATTCCCAAATCTATTAAATAACAGTTTTTACNGCGATGAGATCAATCCAGACATAATAGATATGGCTAATTCCTTCCCTTTTTCAGAGTTTGTCCTACAATGAGCAATACAAGTCTTAATCATCTTGAGCTCAAAATCTACTCCATTAAGCCAAATATTAATCGCTTCTACTTAGATTTAAGACTCGATTTCTTAAATATATTCTAAAAATCTCTTATGTAACTCCTCTTACATGTACCTTTCTCCATTCTTTGATTAATATGAAAATATTATTCTAAATAAATCATTACAAATTTAGAGTAACAAATAGAATAGGAACCCAGAGAGTTTTAAATAAATTATAAGTTATTTCATTAATTATTCTACAATCCTTTCTATAAGTTCATAAAATTATGAGTTTAAAGCATCATCTTTACAAATAATATTAAATTACTCTTTGTGGTTGTGAAACCATTAAAATGCAGTCATGATTTCCTCTTGATTCATCTTATCTTGAAAGCTCAACGATTTTTCAATAATGATATTAGTATAAGTTTATAATTTGGATGCAAAATTTTCTTCAAAATTTTAATTGCCTTATATTATATCAGAATGAATTTGTTTCGTTCCACAACAACCACCACCTCTTAATTAAATACAAGGCTCCAAATCTAAATTACTCACCTCATTTTTCAAAATTTTACCATGACTTAGATTGTTTAGCAGTTACTTAAATTTTTTTAACATATAATTTCGCAAAGTATAAACTGATGTTGCATTACTCATAGAAAGGGAAGTATTAATCCTCCTTGCTTATTAATCCATGATTAATAAATAAATAAAATATTAATTTCTTTCCTATTACTTTTTGTCTATTAATATTCAACATTCAAATTTATCAATTACTAATTAAATAGTAAATAATAGTGATATCAAATTCTTAATTAATGAAACTTATCAATATTCAATAAAAGGATTATTAAGAGAAATGTAATCTATCAGATTAGAAAAGGAAAGAATTTATTCATGCATTTGTATAAGATTACTCAGATCATAATTTCTTCTTTTTTCTCCTAAATGGTGCGCGCAATTTTTAAGTACACATATTTAGGGATCAGAAAAATTTATTTTTCCTTTTGGAATATGAACATTTTCATTATCTTAAAGATTTTTACAAAATGATTAGCTTGATATATGTAATAAACTAGATTTTTATAGAGGCTTAGTTTTATTTGAGGAAAGAGAAAAAAGATGAATCACTATTTGCAGTTATTTCTAATGCTTATTATTTTTATTATTAATTAATAACCAAAAAGAATTTTTCTTTAACTCTCTAATTGTAACTAGATATTTCAATTATTAATTTACACTTTATTCCCAAATCTATTAAATAACAGTTTTTACATTTTAAATCAAAGCAAGCTATTCATAATAGGATTTTGTGAATTTGATTTTAATCAGATTAATGATTATTTCATATAATTTCTGAAACTGTTGATTATGGTTTGACTTTATTAAATTTTTAATATTTGTATTATATTATTTTACTACATGATCTCGTTAAATGAATATAATTTTTTTTAATGTCAGAATTTTATAAACTTTCAAGAAACATTTATTTCCCCTTAGATGTACCCTCAAGTCTTAGATCAAGTAAAAGAAAGATAGGGGATTATTCACTTTTAAATTGTAAATTATATAAAATTTTGAAGACTGTTGTAGTAAGGAGGAATGGAAATTATATGGATTGTAATTTTAATAATAAAATAGATTTCATCAAACTTCAATATAAGACTAAATAAGGATGCAACTTTTGTTTCAAAAACTAAATTTTTAATTTCAAGTTCAAGTATCTTAAAAATCTATTAAAATGGATTTTTTTGAACAGGGGAATATTAAAATTCTTTCAATAATTGGAATTACTTTGAGTTCCCTTGTAATTGTCACGTTCTTTATCTTATTTGATGCAAAAATTTCATAATTTCAATAACAGAAGGTAATTTCTTGCATACAATCTAATACAATATCAAGCCAATCTTGATTTATTCATATAATTACTGAGTAAATCTAAATTTAGCTTTATAGAATTAAAGTAAAAGTTTAATTCCAAATTTTTCCTTATGGGTTAATTTCTGGAACCGCATATGTGGCTGTTAAATTGTTTTATCTAAATTTTTGTTAAACAAAAGGAATGATGAATAAGATTAAGGATGGGATTAAAGTCTATTAGAATTTTAGTCACAATGCACTGCTGATTTGATTGAACTATATGATAATTTAGGAATACTATATTGAAGGAAGTATGTACAAAATTAATTAATTTTTCATGATATATATAACTACAAACATAGTTGTTGGGATAATTTATAGTTTTAAGCATAAATCAAACCCTCTTAAATTCAATAATTTAGGCTTAAAGATACTCTTAAGATAGTAAAGGGAGTATTTTCTCAAATTTACAAAGACATTTGAGCTTGTCATACTTTTTTACCATTTTTCTTTGCATCTACCCATAGTGAGAGAGATATGTAATATGATGTGAAATAACCATTGTCGAGATAAATTTATTATATCATTATAATATAACCTCTGTTTACCTAGTAAATATCTTTTTTAATAGTTTAGCGTCTCCATAACAGTGGGTTAAATCACTTTAAGAAATTGTTTAGGATAATATAAATAATAGTATAAAAAATAATTGAAATACCAATACGAAAATGCTTCATAACGAAAAAAGTAAACTTTTAATATAAGCATTTTAACCTAATCCCAGTTCCTCTGCAGCCAAATAAAAGTATTTAGCTTCTGATATTCTCCGTAATTCAAATAATGAATCAGCTAAAAATAAAAAAATGATATAATTACCTTTCAATTTGAATAGATGAGCACTATTTCTTATTTTAAGGGCTTGTTCAAAATTAAAGAGTGCATCCATATATTTATTCAATTTGTGTAGGATTATACCTAATTAATAAAAATATTTACCTTTATTTTCTAAGGAGCAATCAGATTTAGGGTTAATAAATATTGCTTCATCGTAAGATTATATTGCTTCTTGATATTAATTCAATTTGGCTAATGCAAAACCTAAGTTTAAATATTGAACAAGTAACTACCTTTTTTATACCATGCAGAATCATGTCTTGGGTTAATATAAATTGCTTCATTGTAACATTTTATTGCTTCTTGATATTGCTTTAAACACGATAATGCGTTACCTAAATATTAATATGGACCAATTAATTACCCTTATAATACCATATATTTATATATTTAGAATTAATGGATATTGCCATATCGTATGATTTAATTGCTTCTTCATATAGATTCAATTTGACTAATGAAAGACCTAAGTATTCATATTGAAAAAGTAATTACCCTTGCCACACCATACTATTTCATGTCTTGGGTTAATATAAATTACTTCATCGTAACATTTTATTGATTCTTGATACTGTTTTAAATGCGTTAAGGCCAATCCTAAAAATTGATATATAACAATTAATTACCCTTGCCATACCATGCATCAATATATTTAGGATTAATTGATATTGCTTCATTTTAGCATTAAATTGCTTCTTGGTATTGTTTTAAATGTGTTAATGCATTCCCTAAATATTAACATTTAATTCTTAATTACCCTTTTTAATCCATGCAGAACCATATTTATTATCAATAGATATTGCTTCATCAAAACATTTTATTGATTCTTGATAATATTATAAATGTGCTAAGGCCAATCCTAAATATTAATATGTAACAATTAATTACCCTTGCCATACCATGCATCATTATATTTAGGTTTAATTAATATTGCTTCATTGTAGCATTAAATTGCTTTTTGGTATTGTTTTAAATGTGTTAATGCATTACCTAAATATTAACATTTAATTCTAAATTACCCTTTTTAATCCATGCAGAACCATATTTATTATCAATAGATATTGCTTCATCGTAACATTTTATTGCTTCTTGATATTGCTCTAAATGTGCTAATGCGTTACCTAAATATTAATATGGACCAATTAATTACCCTTATAATACCATATATTTATATATTTAGAATTAATAGATATTGCCATATCGTATGATTTAATTGCTTCTTCATATAGATTCAATTTGACTAATGAAAGACCTAAGTATTCATATTGAAAAAGTAATTACCCTTGCCACACCATACTATTTCATGTCTTGGGTTAATATAAATTACTTCATCGTAACATTTTATTGATTCTTGATACTGTTTTAAATGCGTT